GAGGGACTTATCGCGGTTTAAATCGAGGCTATTTTTCTTAAAGAGGTTATTCTAGCTACGTAAAAGGCGGTTCTTAGTAGCTACGTCGATACGTTAGTTCGTAAGAAGTATTAAACCGATACCGTTTATACTAAGCTATACTAAGGGTTAGTAAAAGTAAAAGCGGACGGTTAAGAAAGCCCTTATCTACTTACGTTAAAGATTATAGTCGCGAGAGATTTATCGAGCGTATAAGTACTTCTTAAAACTACTAGCGTTCTTAACGCGAGCCTTCTTAAGCCGGCGGAAGTTCTTAACGTAGTTAAGATATTTAGAGGCGTAGCTACGAACTAGATTCTACTTTTTAGAAGTATTATAACGAATAGCCTACTAGCGTATAAATAATAATACGTTTATAGCGCGGCGAAACTCGGAAGACGGCTAGATAGGCGAAAAGAGTTAGCTAAAAATACGACGCGTATACGAATCGTAGGATAAAACTTATTTAAGTATAATCGTACCGCGCTCTAGTATACCTCTAGTACTTTAAGAGCGGTATCTTACGTATATAGTTCTACTTAATAATATCCTTTACGTTATTATCGATCTAAGAAGCGGAAGTCTAGTATAAAAGATAACGTTTATAAAAGGCCTTATAATAAGGCGGAATCGGCTTCTAATAAGAAGCTAGATCGTAGATACTAACGAGACGACGTCGAGAGACGTTCTATATACTAAACGGCTTATAGCGAGCCCGAGTCTTACTTTTATCTTTATTCTAAGCTAATTTAAGACCGAGCTAGCTTATACGAGATAGCTTCTTCTCTTTCTTATCTATACTATCTATAGGACTAGCTTCTAGAGTAATAGAAGACGTCGAAGAATAAGCGATAAAGCCGTAAAAGAAAGTTAAAAATAAAGCTATATTAGAAAATAGATATAGCGTAGAGTTAGAAAATAATCGCGTAAGAGAACTCTAATATACGAAGGCTTCTTACTAACTTCTTCTACGGTACGCGTACGTAAAACGTATAGACCCGAACTCTATAAAAACGTACCTATCTAATAGAAGAAATTATACCTATCTAACGCCTAAGTACTACTTATAAAGGGGTAAGAACCTATTATCTAGCTAATAGATATAGATATAATAATACTAGCTACTAAATCTAGCCGTAAACTAAGAATTACGAGTAATAGTAGTAAACTCTATAAAGATAAATACGCCTAATATAATTACTATAAAGAAATATCGGGGGAGAAGTACGCGCCGCGTATACTATACGTACCTAAAACGTATAAATAATAGTTCTAAAATACTTAAGCTATATACGAGACTCGCGATTATAAATCTAAAAAGATAAAAGATAAAATAACCGCTATTACGTAGAAAGTAATTACTACTTTCCCTACGTAAAATTAAACTTCTAATAGAGTTTTACTTCTAAATACTCTAAGCCGCGTAACGGTCTAGAGTAGCTAAACTTTTCTATTACTCTAGCGTATAGCGCTATATATTTAACCCGCGTATAATAGTTATACGCGTTAAGTATACTCCGCGTATCTACTTATAATATAGATAAAAGCGGATATTTTAAGGGGTATAGACTACGGTTTTCGCGCCTAGAAATTTTCTTAACGATTCTAGCTACGAGCTTTTTTCTTTTTAATAAGAAAGATTTTCCTCGTAGAAGGTATATAAGATTTTTAAGTTTTTTTATTCTTTACGGGGTCGTAGTTAATCTTTATAGTAGAAGAAATAGTATAAGAATCTATAGCCGCGTCTCGTATACGCTTCGTATACGAGATTTATAGAAGTTACGTACTAGTTACGTAACTCTCGCTTAGCTATATATAAAAGCCCTTCGGCCTACGGGCGAAGGCCGAATTCCTTAAAAATTCGTCTATTAATTATAAGCCCTCTTCTTATATCTATCTTAAGCTTTCTATTCGTGCCTTATACCTTATAATAAGGCCGGATAATAGGATAGTAGCTTAGAGATCTAATATCGAGATAGCTAGTTTAAGAAGCTACTAATAGTATATTATCTTATATCTATAATTATATTACGCAGCTCCGAAGAATAAGACGATTAATAAATCTACTAGATACTATAATAGATCGACGTTTACGTACTTTACGGTATATCGTATAGCTAATAGTAATTCTACTTTACGTAGAAATCGATAAAGGGTACGAAAGCTAATATCCTCGTATATTAATCTATTCTAAGTATTCTTAGTACTTAAGTAGCTTTAAACGTCGTCTATAAGAGTAAGAAACTAATTTAATAATAGATAAGAGAGCGAGCTCTTAATTTTATCTATATTGCTAAGATTAGTAGTATTAAGTAACGCGCGCTACTATATAGTAGTATAGAATAATATTACTATACGAGTCGTATAGCTTTAGATAAGAAGAGATTCGAGCTAGTAATACTTAGCGTTATCTCGACTATATTAACTACGATTCTATAACTTAATATTAGACTTAATATAGTAAACCGTCTCTTCGCGATAGTCGATAGAATTCTAGTACGTATAGACGAGCGTATTTACGAGGTTTATTTAAATATAGAATTAAGTAGAAATACTAAGTAGCTATTAACGTCGATTATAATACTCTTTTACGCGATATTATTAGCCCTTTATACTTCGTATTAACTATAACGTAAGTTAGTCGCTATATACGAGCTAGAAGCGATTCTCGAAATTCGTTAAACTCTTTAGTCTAAGATATTATAGAAATATATTATCGTAGATATTATAGATATTCTAGATAGTTTCTTCGTTTTCGTAGATCGCGCTAAGCTACTAATATAACGTCTTATATATATCTAGACGATAGATATTCGGTATTAAAGGGCGAAGCGACTAGTAATTCTTAAAGATATCTCTAACGATATTTAGAAAAACCCTCGCGATAGTATTTATTAGAAGACCGCGTATAATTTAACTACTAATATTATCGACGTTAAATCTAAAGATACTAGGCGACTCTATTATATCGCTCTAGTAGAGTTCGATTATAGAATTATATATATCTTAACGTAGGCCGTTCTTCGGTATTTCTAGATATATAATAAGCGCGAAAGTTATAAGATTACGTATAACCGTCTTATAGCTAAGATACTTATCTCGTACTATACTTTTAAAATTAATATTATCGTAGTATATTATAGTATATAGATTCGCTACGTAGCGCTTAATCTACTTCTATATATACGAATATTAGTAAGATTCTTACTTAGTAGTTACTTAGTAGTTAGAGTCTCTAATAAATACGAATAAAACTAGAGAAACTACTACTTAGTAGTTACTTAGTAGTTAGATATCTCCGGTAAACGCGGCTAAAACTAGAAGAACTATAACTTAGTAGTTACTTAGTAGTTAAAGTCTCTAATAACCGTAGATAATCCGGGAAAAGAACGACTTAGTAGTTACTTAGTAGTTAATATCTTCGAAACGTATATATAATATATACTAAGTACTAAGAGAAGACCTCTTAGTAGTTACTTAATAGTTTAGTTCTCTAGTAACGTAGATAAGAAAGTCGAGATATATATATATTTTTATCTCTTCTACGATAGTCTCTATTAATCTCTTCGCCGATATATATCTATAGTATATATCTAAACCGCTAAGAGTTTATAATATTCTTCGCTTCGTTCTAGAGCTTATTAGATACGTATTTAACGCGAACTATAAGAAGTTTAAATTAATTCGCTAGCGCGAATAATAGACTATACTAGTAATAGTATATATATACCTCGTAATCGCTACTATTTAAGGTTTACTACTATAGCTAGATTAATAGAAGCGTTAATTAGATATAACTCTTAAGAGTATACTATACTATATAGAAGTAATATTTTATAGATTCTTAATAATACGTTCGATATTAAGACTCTTAAAATCTTTACTATAATCGAAACGACCGTAGTAGCGGTTAAAGAGGGTATATAAATTACTATAACGAATAAGAGTATTAAGCTCTTTATAGTAGTCGCTAATAGTTAATAATACGAGTACTTAAACGACTAGATTTCTAAAGATATTATATACTTTCTTCTATCGCCGGGCTAGTATTATATTTATATAAGAAGATAGATCGATATCTTTACTAGTCTATATAATAGCGAGGTATCTAAAGCTTATATTAATCTTTCGTATTATAGTAAATACCTTTCGAAGCCTCTATCGTATATTATATTATATATATCGACTTCTTATACGCCGACTACTAAGCGGAGTATCGTTAACGTATATAAAATCGTTTATATCGTCTTCTAAGTCCTTAGAATCGCTAGAGCCTAGACTAGGACTAAAAAGAGTATTATCGTCGTTATTAGAGTTATCGTTAATAGCGGGAGGCCTATTAGAGAATATATATTAGTAGAAGGGCGAGCTTAAAGAAGGGCTACTTAAGAGGCTCGATAGCTTCGCTAGTATTCGCCCGATAGGATTTATATCTATCTATAGCTATAGAGAATTAATTAGGCTATCGATTATATATACTATTAGGGCCTTACGATAGTATTAGTAGTAAGAAGTATACTACTAAAGACGAGGGTATCGTTTCTTAGTAGAGGTATAATAGATATACGTAAAGTTAGGCCTATATATACTTAAACCCTCCTACGGAGGAGGATAACGATACGATTTAATTGGCTAATATACGATGCGCTAATCTGCTATATTATGCTAAACCCAATTCAGGCGCTTGGCATCCTCCCGCAAGAGGGTCTGATTTATGAGATAAGGCTGCACAGTAGATGGACTCAAGCAAGGGTCCCGCACACCCACTTGGCTAACCACCTACAGTCGGATTATCCGCCGCTTTCACTGATCTACATGGCGCAACGCAACACATGCCGTCCTGATGTCAATGTGAGGTTTCAACGCACACAAGCGTTCGTCCAGTCCACACACTGCTGATCTGAAGCTGTTTGAATGCCTGCATTGAGCTGGAGAATAGCCGACTGCTACCCTGCATGCCTTTTCTTCACGCCAAGTGGGCCTCACAGCCACTTTGCAGGATCCAAGCTGGCAATGTTCGCGCTCTTCGCCTTACCATCCCACACGATTTCACTCACCAGTTTGCCCGTCCCCGGCCCGTTCTGGATGCCCCAGCACGTGTGGCCCGCCGCAATGACCAGTCCCTTTATGCCGGGCACCTTTCCGATCATCGGGCCGCCGCCGCCTCTGCTCACGTTGGGGAGGTAGCATGCCTGCCGAGCAGTGACCTCGCCGTCACGCAGCTCGTCGCTAACCGCAGACACATGGTCAATGATCTCCTGGCAGCGTTGCTGGTCCACCTCTACGTTCTCCGTCGTCTTGGGCAGTGGCACGAGATGGTCTCCTTCGCCACATGCATAGACCTCTTGGAAAGGCCGGGCGTAGATCTCCGGTGATACAGTCTTCCCATAACCTCGACGCTTGCCGGACGCACCGGACTCCGCAGGAAGGTCGATACTCGTGAACAAAGCGTAGTTGGACACGTCCCGAGGAGGCTTGATGACAACGCTGTGGGCGCGTGTCGCCGAGATAGGGGCCTTCGGCCAAACGTTGCGTGTCCAGGGGCCAGCAGAGATGACGACGCTGTCGGCTGGTAGAGTCTGCGCCTCTCCACCATCCTTCGGGGTGTAAGTAAAGCCCCGCACCTCACCCCCTTCAGTGTTGATATCCGTCACACTTCCCAGAACGATCTTGGCGCCCTTCTCCTCCGCCAATCGAGCCATGCTGGTTGTGAAGTGGTACGGATGCACCTGTGCCGTGTCGTCCGGCGCGCCCATCTCCTCGTACGCCCTCACTCCTTCCGGAACGACCCAGTCGAGCTCCTTCGGCACGCCCGCAGCGCGCAGCTGGCCCAGCGCCTCCGGCGTCCGCTTCTGCAGGCTCACGCTCTCGCCGACGTCCGCGCTCTTCTTCACGGGCCGTCCCTTCATGAGAATCTGCCCGCAGTGCACGCCGCGGTAGCCCCAGCGCTGGGCGCCGTCGTGCTTGTCGGCCAGCTCTTTGTGCAAACGGAAGGAGAGGGGCACGATGCATGACGGGTAGGCCCAAAGGCCCAGGAGGCCACCTGCCTTGCCGCTGGCGCCACCGGCAATTTCTGTGGCTTCGAGCAGGGTGATGTTTGTTGTGGCGGGGTCGAAGGCGGTGTGGTGCGAGAGGAAGTAGGCGCTCGTGCTGCCAATAATGCCGCCGCCTATTACAACAATGTTCTTGGGCGTTTCGGATGCCATTGTTGGGCGTGTGAGTCGTCGGAGAAGAGCCACGGCGATCGATGAGAAGGGGAGATGGTTGTTTGCGCGGGTGGTGATGTTGTGTGGTGAAAATCAAATGCGGCGAAGAGTGGCGGAGGGAAAGTTCGTCGGGTGCCATTGCCCCGCTGACGTCACATGAGTGGGATGTGCTCATAACCGATCGCAACTCGCGAATTGCTTTTTGCCGCTTCTATGTATCTGTCGACCTTATGTCAATGTTATTTACGATCGCCGGCAGAGGACTCTTGCTGCACGCACAGCGCTTCTATCCTCTCGAGATACCGGGGTGAATGCTAGGTGCCTAAGCATGGCTGCATGTAACTCATTGAGGAACACTTTTCTCTATTTTTGCCTTCCCGCTTTCTACGCGCCATCCTCTGAGCTTGAGTAATTTCTATCTGCCTCTTGCTCCCTGGCAAGGATTTCCTTCCACTTCTCCGCGAACTCGCGCATCCCGCCTTCGCCGGCGTTGCTAGCATCGACAACATCCTTAGGCAGCTTGTGGGCGCTGTAGGCCGGGGAAGCAAACGAATAGGCTTCTGGGTCATCTCTCTTGACAAGTCGCAATTCGGGAATCCATATTTCTTCATCCGCCTCGTCATCCGAGTCCGGGGTCGCTGTCTTCGCATCATCATCATCGTCATCATCTTCAGCAGGTATCGATGCAGGGTCAGGCTGTGCAGCTGATGGTTCAGAGTTGGCTGGCCGCAGCTGCAGTCGCACAAACCCCTCCCTCTCTTCCTCTTCCTTTTCCTTTCTCATCGTCTCTTCGAGATGCTCAGGTCCGTCCATGGTAAGGAGCTCGAGCCAGCTGAAGAGCAATGGATCCGTCCTCTGAGCCCAGGGATTGATGTCTATCAGCCATGCCTTGTCATACTTGGGCGGGACGTAGACGTCAAACGCAAAGTTTGGATCGGGGAAGCCGTCGCGCAGATGATCTTCGAACAGGGCATTGATGACCCTACGCAGCTGGTCAACCATCGGGCCCAGGAACTCATAGTGATTGGGATCGCGCTGTGTGATTGCGAGCAGCCGTCGGTTCCTTACGAAGCAGCGGAACTCGACCGAGGGGTTTATCATGAAGAACTTGCGCAGGACCAGGTGGTACGGCACCTCGGACTCGCTTGCAATCGTCCGATCCCCCTCGACAGCAGGAGCATCCTCGGTGTCGGCGAAGGCCTGCTCGAGATCATGAGTGATGAAGTCGGAGCTCTTCAGCATCATGTATATGTCGCCTGGTGTCCGACAGTCCATGGTGTTTGTGGCGTTGATCCATGTTGCGTCTTTTGGCGACGACCAGTTTAGCTTGGGGCACACCTTCCCGCCAAGCTCTACAATGATGTCTCGTATGGCGTTGTGAATCTCGGGCCATTCTCTCGAGGGATCCTCGTCGCCGTCGCCATCCTCGTCCGGGGTTTCGGTCGAGGAAAAGATACCGCTGTCGTCGTCGGACCAGTCGCGTTGGGAAGCTTCTTCGTCGGGGGGCAAGATAATACCGTCGGCGCGCAGGTAGTTCAGGAAGGGTCGCGAGAGCGGTATCAGACGAGCCTTGGGCGTGATTTTGCGGTATCTTGAGAAGACAATTCTGTGAGCAAGCGAGCCTTCCAGAGCGCAACCGCTGGCGGGGCAACAATTACCTGGGATGCCACGAGTGGAAAGAACAGTTGAGGACGTGCTGCTTTGTGACAGGAGGAAAGGGAAGGTGCGTCAGCGGCGCATCTTCCGAGGCGGACGACTGCTCAGGCTCGGCCATGTTGGCTGCCGGAGAGAGATTGTGAAGGTAGAGGGGCGCAGAAAGTAATTCACCCGAAGCGTCATCGCGGGGCGAAATGACTCGCGCCGCTTGACGCGGGCCCTCGAATTGCAGACACCACCTTCTCCGCAACACCACCGTTTCTCCACGAACACCCAGCCCATAACATGTCCTCCAACGTCGGCCTCACCACACCCCGCGGCAGCGGTACCTCGGGATACGTGCAGCGGAACCTGTCGCAGCTCAAGCCGCGCGACCAGGCCGCACCCTACACCAAAGATTACGACCAGATCAAGCAACTCCGCCAGCGCCAGCCTGACCAGGGCATCCTCGAGCACGACCGCAAGCGCGAAATAGAAGTGAAGGTGTTCGAGCTCCGTGACCGCTTGGAAGACGAAGGGTGAGTCGGCATGAGGCTGAATGCGTAACACGGCTAACGCGCCTTGTGCAGTGTCGACGAAGATGAGATCGACGACCAGTGCGATGCACTTCGCAAGAAGCTTCAGAAGGAGGCCGACACGTCCAACGAGCGCCTCGACAAGGCCAAGGCCCGCAATCTCAAACAGCACCAAGTCCACGAGCTCGCCGCCGCCAAGATCGAGGAGAGCGAGAAGCTGAGGAAGGCGTTGGGGATCAGCAAGGACTACGAGGAAGGCAGCCATTGGAGGAGACAGGAGGAGAGACTGCGCGAGACCATGAAGAAAGAAGCCGGCGATGACGAGGATCGGAGGAGGGCCAGGGATGAAGACAGCGAGTAACTTGGATACCATGGGCGTATAATCCCGCATGGCACGAGCGGCGTTATCTGGCACGGCAAGGCGTTTTGGTTGGAGTTGCAAAAGTAAATGGCGCAAATGTTATTTCTCATTTCAAAACCAACACCTGGCTGCTCTACATGCTAACGGCGCACTAGTGTCCTTTGCGTTCCTTCGAAGGAGCCAGTCCTTTCTGTCTTCCCCTTCTTTGCCCATCCGCAAATCACTCTGAATGCCTCCTGCCTCTTCGCGTATCTCACAGACTCGTGCCATGGCTCTGAGTGGATGTCCTTGGTGATCTTCTCTCCGCCTTTTCTTTTTGTATACGAGGTTTTGATCCACAACTCGTCGTGTATCCAGGATAGTTCTCGCTCCATTCCGAAATCGTCGAGAAAGTGGCTGTGGTGAAGCTCCATTCTCCACTTTTTCTTCGGTTTTGGGCGGTTCAGAAAGTCATCTACTTTTTGCTGGATAAGCCGCGAGGATACGAGGCGTACAACATGGATTTTGGGGTCCATCACCGCCGTGAAAGGAACCGACCTGCTGCTCGGCAATGTTGCTCGCACGAGCGTACGGCTATTGCCCAGCTCGTCCGTCAGGATGACCATCGGTGTGGCGTAAGTCGAGGGTTCAGCAATCCAATTGAGCGTGCGGACTGGCTGATACTTGGGATACTCCGTCTGTACCCCCTTCCCATACTCATCTGGATCCTGCAAAAACCCAGACGTGTCGTAGTATGCTTTTCTTGCATAAACCCCCGGCTGGTACTCAGGACTAATTCGGCGGAAGTACCCGTTGCCTCTCCGTCCTCTCGGCTCCGCTACGACTGGATCCAGCTCGTCAAACAGACCAGGCGCGAACGACACTTTCCTGGCTGTGGACTTGGCACCGTCCTTTGCTCTCTTCGCTTCCTGATCGACGTTCAGATCCTCGGTAGCCCCAACAGCCTCTGCATACAGCCTCTTCAACTCCATCCTCAGCTTCCCAGCCTCCTCCGCGCCCATCATATCCCCATCAATCAAGCCATCGATCAAGCCATTCGCCTCCTCCACAATCTTGGCCAACTCCTCTCTGCGCCTCTCCTCCGCCAGATCCGCGTTGGCGACTCTGCATTTCGTCTTCCGGATCAGACAGAGCAGCGTCCTCAACTGCTTGCAGCGCTTTTCCAGTTTCTTTTGGTGCGACCGCGCGTCTTTGTTACGTGACGCGTGCGTGCCGTTGCCACCCTTGATCGACGACGACGGCGGGCTCCGGTTGTTCTTTTGTGCCTGCCTATAAGACTCTTCTTCCGCGAACAGCTTTTCTTTTAATCGTTTGTAGTCTCTCGTTAGTGTCCGGGCGCAGTAGCGTGCGCACTCGAGGCACAGGTCGGGGCTGTATGACTGTAGCAGTGAACTGGGCGTGATGGGTGGTTCTGCGAGAGCTGTGTTGCGATTCTCCATGGAGCTGCTTCTCTGCGTGGGGGTGATCAAGCTCATGCTAGTGTCCCGTGCGTGGCTGTTTTCATGATAGTAGGCGGTGCCACAAATCGGGCAAATGGCAGTTGATCGAGACATCTTGGAGAACTTGTCGACTGCGAAGTGAGTGTGTGCTTGGTGGTTGATTTTGTTGGGAGGGTTTTGGATGGCAGTGTGCGGAGCAACGCTTTCCCGTGCCACACACGGCAGAAGGAGCCTTTAAATAGAGCAACCAGGCCGGTACAGATAGAACCCACAGGCAGAATTTTCCTTCTAGCTTGCAGTTTCAACCGAAATGCACTGTGGTTCACAAATTTGGGCGCTGGTGCCGATCCTAGATCAGCCCTGCAGTGAAGTCATTGTCCCGATGTATCACCACACTACTCAAATTTTCCATCAAGCCACGTCTCATGAGTGCACAGTACCGCATTTATTCCGTATGAAGTTCGCCGGACTATTGGACCAAGCCCAAGGCAACAGCCCATCGTGTCAGTGCAAAGCTGACGTCCGGATCCAAAGCGGGTGCGAGAACACACACTTCATTTGCAGCTAGAATCACCAGTTTCAGTACATCCAATTTTTAGTAGGCCGAGAACCTATTTAGTTCACCAAAGCCACCACGACCTTTGCTTTTTCCCTCTGAACCACTTGGCGGCTTCGCGTGTTCTCTCGCCCTCCTCCTCCGGGTTGCCAAAATACCGCGTTGGAAAATGCCAATCCCTTATCTCCTTCTCCGTCACCAAGTTCCAGCCACTTGTGTCCAGCAGCAGCCCATCAATGGCCCACTTTCCCGGCCGATAACACGGGTTCTGTCTCTCGAACCGCGAAACATCTCGTGGGCGCATATCAAAGTCCGTCGATTTCGGGTCGAAGCGGACAGTTGCCGCCTTCTTCTTCTTTTTCTCCTCCCCTTCCGCGTTGCCGCCACCACCCTCCATCGACGACATCTTCAATGCCGGCCGCAATGCAGCTGTAGCACCACCACCACCACCACCACCATCTCTACCATGCTTCTCCGCCTTCCTCTTCCCCCAACTCATCGACCTCGACAAACTCTTCAAACTCTTCACACTCCGTAAACTCCCCAAACTCCCCCTCCTCATCCCCAACCCCACGCCCTCATCCACCCTTGCCCTCGCAGCAGCCCCTCCCTTAATATCCACATCCTCATCCACCACCACCTTCCACACCACCTTCTCCTTCTCCTCCCTCTCCTCCCTCTCCTCCTCCTCCGCCCTCTCCCTTTCCCTAACCAAAACCTCCAACCCGCACCTCAACTCCACGCACCTCCTTCTCCAACATCCCAGCAGCGAACTCGCTCTATTCTCGCCCTCGTCGTCTCTCAAGGCCCTCGCCATCATGCCCCCCAACGACGACGACGACGACAACGACGACGACAGGTCCTCGTTCTCCTGATACGCCTTGTCGACCTCGACGCGCGCGCGCTGCAGCTCCTGTCGCGAGCGGGCGTATTCCACCTCCACGCACCGGACGCAGCGCTCGGCGTTGAGGTCCGCGCGGATGGGCTTGCGTTGCTGCCAGTGCTGTTGTTGGTGTTGTGCGCGGCCGCAGGCGGAGGGCGAAGAAGAAGAAGAAGAAGAAGAAGAAGAAGAAGAAGAAGAAGAGCGGGTGAAGCCGGGCCAGGGCTCCATGGGGACTTTGTGCTGTGTGTCGTTGGTTTTGCTACTGCAGCAAGTGTCTATATCGTTTGCGTTGGGGGAGCGTCCTTCCTTCTCGTCTCCCTCTCTTCCGTTGTTATCATTATTTTTATCGTTTTTATCGTTATTGTTGTTATGATCGGGATAGCGGGTGGGCGGAGATCGGAAGGTCAGCGGGTTGGCAGCGATGATGGCAGCGGTGCGGCGGCGCACGGTGATGGGGTGGCCGCAGCGGGTCGCGGTTATCGTTGTCGAGCCTTTTGCTCTTTCCTTTCTCTCTTGCTCTTCGTCGCCGCCGCTGGTGGGCTCGGTAGTGGTGGACGGGGCGGCGATGGCGCAGTGCGGACAGAGCGGCGCGTCGTATCCTTTGTACGTGTAGGCCCGGTGAGCGCGGCTGTTATGCGCGACTGGGTAGTAATGCTTGCACGAGGTGGCCTGGAGCGTGACGGGTGGCGGCGGCGGGAGGTTCTTGGTCGGGACGGGGACGCCTTCCTCGTTTGTCGCATCCTCGACCTTATGGGCAGGCAGGGCGATGGCATTGTCGACCTCAGAGGATGAGGTGAGGGATGGCGAGGCGTCATATGATGGTTTCTTTGCTGTTGTCCTCCATGCTGGAGGCGGGGGTAGGCAAAGCATAGTCTGCATCTTGTAGCGTTGCAATCTCTTAGTCCCCATCTGGCGGGGGTTCTGGTACGACATGGTAGGCATGATTGAGAGTAGTGTTGATTGGAGCTATTGGTGTTGATGTTGTTGAGCTGCATGTGCTTTTTAGATGTACCCCAGACCGTGTGCTCCGCCCACGGAAAGTGCAATGCCCCATGGAGTAGCAGTACCAGGGTTGGCGGTGAGAAAAGTTTTCGTTTGTCAACCACTTCATTGCAAAGCCGAGGAAAGGCAGAAATGGCATGTGCGGAAACAACGGCCGTTGCAGAGGGTTGGTTGGCCGCGATGGGTAAATAAGGTGGGGACCATGGTTCAGTAGCATCAACGCGCTTCTCCAAGCAGCATGCTCGTAGTTCGGACCGTCCCTCCCGCCCGCCACGTCTGGTACACCATGCTGTTAGCGGCTAGTGCTGGATTTTGACCGAGGCTTTGGATCAGTTACCTTTTGGCCACCCCGGCGGCTACTGCCGCTCCATTGTCACATGCGCGGGTAACCTCGTTGGGCGCGATTCAACACATCTCCTTGTTGAACGTTATCATCGCCATGAAGCAGTACAGAGGGCATAAAACACGACTGGTGATCTCTTCGTCGGCTTTCAAACACTGTACCAGAGAAGCTGAAGGGCTTGACTAGTAATGACATGCCGAGAGAGCAAGAACCTGGACATGCCTGATGGAATGACAGACCCCGAGCTCATCGCTTTCTTGAGACGAGCCAAGCCCACATGATGACTGGACTATACCTAAAACGTACAGCATGGAGACAGTAGGCCACCAGATGGAGATGAGCAGTGGCGGCTGAAACTGGCTGTGCTGACATTTAGGGTATAGGCACCGGAGTTTCCAGATTCGGCCTCGGTGCTGACTGAAAGGGCCGCACTGCGACGCCTTTTACCTCGTCTTCTCTCCACTGATGGCCGCCCATGCCGAGTGTCCAAATTTCCTCGACTCGCCTGATCAGTTCCTCCAAGCTTGACCCATCTCGCAAAAGTTTAGGGGAAGAGACTGGGGCAGCGCCCAGGAGAGTTTCCAGCTTGGTGGCGGGCGCTGCAGGTGGAGGGGCCACGTGCCGTCTGACACCCTGGCGCAATTTTGTAACTATCTCAGTGTCGCGGCGGGTGAGCGGGCCGTAGGACGGTGCAGCGATCATCCTGAGCCAGTTTGACATGGTACGAGCCATTTCAACAGCGACGTAGTAGCAAGAGAAACTAAGTATGTGAGCAGCGTATGTCGCAACCTATCTTGTGTCAGCCATGTAAAATCGCACCGGGGCCCCAATGTGTACTGTACCTCGGTGAAGCCGGCTTTGGAAACGCTGGTAAACATGGACGTGGCGCATTCGATGGGCTTGAAAGTCCAAGCCGGTCGATCCCGAGACGAGTCTTGGTTCTTGTGTAGTTTCGTGGTGATGTAGAGATGCAGAAATATGTTCTCGATGCGCGGGTGCGCGGGGACATTGGCGTCCCACAAACACTCCGGACTTGCCCACCAAAGCTCGGTCCAGAGACCCAAAGCACCATCTATGGTGTCGCGCAGCCGGAACAATGCCATGTCTCGGGTCTGCCAGCCTTCGACGGTCAAATAATTGGTGGGGAGTTTGGCGGCGGCATTGTACGAGTCCATGATGACGCAGAGAAGGATGAACTGTCCAAACAGGGTGGCTAGCTCGTAATCGGTCGAGTATTCCGTGTCTTGAGAAAGGATGGCATGGGCAGCAATCGGGAAGATGATCTCCGACTTTCCCCGTAAGCCGAGGAGCTCGACCTGTACTTGCCATTCGGCCTCGGAAGTGGCTTCCCAAACACTCTCGGGGCTCGGAAGAGATAGCTCTATGGCATTGACCAAGGCCGGGGTATCATGGCCGTAGAAGGTCGACTGCATGACACAGTTGACGAAGAGAGCGAAACCAGTCCTGGAGGCTTCAGCTATTGTCAAGGGCTACGGCGGCCGCTTTCCGTACCTCTTGATTTCTTCTCGCAATCTCCACATGCCCCAGTCATCATAGCTCAAGGGTGGCAGTGTGGTTGACATGAATTCAAGCAAAGCCTACGCACGGTATGAGTGAGCGAGGCAAGGAGATGTAAGAAGCGTTCGAAGCAGCTAACCTGGGACAAAGCGTGCTTCTCTCGGCTTGCCCACCTCCGCATCTCTTCGTTGCCGTACCAAACGGCGAAATCTATGATCAGAATCCTGGCTTGGAGGTCTTGAAGACTGGGGTTGCCCTGCAGGAAGCTTAGTCGGAATTCGGCACGAGGGCTCAAGAGCTTACCATCCGAGACTGTTTTTGCAATGTTTCGGAGGCGAGCTTGTGCATCCTGGCGGCCTTTGAACGGTAGTTGTCAAGATAGAGGGAGCCAGCCATGGCCATGGTGTAATACAGGGCGGAATTCTGGGCCATGCACTCGTGCTCGCAGGTCAGGTAGTGGAGGAAAGGGATGCGCGGCAGGAATCTCTGGCGGAACTTGACGGCGCACACTTGCATATCTTGCGGCGACATGGGCAGAGCGGGCGGCGGCAGCAAGGCAGCATCCAGGGGAAAGGAGGCGTTGGGGGCATGGGCGAGGGCCAGGGAGGGAGGGATGAGGGGCGAGGTGGTGGAATCGAAGACGGGCATCAGGCAGTTCTGCCAGGACGGCTGCACGAAGTTGGGCACGCCGCCGGGCATGGGGAACTCGGGCCATTCCTGGATGGCGTAGTCCCACTCGGTGGCCAGGTTGAACGAGTCGGCGTGGGCGGCCAGGGCGGCAGGCTGGTGGTGGTCGTCGGGCGGCGACTGCGACGAGATGCTGGCGGCATGGTGGCGGGGCGGAGTGAGGGCAGCGGCGGCGGCGGCGGAGGAGGGCAGCGGGACCTGGGCGACGGGCTGCAGATCGAGATCGGCCGGCGGTGTGGTGGACGAGTCTGAGGTCTGCTGGATAGGGCCGCGGGGAATGGCGCCGCGGCGCGGCTTGCGCCTCCGCTTTAGGGGATTGGGCTGGTGGACGAGCTTGTGTCGCTGCAGGACGTCCTTGCGGTGGAAGCGCATGCCGCAGGCGGGGTGGTCGCACAGGAAGCGCGGGAAGCCATGGCTGAGCTCGTGGCGGCGCAGGTGGTCCTCGCGCTTGAACTGGTCGGCGCAGTGCCTGCACTTGTACCACGCGGGCTCGTCTTGGGCGGGCGAGAGGGATGACATAACGGACAGCGGTACTCCGTACTGCGGAGGAGACGAGGGGCGGGCGGCGTTTTCTCCACGGGGGACCCTCTATTTTGGGCGCCGCCCCAGGCAGGACGGTCACGGGCCTAGCCCGGCCCGGCCGCTGCCCGGACGCTGCCCGGACGCTGCCCGGACGCTGCCCGGACGCTGGCTCCAGCAGACGAGCGTTTGATTCCCGTCTCCCGTGCGCCCGACGTCGGTGGCTGCGACGCATGCGACTCCAGAGCCGTCTCTCGCGGGCGCCGCTGCAGCCCCTGCGCTCCCCGCGAGTCTAATAGATGACCCGCCGCGCGCTTCTGTTATTCCCGCCCGCCCGCCCCAAGACCCACGCCCGGTAATCCGTACTCGACTCGGCCAAAAGTGCCAGCGCCGCTTCACCATCGCAGTAATCCGTACTACGTACTACCTAGGTATGCGGCCAGCCAATCGCACGATGGCCGCGTGCGCGGCGCTGGTAAGGCTGGCGATCCCCAGTGGCGCGACGCAGGGACGGCACGCCAGCAGATAACCCCCGACGTGCCGATGACATTTTTTCTCCCCGGCGCCGCCCGTGCGGCTACTTTCGGCGACATCTCAAGCCTTGCTTTCCCTTAGGTACATCTACCTCCATGTCGGCACGAGTCAAGCCGTGCAGCGTCTCGCCTCGCTGCGCCGAGCCTTGATTCATCTCGGACTCCATCCGGCATCCCGGCCTGATTTTTTCGCTCTGGGCTCGTCGTCTGCCCGTTCGCCGCCGAGCACCCTCTCCCGGCAGTCTCTGCTTTTGCGTGCCTGCAGCTCTCCCCCATGTCCTTGCCTGGCGACATGGACCCTTATGCCATCTGTGCGGCCCCCCGCATTCTGTTCATCGACGCCTACGACTCATTCGCCAACAACATTGTTGCCCTGCTGCAGCAGGCACTCAACGCCCACGTCACTTCTATCCACATCGACCATCCACACTTCACCCCCGCCTCTCCCGCCGACTTCTACCGTTACTTGGACGCTTTCGACGCCGTCGTTGCCGGCCCTGGTCCCGGCACAGTAGCGAATCCCCAGGATACCGGCCTTATTTCAAGCTTATGGACTCTGCCCGACGATCATCTCCTGCCCGTCCTTGGAATCTGCCTGGGCTTCCAGAGTCTTGCCCACGCCTTTGGTGCTACCGTCGAGAGGCTCTCGGAACCACGCCATGGCATCATCACCCGCGTCCACCACCGCGGCCACTCCCTGTTTGAAAATCTGCGTGAAGTCCATGCCACCCAGTACCACTCGCTTCACGTCAAGCCGGCTCCTTCTTCCCCACCGTCAGACCTATGGTCGCCTTCGGCGCAATGCCCGAGCCTAAAACCGTTGGCCTGGGATCGTGACAGTGCCCAAAACGGACCCGTGTTGATGTCGGTAGAGCACATGTCCAAGCCGTTTTGGGGCGTTCAATATCATCCCGAGTCTATCTGCACCGACTCCGAAGGTGCCGGAATAGTCCAAAATTGGTGGGCCCAAGCGAGCAGGTGGCTACTGTCACGGCCATCCCGGAGACACCGGCGAGGAAGCAGCAAATTGGTGAAGTCCTCAGCGACCGGCCAGGGCTTTCAAAATGGCATCCCCTCCCCAAAGGACACTTGCTGGGATGGTCTTCACTATCGTTTGCTCCAAGCTTCTCTCGTGAACCGTCCTGGTGTTCGCGTCGAGTATCAGTGCATTCCATCTACCGAAGGCGATGTTCGCGCCATCTGCGAACTGCTTGAAATACCTGGTCGCGAAGCCGCCGTTCTCGAGTCTGGTTTGAACAAGAAGAAACAACCGATCCGCGGAGAGACCGGTAGCAAATCCATCATTGGATGTCTGGAGACAGAAAGAAACCTACGAGTCGAATATTTTGTGGAGGGCCAAACCTTGGAGCTTCGGGTCGGACAAGATCTCTTGCACCGTGAAGAAGGAGCAAACGTGTGGTCATACCTCAAGCATTTAATGGAATCGATCAACGTTACACAAGGGCCTGTAGACTCACCATTCTGGGGCGGTTTGATAGGGTTCGTGTCGTACGAAGCTGGACTGGAAACCATTAATGTCAAGCCAACACCGGACTCTGGCGCAAGAAAGTTCCGCAAGCCCGATCTCGCCTTCGTTTTCGTCACCCGAAGCATCGTCGTCGACCACATTGCCCAAAAGATATACATTCAGAGCATTCGAGACGAAGATTCGTCCTGGGTCCAGTCAACGTCTCGGAAACTCAGAACACTAGCTTCCTACTCACCGCAGAACCCCTCCTCCAACCTCTCGTCCATCCTCAAAGAATCAGTCGTCTCCATACCCCTCAGTGCCTCTTACGAAAACAAGGTCCGCGCCTGCCAGGAGTCCATCCGCGCCGGCGACTCTTATGAACTCTGCCTCACCTCGCAAACCACAATCCACCTCCCCCGCACCTCTTCCAACACCTTCTCTTGGAACCTCTACACCCGTCTCCGCCATCTCAACCCCGCCCCCTTCGGCGGCTACATCCGCCTCGGCCCTCCAGGCAGCGGCGTTGACATCCTCAGCAGCAGTCCGGAGCGGTTCCTCTCATGGACGCGGCGAGGTCGCTGCCAATACCGACCCATCAAGGGCACCGTCCAGAAAAAGGACGGCCAAGTGACGCTCGCGGAAGCGACGCGCATCCTCAACAGCTCCAAGGAGCGCGCCGAGAACCTGATGATCGTCGACCTAGTGCGGCACGACCTGCACGGCGTGGTGGGCGCTGGCAACGTGCGCGTCAGCAAGCTGATGGGCGTCGAGGAGTACGAGACGGTCTTCCAGCTGGTAAGCGTCATCGAGGGCGACCTGACGGGGCGGTGGGCGGCGCAGGAGCGGGAGCAGGAGGAGGAGCTGCTATTACAACAACAGCAGCAGCCGCCGGTAGTTCCCAGGACGGTCCTCCCCACCACCGCCGGCTGGAACCCCGAAGACTCGTCGGAAGACTCGGACCTCCCCGCCAGCACGGCGGCATCGTCGCAGACCTCGTCGCTCGCCCCCTCGCCCTGCCCGTCTCCCTGCCCCGGCGTCTCCGCCTCGCACCCCCTCCTCCACCACCACCACCACCACCACCACCACCACTACTCGTCCTCAACACAAACATCAATCTCCCACAAAAAAGCAGCGACAGCGGCAGTGGCGCCTCCCCAAAACCGCGCAATAGACGACGACGACGACGACGACGACGATGCCAACGACCAAGCCTCCTCGCCCACCACCACCACCGCCACCGCCACCACCACCGCCGCCAACCCCACAGCATCAACATCAGCACCAGCAACCGGCATCGCCATCCTCCACGCCTCCCTCCCGCCAGGATCGATGACGGGCGCGCCCAAGAAGCGCTCGTGCGAGCTCCTCGACGGCATCGAGGAGCGGCAGCCGCGCGGGGTGTACTCGGGGGTGCTGGGCTACCTGGACGTCGGCGGCGGGGGCGACTTCGCCGTCGTCATCAGGACGGCTTGGCGGTGGGACGGGGAGGAAGGAGGGGAGGAAGAAGAGAAAGAAGAAGAAGAAGAAGAGGATGGGCGAGGGGAAAAGGGGAGCGGAACGGAGATTTGGAGGGTGGGTGCGGGTGGGGCGGTGACGGCGCAGAGTACGCCTGAGGGAGAGTACGCGGAAATGGTGGTGAAGCTGGAGAGTGCGTTGAGGGTGTTTGATGCGGGGGTGGAGGTGGATGTTTGAGGGGGGTTTCGAATCCGGCGTTCTTGGTTTCCTTTTTTTTTCCCCCTTACTTTTGGGACCCATGTAACAACGGCGGCCGGCGGCAACTTGGAGCGTTCAACAGCAAAAAGCATGGGATGGGGTACGTGTTTGGGATTGTCCGTGTGGAGCTCAACGCTCCCAAGCAGAATTTGCTCGAACGGTAATGTACACGGTTCACAGTTTCTTTTCCTTGGATTCTTCAGACGAAGCAAACGCAAACGGACACTTTTCTGATCAGACAGGGTCGTTAAATATAGTCTCGCAGGTATATACATTATCACTAAACAGTAATTTGCAGGACTTGCCCACATTAATCCGCATCATCAACACGCCTCCAATCTCTTGGTCCCGTTTAAAAGCCAGCGCTCTTCAAGAAGTCATGAGCAGCAGTAAAGGTCTCGTTAGAGGTGTAGTGGAAGTTCAGGGCGTGGCCAGTGTTGGCGATCTCCTGGAAGCGATAGTTGGCCTTGGGGAACAGCTTGGCCGTCTTGGCGCCGTAGCCGGAGCAGTTGCCCTCGCCGAGCAGCGGCAGGGCCAGGGCGCAGAAGAACTGGTCCTTGTGGCCGGTCAGGACGAGGAGGGGCTTGGTGAAGCTCTCGGCGACGTCGTTGACGAAGAGGGTGCTGACGGCCTCGCCGAGGGTGAGGGTCTGGCGGTTCTTGAACTCGGACTTGACGATGGCGGCGTCCCACTCGGACGGGGTGTTGGTGAAGACGAGGCCGCGCACGCCCGACTCGAAGGACATGAGCTGGTAGCCGGGCTGGCTGGCGAGGAAGGCGAAGCGGGCGGGGTCGACGAGGGCGGCGGGGGCGCCGCCCGAGGTGACGAGGAAGCCCGGGATGGCCTGCTTGATCTCGCTGGTGTAGCCGGTCAGCAGCATGGCGTCGAAGTCGTCGGGGTAGCGGGCGGCCATGGTGTTGCCGATGAGCGAGCCGAACGAGTGGCCGACGTAGGCGACGCGCGAGAAGGCGCGGCCGACGCCGGCGATGGTGCCCGCGCGCAGCGCCTGCGCGACCTGGTGCACGATCTCGACATGGACCGGCTTCTGCACGACGGTGATGGGGTCCGGGCGGTCCGACTTGCCGTCGCCCAGGCGGTCGATGGCCAGCGTCGGGTAGCCCTGCTTGGACGCGTGCGCGATCCACGAGTAGCGCTCGACCGCGCCGACGCCGCCGGTCCAGTAGTGGCGGTCGTTGCCGATGCCGTGGACGAGCAGCTGCACGTTGTTGGACCGGCCGGCTACCTGCACCTCGGGCTCGCAGAAGAGGCCGGCGATGTTGTAGGTGCCGTTGACCACGGCCAGCTCCAGCTCGTTGCCCACGCCGTTGATCAGCGACTCGACGCCGCTCACCGTGAGGCTGGTGGCGCTGAGCCCGTCGATGAGGTACTGCGGCACGACGTGGTTCTCGGCGCTGACGGTGACGGAAAGCTTGACTTCGGAGCAGGTCGGGCCCCGCTTGGCCATGGTGGCGGGCGCGGCGGCGCTCAGGCCGGCGGCGGCGAGGAGGATGGCAGTGGTAGCGAGCGAAGGCATCTTGGATCGACGGATGGATTGGAGGATGGCGGCCAGTTGGCAGTCCGCAGGCCATGGTTGCTTTTAAGGGCGCGTCGGCGTGAGGTGGTAGCCCAGAGGTGAGCAGACCACAGGCCCAGTAAATGAAGATACGCCGATGGGCGGGAGCTAGGGCCGGCCCATGCCCCGGAAGGAGCAGAGGTAGTGGCAGATGCTCGAGTCGTCATGTCCCAAAAGGAGCATTGCTCGACACGACGAATGTCCAAAACGGCTCGACTCCCGCTTCTCATCAGCCTTGTGTGCCTCGGCACATTGGCGCGATCTGCACCACCTCGTATATCTACGCCGCCGGAGCATTCTGGACGTCTGTCCGCCAACAAGGCCGTGTGTTTCGACGGCACTCGCATGCCTGCCGGGCAAGGAGAACAGCAGGAACCGGGTTGAGACGACAAGCAGTGAGCTCTAGGCAGCGTTGAGGTCTCGAAAAGGAGAGGCGAGGCCACGCTAGGCGTTTCGTGACGTTTAGATCTACAAGTGACATGCCGGGGTACGACTGATGATCCGCATTCGCGGTGGATCGAAAGACGGCTGAGGCGATTCCCGAGCCCAACCGAGACCAATCCTTGCCGGTGCTGGCCAATCAGCGCGCCTCTCTCGACCGAGGCCCGTCGTAAACAATAAAGGCGCCTTGCCTTAGCCCCGGAACTCACAGCCATTTCGCCTAGCAGCGCTCGTGAGAAGCTGTAGTGTGCAGTCGAGCTGAACACTTTCGTTTGACCACTTTTCGCTACCCCTGGCTGTCGCCATGGTCGTACGACCAACTCCCAACTCTCCTTGCAGACTTTTCATGGCAGGAACCGGACTTCAGCGCTGTCGAGACCACTGCGGATGCCACCTTCCGTATGAGGAAAGCCTTCGTCAAGGGGTTTCGCCGATGCAGAGAACACCATGCACTCTGCTAGTCATCTTACCCATATCAAGGTATGAGGTACGTCTTTGACGTCGGCCACAAAAGTGAAAATCGAGAAGGCCCATGGACCGCGTGAGCCAGACACGAGCTCAAGGAAAGACAAGCAAGATGATGCCGTGGTCGCAACTTCCAAACGCAGAAAATGTTTCTTCGGCTTCGCCAGGCGCCTGTCCGCCATTCTTCTCCCTCATCCATCTTTAACCGCTGAAATCCTCATCCCCTCTGTCGTCCTTACCAGAGGGTCACCTATCCTCCTCGTCATGTTCGACCCGGAACCTTCTCTTTCCGTTCACATCGACTCCTCCTCCCCACCAGATACCCCATCCTCATCATCGACCGTCTCTACGCCGTCACTGCACAGCACCCAGCCAAGCTCGTTACTTCATGCAAGTGACCTCGGCAGCAGCTACGACAGCAACGACGGCGGCGGCAGTAACATCGGCGAAATCCATCATCCCCTCAAAGGCGATGGCCTTGAGCCGTCGCGCCTCAGCCGCCGGTATCGCTCCCTCTGCGAACTCCTTCCGCGCATCCAAAGTAGCAAACAACGCAAGTCTGCATACCTTTCTGACGAATCCCTCGCCACCGCGCTCGCGGCCTATCGTCCGCACCATATACACACCTCATCCGACTCTCTTCACGTCAATCTAGACGGCAGCAGTAGCAAGCGCTTCTACTGCTGCCGCAGCCGCAGCCGCCGCCGCCGCCACCGCCGCAGTAGTAGTCAGAAGAAGCACCGTCGTTTCCTCCGCGCCCTGAAGAAGACCCAGCTCCCGGCCACCAGCAGCCCCTCAGCCACCCTCTCCATCGACGTCGACGACAAAGGGGCAGGAGGACCAGACCTCGCAACACCGACGAGCTCCTGCACCTCTGCTTCTTCCTGCTCCTCTACCGATCAAGAGGGGGGATCCACCACCCCGCAGCGACGACGGAACCCCACGCGCAGGGAACGCATCGAGGCGCGTCTGCACGGCATCGGCGACAACCCTCTCCTGTACAAAGGCATCGTGGTGCCGGTGCTGGCGTTGTTGGCCGTGCCGGCGGCGGTGCTGACCTGCCCCATCTGCGCCTACGTCGTCGCCAGGAACAGTTGGCAGGCTGGGTAAAATCTCCCTCTCCTCTTTTTCTTACCGTCGGGCTTGAGAACAACACATTGTTGGCTATCCGAGGTGATGGCTGACGGTAAAAATCAGACGAGAAACGCACATATACCACTCGGCATGCCGTGCACGAGGCCACAAACCACATCCGGCCTGGGTGCCGCCATCATGTCGGGGTTGCGTCTTCACTTCGTAGTAATACATGGTTTATAACAGAGCGTCGCTGGCCGTGGTGCGGTTGTGCAACGCCGGGGAGCGGAAGTGAAAGGGACAAGAACAGCCAAAACCCGGTGGTATATATAGAGACAAATACAGCTGACCACTTGCACGCTTTGCAAAGACCGGTTCCTCTTTTGCCCCCGCTTCCGCTTCATGATGCTTGTGCTGTGCTATAAAAGGACTCCTCCATTGTTACAACGACAAAGACGATGGCTACCAACAACCACCATTCCTTTGGCGTGTGTGCTGCTGTAAGGCGCTCTCGCTATGCTACGTAAATTCCTTTCAAAAAGAAGTTCCACGCAATGACCATAATTCTGAACAAGAGATTCTTCCCTTCATCTGAAGGAAACCCAAAACCAGAAGTATGGAAGCTTTAAAAAACAAAAAAAGAGGGGGAAGAAGAACAGACAAGACCGCAAAAGGACGCACATGAATGAATTACAGTAGTAGTGATTGGGGAGCCCGAGAACATCTCCCAACAAATGAAAATTATCACCTTTCTGGTCCAGTTGATAAAGGAAAAAGAGTTGTTGACGAGTACTCCGCTCTTCACAGGTGAAGACGCGGGAGAGAGAGATTAAGGTGCAAGCGCCCATTCCATTCGGAAGAGCAAAAGGAAGCAACAATGCCGCAAAGAAATGGCATGAATTGAGAGGTCATTTCCCAAGCATGGACAAAACGAAGAAGGTTAACTTCGACTCGTTTACTTGCCCGAGAGGAACTCGACAGCCTAGTTCAAACGGTGGTATCAGTTTGACTATCCGTCTTCTCACACTCCCTCTTCACGGCATACCTTGTTAATGTCATAATCGAACTTCTCTAGCGCGGCTAAAGCATCGGCCCTCTGGTAGCCCATACCAGTCAGGTTCTTCAGAATCGGGTCGTCATGTTCGGTACCGGCGCTCAGTGCCCTGGCGAGATGTGGCTTCTCCCCATCATCCCCGGTTGCCGCCTGCTCGGGAGCGCCCAGCATCTGGCTGTTATCTGCAGTCTGCGGCGCAGTGTTGCCACCGGTCGAGGGTGCTGGCTGGCTATCAGACAAACCGGAGAAGATGGCATCCCAATCGTGACTGGAGGCGCCACCGCTTGCCGTTGCCGGCTTTGAAGAGGCGAAGCTCTGGGTGAGATGTTCAAAGTCCGAGAACGAGTCCTCACCATGGTTCTTGCTTGCATTGTTAGTCGGGGTAGCCTGGCTGGCCATTGTGTTGCTCTTGCTGGCAGCCGGGCTATCGAAGACCGGGTTGAACTCATCCAGACCCTCATGGTGGCTCGAGCCAAACAGGTCATCGTCGTCGTGGGCATTGGTGTCATCCTTGGCCTCGGCAAGGTCGTCGAATCCGGCATCGAAATCATCGCCGAAGGACTGCTTGCCGGGAGCCTGGTTCGCGGGCGAGGCGGCCTTGTCCGTGGAGGGGTAAGATTGCGCGGAGTGGTAAGCATCTGAAGGCACTGTTGACGATGGTGTGTTAGCATTCGAGGTCGATCCAGGAGAAAAGGGGCCGGTGGCTGGAGCCTTTCCAGCAGCGCTGGAACCTCCAAAGAGGGTTTGACCAGGGGTGAGCACGGGCGAACTGAAGGTCTTCTCTGGGGATTGCGATCCAGACTGGGCCGTGGGATCCTGACGAGAAGGCAGCAGTCCGCCAAACTCGGGCGGGAAGGAGTCAGATCCTCTGGCGCCATTACGGCTGCCTGCGGTCTGCTCATAGGTAGGGGGTGGTTTCTGGGCGTTGGGAGTGGGAAGGTTGCTGGTGTCGCGGGAGAAAGGATTACCTGAGTCTCCCGTACCTTCGGGGCCGCTTGTGGCTGGCGCTGGAGCTGTTTCATCCCGCTTAGCCTGAGGGGAAGAAGGGGCAAAGTTGTCATCGAAACCATGTTCGCTGTTACTCTCGCTATCATCGTCACCACCCAGATTCTCAATCGGAGGGAACTCTTGGTTGAATTTGGATGCCGATCCAACGGATCCGTTCAGAGATGACCCGGTGTTTTGTCTCTCTTGGAACTGCTTGCCTGAACCGAAGCCAGCAAAGGCCGCATCAAAGTCGGCCTTGGCCGTAGATCCCTGGCGCTGGGGTTGAGAGCCGAAGGGGTCAGACCTCGGGAAGCTGAAGCTGCCCTTGCTGCGGTCGCTCATGGCGCTTTGGCCGGTAGCTTCAGGCTGCAGAGGTGTGCTCACTTCAGGAAAGGAACCGGGCATATCGGCAGAAGTTGACGGAGGACCAAAGGATTGGAAAGTATCCTTGCGCTCCGCACCGCTTGCAGACCGCGCAGCATCACTGACATGGCTGGCGGCGGGCGAGGAAGTGAAGTTGCGGTTGAAGGGCGAAGGGCCAAATTCAGGTGCAGAGGTATCTTTGGCGGGCTCAGTAGATGCAGATGGGGAGCCAGGGGCGTTCGTTGGAGTCTCGTTTCCACCAGTGCCGAACCTGCTAGCCGGCGGAGCAGCCTTGATCGAGGAGCTGAAGGAGCCCTGGCGCGCCGCCCCTTCACGAATGGGCAGGATGCTGGAGGAGAATTGGCGAGACTCCGGTGGTGCGGGAGGTTCACCAACACGCGGCGACTCGTGGTACTGCGAGAGGGGGGGCGACGTGGATGGCGTAGGAACGCCTGGCTCAGAGGACTGGACGGACTGTCCAGACGGTGCAGAAAAGGCAGGGACGGTCGTTGGCGCGCTGGTCTGACCAGAGGAGATTGACGGGCCGAAGAAGTTGTCAAAGCTGGCCTGGCTAGCCTCTCGGGAGAAGCCAGAAGGAGACATGGTGTTCTCAGTGGGCTGAGGCGACCTTCTGAAGAAGGGGTTAGTGCTATGGCTGGCATTCGAGGGTGCCGGGCTGCCGGCGGTAGGGGGCCCGGGAGTTGCTTCCGGGCTGCGGTTGTAGCTTTCCTGAGCAGCCTTCGTCAGCTCACTCATTTCGTTCCTGAGCTTATCGCGCTCGCCCTCGTTTGTAGCAAGCTGCTTCTTGTTGATAGCAACCATGCCCTTTTGCTGACGCGCCTCTGAACGCATCTTGTCAAGCTGCGGCCGGAGCTGCCCGATTTCGACGTTGGTCTGACGGATGCGCTCCTTCAAGTTGGCATTCTCGCGCTGATCAGCATCGAGAGCACTGGCAACTTGTTGGTGCTGGCTTGAGAGATCCTGGTAGGACCCTTCGATCATGGCCATCTCTTGCTGAAGCTTCCTTGTCTCTTGGCGAGAAGCGTTCAATCTCTCCTCAAGCTGCTTTACAATCTGGACTTCGGCCTCGTACTGAGACCTGAATTGAGAGAGACGCGTCTCCAAATCACGCTTTTGGGCGCTCGTGGTGTTGAGCTCCGCTTCGGTCGAGGCCTTTCTGTTGTGCGTCTCTTGCATCTGCGTTCGCAGAGTATTGATTTGGTTCGACATGTTTCCAAGCTCAGCACTCTCATCTGTAAGCTTCTTACTCTGCTCCTGATCGTTGTCGCCAAGGAGGTCATCCATCGCGGAGGGTTGTGGAGGCGCTGGACTGCGAGGCTGCGAGCCAGAGCCACCAGTTCCCTGAGCGGTCAAGGTCTGACCAAAGGAAGATGACGGCATGAACGGCTTGAAGATGCTCGCCGGGTTCTGCGGAGTTGGCTGGAAAGTACCGCGCGAGGGAGATACAGGAGAAGCTGCCCCGTTGCCAAACGGATCCTTGTTTACGCCGAAGTTTGCAGCAGAGCCACCAGTAGACTGCGGCTGCACGGGTGGAGAAGCAGTAAATGCGTCGAGGCCGAACAGATCCTCTGAAGCAGATTTGGGAGGAGGGACGGCAGGAGCAGCAGGAGCAGGGAATGGAGCGGCGGTGCCGAAAGTGGCAGGAGGTGGAGCTTGGGTCGGAGGCCTGGCATTGCTGCGCAAAGAAGGGGGCACCAGAGCAGGCGGCAGAGAGGGTGGCAGAAATTGGACACCAGGCTTGGGCCGCTGTTGGCGGATTAGGTACATGGCAACTGCGAATTCATCCCGGTTGAGCTGGCCTTCAGAGTTTATGTCGGCCAGGTCCCAGATTGCTGCCAAAACCTCCTCCGGCAGCCCAGAATCGCTAAAGAAGACAACGGCCTGCTCGCCAGTAATGAAGCCACGGCCCTGAGTATCAACCTTGCTGAACAGGTTATCATAAGATGACTTCTCCTGGGGCGTGATTAGCCAGTCGTTCCCAGTAGGCTGGGCAGACTGCGGGGGAGTTGCAAATTGCGGCCTTCCGCTCATAGGGCTCTGTGTACGACCGGTGTTCTGGCCGCTGAACTGACGGGGGATGGGACCTTGGGGAGCACCAGGAGCGCGAATTGTAGGACCGCGCCTAGATGCTGCCTCATAAAGGCCTGCAGGGAGGGAGGAAGGCAGACCCTTCATGGCACCGCTGCTCAGGGACTGTATTAAGTGCATGGCGATGATGAACTCTGTGACTCCCAGAGCACCCCGCTGTTCCGTATCCGCGAGCGCCCAGACACGGCCAAGGGTCTCATTTGGTAGTCTCGCCTTCTCGAAGATGTTCTTGGCCGTTTCCCCTGTTGCCAGTCAGCATCTCTTCTTGAGTACCTCGCACCATGATATACCTGGGAGAACTCCATTCACTGCCCCTGACTTTTCAAAGAGTGCAGCATACTGTGCGGCGCGCTCGGGTGCCAACGGCGGCACGCGGATGGGACCGCTCATCTGGGGCTGGATGGGACCGGGGGCAGCGGGTCCTGAAGGCGGCGAGCTGTCGAACTTGGGTAACGGGCCGGCTGGTTGAAGTTCGCGTCAGTCCTTGCCTGCAGCTGTGCGGAACGCACTCACGTTGAAAAGCCAGCTCAGGAGTAGGCGCTTTGCCCGCCTGGAAGTGGCCGATGAGACGGAGCACTTGGCAGAAGCCAGACGAGGTCAGAAGGCCCCGGTTTTCTGTGTCGGCAATTTGCCATATCTGTGTGGCGCGACATAGCCTCAGTCAGCGGTCATCTGCTCTCGATTGCGACGTGCTTATATGGTGTGGCGCATTGCGGCAGGCGACAGCAGGGACGCACCTCTCCCAGGATTTGCGGCGGCAGCTTCGTCCTCTCGAAGAACTTGACAGCAACCTCGCCGGTAACAACACCCATCTGCTCGGTGTCGGCCTGGCGGAAGAGCTCGCCGAACACGCGCTTCTCCTCGGGCGTGAGGTTGAGAGGGGTATCTGCATGCGCGGCGCCGACGGTCAGCGGGAGGCTCCAGGCAACGATTGGGACGGGAGCGGCTAGCGGCGAGCGGGAGGCGGGCGGGAGACTCACTCAGCTCCATGCTTTGCGATGGATCCGTCATGATGTTCCGCTGGGCTGCCAGACGCGCAGCATGCGATGGGTGGCTGGGGCAGGTCGGGCGGAGCGGCGGGCGTCAGGGTCAGGGTGACGGCTCGGCCGGCGCGGTTGCAGAGGGCGGGCGATGGGGTCTGAGGCGCGGCGCGAGCTGGGGCAGAGCAGCGGGCCGCGGCGACAGCGAGGAGGGTGGGATGGAACAACAGCGGCGATGCTGTGGTGAGTAGTGAGCAAGGTCCCAAGCTCGGGAGAGTGCTTGAGGTGTCCCGGCTGCTGGCGCTCGCCATGCACCGCACGGGGCACCGCGAATCGCGGAGCGTGACTTTCCTGGCAACAAATCGTTGGCTGGACGCTGCAGCTGAGCGGAGCTGCATCAACCCAGCCCTCCAATGGCCCGCTCCGCCCGCCCAGCCAATGCAGCCCGCGCCCATGCGTCACGGTCTAGCCGGCCTGGTGGCGGCCGCAAGCTCGTGGAGAGAGCGCGAGCCTTGCCATTGCTCGACCCCGACGCCGTTGCACGCACCACGGCACTGCTGTGTCACCATGGCCGCAGCCCGACGTCAGCGCCTCGAGCAGCCGCATTGTTGGCCGGGCGCCAGCCTGTCTGCCAGCCTGGTGCACGCCGAATTTCCTGCTCGACGCTCTTGGAGGCCACTGCCGGTGTTCCGCGGCCTGCTGCGGCCAGCTTCAGGCGGCCCACATGCTGGATGTTTTGGCGCGCCCTTCCACCAACTGCGTGCTTTGCTGCCAGGAAACCACGACAAGACGTCGCCCGCCAGTCCGGTTCTGTACATGCAGCGCATCACAGATAAGCCAATGGGCGTGTGCCCCGCTGGTCTTCCGTACACGCCACCGGTGCATGTGCTTGACGAGCCGTGCGGACGGATGTGGCCGCGGCGAATTTCCCCACAAGTAGTTGTCCCAGTCCCGGCCGTTGCCGAGTGTGCCAGCGGTGGCTGCTCTGAGGAGTGGTATCAATGTGGTAGGATGAGTATAGTGTACAAGTCTGATCTACAACGCAGCCGCTCCAGGCTTGCGAAGTCCCGCCCCAAACGCCCGAGACCAATGTCCATATGCAATCAATGTCAGTATTGTACGTGCCGGTGGTGGGGCGGCCTTTTGTATGAGTCCTCGTTCTTGCAAAACCCCAATGCCAGACCCGCAGGCTGCTTCGCTCCCCATGCCTTGCCCAGCAACCAATCCGTGACGCTTATGACGCGCGTCATCTTGTCCCAGTTACCGCCCTCTTCGGCGTGCTCTATCGTGTGCGTGAGAATGCGGCCCTCCTCATCAAACTCGAACTTGAACAGCCCGACGAACTCTTCATCATCCTTTGCATCACCGCCCAGAAATTCTGTAATCTTGTCAACCTGCTCACTACCAGAGATTCCACGGTAGAAGGCGCCGACGCCTTTACCTTTTGTCTTGCCACATGTCTTCCACTTGACAATCAGCTTTTCGTGCGCCTTGCCAGACGAGCTATCGCAGCCGTTGCGCATCATGCGTTCTGACAATATCTCAAGCCTGACATTCCCGACCACTGGAACTCGTCCCCAAGCCACCGGCGCCGTCCATAGTGCTGCCGTGTATGCAATTCGGCCGCTGACGGTGGGCAAATGAGGGTGCGTGGAGGGAAACAGATGGAGTGTGATGTGCGGCGATAGTATCTCCTGCGGTAGCGGAGATGCTAGGAGGGTTGGTAGGCGCTCGTGAAGGGTTCGTATTGCTGGGTACCTACGTCAGTGATGGGCGTGTTCTCATCTGCTGTTTGACCTTGAAGCACTCACTCTTCCCAAGCTTCAGAGTCCGTTCATCTGGAGGCTTGCCGCCCTCACCCTTGTGCTCCGGTGGCAGCGGGCTAGGCGTTGATGCGCTGAACCATTCTTCTGTCTCTGTACCTTCGAGCCTTTGTACTTTTGCGAAACCGCGGATGCTGTGACGGAAGGTAGTCGGGATGGCGGCGGGTGGCGCTCGAGAAGGAAGCCTGTGTACGCGCGCAAGCCTTGAAGGCGGAATGCACCGCATTAGGCCGGCGGTCATCTGTAGGTTTGCGAATTCATAGATGGTTTGTGTGAGTGGAGTGACGGCAGTGCGGGTGGAGGGAGGGAAGGAGACGGAATCCGAGCAGGTTTTATCGATAAGGATGCGGACAATGATGCAACGCTCATTCGCCAAAAGTCCAACCCTCACCGAAATCGCTTCCGACATGGCCTGTCATGATCCGGATGCAGCCGCTCCTGGTCGAATCAGCGTAGTGAGACCCAGAGCGATTTGCCAAAATGCAGGTATTCACTCGTCCTAATTCCATGAGAAGTCGAAACACCGGTCTGAGCGCTTTTGTACTGTACGACTTTGAAGCATGTTGTCCGTTCAGATGTTCAATGTTTCTTGCATCAGCCGCAGCTGAAGCGCCTGGTACCCGCTGTGGAGACAAAGAAAGATTAACTCTTTTTGCAAATGACTATGTCTGTCTCCCTCATGAAGAGTCGCGACGAAAACACCAGCGGCTTGACAATTCACATGACCAGTACAAATATCGATCGTAATTCGTATGTGTGTACATGTACCATAAACCGTTCAGTTCGTTCCATTGGGTATCGAAATAGAAATAAACGTCCAGAAGAGCGGTCAACGCCAAACCCAGACAAGCCACCAGATTAGTGGTTCTCGTTGCGCCTCTCGTCCAAGCAGATACACATGGCTGCAATAACAGTCATATCGACGTTAGGCGCAACGGCCACGACGTACGTCTGCTGGCCGCCGAAGATCTCACGCGCGTTGAAGAACTTGCGGTCGATGGTAGCAACAAGTTGGCCGGTGGTGTCATCTGTGATGTCGGCAGTGGTGTTGAAGAAATTGCCCTTCATCATGAGCTTCTCCGGCTTGCCGCTGGTGGAAACGAAGCTGCAAATAGCTTTCGAGGAGCCGACTGCCAAGGTCAGTATCCGGGACACATCCAGGGCACAAGATACTCACAGCTCCACTTGCTTTGCACCTCGAGGATTTTCCTGCCAGACGGGTCCTGGGCGTAGTAGGAGGTAGGAAAGGAGAAGTGCTCCTTGCGAATGGTGAAGATCACGTTGCCCTGCATGTCCATGACATGCTTGCGTCCGCTGAGCGAGAAGTACTCGCCCTTGACTTGGACGATTGCACGGCCGTCGACAGTCTTGACGCTGAAGGAGTCGCCAGAGAGGGACATGACCTTCTCCTTGAGAACGAGCGGCTCGGTCTGGCGCGCAATGAAGCTAGGAAAGAGCCCGATCGGGGTGGGGCAGGGCGGAAGCTGAAGGGGAGGCGCCATGTTGCCGGAAGTGGTGTTTTGCTGCGGAGAAGGGAATGGGGCTAGGATGGAGGTGTATAGTGATTTGCGGCTGGATGAGGCTGCGGGTGGGAACTGCTGACGTCTTAAATTATGGCACGTCCATTGCCGCCATGGTGGTGCAGGTGCAGCTATGGATGCGAAGAGGACCGCACGTGCAACCAACATGCGAGGGATCGCATGGCTGTGCAGGCGCAGCAAGCGGCCGTACGAAATTGGAAGCCGGGCCAAGCCTCTTGTCGATCTCACCAAGGCTGAGTTTAGGCAGCAACTCCTATGACGTCTCCATGCAACAAAGACTCTCGTGGGTTTTCTGGTGTGGGATTTAGAAGGAGAGATTCCCTTCCACGAGGGCAACCATTTTCAAGACGGCAGGCGCGCCCCTGCCCTTTGACGTGCTGCGGACGACTCCTTTTCCCCTACATGGCCAGTTGAAGCAACGATGCGGATGGAAATGGAAATGCGGGCTCGGAAAGCACACGGCCATCGATTGCGATTCTCTGATGGACAGGCTCACGGGCTTGAAGGGCAAAGAACTGGGTGGCGGGGCTGTACACTACCTGCCTATACATATGCGCAGCGCTAGTAGCCCACCGCCGGCCGAGTTTTTCCGCACCTGGGCGGGCGCGGGCACCCCTAGTCGGCCACTAATTGTGTCAGCACCTCTCCAACAACAATCCTTCCCAATCCCGAGCCAGCGCACATGCTGACCCCACACCGACGAAACTCAGCCCCGCAGCCGCTACCCTCCCGCCTGTACCTGTCACTTCCAATTCTGCCTGCGCTGCCGCCCCGTTCGTGCTCCGTTAGGGCGCTGAGTCTTTTGCCTAGCCGCCGAATCATGCTTCAGCGGCGCTGTACACGCTGCATTATTCATGGACCAACAATTTACTAATGCTTGCCCAGCCCTGCGTAGGTCTGCAGAACCCAAATGCAACTAATGTCAATCAATAGACGCCATTGGGATGAGGAACTGAGCTCACAGCACGGGTCCCAGCACCCGAGGCCTCAACTCCTCATTAACGGGGTGAAGCTCCTGCCGCCCAGTGTCTCCGGGGAAGTCAGAGCTATCTTTGTGTACCAAAGGCTTTCGTCCCCAACACGTCCCCTGTGGTATCCAATATAAGTACTTAGGTCAGGAGTCGAGACCATCCTTGACCGTGCACGAGTCCGGCAGAGCCGTCGCCGCCTCCCGCGCTGCTTAACCCCCGATCCTGGCGATGATCAAGCCGTAAATGATTCGGCTAGGTAGGAGGAAAGTGGACAAGACGAGACTGACGGGCCGCCGGCATCGTCTCCGCTGTCCTAGGTAGTTGCTTACCGTGGTCCTGTCCGTAGGTCTGATATAGACTGCGGCATGGCAGCAGCATCTCGGGCTCCGTGATTCGCGTGTCGGAATCCTGGGGCTGATCCATGGATGCACTAATGCCGTGTGCGTCCGCTGACGGACAGGACTCCCACCAAGGTTTGAAGCTTGTGCCTGGCGCTTCGCACTAGCAACCAACCGACGCCACTCGACCGTACATATTGTCACCTCCGGGCTTCCCCGCACTCATGACGGCGACAGAGACTGCGCCATATCCCGCGTGGGTGTTTATTGTCCAGTGTCGACAGGTCTGCACCGCTTCCACCTTATACACAAACGTTCTTGCGAGCACCTATCGTCGCGCTTCACCACTACCCCTGCCGACATACATCACTGGCCCCTCGTCGTTGTTGATGACTTCCAGGCTTCTCCTGAGCTTTGGACATGAACTATGATCCTGCTATCAGCGTGCCAACACTGGTCGGTAGTCTGCTTTCTTGCCTTGCCTCAGCCTGTGTCCTTCTGTCCTATGTATTATTAGCCCCCCAGCAGCCCTCCTTCCGCCATGCTCTTGTCTTCAATCTTGCACTGACCGGTATGCTCTTCCCGCATACCCACTTTTGGGAAATCTGAATACTAACAGCCGCCATTTTAGAGTTCATTAACTCGCTCAACAACTCCGTATCCGGGGTTTACGTTGTTGAGCGTCGAAATGGGCTCATTCGCGGTACGGCGTGTCAGCTCAACGGCTTTGTCAACCAGCTATCCGTACAGGTAAATGGAATCCTCACCCGCTGAGGTAGTCTTATGCTGACGTCCGATTTCGAAGGCTGCAGACTTTGCCATCCTCGCCATAACCCTCCTTACATTCCTTACCGTCATTAAAAAGACTTATATCCCATCGGAGTCTTGGTCAAGAACGTTGGCCATTTGCGCGTCGGTATGGTGTGTCCCCATGACCACAAGTAAGTAACGCGACCCCAACGCAGGCACCTGGGGGCTTACTGTTGTCAAGGCAGCATAGCGGCAGGTCTCAGCGCACTACAACCCTTTGGTGGCAACTGGTGCTGGATCTCAGTGCATCGCACAGACCTACGCTATGCTTTGGGCCATGGTTGGCGGTTCTGCATCATCGTCGCAACAATATGCATGTACATTTACATGTATACCTACATACAGCGCCACTTCTCCAGCAGCAAGGCCGCCTTCGGTGCTCACACCCCCACACTTCCAGCTGGTCGTGGTCCAGCAAAAATGTCTATCGACTTATTGAAGCCACGGTCTGCTGTTAGTCAGGTGGCTACAGACACTAAACTACCCCAAGTCACTGTTGCACTTGATCGAGGAGTGAGCAGACGGCCGTCTGAGCGTGTTGAAACAGCCCGGCAGAGCTTCATTTCAACCACAACCAACCAACAACCGGAATCACTCAGAGCCATGCTCCCCGAGTCCATCGCTACCACGCCCACTTCAACCACGACAAATGTCAAGGTTGACGCCGAGGCATCAGTCTGCCGCAATTCCGAGTTCACCCTCAACATTCCTAGCCAAGGCCTCGAAATGTACCTCCCCGACTATTCACGCCCGCCATCGTACACAATAATGTCGCGTAGGCTTCGTGAGAAGCCATCACAAACATTGACCATCGACACGACCATTGCACCGGCAAGCCCACCACCACGTGAGCTTTTTGATTCGCCCACATCGATACGCACGCACTTGCAACAACAAGCTTTCCATCGCCACGCACAGGTGGAGCGGGAAGTGCGACGCACGCTTCTGCTAAATGCCTACCCGATTGCGTACGTTATACTATGGCTGCCCGGGATTGCAAACAGGCTCGTCGAGGCGGTCAGTGGCACTTCGCCGCGCTGGCTGCTCATCCTGCAGAGCACGACGCAATATGTGGGTTTGGCAAATGCTCTGACATATGGCTTCAATGAGCACATGCGGAGCATGCTCGGGAGAGATGGAAATGAGGGGTACGGCTGGTCGTGGAGAAGAGGGTTGGTGTGAGAAATGCGGCGCAAAGCAGTCTCTGGGCTCTCTCCAAACTAACGGCCTGATCCCCATCGAAGAAGCTCACCCTATGCGCTTATTGACCCGTATGTGGGGCGCTGTTCCCGTTCGGGGAATTCTCATCATCACTTGACGTCATCACCGCAACAGAAGAGCGCCAGGGACCGCAATTCCCGATCATCACTTCAGTGGTAGCAGCGCCAACAAGCCGCCGCACCTGCGTCTTGGCAACAATTGTGGTCAGGACTGATCGAGGCCATGATGTTATGTCGGCGATGACGTCTAGCTGCTTTAGCGCGGATGCAAAGTCGAAGTCTGTTTAAGAAGGTGGGGTTTACTCGTTGAACGTCCGCATCATCGGGAACCAGTAGAGAAAATGATCGATACCGCCATCAAACCTTTCGACCCTACCGTTCCCCAGGAGGAGGTGGACAGACTCTTCCGGAAACTCAATGACACGCGCCTCCCGCAATATCCAATTGTGCCCGACTCGGCCGACAACGATGACTACGGCGCGTCGCTGGACTGGGCGCGCCGACTTAAAGAGTACTGGGAGACCCAATACGACTGGAGCAGGGCGCAAGAGGAGATCAGCTCCTGGCACCACTTCACTACCCGCATCGAAGGCATCGACGTCCACTTTGTCCACGAAAAAGCCGCCCCCTCCGACGCCTCACCGAAACCCATCCCACTTCTCCTCGTCCACGGCTGGCCCGGCAGCTTCTACGAGTTCTCGCGTGTCATAAACCCGCTCACCAACCCGCCAGCATCCGCCGACGCCGACGCCGACGCCGACGCCGACGCCGGCCCCAATCTGGCCTTCGACGTCGTCGTCGTCTCTCTCCCGGGCTACGCATGGTCCGGCCCGCCGCCACGGCGGAGCTGGACGCTGCAGGACACGGCGCGCGTCTTCGACACGCTGATGGGCCGGCTGGGCTACTTCTCGTACTGCGCGCAAGGCGGCGACTGGGCGCACTGGGTGGTGCGCGAGCTGGGTTCGGGCCGCTTCCCGGCGTGCCGCGCCGTGCACACCAACATGTGCCCGAGCGAGCCGCCCGTGTCCGACGCAAGCGGGCTGACGGGACGCGAAGAGGCGGCAAACGAGCGGTTGAAGTGGTGGCTGGGCGCGCCGGGCGAGGAGAGGCACATGGGGTACGCGGTCGAGATGCGCACGCGGCCGCAGACGCTGGGCACGGCGCTGAACGACAGCCCCGTCGGCATCATGATGTGGGTGGGCGAGAAGTACCGCGAGCTGACGGACCCGGGCCGGTATTCGGATCTGCAGGACGACGACTTCAATCACCGTCTCGCCACGACGCTGTGCCTGTACTTCTTCACGCCTCCCAGCATCATGACCAGCATGCTGTGCTACTTCGAGAACGTCAGGCACGAGGACTATGTCGAGTTCAACACGCGGCCGGAGAACAGGATCACAGTGCCCATGGGCTTCACGAGCTACAAGTTCGACATCTCCCCGACCTCGGAGCGGGCCGCGGCGACGACGGGGAATGTCAAGTGGTTCAAGGCGAGGGACTATGGCGGACACTTCGCGGCGCTGGAGACGCCCGAGGAGATGGTGGATGATCTGAGAAGTTTCTGTGGACAGTGGTACTCGGAATGAGGAAGCTTGGGCGTACCTTCAACTGAAGATGATCATGTGTAGAATCGTCCGCACCAAGACTGATGCTTGGGGCCCGTCGCGATTATCAATCCCTCGATTTCTATTCACAAAACAAGGAAGATCAAGAATCTGAGATTGACATTTCGGCTCGGCAATAATACCCTGCACATTCAAGCCAACATGGGCGCTGTCGTACGCCATTCACCATTAGAGAGCATGTAGAAGCCAGAGGTGGGAGCAGGCAGTGCGCCGGAGGTCCTCCTAGGATGTTTTTCTTACCGCTACATCAGTCAACCCAACGCTACTTCTTCTGCAAAGAAGATCATCATGACGGATTTTTCGATAGTAATGTATACACAGAAGCTACATAACAGCATCCCCAGTCCCACCTCCTCGTCAGAGAGCTACAGCGGAGCAGAAGCAGAGCGCGTAGCGTTTCTCAGCTTACCATCCATTGCACTTCAGCTTATCCAAGTTCAAGTAATCGGCGTTGATGTCCCACAAGTTGGACAAGCCCAAGTTGCCGGCATCGTTCACAATCTCCTGCTTCAGCAGCTCGATCAAGCGCTCGACGCCGGGCTGGCCGTAGACGTTTGCGTAATGGAAGGACCGGCCCAGGCCGACGGCGCGCACGCCGAGGGCGAGCAGCTTCAGGACGTCGGTGCCGTAGCGCACGCCGCTGTCGGCGTAGACCTCGAGCTGCTCGAAGACCTCGGGGGCCTGCTCGTGGAGCTCGAGGGCGATCTCGAGCGGCGAGGGCGCGCCGTCGAGCTGGCGCCCGCCGTGGTTCGACAGGTAGATGGCGGGCGCGCCCACCTCCACCGCCTTCTTGGCGTCCTCGACCGTGTACACGCCCTTGAGGATGACGGGCAGGTCCGTCCACTTGGTCAGCTTCTCCGTGTAGTAGTCCCACTGTGGTCGGGGTTGGTTGATGCGGTCAGCTTATTGTTCTCGAGGGCTTTTGTTGTTCGGCTGGAGGGAGCGCTGCTTACGGTCAGGGCCTGGAGGTCCTCGGTGTCGGTGGCCTGGCTGTCACGAGCGCGGTAGCGGGCGTCGCGGGTGCGGTCACCGTCGGCAACGGCGTCGATGGTGAAGACGATGGCCTTGGCACCGGCGGCTTCGGCCCTCTTGATGTTGTCCTTGACGCTGGTGTCGTTGACCGTGACGTAAAGCTTTGGACCGGTCAGTGGCCAGCCCGTGACATTGGGCGCAAACTAGCTAGGCTGCTTACCTGCTGGAAGGTGACTTGAGATGCGTTGCCGGGCTTTGCGGCGGCAAGCTCCTCGATGGTCTTGCTGGCATAGAGGGCAGGCTAGAAAACACTCAGCACAAGGCGCAGCATGGGCGTCACGCTCCACCAACCATGTAGAGGATGTCCTGGGCATAGGCGCCCTTCATGAAAGCAATCTCGGCTTCCTCCGGGTTGGAATAGGCGGCACGGGCGGCCGGGGCAATAAAGAATGGAGCAGAGAAGTTGTGGCCCAAGATGGAGGTGCTGTGGACACGTCAGACAACGGAAACCCGTGCAGCGGGAAGGTGCTTTACCTCAGGGTATTCTTGGTGTTTGAGATGTCCTTGAGCATCCTGGGCCTGAACCGCAGCTGCTGGAACGAGTCCAGGTTGTTCCTGTACGACCATTCACCACCAGAGGCATGCCTGTACCAGGTATAGCTGGAGGCGTTCAGGCAGCTTCTGGCGGCAAACTCGAAGTCCGGGATGCACTGCAGCTGGTCAAGCTCAGGGCAAACATTCGGGGGCTCGTATCCCGCGACACCGAGAACGCGCTCAAGACTGCATGGCTTTTAGACGCGGGGCCTCGACGACATGAGACGGTGTAACTCACCCTGTGTCGGGCTCGTTCAGCCACGGGTAGGCTGCCAGGGAAGAGCCCACGAAGGGCATAAGAAGATGGAAGGAGCGCATGTTGGCAGCAAAAGAACGACGGCGACAATGGGAAAGGCGCGGCAGACGACGGTCAAAGCAGACGCGCTAAGACTCGCTTTATAAATCTCATGGTGCGCGACGGAGCCATCCGGACGGCAAACGGACTGCGAGCAGTCCATGTGGCATAGACGAGGTATGCTCCGATAGTCGGTGGCTTGGCGGTGAGTTGATGTCCGGGTGAGCGAGTCGTCGAGACGCAGGTACCCGGCTATGACAGGCGCCGGCTCCGGCGGCCAGGAAACGACCATGGGACATGCTTAATCTGGGAATGCGTTCCGCAAAATTGGCAAGTGTAGCGCGGGCGGAACGAGGCAGCGAGACATGGGGGGGACGCGCCCCAGGTTTCTGGGGAGTGGAGAGTAATTTGGAGAAGCGCGTGCCCAATGTTTCAACCTCCAACCGGGCTCCGTCCTACGATAGATGGAGCGCTCCGCCGAGCCTTGACTGCAAACGTGATGATCGGGAAGGCTGCCTATCGCAACCGTAGAGCAAATGGAGAAGCTACGGCGGGTGGCTCAGCTCGGGCTACCTATCACAACCGTACGTAGAGCAAATGGAGAAGCTGGCGCGGTGGGTGGCTCAGCTCGGGCTGCCTTTCTGGTCGTGGTGGGCCGTAGCACCTGGCCGAGTCGTGCTTGGCCGCATAGACGCCGGCTGGGCGGTGTTCGCGAATCGTGATGATGATCTTATGGTCGATTGGGATGTTGACAGCACGCCTGGCTTACGTGACCAATGAGCGCCGTGTCGAGCCGAAGTCTTCCGTCCCCGAGCCGATGGGATATAGAGTGATGGATTTGGCAGCTGCAACGCGCCAACAGATGCCGCCCGACCAGATTCTGGGCATGCCTTGCGCATGGCTTATCTTTTCGTTGGAAGAAAATTAGGAAGCTGGACTGCTGCGACGTCACTCAACTTTTTCGAGCTGAATTATGAGTATATATTTCATCATTGCGAACCCTTTCCTCCATCATTGCCACTCCAACATCTGGTTGGATCAAAAGAGATGATACATCTCTTCCGTGGCGCAATTGGCTAGCGCGTCTGACTGTTAAAGGCTAATGGGACCTCACGGTGTACAAAGTCTGCTGCAATCAGGAGGTTGACAGTTCAAGCCTGTCCGGGAGAGTTTCTTTTTCCTTTTTTTTGCGCTCCACAGCCAGATCTTCGGAAGCGAACTCGGTCTTCGTCAGCTGTACGGTGCTGGCATGAGATCGATACAAAACCTTCATCACAAGAGAAATGTCGCAACTTTTTTTTTTGTTCCGAAGCACACTACGCAGCATTGCTATAAGAAGTGCGGTTCGAACAGCTGTGTCTTACGAAGCTCGGGTCTACGTAGTAAACGAATACGGCTCGGGAAAGCCCTGCAATTCTCAGAACACTTGGCCATACTCTCATAAAAATAGAAAGAAAGAAGCTTCGACCGTGCATCCAACAATCCGGTCCATCGCACCTTGTCACCAGACGAACCGCCGGACAGACGTCCCGGCTCCCCGGCTGGCGGTTTTGCCTAGATTCCGCAAAATGCATTCCGACCAAACCTGCCTGAGTCGCGAACATGACATTGCGCCCAGCCCCACACGATACGGGGGACCGTACTCGCTACAATGCTTGTTTGTCTCGTCTGCGATGCTTCTTCCTTCCGGGCCACTTCCACATGGCTCGGGTTGATACAGGTGGGTCAACCATGTAACCCACTGTGGTGCTCCGCGCCGCTATATCCCATCAGAGCCTTGACGGCGATAGCGTAGTCGTTTGATCAGCCGCAAATGCAAAGCAACAACGCCTCGACACATTGACCCCAGCCTCGCTCCGCCCAGTCCCTGCACATGTCGTAAATCCACACCCTGATGTACGCCTAACAAATGCCCAACCCTTCGTTTCGATGCAAGTCCGACATCATCGCCCTTCCTTTTCTACCACAAACGCCTGCTAGGTCAGCGGGTAGCAAAACAAAGTTCCCATCGCAACGCCCCTCCAACAATGAAACATTACTCTATTGCGCCTCTCTCAGCGGCGCAGGAAGATACGGCAACAGAGCCTCTGCTTCCTGCCGTGGCTGAGAAGCTTGTGCCGCATCTCCTCGCTTGTCGTACGTGTCAGCCAACATGCTGTCCGCTACACACTGCCAAAGCCGGTCTCCAGCTCTCTTCGCAAGAACTCTCCCTGCCTTGGCGCTCTTCTCCGTCTGCTCACCGATGATGTTGGTGAAGAAGGCTGCCGTCATGTAGTTCATGCAGATGGCAAGAAGTTGGTTGTTTGCCACTGCCTTGGCCGCGTGAAGTGCGTGCTGGATGCACTGCTTCATCTTGATAATCGACGTATCCTTACCCTTTGTCGTGGCCTTCAACAACTGGCATGCTGACCTCATCGAAAAGTTGGGATGTGTCAGGCACGGCGCCTCGATCTTCTGCAACAGATCCTCTGCTTCCGAGTGCATTGGGTGCGTCGGGGAACGGATTATCAACAAGGTATTCATGATGGCCAGATTGCTGAGATCTGACTGCGCTGTATGCTGCGTGGCTGACATGTTCGTCGCCCGGAGCATGCGGAAGTGGCCGAGTGCCGCCTGCGTGTTCCCGTATCCTTGCTCTATTACTCCGTTGAGATAGATGGCAAAGCGCGTCATCGAAGGCCTGCGGTCTTCCGAAAACATGGGTGCCGCTTGATCAAGAGCAGCGAGGTGCGTTCGTGCTGTCTTCCAATCCGCCTTGTTACACGCCATGAAGCATTGGTAAAGACGGAAGTGCCAGTCCAAAGCACGATGCCACTCTGTGCGAGCTGATGCGCCACGTATCGACATGGGGTTGCGGTCGGGAACGGCAAGGGTTTCTGGGAGGACTTATCAGCAAAGACAGCGAGCTGCGACTGGTTTTCCTAGGACCCACTCACCCTTGGTGAGCTTAAGGCCTTCTTTGAGATAACTCTCAGCCTTGTTCTCAATGGGATTCTTCAGCAGGGCTGTCACTCCACTTAGGTAGTATCCCAGCATCCACAGGTCTCTCCTTCTCATCCACGCCAGAGACAGCCGATCTCTGCCATCCTCGTTTCTTTGGAAAATGCCACCAGTCGAGCCGGTAAGCTGCAAATTGGGGGGTCGGTGAACAAGCACAGAAAACATGCCATCGTCCATGCTGTCGTCTCCATTCACGGCACTGTCCATGATAGCTTGCAGGTCGCGCATTTTGGCAACCGCTTGGTCAGGCTTGTAGCTTTGTAGGTTGCATGCGAGATCGATGAGGTCAAGCAGAGCCACAATCTGGCCAAGCTCGTCCATGGTGAATTGCAATTGAAGACTTCTTGCAGACGCAATGGAACGCTGAGCTTGTTCGATGCTGTCGGGGTTCATGAGGCGCAGATACACCATAGCCAGAATGGTGGTGCTAGCGACGTAAATGGCCTGGTCGCCCAACTTTCCCGACAAGCCCGAGACTTCGTGTAAGGTATGCATAGCTGCAGTCAGATCGGCATGTGTTGCGGACTGCATACAGAGGGATGCACGCAGGAATCGGAAAGCGTAAATCCACGGAACATGCTGGTACCTAGCGAAAGCTTTAGCTCGCACACAGACGCAGTCAAGATCATTGCCTCACATTTCAGCGTAGCGAATCACGCCGTCAATTGACTTCATGGCAGCGGCGTGGTTTGAAGTGAACAGAGAGCGGGCGAGGAGGTGGTGCATAGTGTACTTCAAATCCAACATGTGATGTCTGTCACACAGAGTAATGCCCTTGCTCAGCATTTCTTCAGTCTCATAGGCGTTATCCGTCTCGTCGTGCAGCAGCGTAGCATATCTTAAGATGGTCATGGCCTCTTGGCGCGGATGCATACGGTGGTGTTTGATTACAGCTTCTAAGCAGCCCAGACCGGTCGACATGAGTTTGTAGTATCTGTCCTCGTCCGATTGTCGTCGCGAAAGAGCCACCGTAGGCCCCATAGCATAAGCAGCAGTGACGTACTCATCGGCGAGCGAGATAAGGAGTTGTTGCTGGTCTATGGGAGGCGGTGAGGCTGGTGGCGGACGTGGTATCTGAACCTGTACTATCGGCTGTCGCGGAGGCGAGGCGGCCTGGGCAGCACGAGGGACGGGGTTGTGACTTGGACGTGAGTGTTGAGGCTGCTGAGGGCGCGGTGCTTGGTAAGGCGGCGACGAGTGTTGTGGAGGGAATTGCGCAGGCATCGACGGGTAGCGTTGGTATTGCTGCAGCGGCGGCGGTTGCGACGGGTGCGGCTGCTGCATCATATGCTGCTGAGGGGACCGTTGCGGAATCATGACCATGGGTTGAGCCTGGTAGCGCTGGGGCTGCGGAGTCGAGAGGGCAGCAGCGAATGGCGGCGGCGGGTGGTGCTGCTGTGCAGCGAGGTAGGCGCCCGGTGAGCCAGCGACTGGCGCGGGTGTGGGCGAGGCGTGCATCTGCGGGTAGCTTCCAGGCTGTTGCTGGTGGCCATGCTGCGCAGGCCGCGGGGGCGCATAGCCGCCGGGCGGAGGCGGGTGACCCTGGTGGTAATAGCTCATACCGGGCGACGGGGGCGGCGGCGCGCTATATGGGCTTCCGCATGGTGGAGCAGTTGACTTGGAGATGATGCGGGTGTCGCGATGCGCGAACAGCGGCGGGAGACGTGACTGGGCTTGGCACGACGCACCGGGGCTTGGCGCGCGGCGGCGGCGCATTGGCTGGCCAGAGCGACGCGCGCCTCTGCATCGCGGGCCGAGGCTCGCGGTACGGCCGCTGCGGACCTGAAGAAATGGGTGCACAACAGCACCGAGTGGACCGCAGCCTGCACGCGGCGCCGCGCCGGTCGACGCTTCGGTCAACGACTCGTCCTGCGCGCGGACCGTTGCCACTTCCGCCCTTGCAAAAGCCACGGGGCTGCTGCTGCTGCTCCCTCCCCAAATCCGCCTTGTCTAGCCCTCGCCCTTGAGCCTCAACTCCCGTCAGCTTCGCGATGGTGGATCTCTCGTGGGTGCTGGGACGCGCTAGAGTCTCCTTCACCAATTGTGCCAAACCCGTAACCATTGTTACCAAGTCCGGCCAATCCGTCCCGCTGCCCGAACTGATCAAGGATGTGACTCCTCCATGCCACCTCAATCCGCTGCTGTTCAACGGCCATCTGCAGACCGCATACACCGGTCCGTGCGCCTCTAGCAGTCGTCAAGCATGTTTGCTAACTACCAAGCACTGCAGTCGTGAAGGGTTTCGATATCCCTGTCATCTACAAGCGCAAGGTCTTTACCTCGAACAATCCGGCCGTTCCCGGAACCTTTGCTGTCGACTTTGTCCATCGTATCACTTCCAACGAGGTTGACTCCACGCTGCCTCCGCGCACAACCTATTTTACCGACCAGGAGTTCGGTGAGGTCGGCTCCAATGACACCAAGCCCATGCTTGTTACCCTCCACGGCCTGGCCGGTGGCAGCAATGAAATCTACCTGCGCCATGTGCTTGCTCCGCTGACCACCGAGGAAGGTGGCTGGGAGGCTTGCGTTGTGAACTCCAGGGGGTGTGCCATGAGCAAAATCACCACCAACGTCCTGTACAACGCCCGTGCCACGTGGGACGTGAGACAGGTGGTACACTGGCTCAGGGAGAAGTTTCCCAATAGGCCCCTTTTCGGCATTGGCTTTTCTCTAGGCGCCAACATCATGACCAACGTAAGTTCGGTACATGCTGTACAGGATGTCACATGTTGAGTCTGACATGATCCACAGTATCTTGGCGAAGAGGGCGAAAATTGCCAGCTCAAAGCAGCTATAGTTTGCTCGAATCCCTGGAATTTGGACGTCTCCAGTGAAGTGCTGAAAAGCAGCTGGATGGGACTGCACGTCTACCAGAAGGCTATGGGAAGTAGCATGAGGAGACTTTTCGACAGGTAAAACCCTTCAAGAGGTTGCAGACACCTGGAAGATGCTGACTTCGCCTCAGACACGCTGAAGAGATTGCAAAGAACCCAAACATTGATGATGAGGAAATCCGAAACTGCACCTATCTTTACGAGTTCGACAGGTAATTTCTCCACCTAAACGCTTCCGGCCAAGGCCTGACTAGTCGAAATAGAGCTGTACAGTGCGGAAGTTGGGGATATCCCACCGAGAGAGCATACTACCGAGACGCTTCGTCTTGTGATTCTATGCTCGCCATCAAAATCCCTTTTCTTGCCATCAACGCCGAGGACGACCCAGTGAGAAATGGCCCTTCTGTCCCAGCCATCATCTTGTAGACTGACGGGCGAGATAGATCTCCGTGAAGGAAGCCATCCCGTTCGAGGAATTCAAGCAAAACCCGTACGCCGTGCTGTGCTCCACTTCGCTAGGTGGCCATCTCAGCTGGTTCCAGAGCAACGGTGACCGTTGGTTTGCCAATGCTGTAAGGATTCCCAATCTCGTTTGAAGTGATTTTCGAGCTGACTTCGGCAGTCCGTCGCTTTTCTGAGGAAGATGGCCGAAGATGCCGATTTTGCCGCCACAAAGAACTTCAATGCACAGAACACCAACGGGTCTGCGGGAAGTCGAGGTAGACCGTTCGTTTTCGAGCCAGTGCGCCGTAAGCTGCACATTCCGAAAGACCACGCCGAGTAGAGGTTGAGAGCGAAATTGTGGGAGCGTGCTGCAAGCTCAACCATACTTAACTTGCGGATCTTGGTATTGCGAATACGAAGAGGGAACTCACAGTCTACATTGAGATTACAGGTGGGGAATCATAGATTAGAATAGACCAGCGCTCAGCCGAAGGAAACCCTCTTCTTGCTTGGCTTGGCAGGCTTTGTAGATATGGTTTCTTCTTTCTTCTCTGCGAAAGAGTCCGGCTTGGATTTGCGCTTCTTCCGCAGCGAGTCCTTTGTCTCCTCCTGAACTATAGTCAGCAGTCTGCAACGCACCAACATTGCCCTGTATGCTTACAAATTTCTCGCGCTTCTTGTCGGAGCGAACCTCTGCCTCCTTCTTCCTTGCCTCACGTATCTCCTCCATCTGCCTTGCCTTCATCATCTTCGACTCGATCTGGCCCTCTTTCTCGGCGTTGACCATGGCGAGAATAGTCATCATGCTCTCCTGTTGCCATGTTAGTTGATTCTGTGCGAATGTGGCACCGTCCATGTTTTCGAGCAGGCTCGCGCAAGCCGATGGCGACTGTTCTGAATCGGAAGTCGCAGAGTATGGGCCGAATCAGACAGAGATGCGAACGGAGGCTGCGCGAAGATTCGCAAGAGCAGCCTCTATCGTAACCGGCCTTGGAGCTTCTTGCCGCCCGTTGGAGTTGGCGTAGCAGGGTTGCGTTTGCTTTGCTCATGGGAAAAGCGGCGGCGGCGCATTGGTGGGTGGCGGTAACACGCATACCTGATCATCCACAAAAACCTTGCCCTTCTTCTTGCCCTTGGGCTTCTGTACGCCAGCCGGAGTGATCATGTTCAGCGTCGGGATCCCCAGCTCCGCCTCGGTATAGGTCCGCTGCTTCTTCTTCTTTTTCGGATCGACCTTGGCCGTACCAATCGATGTGTGGGTCTTCGGCTTCGCATGCTTAGAGGGCTTTGCGTCTTTGGCACTCGAGCCTTTGGCGCTCGGTTTCGACTTTTGCGGCTTCATTGGGGCCATGGTGACTGTTTGCGGTGCAGAGGATGTTTGGCGAAGAAATCTCGAAGAGCAGTCTGGAGTTAGACGGCGTTTGCAGGGGTCTGGTCTTGGCGCGCTTGGGCCTTTCAGCTGGCGCTGCCCGGGCCAGGCCGCGACAGCAGCAACCAAGCGCCCGTCATCGTCAACTCCCAGCACCGCAGCCCTGCACTCCACAGCCCTACACACCATACCTCGCACAGCTCACATTCCACCCTCTCGGTTTGATAAGACTACGCAACCGGATATCACAATATCAACCATGTCGAGCCACAGGCTGTTCCGCTTCCCTCGGCCTCAATGGCTGAACAGCGCCAACACGCGCACCGCCGGCGTCTATGCAGCAGGCGCGCTGGTACGCCGCCTCTCGACTTGCAACAGAGGACCATAGAGACGCTGACGGACAGGATAGTTCTCCCTTGGTTTCTTTTTCTTGGTCGACGCCGCCGCCTACTCCAAGTCCGCAAAGAACGGCTCCGATGTCCACATCACATTCGTCGACTGGATTCCCTCCATCTGTTCCGCTCTGGGCATGCTCGTCATTAACAGCATCGACAAGTCCCGCCTGAGTGCTGACAGCTTCAGCTATTCTGGCAACGGCGTGGCATGGAAGGCCAAGCTTGTTTTGTTCCTCGGCTTTGCTCTTATGGCTGGCGGTCTTGCTGGTAGTGTGGTATGTATGGGCTCTCTGGGCGGTTCTGACAATATACTGACATCGCTGCCTACACAGACCGTCATGGTTCTCAAATATGTCGTTCCTAACTACACATTTCCCACACTCTGGTTTGGCGTCTCTAATGTTATTGCAAATGCGCTGGTTATGGTTAGGTATGTTGCCGATATCCGGAGGTTGAGACGATTGCTAACAGCCATTAGCTCTGCTATTCTCTGGGTCGTCCAGAACATGGAAGATGAGTATACGTACAACCTTGCGCTGTAGGGACAAGCATTATCAGGCTAGCTGTATTTCCATCGGTCGGAGTAAAAGATTGGCGCCCATGTTGCTTTGCAAAATTCACGTGTATGATAATCAAGCTTTCATTCTATGTACCTCTCTCACGTGGAGGTGTGAAGTAAATGTCCGGGACCTCGATGTAGGTTTGAACAGCCTTCCTTCGTAAGTAGTTGAAGCAAGTGTCCTAATGTAGAAGCGAAAATGAAACCACAAACACCTTCTAGACATGGGGTTTCATTACACCCAAAAGAGCGGTCTAGTATCCCTGAGATAGATAACACCGCTGTGGAGCTTCACGTCACCCGGGGCTCTCCCAGGACTTCCGGCGATATCGAGTAACTCGTCGCGTGACGTCAGGTTGTACAGAGACAGGCAGCAGCTAAGCATGAGATCGGAGGAGGCTTCTGATCTTACAACATTTTTCACGGCTAAATCGTACTTGCCAGCCAGGAACCTCGAACAGGAGCTTCGTCCAGTGCATAGCATAAAACATCCATTGCTCCAATTTTCCTTCACCAACAGACGCGGAACACAGCAGAACCATTGAATACGCCGTGCCTCCAACGCTAGAATCTAATATACAAGATCCTCCCCACAAGCAAAGGCAAGGAAACCCTAAGAATAAAGGCCAGCCGCACCGCTTAGAATTCCTCATCCTCCTGGAAAAACATGGTGAAACTTATGATGGTGCCGTAGATAAGAAGGCCTCCAATGATAGACATGACCATGGCGGACGAGGAAATGAGGGCGCAGTGGGCGAGAAGAGCAGGCAGGGCTAGATACGGTCCGGCGTGTTAGCAATAGAGCCCACGTATCTTGGCGCAAGTTGAGGCGGTGACATACCAATGCCCATTACGACAAGGAAACCAGTCAAGAAGCGGCCGAAATCGATAACAGCGCTGCTGGAGCTCTCCATAAAATCATCTGGGTTGGCAGCTCTGCCGCAAACCCAGTTGGGCAGTGGCGCAATAACGTATGTCGCGACGACAAGCAGCGGGAAGTAGTTGTGCCATAGCGCGCACGAGAGGATGACAAGGAGGAAGCCGATGGCCAGGACCTATAGCACGGCAATGTGCGGTCAGCGGCATGTTGCAAGGGATGGTGCATGCATGGCTGCGGGCGGGGCGCGTACGAAAGAAAGCGCGATGATGGTCTTGAGGCCAGCCATGGTGGACCTCTCTTCGGGGCGGGTTGGCGACGACGTGATGGCGGCTTTGGCGGGCGCACAAGGGTCCGGCGTTGAGGGGCGGCGGAAGCGCAGGCTTTGGAACCGAGATGCGTTGTGTCTGCGGGGCGTCGACAGGCGTCGTTGCTGGGCGGGTCTGGAGAAGCTGAAGGCTGGCGTAGGCGCCCGGCCGTGCTGTGCTGACGACGTCTTAGCGCAGCCTGCGGCTCTGGCACAGATCCCTGTCCGCGCGGCCCAGGTGCTGAGCTTGGAGGGAAGCTCCAAAGCTAAGAGAGTGACTAAGCAGCGCTGGATGCTGTCATGTAACCGTGCCTGCCTAAACGGTTTCCACCCATCGATCACCCAGCTACATGTCCTGCTGTTAGTCCGTGACACGGTATAAACCACAGCTTGCAGCTCAACCCGTCCCACTCCGCCTGTCCATCCGCAGCTCGCCACCATGTTCCGCAACAACTACGACAACGATTCCGTCACATTGTACGCTCCGCTCCACGGCCACCACAATCACAAGAGCACCGCTGACAGCAGCTTGCAGCTCGCCCCAGGGCCGCATCTTCCAGGTCGAGTATGCACAGGAGGCCGTGAAGCAGGGTTCCGTCGTCGTCGGCGTCATCAGCAAGACCCACGTCGTCCTGGCCGCCATCAAGGCAAGCAACTTCCTCCGCCGTCCATCCCGCACCCCGCAGCCCATCGACCGGCCGAGCTAACACCAATCGTCGTCCTGCAGCGTAACGCCGAAGAGCTCTCGTCATACCAGAAGAAGATCATCCCGGTGGACTCGCACTATGGCGTCGCTCTTGCCGGTCTCGCCTCGGACGCCCGCGTGCTTTCCAACTTCATGAAGCAGCAGTCGCTGGCCTCGCGCCTGACCTACGACCGCGCCATCCCGCTCGCAGAGATCACGTCGCGCATCGGTGACCGCGCGCAGTCCAACACGCAGCATTACGGCAAGCGGCCCTACGGCGTGGGCCTGCTGATTGCCGGCGTGGACCAGAAGGGCCCTCACCTGTTTGAGTTCCAGCCGTCGGGCGTGACACAGGAGATGGCGGCGTGCGGTATCGGTGCCCGCAGCCAGATGGCGCGGACGTATCTCGAGCGCAACCTCGACCAGTTCGAGAGCTCGTCTCGCGAGGAGCTGATCAAGCATGCCCTGCGTGCCTTGAAGGAGAGCTTGAGCCAGGACAAGGAGCTGACGGTCGACAACACGAGCATAGGCGTTGCTGGCGTGGGCGAGAATTTCAAGCTGTACGAGGGCTCGGCCATCACCAACTGGCTGGAGACTACTTTCGAGAACAGGGAAGGTGGTTCGGAGGGCATGGAGGTCGACACATAGAGAACATCTGTGCCAGGAGAAGACTGGACGCCGCGATAGACGGATTCTGATTGTAGCACGATGGAGACCTCCAATGAAAATGGCTGTAATGACTGCTACACTGGCGTCGGTGATGAAGATTGTATCAGATGCGACGAACAAGCTCAAGACTGTGCTCCAGCTGTATGCAACCCACCAATTTGCTACTTCACGATCTATCCAGGAGACTTTCAAACCTATCGAGTGTCATTCACGTGTTCGCGGGTCGCGCACGCGTTTCCCGACATCATCGAGGACGCGACGGGGACCGGGGACCGCCAACCGCGACCCTTCCTCCTCCACCCACCACCATATTCAAACCCAAAGCCAAACCCGCCAGACCGCCCACCATGGCCCCGTCGCAGACACTGTACCCTCGCGCGACAGTCAAGCGCATCGTCAAGGCGCACAGTAACCGCCCCCTCAGTAAGAACGCCGACATCATGGTAAACAGTCATTGTTCCCGCGGCGGGCCCCGCCCACCACGCCGCTTAGTACGAAGGGAAACTTGCTTACCACGCGCACTCTTTTGAAAGATCTTCCTCGACTACATGCTTTTCATGAACGAGTACGTACCTAGTACCTATACGCCGGACGGATCTCAGCTCGTCCTGCTCCACTCGCCACACACAAGGCCCAGCCCACCCACCTGCGGCTGCGCATTTGCTCTCCCTTGGCGACGGGGTGGTGGGAACGACGGATCGGAAAGCGAGCGACTGTATGTAATGCTGACGGATGGGGGGGAATTTTTCCCCCGGACAGGCTCGTCCGCGAGGCCAGCATCAAGTCGAAACAATCCGGCGAGCGGGGCATCTCGGCGAGGTCGGTGCGGAAGGTGCGCGAGGTGCGTGCTCCTCCTCTCTCCGCGTCCCTCCCCGATTTTTGTCTCTCCGGGTCGAAGTCGGGGGAGGCGTCATGTGAGCCGTTGCGGGGTGGAAATGCTGACGAGCGGATTGTTGCAGGCGTCGTTGCGGAAGTTCAAGGGCTGAACTACTTCGCCCACTTTACGTAGATGAAGGCGCATGATGGTACGGACGACTGCGGGTCCAAGCAGGCGCTCTTTGATTGAGCTTTCTTGGGGTTGGGAATAATCATCCCAAGCGTTCTTTAGGATTTGAGGTAATTCGGAAGGGGGTTTAAAGATGATGAATATGATACCCAAACACATGTCAATGAGGTTGATTGGCACAATTCACGAGCAGAGTCAATATTTCGTCCTCAAAACACACTAATAACGTGAGCTGCGAGGGGAACGAGAGTGGATTGCCCGAACCACACTAGGCAGTCTATGTACGTTACTCTACAACCTCGACTTTTGGCACCACCCACCAATCGTGGTACTTCTTGCCCTGTTCTGCCTCTGCCATTTTCACAGCCTTCGTTTCCACGATCTCCGACAGCTTTTCTGAGTTCTCCAACTCACCAAGCGTCGCTCCAGCAAGACCTGTAGAGATGCAGGAAAGCAGCACGTTTTGTACGTTCTGTGCTGATATCAGCAAAAAGTACCGGAATTGACCATCCGCTGTTAGCTGTGCATGGAACTCACCTTCTCCCAGGCCTCCTTGACGCCCTCGCTCTTTGCCACTTTAGCTCCCAGCTTCTTCACCGCCGCAAATTCGCTCTTGGCCTCCTTGATCATGGCTTCGACATCGTGCGACAACCGGTGAATAATCTCTTGGAGAGATTTCTCCGGCGCGTTGTACGGTCCAAACGGATGGAGCTCCTTGTCGACATCCTCGAATGGCGTCAGGCGAGGCGAGTCGATCATCAAAAATGGCTTCATGCGTAGCTCGTACCGCAACGACGGTTGCCCAAAGGGACGCGAGGGCGTCGGAACCGCGTTGAGGTAGTGGAGAAGCATGTACAACTGATAAAGTCAAATACAGCTCTGTATGAAGAACGCTAGTTACTTACGCTGCAAAGAGCCTCGGCGAGCGAGGAACCACCCTTCGTTGCGTGGAGCATGCTCTCCACATGCTGCTGAGTCTCGAGGAGTTCCGCTGCATCTTCGTCTTGGCCAGCTTCCAAGAAACGAGCATGTCGCTGTCTTATGAACGCTAGGATCCGCTCGAGCAGATCCACACGCGAGGCGGATATGCTGGAAAGCCACCAGTACATACCTGCACGCTCGTCCGGAAGGTATGTCTCTTGCTCAAAGCCAAGCTGAACGATCCATTCCATCTGACGCAGCTTCATGTGGTAGACCCACGATGCGAAAGGAAAAAGAAGAATATCGTCTGTCAGCTGATGCAGCTCCTGGTCGAGGACCTGTACCTGTTATGTGTTAGGTAACTGTCTGTCGCCGTTGCTCCTCGGGCCGACTTACCTCTGATTCGAGATTATTGAAGGCTATTAGGTTGTGGCAAAGTTCGCGGCGCGTCCTACATCGATTTTGACATAGGCTCGTCAAGACCCCAATATAATTCTGCTTCAGTTAGTCAGTCTTCAGTTCTCCCCTAAACAGCGTATTTACTTACCTGCACAGCTCTGCTCGTGAAGTCATTGACCAACGACGCCATGACTGCCCGTTTGTCTGTGGGAACCAGCGGGTTTTGAGACGTTTCAAAAGACCAGTTGACGGGGTTCAGGACCGCATCCTTGGGCATTACAAGTTCTTCCAGCTCCTTACGAAGCAGCTCCTCGAACATTTCGTTCGGATTACCGAAAACTAGGCTCGCGAGGCAGGCACGGGAGTAGCTCAAAGGTTGAGGCCTCCGAGAGTTGAACTCCCAGATGTACGACTGGATTACCGGTGTCAGCAGTGTCATCCTCATGCGCAACACTTTGAGAATGCTTTACCATAATCTCCTGGGGGCTTATAGCCTGGAGTTTGGTGCCCCGAACGACCTCCAGATTGTCTTGACACAGCTCCAACAACACCTGACACGCATCGGAGAAAGGTAGTTCAACCACTGGTCTTGGAGGTACTGTGCTTGCCAGACGCCGTTGAATTTTTGGGCTGAAGGCGTCCTTGACAGGAACGCCCGTCGCGTGCGAGTTTTTGATTTCCTGGAGATGCTGCCGCACCGCCAACCAATCATCCTCTTGCTGTTCTAGAGGGTTTTCAGGAGAGGTCACGATGAGCAGCTTCTCTCGTAATGCCAGTCTTGACAGGAGCGCTTGTCTAGTGCTCTCCTGCAGCTCGAATTCCCCGCTATCTGTCGTCAGCACTGGAACCGACATCACCAAAGAGGGGCGTGGGGCAGCCTACTCCTTTCCCCATTTCCCTTCATGTTCAATCCACTGCTCCGCGCACCTAATGACGTCAATAATTTCGTCCTCAGGGAATCTCGTCAAGAGTTGTCTGCTGTAAGTATGCGTGGAGAAATCCTCTTCCTCGAAGTAGTCTCTAGACATGATCCTTTGGATGACATTGTCGCAGTATTTGATCAGACCAAGACAATACGCGCGCAGGACCATAAGCAAAGGAGACTTCCCGCCAGGGTATCTGTAGTAGCCGTCAGGGTCGTTGCTTGATCCACGCTTCAGGTATGCCCGAGGGTTTGAAGGTCGATGAAAGAGGGCTTCGTCGATGGTCCTAGGCTCAGGCCAAAGGAGCCTGTCGATGTGGACCGAGACGAACAAAGTTTGGGACAATGGGTAGCCCTGGTGCCATGACATTTCATAGCACAGCAGCTGGTCCATGATGCCAATGACTTCCTCGGGCAGAAGCTCTTTCAAAGCGTCGTAGTCTTCTTCGAGAGTTTCGCCGGGAGCAAGGAAACCACTATCCATCTTGGGATCCATGATCTGCATTGGATGTGAGCAAGACGTGCATCATGCGAAGCTCACAGGCGGGCGCAGACCTCCAGAGCCCCGACGGACTCGAAAAGCGTGAAGTACTCATCCTTGACGAGCTGGCCGGTGCTGAGTGCTGCGGCATGTTAGTCGTCACCACCATCGAGCATGTGGGCAACTTCAAAATGCCCCGCAGCATTGGAATAGAGACAGGGCCGTGGGACGTGGAGATGTGCAAAGCAGACTGCGGGCGAGAGAACGAAATCCAAAGCATTACCGGCGCAGGCCTGGGTGAAGGGGGCGGTGATATCGACCGCGTTAGGGTTGCCGTTGGGCACAGGCCGAGAGTTGATTGCCGTCGGCGGAGCGGGGTGGGCGGCGTCCTGGGCTACGCCTTGTTGCGGTCGCGGGCGGGTCAGCGTCAAATGAATTGCCCCGGAGCGGTCGGCGGGCTCACCCTCTTCGTGCAGTGCAGCAAGCTCCTGGCCCAGGCGGAGGCGGGCTGTTTCTGCCGACGGGACATTTAGCACTTGGCGGGCGCTGCGGGGGGCGTCACAGAGACTGGCCGGCGCGTACCTTGGGCCAGGCCGTCGTCGGCATCAGCGGGCGCTTGGTGGTCGACGCCGGGTATCATGTCTGGTCACGCACGAGGGCTGGCGGAGGGGGGGTGGTGGCGCGTCTGGGACACGGCGAGGAAGTTGTCATTGAGATTTGTTGGAGGATCGCGCTCTACTGCGACTGCCTGAACCCCATCATACAAAATGCACCCAGTCGGCCGCGCTAGCTGCAGCCTCCCATTCGCACCTTCTCATGGCTTCCGTCGCTCTGCCATCGCTTCTAACCTGCCCGGCTCTGCATCTAGGCGGCCTCCTTCGCGGCGGCCTCGGTGGCGGCCTGGTTGGCGCTGTTCAGGCTCTTGATGTCGCCCTGCTTGCCATTCTGTGCCCGCCGTCAGCCCGGCTCCCCCAAGCCACAGCCCCATGCCCGCATCCATTGTCACTCACCTCCCACTTGGCGAACCTGAGGTCCGACTCGCCGCGGCGCGAAGCAGCAAGCCTCTGCTCCTCCTTGAGAGAGCGGCGGACGACACGCGAGGCGATCGTGAGGTAGCGGTTGTAGCTGCGCGAGCGTCCATTGTCAGCGTGCGGGACTACGGGGCCAGTCAATCGGGCGCGTACGTGATGCCGGCGGTCTTCCAGGCGAAAGTCATGGTGAATGCGACGGGGGTTGTTTGCGGGACAAAAGGTTGGATGCACTGCGGCCGCGAGCTTGCTGCACGTTGAAGCGCTCCGAACTTCGTCGGAGCTAGGCCGGAACATGCATTCGCCACGTGACCGCCCTCCCGGCTCTTTCCCGCCACGCCGCGGACCACAGGAAAGGCTGCCATCCGACCTCCGTTCATGAACTTCAACAAATGGAATTGGTCTTTGATGTGTATCCACAAAATACAACTCTCTAAATAATGGTACAACCACTGCGACCCATCTCCCTCATCTTTTGCTCTATCTACACCTTCAGACCCAGCTCCTCCGCGAAAGGTAGTGCGAAGAGGTCGCCAACCGTCGAGACCGACGCCCTGGACTCGAGCAGTTCCGCGGCAGCCTGCGTTGATTGCAATGTTAGCCGTGCTTCTTAGCATATCGCACCGCGCGCAACTGACCTTCTTGACAGCCTCCTCCGAAACACCATCAATGGCCTTGGCAGTCTCGTCGAGCTGGTAGGGCTTGCCGCTCTGGGCGAGGCCAGCGCCAGTCAGCTCGAGGCTGCCGAAGATGGTCTGGCCGTGCTCGAGCTCCAGGTACTTGGCGCGGGCCTTGGCCTTCTGGATGTCCTCGCTCTTGATGTTGCCGCTCGCAATCTCCTGCACCGTCTTGACGGCCTCAGCAGCTGCGCCGGAAACATCCTTAGCGGCACCGCTGATGGTGATGGTGAGCAGACCGGCATCGGAGTAGATGAGGCTCTTGGTATCGATCTTGGCACCAGGGAACTTCTCGCCCGCCTTGGACAGGAGAGAGAAGCCAGGGGTCCACTTGATCTGGGACTGGCCGCCCAGGAGCGAGCCAATGATGGCAATCTCGGGCTTGTAGAAGCCGCCGGTGTAAGAGCTAGAGCCGGGGAAAGCGAGGACGATGGTGTTCTTGCCAGCGTGCGCGATGCGCTCCTCACCACCATAGTACTTGGTCTGGGGGGTCTCGAGAGCCTTGGTGGTGGAGACGTCGGAGAAGAACTCGCTGACCCATTTGGTCAGCTCACCGTGCTCAGCACCGTTGGCGACAATGGCGAAGTTGGGCTTGGCGTAGGCCTGCGCGGCGAATTCAGCGACGGTCTCGGGCTCGATGTACTTGTAGTAGCCGGCGGACGAGGTCGGGACGATCGGGGCGCCAAGGCCACGGTGGAAGGCGAGGCCGTGGACGGAGTTCAGAGCGAGCTCGCTGGTGTTGGCGAGGCCCTTCTTGTGTGCCATCTGGATGAGGGGGAGGACCTCCTCGTGGAGAGTGTGCGCTTCGTCCTCGTCAGCAGATAGTCACGTTGCGATGCCCAATAGCACGTACGGGCAAACTTGGTCTGGGTCGCGGCCTCGGCGAGGAGCTCGACGTAGTAGGGCAGGTCATCGCGGAGGAACTTGGTAGCGAGGACGAGGTTCTCGCGGGAGTGGTAGGGCAGAAGCTCCGCGCCAAGCAGCTCGGACTCGCGGACGATGCGGAGGGCAGATCTGCGGTTGGTGCTCTGGATCGCAGGTTCAGATGTCAGCGCTGGGCTTGAGATGGCGGACGAGCGGCAGCGAAGTCGAGCGCACCTTGAAGGCGAACTTCTCCAGGGCCTCGGTCAGACCGGGCAGCGGCTGGTACCTGGTGCCGGCCTTGGCAACGAGGGCCAGAGTGGTGGTGGGGCCGGCCAGGTCCCGGCTGGCAAACTTGACGCCGGAATGGTCGCCGGTCTGGTACTGGAAAGAGCCTGAGGCGGGAGCTGCGAGGCCGCGGCGGCCGGCGGGCTGAGCGCATTGGCGACGCAGGGCGCGCTGGGCGTGGCGTCCGACAGACTGGCGCGACAGCATTGTTGCGAGGAGCGGCGTCGGACGACGGAGGACGGGGCGGGTGGGAGCAATGGGTGATGGAGGTGGTTTTGCTGGTGTCGACGGCCGGCCGATGAAGTTGCAGTTGCTGACAGCGTGCGCTCTGATTGGTCGCCGGCTTTCGAGCCTCGCAGCGCCCGTCACCCGGATCTGCCCGCGCCGAGCATGCGCCAAAGATGGTCATTCCCAGGGTGGAATACAACCTCTGGCCATCTTGCTGTGGCTGATAAACCGCAAGTCCACAGGCCACGGCGGGCACCACTTTCTTTTCCGCCCCGGGTCGACCCTTTGCTGCAGCCCAACTCCCTACGCCGCCCGGTAGCCGCCTAGACTAATTCAATGTGTCCAGACGTGGATGACTAGGTCAGGGTCTTACCGCGCCGGATGTTGCACTTCAAGCCTATGCGTCACAGATCTGTGAATCATCCGTTTCTAGGGTTCGATAGTCATGGCCGGCGGGCTATATCGATGAAATGGTATGGATAGAGGATCTCATGGCTTATATGCGCTGCATGGACTGAGCACCGCTCGCCCCAGCTGCAGGATTCTTGCAGCTGTATTGAGCTCGTCTGACGAGGTTCTCGCGGAGCGGATGTACAATTGCACTTCTGTCTGGACCAGCTCGTGCGGCCACGACTTGACTGGCGACTGGACTCGGCCATGCGCCGAAGAATAAGCGAGCCAGCTGCTTGCAAAAGATTCCGTCGCGCGCAGCCGCTGCTCAACCCGTTCCCGCCTTCTGCCCTTCTTGCCCCCGCGCTTCACTCACACACTACCGCGCACTCATGCCCTCACGCCGGTAGCCCTTCTGACCATTCTAGAGAAGTGAGAGTCTCTAGAACACAAACATGGCCGAGGTACACTCCCTCCGCGCAAAAGCCAATGCGCCCAGCGGCTAACGCTCTCTGTCCAGCACATTTCCGAACTTTGCACTCTTTTGGTCGACGATCTTTACGGCGAGCTTTCTTCAGTACGTGCGACCACTGTCACCATGTATTCCGCGCCCTGCCCACTGACCTACCCAGCGAGTCTTCTCCATCCTCGCGAAGCTCGGCCGCCTCACCATCCGCGGGGTAGTAAAATACTCAGACTTGACCGCCCGCGACATAAAACATGGTCTGGCCGTGCTCATCCAGCAGAATCTTGTTCTCCATTACACCACCGAGGAGGAAATCTTCTATGAACCGCATTGGGAACAAGCCTACGCGTTGGTGCGCGCTGGTAAGATCGTGAAGATGGTCGAGGATCGATTTGGGGAATCTGCTGGGGGACTGGTGTCAAACCTGTTGCTCCTTGGTCATGCCAGGATTAGCGACTTGGCTGATGCCTACGGAGTCTCCTTCAAGGCTGGCGGCGTCGACTCGGAGAGCTTGCATGTCAACGGCAACGGCATTGTGAACGGAGACGATGCTAGTGCGGGCGCCGACAAGAGGCAAATTCACATCAAAACCCTCGATGACCTCCACCGGATCCTGCGCCAGCTTCTCGATGCGGGTTTCATCATTCCAGTTCGTCGCCGGCATTTCCACCCCACCTCGGACCTCCGCAACGAAGCCGAGCGCATAGTCAAGGCCAATGTTTTTGGTGGACAAGTGAAGGGAAAGCAGGTTGCCGAGATGGAGGTGGAAGTCAACAAGTTGCTGAAAAAATGGAGGGATGAAGAGGAGGACGAAGAGGTGCAGACCGGCGGGGCTTCTGCTGGCATGAAGCGTGGAAGGGAGGATAGTAACCTCCAGGCTCGCAAGCGCGTCAAAGTGAATGCCAGGATTCCGAACGGGTCCAGTTCCGCGGCTGCCGCGAACGTCATTCCCTTGGATGTATGTTGTTCCTGCAGATGAAGCAGGAAAGTCCAGTCACTAACCCGCGTAGGATGATCTCGTCGTCGCCGTTAGCCAAGACAAGTGCACTGTTGCTCTCCGAACCGAGCAGCTCGTCGACTACGCTAGCCGTTATCTCGGAGAGACTACGTCCAAGGTCTACGAGGCTTTGCTAAGGCAGATGGAGAAGAAGGTGCACCGTTGCAATGATCCTTTCGACCAAGCGCCAAGCGAAGAAGACGAAGCCGACTCCCTTCCATCCGTGACTGCTCGAGAATTGCTCGACATCCTCGATCCGGACCTCGATCTTACTGATGGGGTTAGAAACCAGGACGCCCAGACGAACGGCGATGCACTCAGTGACGACGAGGAAGACACATCCATGACAAATGGAACCGCCCGGACCAATGGAACCGGTCCAGTTGCTCCACTTGGCCGCTTGGATCTTGTTAAGCTCCACTGCTCTCTTCTTTTTGAAGACCCGCGCCGCTTCGTGCGATGGGTGGGCAAAGGAGGCGGCGGCGAATACAAGGTGGACTTCCGACCTCTTACCCTTTCCCTCATCCAGCACGAACTGGAGGCTACTGTGCTTGCCCGCTGGGGTCCGCTTGCCGCTAGGATAATCCGCATCCTTCATGCGAAAGGAAAGCTTGACGAGAAGCAGGTCTCGACTACTGGTCTTATGCGCACCAAAGAAATCAGGGCTGCCCTGACTGCTATGCAAGAGGCGAATTTTGTTGAGACGCAGGAAGTGCCCAAGGACAACACGCGCGCTCCCAGTAGGACGATGTATTTCTGGTTCTTTGATCAGGAACGATGTCGACAACTTGTTCTCACCGACACCTACAAGGCCATGGCGCGCATTCTTCAGAGGATCAAGGTGGAACGGGCTAAAGTACAGTCAGTCATCGATAAGGCTGAGAGGTCGGATGTCGTTGGACATGAAGACCGATTCTTGACCGAGACGGAGAGAAGAGCATTGAGAACATGGCGTGAAGGGGAGGAGAAGCTTTTGGTGCAGCTTGAGCGGCAGGATAATCTCGTCGCCATCCTGCGGGACTTCAAAATGCCACCCATTCCGAAGTCTTCCTGGAACGACCTCTGAATTATTCCCTCTCCGCGCTCCTTTACTGGAAACCATTTGCATGGCGGACGGCGTTATCTTACGGTATTTTGGAAAAGTTTTGGTAGTGGCTTGCTCAGAGATTTTGCATTTACTGGAGCGCTTTTCTTTCGGGTCCCGAGGAAAGGGCAAAAAGCGACTTTTCTCTTCTTTTACTCCATCTTCTGTACAGAGATTCCGCTTCCACGCCCGTTCTTCTTGTAGGAAGGCGAGGCACGGCATTCTCTTGTCTTGGACGTTCGGCTTTAGGGCGACTTCTGGACCACGGTACAGAGACGGAGAGATACCCCCGTTCGCTGCCATTCAGCGGAGCGATGAACATATTTGGCTTGAGGATACAAGCAATCTTTATTAGTGGTGGTGGTGGCGGTGGTGACAGAAATGACGCGAAGGCATTCGCTTTTGTTTTAGGGAAGTATTGATACTGAGCGTTGAAGCAAATCAAGTCAGGGCGTGTATTATAAAAAGACACCACTGCTCGAACATTCCCATACTCTTCTATCACCATATGCGTCCATGTTCTCCCCCAAACCAACATCTACAGGGCGCAACAACTGCCACTTCCGGACGGGACTTTTGCTGCTTTACCTGTCTACGGCGCCTTTTTGGAAAATAAGAATGCAGCAAGCAAGAAACCTAGATTTAGTAAACATAGTTCTATGCTTGCCAGATGGATCAGTCAGCAACAAATTTAACAATACCCTACTACGAAGTATATTCGTTAAATAGTATAAGACGAAGGGGAAAAAAAATTCTACATAAATTAACAGTCGGATCAACCAAACACTACGCTAATCAGCACATCCGACTCCGAACGAATCCTCTAGCGTATGAATATGTGAGACTTTAAGAACGATGAGTGAAAACCACCTCTGACTCCGACTGTACCGCCAACCCTCGATAATGACCCATATTTCTATCACAATACGAGGCCTCGTTCCGCGGCCGATCCCAATGCATACTACCGTCCATCAATCCCATGAATAGCCAGTGTTTCACCCGTCCGGTGTTTCTCCCTGAGCCCCGCTAGGACGCGTTTTACGGTTCAGCGCGCTTTACGGTCATGTGGAATAGAGAAAGCTAGATAGAAGATTGAGAGCGGGGCGGGGCGCGACGCAGCCATGCAAGGTACACTACGGCATGCTAAAATATCGCATGTTCTTTTCTTGCCAGGAGGTCTGGATGCAGGGGACGGGTCGCTGTGCCGCACCATTGTGATCGCTTGCGGCTCTTTCCCTTCTGCATCATAGCGCGATCCTGCTTTTTTATTTTTTCCCCTTACCCTTGGCTTTTTCCCGCCCTTTCGCGGCTAGACAATTGTATAGGGGTCGGATTTAGCAAAGATGGCGCAAAAGTGCTTGAAGCAATGACGGGATATCTCTGGCGAAGGTTTTTTCACCCGCAGAATCTGTCAGGCAACCGCAGCACGATATGAAGAGGACATTACACTCGTCAGCATAGCAGCGATTGACAATGGCTGTAATGATTCATAGATCGTAATGTGGGCATTCGGGCTTCGTGCCAATCTGTAATAGAGCCATACCCTCCCTCATCCCGCTACCACTGTTCCAACGCATGTACAAAACTAGCCATTTCTCTGTGTGAATTCCCAACGCGAGCGCTGATATCTGGGGCATCTCGAAGAAGGTACCAAGAGGAGTATGTATAGCACAAGCAACGAGAGTTCGGAAACAATAAGGGAAAGGAAATAAATAAATTACCGCTGAATGAAACCGAGCCGACCCTCAAGGAAGGAGAGCACACGAGAGCACTTGGTAAGCTCCAATGCAAATCATAGCACCTAAAGACAACCAGCAAAGAAGTGCAACCCGGCACTTTCTGAAGATGGAGATCGAGAGCCCACCGGCGGCTCTTTAAAACACGTCATCCGGCCACTCGAAAGAGGCCTTCCTCTGTTCAGCAACAATAGAGGGCTTGGAAGCCTGCAGCTTCAAGTTCTCCGGAACCGAAGGCATTGGCGGAACAGACTTGCCGTTAGGTACGACACTCACAACGCTGCTTTTCTCTGGTTGCTCACCCCCGCGTCGTCGGCCAGGAGAAACAGAGCGAGTACTGCGACGCGTGGCCGGATGAGACGGCGTAGCAAGAGCTGACGGTCTGTTTGGGGAGCTGCCTCTGAGCAGAACCTTTGCGGTCGTCACATCGTCCTCGTTCATCGACTCGATTGCCTTATCGATGCTAGCATGCACCACAGGCTGCTTCTCAGCCGTCTTGGCCGCCCTTTCAGTGGAAAGTACGCTGACTGACTCGTCTTGCGTTGGGATTTCCATTTGCTTGGCATGGTTTCCACGCTTCTGTTTGCTGTGCTTTGCTTGCGGTTGGGCCTCGGAGGATTTCTTCGGCCTGCCAGGGCGCCTTTTCTTGGGAGGATCCTCTGCCGCTTCCTCGCCTTCAGCATCGTCACTTGCTACAGGGCCAGGCTTGATGGTCAAATCCTCTTCATCACCACTTCTCCTTTTTTGGGCGGGCGCCGGCTTGGTCGATTTGCTCGACTTTGACTTAGTCTTCACTGGCGAGACAGCTGCGATCCAGATGTCTTTGGTCGCAGTGGGCGTGGGAGGCTCTACCTCCTGAGCAGCGGCTGCATGCTCGTCATCCTTTTGAGCAGCTGGCGGCGGTGAAGATGGCATGAAATCTTCCCGATCATCGACTTCGTCCGAAAATAGGAGGCTTTCGGAGGGTAAGGTAGGCAGGGTCTCAGCAGGTCCAGAAGCTCTTTTGCGGAGAGGTGTGGGGGCTCGTGGCTTGTTGCTGTTCAGAGACGCCGCAAGATGGGCAGGAAACGTGGGTACCGGAGAAGCGTCCCCCAGGCAATCATATAGCTCGCGGCGAGCATCCTTGAGTTTGGCCTCCAGGTCACTGACTCGCTTGTGAAGTTGGAGCTGTTTATCGATGTCTTTCTTGGAATGGATCCTGCGAAGCGTGCGAGGTGTCTGAGCAGCATCGCTCAGGTCGGCAGTTGGAGATGAAGGCGGGGCACGCTTCGCCAGCTGAGCTTCGGACCGGGCCTTCTTCAGATTCGCGAAGGACGGTGTCTTAAAGTGAAGAGCGGACTTGCGCTCCGGCGGAGAAGAGAGGTCAGCGGCGCGTTTTGCAGCATCCTTCTGCTCGTAGGGACGGGAGAAATCCGGCTCGATGCCGGCGACTCCTGAGTCCCTTTGGTTGGAGTGCTCACCTGCTGGCGCGGTGTAGCCCGGAGTGAAGATCTGGGTTCCATTTGGGATGGCATGAGTGCCCTGCTTGCCCAGCTGGCCCGTCTTCTTCAGATGCGCATATACCTCATCGGCCTTCAGCGCCCGTTCCCTAAGTTGACGCGCCTGCTCGTCAAGCGCCTCTTCGATAAGCTCCTGCCGGGTCTCGCTCCATTTCTGCTGCATTTTCTGCCAGATGTTGATCGGGTTGAAGGTCGAGGCAAGCGACCGCCCAAACCGAAAGATGCCCGATTCTCTGGTGTTAGCGGTGCCTGCAGTGCCGGTGGTGGCAGTGCTTGTCACGGACTGGCTAGGCTGGTGCGAAGAAGCCCGAAGAGAGGGGCGGCTGTGCGTCGGGGCGGTATCATTGGCGGCATGGTAGTCTTCCATGAGCTGGTCAATGGGCGCAATCCCACGACTGCTGCCAAAGAAGCGGGTAAACACGCTGGGCGGCTGGTTGCTGGCGCGGTCGTGCATGCTGGCTTCCTGGAACCTGGACAAGCGGCCGGGCGATGAGACCTGGCGACGGTTGTGCGAGCCTTTGCTGCGGCGGCTGCGCTGGGAGGAGTCAGGAGACCAAGCCTCCTCCTGCGTCAGCGGCCAGTTTGCAGAGCGGCGGCGCTTGGACGAGTAGGAGGTATCATCCACCTCTCCAGCGAGGCGCGGCCCGATGTCTATGTCATGCGATTTGTGGCGGCGCTTCCGGGAGCCTTGGTCGGGCCTCTCGTCGCTCGAGGCGTTGTTGTACATGGTAGCCGAGGGAAGCTGCAGGCCGTCTACGATGGATGAACGGCGGCGGCGAGATGCGGCGGCGAGCTGAGGGTCGTCCATGTGTACGGTCTGTTCACGCTGGTCAGTCGTTGCGGGTGCGCCCGGTGGAGGTTTTGCGCACGCTGTTGAGTTGCGCCATGGCCGAGGACGCGCGCGGCGGCGGCGGTGGAGGTGACACGCTGAAACGCTGGAGAGCTGGCGGATCGTCTAGCGTCGGCGGGCGCGTGCAGGCTGGCGGACGGATATCAATGGTCTATAGGCACGCGGGAGAGGCCGTAAGTCGTGAAAGCGTTACGCGGGCGGGCAGCTGCGGGGAGAGGCTGCGGCTGCGGCTGGCTGGGATGTCGCGTGAAGAGCGGGCGCGGGCGTGTCGTCGCGCGTTTCCCCCCATGCCCGTTCATGCAGCCAGCACCGCGTCCGTTTCCACAGCGATGGCCTGTCCGCCAACCACCTGCACAGCGCCCGCACAGCGCCCGCACCGTCGCTCCTGCACCTGCCCCATTCGACGCGCTTGCTCGAAACATGAAACTTCCATTTTGTGCTTATCTAACTACCGAGAGCCACTTGTGCACATATCCACCCAGAGTGACAAAAGCGCTGGGCATTCGCTCTAGCCGCCCATAACGGAGCTGTACGTGCAAAACCCAAAATGAAAGATTCGCCGCCCAGGCGTCGCGGAAAGTGTACAGGCTAGGAAAAATGCCGATTAGAGGGAGGGGCTGGGCCAAATGTGCCCTCGGTCAAAGAAGAGGAAAAATCGGTAACGTGTAATCTCCCCAATGCGCCGGCTTCAAAGGGAAATCCAACCCAAAAGAAAATGGTATCGTCGTCAGGCCGAACATTGCGACCGCAAAGAATCACAGAGAAAGCAACAACTCCTAGCGTAACAACGCTCACAATCTTAACAGCCAACGCACAAACTTCTTCCCCAGCACCACGTCCAATTGGCTCCGGTCACCAGATTCAGTTCGACAGCGGTACGCGTCTGCTCCGGTGCGTGCCGTCTGCGCGGCGATAGCTCATTGCACGCTCGTCAAGAATCTCCTCGTCCGTCGACGCGTCGAGCGCACTCAGCCCACCATCATCCCCCGGCAGGTTGACGTTGGGCCGGGCTCCACCGCGCAACGGCTGCTCAAGGTGGTTGGTGTCGAACGTGGCCGAAAAGGAGCGCTTGGCCGACCCGCCGAGGGCCTGCCCGTTCGAGTCGCCGTGGCTGCTGTACGGCTTGTTGGCGTAGCTACGCGCAGCCAAGGGGTCATTGGGCGCGGCCACTGGACCAGACAACGGCATGCCAGCAGACATCGGGTACGAAGGCGACACTGGCTCGAGTTTCTCGGTAGGAGGCTGAAGCGTCTTGAGCGGCGCAAGACTGTACCCGTTCATCGAGTGCGAGCTGGCAGGGGCCTGAGATGGAGCTTGAGAGCTGGGCATGGGCTGCGCGGGAGGCGGGTTCATCTGGTTTTGGTGCCGGCTGTATCCCGAGTCCAAGGTTCCGAAAGGCGCGACCATTTGGTTCGGCGTTTGCTGCGGGCCGGCCAAAGACGGCCGACGGTACTCGGAACCGGCACTACTGTAGTCCAGGCTGTCGTGGCGGACAGGAGCCGGCTGCTCGTAGTGACCGTATTGCTGGTTCGAACCATAACCGTACGGCTGGGTCATCGGCATCTGGGGCTGGCCCTGTGGCTGCCACGAGTGCTGAGACTGCATGTAAGGAGCCTGAGGAGGATGCATGGCCGGCTGCTGCGGCGCAGGAGGGTACTGGCTCTGGTACTGCGGAGCAGGCGCAGCGGGGTATTGCATCTGCGAAGAGTACGCGGTCTGGGGAGCCTGCGGAGGCGGCATCTGATTCTGATAGCCCTGCTGGTACGAATTGGCCATGTCCTGCATAGACGGACGGCGAGGCGGCGGAGCATATGACGCGTTGCTGGCGTTGCTTTGCGACCTCGGACGGTCGCTTCCATCCGTCATGGGCTGGGGTGTGTGCACAGCATTCTGGCCGTAGACATCAGGAGTAGCAGTCCGGTTACGCTCGTAAGCCGTTTTGTCCTCGTACTCGTCCCAGTCTTCCTTGGTCTTGTTATCGCGCCTCCTCATGCGCACATCGCGACGGATGCGGACGCGGCATCCTTGCTCAGCAACCATCCGGCTCAGGGCAGTGCTCTCCGTAAGGCCGGGGAACTTCTTGGCGCTAAAGACGCTGAAAGGAGCCGACTTCACCTCCAGTCTGTGGGACACGTGGGCATCAACGCGGCCATTCTGAACGTTCTCCCCGCGGTCGTCGCTGTCCATGTCCTTGTGCTCCTTCAATTCCTCATACAGGGCAAAGCTCAAGCGATACTTTCCTTCGTGGCGAACGGACAGATCCGGGAAAATGAAATAGCCAGCGGGAGTGGGACGGTCCAAATAGGCCATGCCGGCGACAGGAGTTCCAGTCAAGACGGGAAAACTAGCAGGACTCGGTTGAACGCGGCCTTGGGCGATGGAGCGGGCGTTCTCCAGGGTAGCGAACAGGAAGAAGTTCGCATTGTAGGAAAAGGTAATGTCATTCTGCCTGGCCTCGCCCTCGAAGATGCGCAGCTCGACAATCGGAGGCGGGTCGACAGGACGTCGGTCGGCAGATGCTTGATAGAAGTCAGTCGAGTCTCTCGGGCTGCTCAGCTCGGTGCGCATGCTCACATTTGGCCCCAGAACCACAGGCTCTGGCACGCTCGGGCTGCTGGATGACTTGCATCTGATACGTGATCTTCTTGCCCTCTTTGGTCATCCTCGAGGACGAGCTCAACGTCTCGTTGGCCACGGGAATGATACTCGTCGCCATGGTTGCTGGTGGTGTAGAGAATCAAACGGTCGGGAAGGAAAGATGCTGGGACACGAGGGACAGTTTAGCGAATTGATGGCATGACAGCGGAGCGTGGGCGGCGGCTCCCTTGCATGGCGGGTCGATGCGCATGCCTTGGGAGGGCCAAGAATGACACTTACGGGAATAACGAAGTCGTACACAGGGACGGCAACAGATGATATGAGTCCGCTGAATTGGTATCTGGATCGGACCTTGTCAGTGGGGAGCTTGGGTGACTGGCAACCGCGGGCTGGCGTTGCGTGGGCGGAGCCGAGAGGACGGAGCCCGAGCGAGCGAGCGAGCGAGTGAGCGAGCGGGCGAGCGGGCGCAGGGTGCGGCGTGGACGCGTGAGAGTGCTCAAGGAGGTTGGCGGCAGCACTCACAGTTGCAGAGCGGTGGGGAGAAGGGGCAGCGAGCGACGTCCGACAGATCAAGCAGCACAATGACGCGGGCGGGAGCTGGTGGGCGTGGTTGTCAGACGAGCAGCAGCAGCAGGCAAGCGGGCTCGCGGTCGCACGGTGTCGAGGCGGCGCGGGCACAAGGAGGTGCAACGTACGAGGTGGCAGAACGGCTCGGCAGGCCCGCGGGGGTCGACGTCGTCTGGTGGTGACGACGGAAAGGGTGCGGGTGCGTCGCTCTCTGAAGGACGCGAGAGGAGAGGTGGTGGTGATGGGTGAGAAGACGGGCGGGAGCGAGTCGGGGGATAGAGGAACCGGCTGGCTGGGGACTGGCGCTCGGACTTTTCTTTGGAGCGCTCGCTTTGGGAGCCGCCCTCCCCGTCGCTCCCGCCGCTTGACTCGCCAGTTCCTCTCATCCCATGCTGCTGGGCCCGGGGCCGGGGGCCGGCCGCTTCGCCACCGCGACACACGCGCGCGCCCTCCCCGGCCCAGCGACTGCATCTGGCATCTGGCGGCACCCGGCGGCACCCTCGCGCGCTGCGCCTGCTGTGCGTTTGTCGGCGCTGGAGCGAGCCTATCGGCCAGGCGTCTCGAGCCGAGAGGAGAGACACCAGACAGCGCCGCGTCTCGACATCCCTGCTTTGAGCTGAGCCCACCGGGCCGCCGCCCGGCCTGTGCGCCCGGGCCCGGAATCCCGCCCAGCGCAGACGGGACGGTGCGGAGATGGCACGGCGGGACGCGGGTGCGTTTGGCCTGGCGAGATTGAGCCTGCGCTGTCCATGGCGCACGTCTTGCGAGGGAGCCCCTCGCACTCTCGCTTCCTGCGGCGCACGTTATAATTGTCGGACACCATCGTGGGGCGCTCGGCCCTGCCACCTGCCCTGCTGCCCTGCTGCCCTGCCCGGCCCAGGGACGAGGAATGCTGGAGCCGGCGCAGCATAATAATACCTACTACTACTACTACCCGACTCTGCACGCCAAATCTGGGCGGCACCGCGCTGCTGCCGCTCCGCCTGCACCGCCTGCGCCGCCTGCTCCGCCTGCACATCGCCGATGCACCCGGTCAGTCACACCATGGCGGGCGCGCTGAGCCTCTCGCCCGCGCTCAACGGTGCGCGGGAGGTCCCTGGAGGGCTTTGTGTGGTGCAGGCGCCGGAAATGGAATGGCAGGGGCGTGGTTGGCAGCAAATCAGGCCATCTGCGCCGTGGCGGCGCCGGCCCAACCCAGTGATTGGGGGCCCGGGCACAGGACGCAGCGAATCGGCCGGCGGGCCAGCACACCCTCTGCGTGGTGCGCCCTCTCGCAGCAGGCAGGTGGCTTTGTGGCCCGCGGCGATCAGATCACCCTTTGCAGCTGTGCCGTTGCACCGCTGGGTGAAGACACACGGCGACACCACGGCCGCCTGATTGATTGATGGCCCAGCGCGGCAGGGAGCCACCAGCGAGCCACCAGCGGGCCACCAGGGAACCTCCAGGGAACCTCCAGGGAACCTCCGGCGAGCCGTGGCGCCCACGTTGCCCACCGTGAGCCTCAGCCGGAGGCCACCCGCATGCGAACCACTCCAGCCCGTCTTGACAGATGCAAAGCATGGTCCTCTGCGCCGCGCGGTCCTGCGCCGAACCAGCGCCCTGGCAAGCCAGCTCCCCGCAGCCTGGGTGGGCTGCTTGCCCATCGGACCTTTTGCGCTCCAGCAAAGAGGCCAGCTGCACGATCGCCGTCCAAGCGCGGGCTCGAGCGCGCAGGCATCCCTGAGCGAGCCCTCCGCCGTCGCCACCTTCCTTGTCGGGCAGCATTAAATACAAGTCCCGCCGTCCGCCAGCCTAGCAGCGTCGCCCTCGTCACCTCTCCACGTGCAAGACGCGTTGACCGTCCGCCTGCCACTTCACTGCTCTGCTCCGCTACGTGCGGGCACGGCTCCGTCGGCGCTCGTGTCCGTCGAGTGGCAGACGCTATCGACTCCTACAGTTTGAATCCTCTCGACTTGCAAGCCACCGAACCCCCACGTCACCGCGCTTGCACGTCATACCGCCAGCGCCACGCCGAGAGGCCACCAGACGACCCGCAAAGCATCGAGACGACTGGCCTTTGGCCGTTTGGCACGCGCTAAAGCAAGCATAAACGTTTGCTCGCCCATCCGGCATCCGGCATCCGGCACCTGGCACCTGGTACATATCGAATGTCTCGAACCTGTTCGACGGCCGCGTCCGGGAGTCTTGAGACGGCAAGTGTTCGAGCCTCCGGACCCGTTGGAGGTCCAGCGTGCCGCCGAGCATTCCGTTGGCCCTGCGTTGCCCCAAGTACCAATCCCAGATCCGACCGCGTGTTGCCTCGTAGCCTAAATGCTGGATTCCCCTTTCACGTCCCGGCGCCAAGGTAAGAGCGCCGTGCGCTTCTAGATCCTCAGTCGAATCATACTTTTTCCCGGGAGCGGTTGCACTGTCAAGCAGCTACGCGCCATCGCTGCCGAAGCTTACTGTTTAGGGCTCGGGCTCGAATGCACTTTGACGTACTCATGTAGCGTGAGCACTCCCCTCGGTGCATGTCCTTGCGCAGGTGGCTGGCTTTCGTTTCAAGCTCGTAGACGTATGCTCGGACGGACACTTAGCCACGCCGGTGTGGCCTAGCTCGAACAAGTGCCCGCGCACAGCCGCATCTACAAGCCTTCTCCTAATAGCACGGTTTCCTTCAATTCCATTATTATTCTCCATGCCAACGCCACGCACGCTAGTTTGAACCTCGGTCCGGCGACGCTGTACTAAAAAAGACCCCCAGCTGAAACCCCATGTCTCACGTCTATCCAATTCCCAATCGAAGGCCGCAACTCCACTACGGCCGATAGAAAGAGCGCCAGGGAAGGAGGGATGTGGCGGCGATGGAGGACGGGCCCGGGTAAGACAACGATTACTAGTTTCGGCCTTGTTGCTGCATTCTGTACGATTGTCGTCACGGGGGAACGGCACTACTTTGAAGCGTCACGCGCTAGGCCTGCCCCCTCCCCTGCTTCTACCGCCCCCAAATATTGTTCAGCCGGTCAGCGCTTTCGTGCATTAGTCTCCAGACATGTCTGTCTTTGCTTTTTCCCCACGACCCGGGTGCTCAAGAAGAGGCAAGGAGGTGGTAATGACGAGGGGGGCCGGGACGCGCGCGAACGAACGGATCTTTGGTTTTCTGCAACCACGTGGTCCATTTGCTGGGGAAGGGAAGGGCCATGTCTTGCTGCGGACTTGGCGCCGATGGGATGGATGGGCTGATACGATCGCCATTTACTCCAATGATCCTTCGACTAATTCCACCGCTGCTACAGCCATATTACTGCCGATCGAAATGGCTAAATTAATCACCAAGCCAAGCAATATACTAAGAACAACTGCACTCATCGTGCTTACGTGTTCGCATGATTCCTCAAGTCATCCGCCATCGTCATGTGAGGTGCAGAGATAGTCAGTAGCCACATTAAAAAAATTGAAGTGCTTCATTATTTAGCATGATTGCTTCAACATTGCTAAACAGCAGAATGTAATTTGGGTATATCCCGTCAAGGTTGCTATATTTTTCCTGCGTGAGCAATTAGAGCAATGCTTCGAAAGTGTTTTGAAGCTGTACATACAAATGCATCAGGCAACGAATTCCATTGCCCACGGAAGCCAGGTACGGTACCGCGGCGAGATAGGTGTAGGTGCTCGATTCTTTTGCTATTGGCTGTGCGTCACCTTGATTCCCACGCATTCGTGCCAATGAATATCAAGTAAAAGTTACAAGCAATCGATTAATGTGACCGTCTCGCTAGTTATCTTCCACGAACCTTCTCGCTCTCAAACCAACCATCGACAGACAAATAATCCAAACACATCGTCCAAAATCGTCTCATGATCATTCATCACCCAAATCGCTCCTATCCCCCCACCTCTTCATCCCCCCGCCCCGGCTTCCGCTTCCGCCTCAACCTCAGCCTCAACCTCAGCCTCAGCCTCAGCCTTGTTTCCGTCTCCACTGGCCACTTTCTCCTCCTCTGCAAACTCCACCGGCAACCCCATTCCAGCCGTCACACCCCGACCTTCTTCGCCCCATCCATCCGCAGTTCCATAGTAGTCCTCTCTGCCCCCAGCCTCCAGCAAGACCGCCTCCGAAGCCGACTTATCCCCACTCTCGCCGCCGCTGAACACGCCCACGCCAACCGTCACGCTCTTCCAATCGGGCACGACCTGCACGCACGCGTGCTGGCTGATGAGATCCATCTCGCAAGTGATCAACTGCTGATCTCCTCCAGCCCTGTCCCTGCTCGCCTCCCTCGACACAATACCGCTGCTCGTGGCGGTCTTGTCCTCTCGCGGGACGGCTCTGATGGACACGCTCGGCAGCCACCGCGGGTAGCCCTCGCGCAGCGGCACGAGCGTGAGCGGGAACTTCTTGATTTCGCCCTCGCGAGCCTCGAACTGCACGCGGCGCGCGCCGCCCAGCAGCCAGACGTTGGGATCCGCATCGATCTCGTAGACGAAGCAGACGGGGTCGTCGGGCGCGGCGAGGTTGGCCGCCTTGGCCAGCGCTGCCGCCTCGTCCCACTTGCGCGTGTGCTTGATGCGAAGCGAGGCAGTTAGCGGGACACCCAGCGGCGCGATGGGCGGGGTGAAGGCCGGTGACGGGACGGGCGTGGTGAGGTCAAGGTGGGCGATGTTGAGGATCTGCACGCGCGGCACGGCAACGGTGATGGTGATGCGGCGCGTGATGGGCGCGATGATGGCCTCGGTGCGGTCTTTCGGCGGCGTGACGTCGATGGCGGGGTTGTTCCTGTGCCACTCCTCCAACCAATCCTGCAATTCCTCGCGTATGCTGGTTGGGAGACTACCGATCGTGGCCGGCCAGCCGGCGTCCTCGAATGAGCCGCAGCGGAGCTCGTCGTCGAACGAGGCCCGGTGCCAATCCTCCGCTGTCAGAGTTACCTTCAGATTCTCCCACAGGCGGGGAAATAGTAGCCTGCCCAAGTAGGCAAACTTGCTCTCCTGGAGCGACTTGGAAAAGTGTTCTTCCAGCTTTTCGTAGACGTGGTCGTCAAGACAACGGTAGTTGATGCTAAGGGAAAGATTGGAATCCGCGGCATTCGCCAAGCTGGTGCCCTCTTTCCTGGAAATGCGATATACAAATGCAGGTGGCTGACCCGGGCGTACCGGATTCCGAGATCCATAGAGCTTGGCTGGATCGACATCGAACGCAGGCGTGCCCTTAAGCTGGATGTTCAACACGTCCAAGGGTACGTGATTGGACGTGGTGACTTTGAATGTGGAAAGGAGCATGCGCTCCATGAATTGGTCATGCACATTGACATCGAGTGGCAACTCAATATTTATGGTGCAGTTGTCTCGGAACTCGTGTTCCCCTTGCTCCGTGTGGTAGATAATCTCGAGCTTGATGTGGAGATCGGAAAGGTTTGCCTCTAGCTCGTACGGGATGCTGATTTTCATAGCGGTCTGTGGCGCCATTTCTGAGAGCCCGAAGACGCCTGGGCCCGGTCGATCTGTGATTTTGCCATCTCCATCAAACACCTTCGCATTGGCAGTGCGTAGCCTTAGTCCAGCTGATGCGGCTTTCATATGTACCTCGGCTTTGGTGACGTTGCTTGCAAATGTGCGGCAGTCCAGCTCTAATGACTTGATTTTGTCGATGTGGACTGCGCGTGCCACTGTCAACTTGGCGTCAAATGCGTCGGCGCGGGGGTAGGTGAGAACGCGGTATTTTTTGGGCACCTTCGAGCTCGACAAGGATGCACCGGGAATAGAGATACCCAGTGACTGTAGGGTCTCTTCTTTCTTGGTCGTCTCAAACGTGAAGTGGATCTTCTTCGCTTCCAAAACGACTTTGTCAACCGCGTAGTAGCCGAGAGTGACGACCTGATCTTGTTAGAAGTCGCTTGCGAGGAAGCTTGCCGCCCAGAACTTACATTTGTGTGAACCCAGGCAATGACCTGTCCTTGCTTTACGTCAAGTTTTTCCCTCGTTTCTAACCAGATGTCTCGATTCTCGCCGGGGTCCATGCTAACAAGACGAATTTTCGCCTTCTCCACCTCTACATCGTCTTCGAGAAGATGGCGGAAAGTGAGCATCATTTGAAAACCATCGTGGTCGGGATAATGTTGAATGTAAGGGTTTACGACGATATCGGAGAAGTAGCGGTTCATCGGCGCAGTGACATCGTACGGCAGTTCGCCCGAAAAGGTTACCAGTTCATCAAGGATGCCTGTCGTATCTAATCGATCATCGTCGAGCCATGGGGTATGAACCGATCCCCGGCGCATCTTGAGAGAGACAGAAGGTTTTCTGTTGGCTGCTGATTTGGCCAAAAGATCGAGAAGTACCCTGACATACTCGTCCTTTCGATTAAGCTTTTTGAGACACTGAGCGTACATCTTCAGCATGGTGACCTCCACAAGGTTCCACCTGTTCTGCGCGTACAACGGTGCCATTCGACTGAAATACGTCGCCGCTGCGGAGTAGTCTCCGGACTCACTGCATATTGATCAGTGACATCAACTAAAAGTGACGAAAGAAGGCTTACAATTTTAGTGCAGCGAGATCTCCCATTATGCTCTCTGCGGATTTAGACCTACTTGCTGCGAGATAATGCTTGACGGCAAGGTCGCTCAGTTGCTAAGGGGTGTGTTAGCAATCGCCTCCAACGAATCGGGGGTCTTCAGTACCTCGTAGATGTTCCTGAAGTCATCGTTGGACTCCAATGCTCCCCGGAGCGTGCTTTCGCAGATACCCGCAATATTTCCATCTTTGAAACCTTTGGTGTCACCATTTCGCTCCTCTTCCCCTTCAGGTACTGGCTCTGGCTTCTCATCGTCGAGAGAAACATCGCTGAACTTGTTTTCTTCGTGCTGCGCAGCTACCGCGGCCCAGCCAAGGAGCCAGCTCAGCTTCTTCCCAAGACGCTCTAATATTCTTCTCTGGACGAGATACAATTCTGCACGATGTGCGGCGAGCTCGGGCTGACCAGATTTTGCTTGCGTGCCTATGCTGGAAGCCTGGTCTTTTTTCCCCAACTGATTTCCCGTGCTGTTGAACCTACTATGCTCATATACAGCTTGCCCCGCACGGCTGGAGGATGAGGCCAAGTCTTGGACCGATGCACGACGGTCGAGCAATGAACTGCTCCTCTTCGGATGAGCTAGGCTCTTATTTTCAGGAACAGAAACTTTGAGGTCCTGCTTGGGCCCCAATTGCTTTCCTGGCATCGAACCGGAGGTTTTGTCAAATGTTGTGATTGGGAGGTAGGACGATGCGGTATCGTCCAGAATTTGCTGTGCAACAGCATAGCTCCACGAAGACACGAAATTGTCTATGACTTCGGCGGAAACCGGCTCTACCTCGTTCCCCACCCTGGCGCAATGTTAGCTAGTTGCGGCCGTTGGTCTGTAGTCTGGCTTACGCATGAGTGAGATCATCTCGTAGTATGTGCGCTGCAATATTTAGAAAGCTCATTGCCCGACGGCAAAGCTCCCCCAACGAGGTGAGATCTTCGGTCTCATGCTCTTCCTGGCCAGTCCGTGTCCCCAAGAAAAAGTCATCCGTGGATGCCTTGGCTTGCTGAGCCGTCGACGGCCGAGAATTGGGTCTGGAACTAGGCCTCGAGCTGGAGAGGAACTCTGACCTTGAGATGGAAGCATTGCCAAGTCGTAGGAGGAGCGCCATCTGGCGTGAGAATATGTAACACCTGAAATCGAAGATTGAAATGTTATTAGAGAGGATCATGCCTCGGTAATCCTTTCGCGAGGAGCTGATGGGCTTCTCGCCAAAAGGGTTGGTTCCCGGTGTCTTTCTACAAACAAGGAACTGCTTCTTGACATCTTCGGTGTTTTCGAGAAAGGAACCGCCATATCCGTCAGCCGCGTGCTCACGGACAATGGTGTCAAGGCCCACGGAGAGCTCATCGTAGCCGACGAGCGCATCGTCCACGAGACCCACGCTTTCGAAACCCCTTGCAAGACCTTCTTTCAAGACAAAGAAAGTATTGAAATTCCAACCGGGCAGATGGCGTTGCGCGTCCTTTTCCTTGATATCTTCCTCGTACTGGCTGACCCGAAGATCAAAGGACGACAGGATCAGCGTCTTGAACTTGATGATGGTATCGCTCCAAGAATTGAGAATCTCCTGAGGGCTATCGTTATAGGGGTTGGAAGTTTGGCCAATACCAGGAGGGATTAGGTGCGGCGGGATGTCCTTCATCTCCAGGCGGATCTGGGAGATTCGATCCGGGGCGGACTTGCTGGTGCCGTTGAAGTCGGAGCGGATCTTCTCAAAAATGGTGGTGGACCCACGTCCTGGCCATCGGGAAGCGCTGGCGGACTTCTCAATGGCTCCAGTGGAGGCGCTGGCGGAGCCGCTGAGGCGAGGCTGCGCAGCAGCGGGCGTGTCGGGCAGCACCACGTGCAGAACCAGCCATTCGAAGGCGTCGTGGTTTTCCTGGGTGCTCTTGGTGCCACTTTCGGAGGCCGGAGTGTTCTCCTTTATCCATTCGCGCAGGAGCTTGCGGGACGAGACCTTGTAGGTGTCGTTGTCATCGCAGCGCAGAATGAAGATCTTGAGATAGGGCGTCTGGCTCAGGCCGGGGATTTGGTGGCGACGACGGCCCGGACGGCCATCAGAGGAGCCCGGGCGCAGAGACGAGGCAGAGGCGGCGCGGCTTCTGCGGCCATCGCTGGAAGGCGGCGGCAGCGACTTTAGAAAGTCGTCGGTGGGATCGCGGCCAGGCACAAAGTCCACGTGCAGCGAGTCAATGGAACGCAGCGGGCGGGCGGGGGATTTCCAGTGCAGGTTGCGCAAGGGCAGACGAGCCCTCAGATGCGGCTCCAAGATGTTGAACAGGCCACTTGGGTCGTGGTACTCGACTACACGGAGGGGTTAGGCTGGGTTGGGCATGGCTGCAAGCTGGCGACATACCCGTGACCTTGGAGCTGGAGGAGGAAGCCATGATGTCCAGGGCGTGACGGGATGCGCGGCGCTGGTCGGCATGCCCCTGGCGCATCAAACGGCCCTTGGCAGCTGCAGTCTGGCGGAGCGGCGCAATTTAATGGACGCAGCTGGGGTTGGGGTTTGGACTGCGGCAGCCGGTGAAGGGGTGCGCCCGGGGCAGGCTGGGCCAGGCCGCGAAGGGAAGATGTGGATCAGCGGACCCTTCGTCCCTGGTCGCTGTCGCTGCCGCTGCCCCACACGCTGGCCCGCGCAGCTGTCGCGGCTGTCGTAGCTGCCCGTCGCAACCACGCCCGACGACATCCCGCCCACGCTCCTTCCGCGCCTGCGCCTGCCTGGCTCAGCCTGAACCCTCACGCCTGCTGCTGCCGTTGGCCGCGCTGCCATGCCCGAATCCTCCTGCTGCTCCGCCTCGCGCCGCTGCCCGCCCGCCCACTCACAACCCACCGCCATCGCTTCCCTATACTCTTTCCGCTTTCAGCTTCCCGCCATGTCGCAGCGCTGCCACGCCCACGCCCTCTGCCCACTGCTCTGCGCTGCTTCCAATTTGCCCGCCATGCGTGTGCGTGTCCACTCAGTCCGTTCCGTGAATAAGCCTTGAGCTTGCCATCCCGCCTTTTGCGCATCACTGTCTATATAGACTCGCCGTGCTAGCCCATGCCGCTTTTCGTTTGAGTTCATCTCCAGCGCTTCAATCTGGTCACCTTCACCGCCACAGGCTTTCTCCCCGCCGTTCTCATCGCCACTTGCTGCATGATCCTTCTCTACCATGAGCGGATATGCTCAAGGAAGCTTGTGGTATTACGCCCCCAGCAAAGCGGCACCCGTCGTCTTCATAATCCTGTTCCTTGTCTCCGGCCTCGTACACCTCTACCAATGCTTCCGATACAAGTCGTGGCGCATCACACTCTTCCTCCCCTGGGCTGCCCTTATTATGAGCGCCGGCTTTGCAACGCGCCTGGCCGGTGCCTACCACTTCGACAACCTGAGTTTTGTCATCGCTTCAACCGTGCTAGTCATGTCCGGACCGCCCGTGTATGCTGCGAGCAACTATCTGGTCTTCTCGCGGCTCCTTTTCTATGTTCCATACCTGTCCCCAATGCACCCAGGCCGCGTCCTGACCACCTTCCTCGGCCTCGACGCCCTCATCGAAATCCTCATCAGCAACGGCGCAGTTCGCATCTCCAACGCCTCCCTCACCGATGCGGAGCGCAATGTCGGCGACATCATGGTCAAAGTCTCACTCATCACGCAAGCCCTCATCTTCTTCGCGCTTGTGGGCCTCGCAATCCAATTCCACATCCGCGCCCGCCGCGCCGGCGTCCTGACGCCCAAGCTGCGCACCGTACTCATCGTCCTCTACACTACCTCCGCGGCCGTCTCCATCCGCTGCATCTACCGCATCGTCGAGTACTTTGAGGGCTACAGCGGCATGCTCTTCACGCACGAGTACTTTTTCTACATCTTTGAGGCCGCCCTCATGTTCCTCACCACTCTCATATTGAACATCTGGCATCCGGGCGCCCGCATGCCGCGCTCCAACAAGCTCTATCTCAGCCAGGACGGCGTAACGGAGCTGCGCGGGCTGGGCTGGGGCGACAACCGCAATTGGGTGATCACTGTTTTCGACCCCTTCGACCTGGTCGGGCTGTGCCGAGGCAACGACAAGCGGACAAGGTTCTGGGAGATGACGCCTGAGGAGATCGCGACGCTCGAGGCGGAGCAGAAGAGGAATAAGCGGAGCGGGTGGAAAGTCGCGCTCGATCCGTTCAACTTTCACGGAAAAAACGGCGCTATCTCGAAGCGAGCAGGGAAGCACGGCACAGGAGGCGGAACAGAGAACAAAGAGGGTACTTTGGGTGTGGAAAGGGCTGTATCTCCCAAGAGAGACGTGGGTGATGCAGTCTGATTAAAGTTGCCTGTGACGCTAGCACCACGTAAAACATGTAATCCATCTTCTGTCCTCCAAGTTCGACTTATGATTGGCCCATCTATTATATGAATATCTATTGAGGCAATATTTATGGTGCATTGGGGACAGACCTACCTGCGGAACCGGTTGGAGTATGCATTACCGACGGATAGCAAGCACAACGCAACGCACTTGTCAACGGGCATGATCGAGAATAAAGTAGGTGATATTATTGGCAGACATGCAGTATGGACTTTCCACATGCCCCATGCTGTCTGACATAGAATTCATACCGCTTCGTTGTAAGCGAACATACACGACTTTACAAGAATTTCCGATCCAACGCCCTCACTTTCGTGGACACATCTAGACGATCTAGGAAACGCGCACCCCGTGCACATGAGAAGCATCTCCAGGCCGCCAGGTTTCCTCTGCCCTGGTGCCTGGCGGCAGCCACCCCACCCCGCTCTCCCTTCTAGGTCTACCCGGCCCTACGTCATCATTCTTCTTATCGTCCTTGCTGAAACCATTCGCAAATCCATTGGCGTACGAGTGCTGCGCCATGGGGGAGCCGTTGGAGCCCTTGTTATTCATCTTTTCGAGAGAAACCGGAAGCAGCGACTCTTGCTTAGCGTGTAGCATCTTGGCCTTGTGGTCGGCCTTGTTGTCGCGCGTGCGGTCATAGAGATACAGGCCTAGGAAAGTCAAGGCAAAACCAACCGCCTGCACGTGGGTGACGGGCTTGCCGAACCAGATGATGGCGAAGACAATGACGAAAACACGCTTGATCAAGCTAGCGACCGAATATGTAACGGGCGACACCATGGAAAGGAGGACGAACGCGACCAGGTTTTGGCCGAAGTGGAAAGTTCCGTTGAAAATGTACTCCAAAACCAGGGGGCCATGGTCCAGAGAACCAGGCTTGACGTTGAGGTCGATTGACGCATCGTATAAGAAATCTCCCAAGATACCAATGCCTTCCGAAAAAAACCAGATCGGCGCTGTGAAAATGAAAGCCAAGCCAGCCGAGTAACAAAGCAAGTTCAGCTTGTCAGGCTTCCTACGTTTCACTGGCTGGTTGTCTTGCTCAGCTTGCTCGGCTTCGTTGAAGAGCTTCTTTGACACGATGTTCTGGGTGACGAAGAGCAGCGCGCTACCGAACGCGCTGATCAATCCGATGAAATTTCCCTTTCCGGAAAAGTTCGCGGAACAGGCCATGATGACGCCAAAGGTCAGTGGTATCAATGACAAGTAGGTGGTGGGCGCATAGCGGATGTTGAAGTAGAAGCGATAGGCCAAAACGGTGAACAAAGGCGAAAGACCTTTGATGGTATGAACTAGCGAGACCGGGATGCGAGACATGGCATCGGAGCTTAGGATATGGCCGCCAATCTGAAACAAGGTCAAAGGAAGGGTTGTCATGATGAGATCCCTATCTGGAGAGCGAATGCCATATTTCAGAGCTGGGATTATGACCTTCAAACGCGGGAATATTTTGGCCAGCCAAGCCAAAACCAGACACCACGAGGACACGAAGGCGAATTGTATGAGCGTCAGGGTGACAGGCTTGGGGAAGGCGGTAAGGATAGCTTTCGAGGACGTGTTTGACAAGATGGAAGTCGAGTACCATATACCGCAGAGAACCTAGGGCGGTTAGCACAGGTGCAAGTGGGATGCGGTCTCCGTGAGGAACGTACTATGAGCTTGGCCGACACAGGAGCCCTCAGCGCATCGGCAATCTCATGCGCATTGGCGCTGACGCTTCCTCGGCGACCTTTGATGGTCCTGATGGCCTCGCTCAAACTCTTCTGGCGTCCGTGTCTCGTGCCTGTGCCTGTGCCTGTGCCTGTGCCTGTACCTGCGCCTGCGCCTGCGCCCGCATTTCCGTTGGCCCAGCGCGAGCCCTTGTCCTTTCGCGGATACCAGCGGTCGCCCGGCGGAAATCCGTTCTCGCCATTTTTCAGCGGGCTCGGCGAGCGCACAGGGATTCCGATATCGAGCGCGGTCTCCTCCTGGTGTGGGGGCAGCACGTCGGGCTGAAAAGCAGGGAACTTGAAGGTGCTCGGGGACGCAGAAGCCGAGGAACGCCCCTCGCCGTGGGTGTGGGAGTTGTTTGCCATAAGGCCGGATGGATGTCGCTATCTCAGGTGTCGCTCAAGCCATGGGAGTGGTCAGAGAGCGGGCGGAGCGGCGTTGTGGGCGGGCGGGCGAGCGAGCGGACAATGGCGCAATATGCCGTCGGCGGGAGAGGCGATGGCAACGTATCTCGTTCGGGAGTCTCGTGTTCGGCGGGTGACAGCGATGGCGACGCACGCAGGATAGACACGAGCGTCCGGGAGCGGACAGGGAGCGGGGCGAGCGCGCTGTCGGCGTCGAGACGGGGCGTGAGGCTCTGCAGATGGCGAAGTCCGAGCGGTGTTGCGCGCTGCTCGGGCAAGTCCAGAAGTTGAATGAATGGACCGACAGCAGTTATGCAACGCGCGGCTTCAACCATGGATTTTTATGCAAGCTAGTGTCATCCCTCTCGCGCTACGCCCGGACAGGCAACTCCCTGCCACTCCAACCTCACGTCAACACCACCCGCAGCCATCACCGCTTCTCCCCACTGCCATTCATGCCTGCGCGCGTTGCTTCTTCACCAGCATGGCACGTTCTCTGCTCGCAGCGTATTATGCCGCCATCTCTCTCGCGTGCGCCGTCCGTGCCACGCGGGTGATGGAGTCCTTCATGGTACCGCTGCGGAATGTCTTTGCGAAATCTATCTCATGGGACGCTCCTGCTGTCGAGTTTTCCCCGCTTTGGCAGGTGCTTGGCCCGTTCCAGATCGGCACACGGGGTTAGCCGTCATCCGCTCATGATGTTGTAATCCTTTGGATATTGATGTTCTGCAGAGGGCCCGTGGGGCGCTGATCCACTCGAGTACTTTGGCGGCTTTCGCGCGTTAGAGTTCAACGAGTCTGCCACATTCAAGAGTTCTCTACCTGCCAATGCATCTGCCCGATGGTCCACTCTCGACGCCACCAATGTAGAAAGCAACGAGGCTGGAGCGAACGCATCCCTGGCACTGGCCTTCTCCAACGTGGACTGGCAATTTCTGCAAGCTGTCTATGGCTGGTCTGCTTTGCAATACCAGTCATGGGCCCGTGGGGAGATTATTGTCAACGGCGATGCAATCCAGACCGTGGTCCTCTATACCGATTGGATCCTTGAATTCTGGGTTGACGGGAAGCTTTATTTTGGAGGAGACTTCTATTCTTACCGGAAAGCGCCCCCCGTGCTGCACCTGAGTCCGGGCACCCATCGGCTTGATTTGAGGATGTGGCGAGACGTCCGGTCATTTGGGGGCATTACCGAAGGCGATCCCCAAATCACAGCCGATATCGCTCTCCAGATATGCAAAGGCTCATTGGAGGTAACGCAGGAACGGATAAAGATACCAGATGTCATAGATGGCAGATTCTCTAGCGAATATGGCTCGGTTGCTGTACGCAACACGGGTCTGGACACTGTTCGTATTCTGGGTGTCAGGCCCCAAAACAGTGTATGCTTCGCATTTCCTCTTAGCTCTCTAAATTGAGCTCGGTGTTTCTGTAAGCCCCTTTAGATTGCTGACATTGGCTATAGAGCGACTGGGAAGTGGCTCCGGATAATATTTCTCAGCTTGAAGTTGTCTCTGGCCAGACAAGGCCAATCTCATTCAGGCTTGCCCTAAAGGATCCGACGATCTCCGAGTTGCGACTGGAGATACTTTACACCTACGACGGCGCCGAATCGAACCTGAGTGCTCCGGGCGTACAACCGGTCGTCAAGAAATCCACTTATGATCCTCACAAGTTTACCTTCAAGCATCCAGGTGGAATCGTTTCGTACGCGATGTTACGTCCGCCTGCCAAAAACGCCACCTGTGGCTTACAGGGATCTGCTCCTGTCCTGCTTGGACTTCATGGAGCGGGGCTTGAAGCAGATGTAGATGGCGTTGCTCGCGCCTTTGATCCTCTCCCAGACCTATGTGCCTGGGTGCTCTTTCCGACGGGAGTGACGCCCTGGAGCGCAGACGACTGGCACGCATGGGGCTTTCCCGACGTTGAGGCAGCTGTTGCCGCTATTCCAGAGTGGATCAAGCACAATGCCTGGAACGGAACAACTGTTGACACAGACCGGTGGCTTGTCAGTGGACATTCGAACGGCGGCCAGGGCACCTGGTACGCGATTACCCATCGGCCAGACAAGATTATCGCCGCGGTCCCGATATCTGGATACTCTTCCATCGAGCGTTATGTGCCCTACGAATTCTGGTCGCCAACAATTGATCCTGGCCGGCAGTCGGTGCTCCGTTCAGCGCTGAACACATATCGACATGAATCCCTCTTTGAGAACTGTGAATCAATACCTATCCTTCAGTCGCATGGCGGAGCCGATACCAATGTACCAACGTTCCATTCTCGGCTCATGAATTTCTTGCTGTCACTACGCGGTAGCAACGCAGGCTACTACGAGATACCTGGATCTGAGCATTTCTTCGACGGTATCATGACTACCGAACCGTTGCGCACCTTCTATCGCACGCACATACCCAACGGCTTGGCTGTCACCAAGTCACTGAAGAAATTCACAATTGTTGTTGGCACACCAGGTGATATGGGGTCCAAAGGGGGAATTACTGTCACGCAGCTCGAGACGCCCGGCCGCTATGGTAGAATGGAGGTTTCCATCGATCCTAGAGATGAAGAGACTTGCATTTACAGCATACAGACGAAGAACATCCTCAGCTTTAGCATTAGCCCACATGAGTGCCAGTCTGCGACCGTCATCGTTCGCAGGCAGAACATGGCTTCATCCGCAACGACACTCGCTGTCGACAGCGGCTCAACACTGACATGGACAAACGACATATGGATGGTGAGTTCAGCGTTGTGATACGGTGATGCAAAACTGACGTGTGCAGCAAACCGACTCTGACCTGCAGACTGCTCGACGTGGCAAGCAACTCGGAGCGATTGATGCAATTTTGCGCTCTAATGGGACGTTCAGCATCGCAGGCTATGGTGTAGGTACCGATGAGTTGGCGTTGCAGATTTCGCGCAACCTTTATACGTACTTCTCAGCGGACTCTACCATCAGTGGCTCGGCGGGTCCGGGTAATTCAATCACGGTTGCCGTAGGGACTGAGCTCCCAGCCAGGCAGGACGACCAGTTTCCTATCCAGGTTACAGATTCAGGGTTGCTCCTCGTGCGGGCACCGTCAGGCGAAGAATACCTCTTTGGCGAGGAAGAGGATGTGGCGGCGATCTACCTACGACCTGGTACCACGGGCCAAGAGAGCCTGGAGCTTGTTGTGTGGGGAGGAACAGCCCGGACTGCGGCGATAGCGGCGCGGCTGGTACCGACCCTGACAGGCGTCAGCCAGCCTGATTTCGTGGTGCTGGCTGGGAGCAGCAGTTGGAAGGGCGCCGAAGGTGCTGTGGCCATGGGCTTCTTCGACGAGCGGTGGAACATCGCAAGCACGTCCTTCTTTGCTTAGGTAGGCGTGCCTCACTGTAGCTGTCGAACAAAAATCAGCCTCAGGCACCTACCCTTAGGGCTAGTGAGCGGCGCAGGTGACGTGCGGTGGCGGGACGTGACAGTCGCGTCCGCGTGTGAAAGCGAAGGCGCGCTGCGGCTCAGGGTCCATAAAGGCAGCTTCCCTTATGCCGCCAACGCGACTTCCTCCAACACCTCTATTCCTCCCTCCTCCTCTCTTGCTTGTTTGCTTGGCCAAGCGTCCCACTGACGACCTGCCGCGAGCTTTTGGCAGCTCGGCGTTGCAAGTCGCGCATCGTCACCTTCCCCCGCGTCCACTGCCCGCACCTTCGCGTTCTTTCCGGTCGCCGCGGCGCCTCGAAGATCTTGGTGAGCAGGCCACCACCCATTCACGCTGCTACCTTCAGAGTCAGCGGCCCGGACCCGAAATCTAGTGCTCGCTGACACTACCCTTGCCTTCTTCCTCTTCTGCTCATCATCCACTCCACTCCACTCCACTGTAACCCACTCCGATCTTGTCTGATCTACACACGATTCGATCTGAGTCCAAGTCACTGACACCCGACCGACCAGAACCCGCTCGTGAGACGCTTCTCACGCCACGTATATTACGTTTGGTTTTACTCTTTACCATCCATCCTCTTCAAGTTCCTGCCAGCTGTACCCAGTCGATTGTACTTGCTCCTCAATCACTTCGGAAACATGGCTGGCAACGGATCTCCTATTCCGCGCAAGGCCTCTCCCTCGCCGTTCGGTCTGCGCAGCGACGAGAACGGATCTGACTCGTCGCCTATCACCTTTGCAGGCAGCGTGGTAAGTGCTCTGCTCCATCCACCCTTCCCGACTTCCATGCCTTCCATGCTCTTGACAGCCTGTGGATTTGATGCCAACTCTATCTCAGGGTGCCAAGAGGAACAGCCAGACATTCGCCCGTACTGAGTCACCGCTCCCATTGACTACCTCAAAGCTAGGAAACCAGGCTTCTCGTGCCTCAAGCCACAAGCCTTCCAAGGTAAGCCATGTCGATAGCTTCGAAGGCGTGGACATTGTCGCTGACTACCTGGCGCAGATGCTGAAGACAGAATCGTCTCCGGAATCCACTTCTGGCAGCGAATCCCCCATGAACACTCTACTCGCCAAGTTGTCCGAGCAGCAAACCATCTTGGACAGGCAGAAGAACCTGGTCGTCGCTACTGAGCCCCTAGTTGGAGGCGTTCCGCAAGATCCTCTCATGGTCGGCGCCGCGCCAGTAAGTGCCAGTAGCTGCGAGATCAAGATCTACCTGGACCATGACTATGTTCACCCTCATCTTCGTTCGCCGCTCACTGCGTTTCAGATCGATTCGTCGTCCAACGGTGGCAACTCGATCTCCGCTACGCCTGACAAACCCAACACTCCGGCGACCGACGCTGGCGAAGGATACGTTGACAACCTCCCCAAGCCCGACCCCGTTGCATTCTTTCGCATGCAGAAGGAGCTTGCAATTGCGAAGCAGGAGCTCAACCGCATGGATACGGAGCTTTCTCAGACTCGAATCGCCAATCACACTGTCAATCAGGCTCTTGGTCCTCAGTCGGATGCCGGATATGAAACTCACGGCCACAGCCCTGAGAAGACGGTCCCTTACACCTTTAACTCTACTGTCAAGGTCGCACCCGCTTTGTCCCGTCAGGACACATGGTCATCCAGTGACGATGCACCTGCTGCAGCAAGCGAGACGTTCCCGACTGGCAACTTCAACCGTGGCCGTGGCTCCACTAACCATGCCATCTGGAACAACGGCTTCAAGTCCAACCTCCCTTACCAGATGACGACGCCGTTCGACCAAGCTTCCGCTTACGGTGCGAGCGCATGGAATACCGGTGGACGCCAAGGTTTCGGTGCTGGTGTTGGATTCCCCATGAACCACCAACCTGGCTATGGACCCATCCAGCCGCAGCAGTACGCTATGCCGGGCTCCATGGATAGTGGCTATCGCGGCACTCCCCAGCTCATGGATGATGCGACTCACTACCCCATTCCACGCATGAACCCTCCCAGCAGGCCGACCTCGGCATTTGGAGGACGCAACAATGGCTGGAGTGGCAACTATACGTACAACGCCCCTATTGGTGGCCCCCGATTCAGCCCGCCGCACATGCAGAACAACGGCATGTACCAAGCCCCGGGTGCGTACCAGGCCGGCCCCATTGGCAGCCGGCTGTCCCCTACTGCCGCTGAGTTCAACGTTGTGAACGACGCCAAGCCTGTCTGGGGAGCTCCTGGCGACCAGTCGGGTTCCACATACATCTCTCCGAACGAGCCGATCAACTATCGTCGCCTTCTTGACCGCAATATGAACTGCAACTGGGATCTGATTGTCAACAAGATTGTCCACAACAACGACCAACAGGCTTCGATTTTTCTTCAACAGAAGCTCAAGGTTGGCACTGCGGAGCAGAAGTTTGCTATTGTGGAGTCCATTATCGCGCAGGCCTACCCGCTGATGATCAACCGCTTTGGAAACTTTCTCGTTCAGCGTTGCTTTGAGCACGGCACCCAGGAGCAGGTCATCGCAATTGCGCAGGCCATTCGCGGTAATACGCTCCAGCTCAGTATGGACGCATTTGGCTGCCATGTGATTCAGAAAGCCTTCGATGCTGTCCCGGAAGAGTATAAGGCGATCATGGTCCACGAGTTACTCCGCCGCATTCCCGAGACTGTGGTTCACCGTTATGCATGCCATGTCTGGCAGAAACTCTTCGAACTCCGCTGGAGCGATTCTCCTCCCCAGATCATGAAGTACGTCAATGAGGCTCTCCGCGGCATGTGGCACGAAGTCGCTCTTGGCGAGACAGGCAGTCTTGTCGTCCAGAACATCTTCGAGAACTGCCTTGAGGAGGACAAGCGTCCTTGCATTGAGGAGGTCCTTGCCAGTATCGACATAATCTCCCATGGCCAGTTCGGTAACTGGTGCATTCAGCACATTTGCGAACACGGAGCTACGCAGGATCGCACTCGTGCCATCGATCACATTCTCCATTACGCTACGGAGTACAGCATGGACCAGTATGCTTCCAAAGTCATCGAGAAGTGCCTCAAGATTGGTGGCACTGAGTTTCTCGACCGTTATCTTGAGAGGGTCTGCGAAGGCAGCGCCAATCGTCCTCGCATGCCACTCGTTGATATCGCCGGCGACCAGTTCGGCAACTATCTTATCCAGTACATCTTGAGCAACTCCAGCCCGCAGCACCGCGAGATTGTGGCTTCGCACGTTCGCAAGCACATGGTTTCCCTCCGTGGTTCCAAGTACGGTTCCCGCGTAGCGATGCTTTGCAGCAACCCTGCTTATGCGACGCGCCCGGGCCCTCCTGCGGGCATGCAGTTGAACCGTAATAGCAGCTACAGCCATGGTCGCGGCTATGGTGGCTACCGCTAAATTCGCATCGTCTTCGCTCTGGCCAAGTCAAGAAGACAGCGTCGTCACGATCTTAACGCCTGAAAATTGATACGTGTATGTATCAGCCACCTTTCGCGGCTCTCTCATGTCGAGCTTTTCATTACCGAAATTTCTCGACTGTTCTCTGATCGTATGCGTCTTGGTATAGTCAGACCGACTTGCCTTTCTGCCGCGCACAGCCGGGACAGACAAGGTAGCCTTTTTCTCATTTCCGATGTTTATATCAACTACAGTCAGCATGATATCAGCAGCAGCGGCTGCAGCTTTCATTTTGCTCTTCCGGGATTTGTTTTTTTCACACCAGCTCTTGTTTTCTACTGCAATCGTGCCATCTTCAAGCTTACGGATCGTCACGAAGCTCCGAGGCTCGTTGGATGCGGCAAGCAACAAAGGGCAGTTTTCCTTCGTGGTCAAAGGTTGGCTTGTTCGCCTTTGGCATAGCAGCACTAAAATCTCAATCTTTTTCTGGAAACATCGCCATGGGAAGGGATTTTCTGCTCGTAGCGGCATCTGCGGGTCTTCTCAAGAAAAAGTCCTTTCAGCGGAAGCACGGGTTCGGGGATATTGAGGGATGGATGGACACGGTAATGCGACGGAAGGGGAGGGGATGTTTGCTTCTTTTGCTTATTCTGCTTCTTATCTTCATCTCGGACAACAGTTTCTTTGCGTTCTCTAGTGCAAGCATATCCAAAAAGGGCGTCTCCAGGGACCATTGTGATTGTGATGGCCGGCCTCCGCTCCGGTGATGACGTTCGCTCGTGACTGTGCCGGCACCGAGTCCGAGGCAAGCGGCAGATTCCTGGGCGTGCGGCAAGTCACAAGTAAAGGATCCAAGTGCGCATGTGCGCTGCACCTTTCCGCCAGATGGATTCCTGGGAACAGGAGGCATGCTCTGCTGAGATGCAGCCGGGCGTGGTTCTGCCGGTAGGGGATAAGGACGGAATGAGGACTGGTGCCAAGCGAGACGGGCTCGGGACCAGTGAGCGCGCAGGCAGCAAACGCCATGTCTCGCACGGTATCGCGAGGCCATCGGGGCGATCTCGTGGTTTGTGCTTGCAGGTCAGGGCAACGGCGGGCGGTGATCCAGCCGGCGGAGGGGCAGGGGTCCCCGGGCTCCACGTCGACTGTTTCCGGCTCGCTTGGCCCCCCATCATGCACTCTCTTGCACCTGTCATCAGCCACTCGCCCCAGTCGCAAGTCAAGCCGCGCGTGATCCCTCCGCCAACGCCGTGCTGCCGTCTTCCCAAAAACTTTCCGCGCCGCATTCCTAGGCGAGCGAACAAGCTCTCCACAACACTCGACCGCGGTCCGCAACAATGGCGTCACCGGCCCTGCAGGTTCCCAATGGCTCCGACAACACAGCACACCGTCCCTCGATAACCAGCTCACATTCGATGCCCTCGGTCGTCATGAACGGCCACCTCGCCCCCGTGGGCGACAAGGCCACGCCCGAGCAGTACGAACTCGGCGTCCAGGTCATCGACGAGAACAAGGAGTTCAAGTACACCTGCCCTCGCCGCTCTAACCACCCCCGTACTGACCAGCATGCAGCTCGAATCTCACCAACTATCTGGCTCTTGAGAAAGTCATCCCCGCCGGCTTCAACTACCATCTGATCTCCGTCTTCGGTTCTCAGAGCACCGGCAAATCTACCCTGCTCAACCACCTGTTCAAGACGTCCTTTGGTGTCATGTCCGAAACCGAGCGCCGCCAGACCACGAAAGGCATCTGGATGTCCAAGAATAAGCGTGTGGCCCAGGGCGACAAGACCATGGCCGACAACATCCTGGTCATGGACGTCGAGGGAACCGACGGCCGTGAGAGAGGCGAAGACCAGGACTTTGAGCGGAAGAGCGCGCTGTTTGCCCTGGCCACGAGCGAGGTGTTGATCGTCAACATCTGGGAGCACCAAGTTGGCCTGTACCAGGGCGCCAACATGGGTCTGCTGAAGACTGTTTTCGAAGTCAATTTGCAGCTCTTCGTCAAGGATAGCAGGTACGTGGCAACTTTCATCTTTTGTACAACGTGTGTAGCTGACATGAGATTCTCAGGACTACTACACGCTCCCTCCTCTTCTTCGTTATTCGCGATCACATCGGCAACACCCCTCTCGCCAACCTTAAAAACACTCTTTTGCAAGATATGCAACGCATCTGGTCGACGCTGTCGAAACCGCAGGGCCTCGAGAACTCGAGGATTGAGGACTATTTCGACTTCGCCTTTGCCACGCTTCCTCACAAGATACTGCAACCGGAGAAATTCGTCGAGGATGTGGAGAAGCTTAGCACACGCTTCCGGGAGGGTTACAAGGACCCCAAGACTGCGGGCTTGATAGACGAGGAGAAGCAGCCTGTCTTCCTGCCGGAGTATCACAGACGCATCCCGGCCGACGGTCTCCCGACCTACGCGGATGGTGTTTGGGAATCGATTGTCAACAACAAAGATCTAGACTTGCCAACACAGCAGGAGTTACTCGCCCAGTTCAGGTGTGACGAAATCTCACGAGAGGTGCTCGTTGCATTTGACGAGAAGATCACACCCTTTGAGGAGAAGCAGGCCGAGGGCGTTCGCTCCGGCAAACCCTCTGTTATCACCGGCCTTGGTGATGCTATGAACACTGCCCGCACTGCCGTTCTCAAGGAGTTCGAAACCAAAGCTTCGAGATACCACAAGGGCGTCTACGCACGGAAATCAAAGGAATTGTCTGGGAAAATTGATACTCGTCTGAAGGCATTGTTTGCTGGTCAGTTGACCGCGGCACACAAGTCTGGCGTCTACGACTTTTCCGAAGCCGTCAGCGCTGCCGTGAAATCAGGACAGAAGAAGGGCAGCAACTACGACTTTGCCGAGATCGTGGCTTCCGAAAAGAAGAAGGCCCTATCGACGTTCGAAGAGCATGCAAAAGCTATCGTGGTGGAAGGTGCACCATGGAGCGAGTATGGCCAACAGTTCAACTTGTATAAAAAGGAGCTTGACGACGTGTCGTCACGTCTGCGCAAAGAGGAAATGCGTAGGTTGGCAACTCGCATTGAGCGGTGGGTGCGTTCTCGTCTGAATGAGTCTGTTGGGTTGGAGTTCAATAGGCTGGGTTCGGGCCGGGGAGGTTCTGGTGCTCCAGCAGAGGGAGAGAAGCACACTACGACAACTGAAAAGGAACTGTGGGACAAGATCTGGGCGGTCTTCACCGAGACGGTCTCTCAGGCCGAGAAGCGTTTCACGGAACGCGCAGGCAGCTTTGACGCATCGCCAGACGAGACTGAGGTTGGCCTGTGGCGCTTGAGACGGAAGAGTTGGGGTTGTCTACGGGCGAAGCTCGATGAGGAGATGATGGAGGGTAACCTCCTTCTTAAGCTCCGCGAGAACTTCGAAGACAAATTCCGCTACGACGACACTGGCGTTCCTCGCATTTGGCGTCCCACTGATGACATCGAGGGCATCTACACGCGCGCGCGCGAATCCACCCTCACTCTCATCCCTCTCCTCAGTCGCTTCCGCTTGTCGGCAACATCCGCCCCACCGCCTTTGGATGCGTGGATCGGTGCAGCCCCAGCCACTGTCACGCCGGCCGATGAGGAGGACCTGACACCCATTGGCGGTGTGGACGAAGAGGAAGGGAAGAGCCTTGAGGAAGAGATGACCGTGCTGAGCGATGCCAAGCAGGCAGATCTCAGCGTCCGCTTCAAGAAGACAGCTGATGGCGTCTATGTTGAGGCCAAACGCGGCGCCATTGGTGGTATCACACAAGTGCCTTTGTACTTCTACGGACTTTTGCTTGCATTGGGTTGGAACGAAATCTGGGCAGGTAAGTCAAACACTCATGATGTACTCTCAAATCGTCCGCTGACCTGGCTTCAGTCCTCCGCAACCCTCTCTACTTCATTTTCATGATCCTTCTGGGCGTTGCCGCCTACGTGACATACACACTCAACCTGTGGGGCCCGATGATGCGGATGAGCAACGCCGCGTCGCAGCAGGCGATCGAGATGACCAAGGAGCGTTTGCGCGAGTTCCTTGAGAGTAACGAGACGGGTCGCCAGGCCATGGGCATGGCAAGCCGCAGCAACACCACCGAGAGCATCGGGATGGACAAGCTTGACAGCCAAGGCAAGAAGGCCGAGACAAGCGCCGCGGACGAGGACGAGGACGACATATAATCTGGCCGTTCGTTGGGTCAATACGAGCGTGCTGTGTTGATTGGATTGGCTAGTGAAAATAGAACGGTGCTCAAGGTTGTCTCGGTGCGGGATGCGCCGAAGCGCAGGCGGAGACGGCGCATGTCTCGTCCTATATTACCCTACACGCGTGTTTATAGAATGCATTCATTTTTAGCAACGCGGGATAGCGCTGTGGACAGAGCAAGAGTGTCACTGCCGGAAGAAGGTATTCATTTTGCGAGGCTACGAAGCGGACAAGCATGCAACACCATTCCACGGCTTGTACGTCAAACATGATACGTATGCCGTAATTTGCGGGTTGGTAAGAAGCAATGGCCTACGAAATTGAAGGTCGAGAAAGAGTCTCGGATGCAGCTAGAAGAACAGGTTGGACAGCTGGGAGAAGAGGTTGAAATGTAGCGCCGTTGGTAAGGAACAGGACGTCATAGGGCAGAGCCCTGGCCTGCTCCAGCTACGGAGCCCTGCGAGTCGTGGTCTCGGACAAATAGCAGAGGAAATTCTGGTCGGGATGGATGTCCAGAAGCTCCCACAATAAGAGTTGTCCTCAAAATGAGTTGAGGAGAAAAGAAGACGGATCGCGGGCGCTGCGCGAAAGGGTTTTTGTAAGCGACGCCCGGACTTCCAATCAGAAGCGGCGCGATGCGGGTAGGTCAGAACTGGCGCTAAACCGCAAAAGACGTCAATGCGGTGCCGAGTGCCTCCAGCGTGAACCACGCCTCCAACACCACTGCCCATCCACACCCAGCCCGACCCATCCCCTCTCCACTCCACGCCATGCTGCGGCAACAGCTCCTCCGGACGGTCAGGCTGCCCCAGCGGCTGGTGGCCGCCAATGCCCGCCGCACCTTTGCCGCCACCTCGCAGCGGCCCGCCGACGTCGAGCTCACCATCGGTGCGTCCCACGCCCGCCTCCCAGCCTCGTGAACTGCGCTGATTGATGTTCCAGATGGCAAGAAGGTGGCCGTAGAAGGTGAGCCCTCCGCTGCCGCGCCATTGCCCCGCGGGCCGTGATGCTGACGACTGCACCCACAGCCGGCTCCTCGCTCATCCAGGCCTGCGAAAAGGCCGGCTCGACCGTCCCCCGCTACTGCTACCACGAGAAGCTCATGATTGCCGGAAACTGCCGCATGTGCCTCGTCGAAGTCGAGCGCGCCCCCAAGCCCGTCGCCTCGTGTGCCTGGCCCGTCCAACCCGGCATGAACGTCAAGACCGACTCCCCTCTCGTGCACAAGGCCCGCGAGGGCGTTATGGAATTCCTGCTCGCCAACCACCCCCTTGACTGCCCCATCTGCGACCAGGGTGGTGAGTGCGACCTTCAGGATCAGTCGATGAGATATGGTGCCGACAGAGGCCGCTTCCACGAGCTTGGCGGCAAGCGTGCGGTTGAGGACAAGAACATTGGCCCATTGATCAAGGTAGGCGCATGGAGATGCGAGGAGAATACTGCGCCACCGCTGACACGGTGCAGACCTCGATGAACAGGTGTATCCACTGCACTAGGTGTGTCCGCTTCGCCAACGACGTCGCCGGCGCCCCGGAGTTTGGTTCCACTGGCCGTGGCAACGACCTGCAGATTGGTACTTACATCGAGACCGCCCTTGACTCGGAAATGTCTGGAAACGTCATCGACCTTTGCCCCGTTGGTGCCCTGACCTCCAAGCCCTACGCTTTCAAGGCCCGTCCGTGGGAGCTGTACCACGCTGAATCCATTGATGTTCTCGACGGCATTGGCTCCAACATCCGCGTCGACTCCAGGGGATTGCAGGTTCTGAGAATTCTCCCGAGACTTAACGACGATGTGAACGAGGAGTGGATCAACGACAAGTCCCGGTTTGCCTGCGACGCTCTCAGCACCCAGAGATTGACCATCCCGCTTATCCGCCGCGACGACCAGTTCCAGCCCGCCACCTGGGAACAGGCTCTTGTAGAGATTGGAGAAGCGTTCCAGAAGATTGCGCCGAAGGGTAATGAATTCAAGGCTGTGGCTGGTGCCCTGGCTGAGACGGAGACTATGGTGGCAATGAAGGATCTGGCCAACAAGCTTGGTTCGGAAAACCTTGCCCTTGACACCAAGAACGGCAGCGAGCCCGCTGTTCACGGCATCGATGTTCGCTCGAACTACAGCTTTAACTCCAAGATCTATGGCGTGGAGGAGGCCGATTACATTCTCCTTGTTGGCACCAACCCCAGGCACGAGGCCGCTGTTTTGAACGCTCGTATCAGGAAGCACTGGCTCCGCTCTGACCTCGAAATTGGCCTTGTCGGCGAGGATTTCGAGAGTACCTTCGAGTATGAGAAGCTTGGTGAGACGGCCGCCGATCTGAAGTCGGCTTTGTCTGGCGAATTTGGCCAGAAGCTGGCTCAGGCCAAGAAGCCCATGATCATTGTGGGCAGCGGTGCTGTCGAGCACGCCGACGCCAAGTCTATCGTTGAGACTGTTGGCAGCTTCGTCGAGAAGCACAAGTCCAACTTCCAGACCCCCGAGTGGAACGGCTACAATATCCTGCAGCGCGAGGCCTCCCGTGCGGGCGCTTACGAGGTCGGCTTCACTGTGCCCTCGCTGGAGGTTGCCAAGACGGAGGCTAAGTTCATCTGGCTGCTTGGTGCCGACGAGATCAACGAGGCGGACATTCCCAAGGGGGCTTTCGTCGTCTACCAGGGCCACCACGGTGACAAGGGTGCTCAGCTTGCCGACGTTGTTCTCCCTGGTGCTGCCTACACTGAGAGCGCTGGTACCTACGTCAACACCGAGGGCCGTGTCCAGCAGACCCGGGCTGCCACCTCTCTGCTCGGTGCTGCCAGGCATGACTGGAAGATCATTCGTGCCGCCAGCGAGTACCTCGGCACTCCTCTTCCCTACGACGACGTCGAGGCTCTTCGCGACCGCATGGAGGAGATCTCGCCCGCTCTCAGGAGACTTGACGTTGTCGAGAAGACCGCTCTGGCTGAGCTCAGCAAGGTCCAGGTTGTTGACCAGAACAAGGGTGCCAGCGCCACCAACGCTCCCCTTAAGAAGCCGATCGAGAACTTCTACTTCACTGACGTCATCTCGAGGAAGTAAGTGTATTCAGTATCATTGATCTCTGAACAGATGCTAACAATAATCACAGTTCGCCAACCATGGCTCGTTGCTCGGCAGCCAAGGCCGCCAAGAACCCGAGTACCAACTTCATGGCACCAGGAGAGCCCTACCCCCAGGTCGAATACGGCCCGCCCGGTCAGCAATCAGCTGCGGCTGCATGAATGCAACAAAAGTCTGAGCAAGGGACATGCATTCATCTCCGGGGGGCCGTGTAGAATCTACGGATGTTTTGATGTTTTTAGCGGCGTTTTATTATTACCAAGATGTACATACTGGACAAACATTCCCTTTTTCCCTTTGCTCCGACAAGCAAACAAAAAGTTGTCCAGCTACCTGAAGATGCGTGGAACCGGGAATTGGGAATTAACGTGTCCAGTCAAGGCGGCAGGGACTGCAGGGTGGCGATAAGAGGTCATACGGCTTGCAACATATTCTCCCCTTCTCTGGTGGAAGAGCGGGACGGGGTAATGACGGCTTGATCTGCCATGTAGGAAGGCCCGCAATAGATGAGATGGTGGGTAGAGTAGAATGCGTAGGTGGCATGCGACCGATCCACAGCCCCTCCCTTTCTTTTCTTTTTCTTTTAGTTCTCTTGTGCATGATTTCTGTGATGTCAAACCTGTGTTCGGATCGCTATGACGAACGCCACCTTCAAGAATGATGGTACGTAGGAGATAACTTTTATGATCATGTTTCTCTTTGCACGCACCGTTACTGCCTTTTCCCTCTTCTATAATAGTGCAAGTAGCTCGAGATAATTGACTGTCTTCCGGACTTGACTTGGCGTCGACATTTATTGTTTCTCTCCCCCTTTCCCAAAAGAGAAATAACCATTTTCTCGTTGACCCTGCTACCTCACATACACACACAACAAGCGGCCAATTATCTCTCGCCTTGCCCTTTTGCCAAACGTATCATGCATCGGCTTTCGATTCGGCACCGCAACAATCCACGACAGTATATCATGTCCCATTTTGTGTCCAGGTACGAACACAAGCTTGTTCTACACATTGCTATACAAGTATTTATCTACAAGATCCCTAACAACTCCATTGTGACGATGAGCATACCGGTTGGCATGCTCTGTTTTTTGCTTATGCCACGGCCACCTGCGTGAGTTGCTTGTTTGCATTCAGTCCACTAGACAGCAGCAGCAGCGGCAGCAGCAGCAGCGTTCATATCTTACGCTTGCCGGTTTCCTTCTTTCGATTTCCATGCTTCCAGCATTCTTTCACATTCACATCCGAGTTTCTTTTCCTTCTCCCCAATTTCCTTCATACGTTTTCGTTCGAATGACCCTTGCATACCACACCAAGTCTCTCCCTCAAAATACTTCACATGCCCACTTCAGAGTGGAGAAGCGGGTTTATCTTGCCATAAGCTATGGTAGTACCCCTCGAGACAGTCCTCTGCCTCGTCCGCCACATAGTCATGCAGCTGCGTCTCCTTCGCCCTTCTCCTACTCCTCCTCATCATACCCGCCACTCCTTCCTGGACGTGGTCGCCATCGCCCATCTCATCGTCAGAAAATCCCGCAGCAGCAGACGTAGGCGCAAGCGTCAACGACAGCGACAACGACGACGGGACCTTCTTCCTGGTCCTCCCCATCACCCTCGCTCGCTCGTACAGGAACCGCTCGTCGCGATCGGGATCCCAGCCCCCCACGCCGCTGCCCTCACCGGCACCCCCGGCGGCGTGTTGATAGACCAGCTTGTATCCGAGCACGTCGGCGCGCCAGAGGGCGCGGCAACGCGGACAGAAGACGCCGGCGATGGCGGTTGCAGAGGCGTGCGAGAGGACGTCGGCCTTGCGGCCGCAACGGGGGCAGCCGAAGTTGCAGCGCTCGCAGAGGGGCTTGTCTGACGACGACGAGACGTCGCCGCCGCCGTTGTCGTCGTCGCCGACGTTGCCGTCTGGATCGGCGCGCGGCCGTGCCGGGCGTATGTGGCACTTGGAGCATTTGAGAGCGGACGACACGATGGTGCTCTTGGTTGGCATCGATTTGCCATACCCGTCGCTGTTGAGAGAAGAAGAAGAAGAAGAAGAAGAAGAAGAAGAAGAAGAAGAAGAAGAAGAAGAAGAAGAGCCGAGAGACAGAGAGCGTAGGGCGCCAGGGATGCGGTCGGCGGACCTGCCCGAGTCGCCAGCCTCTTCGGGCACCGCTTTGGCGTTGGTGGCGGCCAAGCAGCAAGCCAGGATTTCGCACTGCTCCGTCGGTGCATCACCGTGAAGACGTTGGAACCGCGCTGCTGCAGTCCTCAGCTCCGGCGCGTCCGCTGCGTTGTCGTATGGGCCGGCGTAATTTGGTCCCTGGACGGCCTGGCGCAGTGGTAGGCCGCCCATTTCGCAGAGGCTGATCTGCTCTGTTCGCAGGAGCTCTCGAGAAGTCGCCGCACCTGAGTCTTCGTCTTCGTCTTCGCGGTTATCGTCATGGTCGCGTGGGGTCTGTGCTTCGTCATCCTTGAATGGAATGAGATCGAAGGTATCCATCTCTTTGATGGAGCGACCAAACTGGCCAGCTTCGAGCACGTTGACGGTGCCGTTGATTTCGCCCAGAAGAAGGCTTGCATAGTCGGGGCTGAATGCGCCGGACATGACCCCAGAGTTCAACTGCACGACGTCACGCAAGAAAACGTCCTCTGGCGCACGGTAAGGATCCCAGGTCTTGACTACGCCGTCTGACGAAGCGGTATACAGCTTCCTGCGGTCATGTGCCCATGAACAGAAACGTATTCCGGTGTCCAAGCGCTCCCTTGATGCTGGATCATCGTCACCCAGCTCCATTACAGGCTCTCCGTGTAGGAGCGAGTATAGGTGGCTCTCAGGGCTGGGCTGTCGTATGTCCCAGACGTACGTTTTACCATTCGTACAGCCGGCTACAATGATATTATCATCGTAAGGGCAAAACAGCACATCATTCATGTCAAGAGCCGGGCAGTCCAACTCCAGCGGCATAGAATATCTTCCAGGGACCCGGACGTCGTACAGCTTGACAACTGAGCGAACGCCGCGATTGACATTGGAGCCAGCGACACACCCAACCGCGAACAGTGGTGCTTTCCATCGGTTTGTGTTCCACGCGACATCGAAGACATTGCGCGCCTCGGGAGAGATTGCCAACTGAGAGCCAGTCCTGACATCCCACAGGCATGTCCCTCCGTGGGTCTCCTCTTTCAACGTTGAGGCAAATCCAGCTAGGAGGTAGTCACCGGTGCAGTCGAAGCGAAGAGCAGAAGGGAAAATACCATTATCAGGCTTCTCGGCAGCTTTCCGCGAGGAGAAGCTGTGGATGACTGGCTTGATTTTGTTGCCGTCTTCATCGAAACGCTCTGACTCTTCGATGTTGAGCAAATAAGGATTTATCACCCTAATCGAGTTCTTGTCGGATCGTTGACACCCGGTAGCTAGAAGACCTTGAGGACTCACCGAGAGCAAATCCACCTTGCCCGCGTGACGAATGTTAGCGCAGGTGAAATGCAGCTCGGGTTGGTCGGTGTCGAAAATGTCGTAAACTCGCACCTGGTTGTCGTACCCAGCGGAAAATAGAAACGAGCTGTCGGGAGAGAAGGCAACCATTGAAACAGTCTGAAAAAGCCGACGGTCCTGAGTGATGTGCATTGAATGGCTCGAATTGACGCCGGTCTCTGGTCGCTTGCGTTCAGTGTAGTGATCAGGGATCTCGTTCAACGCTTTTCGGGAGACTTCTCCGACGAGTAGATTGTTGCCCCGGTTGTATTGCATACTGTCGGAATCAACCAGGCAAGCAGAGCCAGCGGCGAATCGCGCGCCATTGGGCGCCCAAGCTACAGTATTGACATCGCCAGAAGTGCCGGTAAACGTCAGCGAAGGACCGATGCTCTCGACTATTGGCGTTTGAAGGTGAGTAAGCCCGCCCTTGGAATAGTCTCTTCTGGCTGTCTGCATGCCCAGCTCCCGGTTCCTGAGCACCGAATGAATGCTTGGTGAAGGGTACTTCTGCCCCCCGAGACGAAGCATCACTGCCTTCGGTATTCTGTCGTCGGCAGCATCTCTCAGCAACGCTTCGATACTCTCTTTGGTACGTGTCACTAGAAAACTCCGTGCCTGGCTTGCGACTTCGAGAATCTTGGGTTCCGTCAAGTTCGTCAGACTGGAGTTGGTTTTCGAGGTGACGACATGCTCGAGCGTCTTCATTTCCTCTTTGGTGAACGGAACATGCACTTGAGATCCCTTCCAGTCGTGTAATTCTTGCCATTCGCCTTCCCCGAACCCACCTTTTAAAGCCAATCGCTCGTGGTACGACAGGTATGGTTTGTACGAGCGAAACTTTCTCGCACTACGGAGTCTTCTGCTTGGACCTATGCCTCTGCCTTCGATTTCGATTCCATCAGGATTAGGAACCAGTGCGCAGGGGCGTCCCTCCGCTGGAGGCTTCTGTAGCTCGGTAAACGTCGGGGGCTCATCCTCAAAGGTGTGATTGTAGTAGTCCTTATCGTAGTAATTAGTCGGTCTTTGTGCAGCACGTCGCTCTCTCTGCGGTGTGATGGTAGTATCGGCTGTAGATGGGAATGCCGGGTCGACAGCCGCGTTGCGCTCGACGACTGTATCCGGTGGTGACGGTACAGGACGTGCCAGGATCTCGGCATGTTTCTCAGGTTGCAGTATAGGCGACCATTCAGACCTTTGAATAACCTCTATCGCCTTTTTCATGTCATAGCCGTATTTCAAGCGGTTGCAGTATCTTGTGTTCGCAGCACCTTGACTTCGTCCCGTGAGCATAGGGGTAATCTGTTTGAAGCTCCAATTCAGCCCTTGCTTTAGATAGACTATCACGCTATCTTCTTCCGGAGTCCAAGGCGGGTACTTTTGGAACTTTCCCTTTCCAATAAGAGGAGCAGGGTCTGTTTCGGGGGCTTTAACGCCAGCAGAGTTTTCGATTGGAGAAGCTGCAGGATGCGTGGCAGAAGCTACGAGTGGCCGCACGGGGGATACAATGCGGGGGAGTGCGGGAGCAGTAAGCTCCGGACGGACGGGAGAAGCGGCGACAGGGTGACGAGACATAGGAGCTGGACGCTGAAGCGAAGGATTGGTAGACGGCGCGGAAGGAAGTGGAATGGCAGTGTTTGGAAACGTGCGGTCACGAGCGGACGAACGAGGTGACGGCGGCCGAGCAATTGAAGGCGATGAGTGCTGGCCAGAAACGCCGAGGGTACTGGTGGGTCGAGGCAACGGGAGGCCGTGTGGATAATCGCGCGGGACCATGGATCCTCTCAGTGGCATGCCATTGGTCTGCGCCGGCGTTGGGTAAGATGAGTGGTATGTTGCGCCAGACGGCAGGGAGCGGATGCCATTGCCATATGCATGTACCGGTTGTGTTGGCACAGGTCCGCTGGCACGTTGCTCTTGACCCGTGGGGCCGTTCTCTTGATCCTCCGTCAGTGTCTTTCCCTTTGTGCCAATAACCGAGTCACCCAATCTCCCCAACTTAGCCAGCCTCTCTAGTGTAGAATCGGCGAAGGGCACGAAGGCCATGGGTTGCGGCTTGGTCTTGGCCGGTTGTTGTACCTTGTAGGGAGCTGGTTGACTCTTGTGGAGGGGAGCTCGCTCATCCGCAGACGCCTGGGTAGACGTACCATGATTCCCGTCCACACGGCTTTTTGTCGATGGCGTCGAGCGCGCCTGGAAGCGATTAAGCAGTGCAGTGACATTCTCGCGTTCGTCTTCGTCTCGTATGTGGTGGGTTTTCCGGCGCTTTGCAGGTGATTCGCGGAAGGGCATGTGTGAGAGCGGGCGAGGCGCCTGGAATTGAGAGTCGGCGGGGGTCGGGGCCGGGTCTGGCTCAGGACTAGATGTGAGGTCTACAATCTCGACCCTGTGACCATGGTGATTACGGTGGTCAGTGATTGCGCAAAGCCCAGTGAGTGCGGGATGGGACATACATGGTGGGCGAGCGTCACTGTCGATGCGTGCAAAGCACGGCAGCGCATGCTGACAACGCACTCGTTGCGATGCTGGGCTAGTCTGCGGAGGCTGGAGAATGATGGATCCTAGTCCAGGTCGGTCGCTGGAGTCATTTTCGCGCGGGCGCGTGCATGAGTGAGCGGGGGAGGGTGAGTGAGCGGACGAGTAACGCGCAGTCACGAACACGCGGAGACGCGATGGGCCCGCGCCGCCGACGCTGTCAGCCATCTGCACTTTCACCGCGCCACATGAGTCGCGCACGCCACTGCAACGGTGCCATAAAAGCCAGACAGTACAATTCATGAACCCGAAACTCAACTAAACCAGAACCAGCTGCATGCTGCCCAGACGAAGAAAAACACAGAAGCGACACATTCCAGAAGCTCCAAACCAATCGTGCCCAGAAACATTCACAGCCCTCCTGATTGCACCGCCGGCTGCGGTAGGGATATCGTCAATGAACAAAAGAAATGTGCTCATAGGGTCGCAGTGGAGAAGTAGTACTGGTCCCAGAGATAATCGTAGTCCTCAATGACACCCCCGACGATGTCGAGCAACGGCTTTCCTCGAAGCCGCTTCGTCACCGATTGTATCCACGCCCTATTCTCAGTTAGCATCGTCATGCGGTTCAGAAAGGCTGTACCACCCACTTCGTGACGTTCTCGTAAAAAGCACCTCTCAAGAGCCACCAGCCCATGCCCCAGCCTCGCTTCCGCAGCTCCTCTCGCTCCAGGCCAGTAAGACCACGAAGCCCGCCCGCCAGCCTCTCCTGGAAGTCCTTCTTCGCGAGTTGCCGAGCACCATACTCGATGCTTACCCCCAGCAGCCACGGCCTCCAGCTGTTGCCTTGCTTGGAGCACCAGTGCTGCATTGCAACAGCATAGATGACCGGCCGAATGATGTACAGCATTTCGGCAAGCTCGCCCACTCCCGTGACTCTGTGCAAGAGAGCCTTCGGTGGTTTGATATCGTCGGCAGTGAGAACCTTGGACAGGAGATAGGATGAGATATCGTGCGAGTCCGGCAACGACGGAAGCGACAGGCCTGTCCTCGGCATGGTCCAACTCGCGTCATCGCTCCTCTCTGTCTTGGGCGTCTCGGTGCCATCGAAGGTCGACCCTTCCTGGTTTTCTTCCAAGGAGCTGGGGTCGAATTCCCGCTGCGGGAGGGGCGGACTAAGCAGCGGCCGCGAGTTCGTCAAACGCAACAGCAACAGCCTGCAGAACGCCTTGACGGCCTCAAGCAGCACGATTGCCCTCCAGCGCGCCTTCTCGCCCTTTCGTTTCGCAGCCATCTCCCACAGAAGCTCCGTGTACTGGATCATCTGCAGGGTCAAGGCGATGCGCTTGTACGTGGGCGACTTCTCGGTCCAGAAACGGGTGTAGCGGCTGTGCGGCGTGGGGCGCGGGCGCTGCTGCGGAGGCAGGCGCGCAACGGCTTTTGCGAGAAGGGAGTCATGGTAGAGCGACAGCAGCTGAACTCCGCTGTAGACTGTTGCAAAGCTTCAGCATCTCCGCGCGCGAGCGATACAGGAGGTGGACCAACTTGACTCAGATGCGATTTCCGACTCGCGGAAGCGACCTGCAGAGCTCCATTAGCGGCGGCTGCATATCGACGTGCGAAGTGGCAGCACGTACCGGGAATGATGTAGGTCAGAGAGCGCAGTGCAGACTCAATCTGCGAGACGGCGCTGGCGTTCTTGGTGATAAAGTCGCTATACTGGGCCAGCCATTTTGGGGGCAGCGATAGCGCTTCAGACACCTTGTTAGATGCCTGCTTGCAGGAATCCATCACATGGACGTGCGGAGAAGCAGTGCGGAGAGAAAGTGGATCAAAGAAACGAAGTGGCAGCACGGGGAGCTGCTGGAGGATGCCGCAAGCCACCGCGACTCGGTGGTGATGACGCCTTGGGCCGAGGTCCCTAATGCCGGGGCGCACCGTCTAGCGCTGCCTCGTGACTGCGCGCCGGCGCGCCCCATGCCGCGTCTTCCCACATGCATGTCCGCGCCCATGTCCGCGCCGTACTTTGATCACCTCTGCAGAAAGCTCTGCCACGCACGCAGTCTCAGGTAATTTGCAGGCCCAGTCTCGTCACCACCGTTCCAAGTAGTCGATTGCTCGTCTGCAAGAACGCTACCGTCCCAGTATCAAAGTAGCACAAAAAAGACACCGACCTTTTCAGCCGCGGGCTAACAATGCGGCATGAAGTCTAGAAGCATACACCGTCATCAGGCAGCAACGCAACGCCGCACACCAGAACTTCTTAGACCTCACGCACGGAGCCTTCTCCCCTCTCGTTTCTCCACACACGCCCAGGACTCCAAACCATGACCGTCCAGACAGAGACCCTTGTCTCTTTGAAAACACCGCTCCACGAAAGCAAGGCCCTGGTAGAGTCAGTTGAGGCATACGTAGAGAAGTACATGTCCCGTTATGACGCCAGCCATGACTTCGATCACATCCGCCGCGTGCTGGGGCTGGCAAAATACATTCTTGCCGAAACGCAAAAGGGCGGCCCCAATGTTTTGGACGAGACGGCAATTTACCTTGCTGCGTGAGTCGACATCCCCACCGGGCAACCGAAGTGTGCTCGTGGAAGAGCGCGGAATGAGCGGTGCACTCTCCTAAGCTATGCGGCTGGCGGGCTAACACGTGTGTGCCACTAGGCTTGTCCACGACGTTGGTGACCACAAATATCTACAGCCCGGTGAAGATGCGGGACAGCAGATCCTGAACGTGCTGCTGGAGCGTGGAGCATCGGCTGCGTTGGCATCCAAGGTTCACACAATCGCGAAGAACGTGTCCTACACGAACGAAATCAAGGATCCTGAGAAGGTCCGCGACGTCTTGTTGGAGCACCCTGAGCTCGCCGTCGTCCAGGATGCCGACCGACTCGATGCCATCGGTGCCATTGGTGTCGGGAGGTGTTTCTCCTTCGGAGCCGCAAAGTCAGAGCGCAGCATGCAAGGGGCGGTTGATCATTTCGAAGTCAAATTGGAGAGACTGGAGGCCATGATGAAGGTAAGCAACCACTGTTGCTGTACTGCTGCGCGAGCTGTGGGCTGATGTCGGCAGACTGAAACGGGGAGGCGCCTTGCAAGGGAAAGAACCGAGCGACTGAAGATGTTCAGATCGTGGTGGGACGAGGAGCGTAGTTTCGCGGACATGTGATGGCTGCATTCGGGCGGCTCTCCAGGTGCCTATCAAAGACTTGCAGGCATAGCATTCCGGAGGCGTACACAGTAGATAAGATGCGCCGGTGCTGGAAAAGTAGTGCGACAACGGTGGGCGTGCATGGGGCGGTCTGCGTGCATGCCGCCATCTGATTCGACGGCGCGGGGCGGACGGACGGAGTTTGCGGGTGTTGGAAGCGTGTTGGAAGCTAGGGGCGGTGCGGCCGGTGCGGTGCGTGGGTGCGTGGGTGCGTGGGCGCGTGCTATTTTCTGCTGGCAGCCATCAACCCAGTCGCCGCGCGCCAAGCCTTGCATCAGCTGCCGCAGCCTTGGACCCCGGCTCCGCCGCTCCAGCGCATCAGCCCGCCGCCTCCCTCTCGCCTTCCACCCAGCCCTACGCGCGCCCTCACCTCTGCGCTCACTCCTTTCTGCCGCGTACGCCGTTGATCCCGCTTCCCTCAGTGCTCGTAGCTCAAACAGCTCGCCTCGTCCGTCTCGCCCGCCGCGCCCTCTCCCATGAGCCAGCTCCGCACCATCTAGTCTCACAATGTTCTGCCTGCGCAGCTGGATACCCATACTCTTCTTCCTGTGCGCGTGCCCCTCTCCGCACCACCCTCTGCACAACCTAACCTCGTCTGCGCACAGCACCAACGCCTCGCCCGTCTACCTCGTCCTCTTCATCTCCGCCACGTACTTCTTGAACAGACCCTGCGTCTACTGCAGCCTGCTCCTCGCCATCCTGGTCATCGCCCTCTTCGACTTCAACACCAGCTGGTTCGAGCCCAACGGCCGCTACCACCCCGATGCCGACGCCGTCTCCTCCTCAAACGAGACCTACGTGCCGCCGTCTAATGCGTCCATGGCCCTTGACGTCGCCGTGGAGACGGTGAGCCTGCTGGCGGGAACGGTGAACAACACGGCGGGCACCCTGGTCTCGGCGGCCATGGACGGCATCAAGCGGAAGCGGGGCGCGCCCGAGGCGGCTGCCAGTGTCGCCGGCGCCTCGGCCGACTGGGGGAAGGGCTTCTTCGCGAGGAAGGAGTGGAAGGTGCCGTGCATGGACGTCATTGTACGGCTTTAAGAGACATGACGCTGCATTTCCGTTCCGGTGTGTCCTTGGCAGAAAACAAGGGTTGGATTCCCGGCGTTGTCGCTTTTCCCACTCGGTCCGTTGATGTTCGGGTGTCTTTATGCCAGCGTAGGTTTAATCGGGGCAATGACTGCGCGCACAGGGGTTTGCTATGAGGTTTGTGTTTTCTGGGTTTGCATAGCGTTGGCGTTCCGGGCCGTATTCTGCCCCAGTCTCTCAGAGGACTTCCTCTCTGAACATCTATTCTCTTGATGCGCTGTACAGTATCTGTTGAATGGAAGCTGCCGCTAATCCCGTCCAACCGACGAGCATACCTATGAAAAAAAAGCAAAACTTCGTATAGATTCTAATTCCGATTCTGATCCTGACTTCGTTAGTCCTTGCTACAACTCCCTGGAGCCCTCGCATGATGGTCGAGTCTCGGATCAGGGAGACCTTGTACAGCCCTGGCGCATGGCGGATCTGCGGGGTCCCGTCCCGCCCCGAGCCCTCGAGCGTGGCTGCGGCATGTGATATTGTCTAAACACGCCTCCTATCCGGCTGCTTGCGTGCGCAGCTGAATCACTGAACATCGAAATTGGCGCGACATGCGACAAGTGTATCTGGCTTTCTGACGTTACATTGCATTGAGTTTCTCGATCCCTACACAATAATGCTGAGATCCAGATGTGATGGCGCAGTGAACGCCTGCTTTGCTTGCCCCTAAGACAGTGGAAACTTGGCCACCGGATTCCCAACCAAAGCCCACACTATTACCCCATCCAATAAGTTCTTCTGATGACTTAGAGAAGCAATCCGTATCTCACTTCCCCTGAAATCCATGTCCATTGGCAGTCAAGTTCCATCCCGGACCAACTGGGCCCCCAATGGCAAGATTCGAGCTTGCCCGCGAAGTCTGTGCAAGCGCATCTTCGCAGTCGACGCTCCTATCATACCACGGCCTCAAACCCATCACACGCTCGTCAGGCTGCAAGTGATGGCACCTCTCGACAACATGTCCCGGCTCCCAGCAGTGGAAGCAGATACCGACCAAGCCGCCACCATTCTTCTCGTCATCCACGGCAAGTTTCTTCTTCATGCACCCCGTATTTTTCCACCTCTCCTTGGCCTCTTTCTTCCTCTCCTCCTCGGCCTCTTACTTCTTCAACAACGTCGATCAGATCCGGCTCGTGCTCGAGGTCGAAGAGCAGCTTGCTGACGGCGAGGGTAGGCGACGGCTTAGGGGAAAGCACGCAGGTAGGCGTAGGTGTCGAAGTTGGACTAGGTGAGGCTGAGGCGGTGTCAGCTGGATGCGGCCTGCTGGGCTTCAACCGAGGGAATGTAAGAAGGGGAGATGGTGGAGCAGCTGCTCGTATTGCCGCTGTTGCTGTTCTGCTGTTCCTTTTTGTTCATGTTGACGCTCTAGCATGTCAAGGGCCGGAGGGGTTAGTGCCATCGTGTTGGAAAGCGGAGGCGAAGACAACTTTCCGAGAGATTCTGCCAGAGCTCTCACAAACAGAGCAAGTTAGAGTGCGGATGGGGGAAAGCCCTCATAGTGACGCTACTTAAGTGGGCGGACTCGAGAAATGAATACGGCAACGTGACAGCGGGGACTGTTTGACTTGAAGCGTCCATCTGGATATGAAACCATAACAATGTCTGTGAACAAGAGCACCTCGCCACGTTGCAACACCAAAGCGAATCGGCCCCATCGAGATCTGACTCAACACGCAGCTCAATGTTTACCAAAGGAACGCGTACGAAGCGTTTGCCGCAGTACCAAGGTCGTCTAATTCGAGCCATTATGGCGTCTATGGTCTATTCTAAGCGGGGGCCGTAACGCCTTGCAAATGCTTACATATACATGCGACAGAAAATCGAAGAAGAGTATGAATACCCGAGAGGCAGAAAAAAAAAAGAAAAGGGGACTACAAAGGCACAAACTCCGCTGGCCCCCGCTAGGCAGTCAAACATTTGTCGTTCTTCAGAGATTGCTCGCTCGCTCTTGTTGCCATCGTTATTTTAGACGCAGATATACCAACACGAAAGGCCAAGACGGGGAAAGGCCAAACAAGATCTTACGATTCGATGTCCTTGAGCTTCCGGTAGAGCTTCTTGTGCTGTTCCAGGAAAAGGAAGGTGGCGATAGTATGGGGGCCCAGGCGGATAAAGCTGGGGACCCAGCCCCGGAACATCCAGCCAAAGCCCTCGGCGCGGTTGACATCAACGAGCAGCTTCACCAGGCTCTTGCTCTCGCCATGAGCACTCATAACGCGAGTCTTGATCACATCGACAGGAGAGCAAACAGTTGTGGCGACGAAACCGGCAGCAAAGCTGGCGGCGAAATGGGTGCCGAGGCCGTCCTGCAGCGGGGTGTATTCCAGAATGGCGGCCTTGAAGCCGTCGTACGAGGCGAGCTGCGAAGCGGTCATCAGAACGGCACGCATGCTGTTGGGCCAAACACCGCGGAACAGGCTCTTGGCGCCCTCCTCGCGCGTCATCCGGACCAGGCCGTCAAAGGCGTTCTTGTAGTTGCGGCGGTTGGCAGGAGGCAGGGCAGCGTCGTGCTGCATGCGGACATTCAGCACATCGGCGGGGTTCCCGACAATGCCGCCCAGAAAGCCAGAGGCGGAAGATATGGCAATCAGCGTGGGCATGGAGGGTTTCGAGGTGGAAGTGGTCATGGAGGTCTTCAGTTTCTCATAGATGCCGAAGCGGGTGGTGCTGTAGGTGATTTGGCGGAGCAGGGAGGCCGACAGCTGTTCTGCAAGTCAGTCAAACAGGCTTCGGTAAGGGGGGCTTTGGCGGAGAGCTGGTGGAGAGGTCCCCGGGATTGTGGTCGTTCGATGGGGAGAGATGGGCTTCTCCCGCGCGTGTACAGCACGGCTGTGACCGTCAGATTGCATGGCCAGCCAGGGCTCTGCCGCAGCTCCCACGCCGTTCCCGGGAAGGTGGTAACATACCCCACGGTACAGTCCCGTCACGCCGTCGGTCTTGGCGACGTGGACGAACATCTGCAGCATGTTTTTGCGGGCGCCATCGTGCGGCTGCGTCTGGAGGCGGACCTGCAGGGATTGGTTACTTGGGGCGCGGAACGGGTCGGCGGTCGTACCTTGACTGTGGTGTCGCAACGTCAGCGTGGATCTTGAGCCGCGGGCATCGCAGCACTCACCGAGGTCGAGCGGATGCGTCACGCCGGCCGCAAACGAGCTCGCAGAGCCTCCGAACCAGAAGGGATAGTGGATGGCCGCCTTCTGCATGTCCTTGCTCTTGACTGTCTCCAGGGCTTTGGCGGCGGTGGCCGGAGTGGCCGGAGTGGCCGGAGTGGCCGTGGTGGTCGTGGTGGCCATGGTGGGCGGTCGACTTTGCCGATCCACACGATGCGCGCGACAGCGAACGCAAGGATATTAATAGGCGGCGAAGGGGGGCAGGAAAACGCGGAGAAAGCGAAAGGGTCCGGAGCGAGGCCGGGGAGACTCGAGAGAGCGCGCGCAACGGCGAGGATTTCAGGGCCGCGCCAATCGTCAGCCAAGGCTTTTTTTTCGCCGGCTTTTGTTTTGGCCGCCGCCTCGTCGGCCCACGCCCGGCAACCACCTGGACCGCGGCCGATCCTCATCCTCCGTGCCTCCGTCGCGGCTCCCTCCGCTCTCCAGAACTGCTCCCACGATGAGGCTGCCGGTGACTCTGCGCCAGCTGGCGGCGCCAATTGCCTCCGCCCGGCCCGCGCTGCTGACCAGCCGAGCCCGTCTTGGCTTCTCCGCCCGCCGATGGTCGTCATCCGCCGCAGGTACGTCGAGCTTTCCCTGCTTGCATGGCAATCCTCTTCTGGTCTTACACTGTCCATGTGCTTGGCGCAGCACACGGCGAGGGGCTCGAGATGCAACGCAGTCAATGCCTCAGCGTGAACGCACAGCCAGATCTCTGACCTTGCATCAGGGCAAGCCTCGAAAAGCATAACGGTAGACGGCCGGACATATGAGACAGATGAGTGGATGAACACGCCTTCGAGCATCCTCGCTTCTGTTGCCCGCCGGTTGCATCTCCAGCCAGATCATCCCATCTCCATCACGCGCCAGCTTATCGAGTCGCGCTTCCCGGGCTACCGGAATTACAATGATCTCTTCCCTGTCGTCAGCGTGCATCAGAACTTTGACTCCCTTGGCTTCCCCGTCGACCACCCCGGCCGCAACCGCAGTGATACCTATTACATCAACAAGAACACCGTCTTGCGCACCCACACCTCGGCACACCAAGCCGACATCTTCCGCGAAAACGCCTCTCCTGGCTATCTCATCTCTGCCGACGTGTACCGCCGCGATGCTATTGATCGGAGCCACTACCCGGCCTTCCACCAGATGGAGGGCGCCATGACTTGGGACAGGAACCAGTTGGACGGCCACGCTACTCTGGCCGACCGCATCTGGGCAGATGTCGAAAAGCTCCCCAAGCACGACATCAACGTCGAAGATCCCAACCCCACTACCCATCCGGCGCGAAACCCCCTCCAGCCAGAACATGATGCTGCTCCTGTGGACGCCGTCGCTACCCATCTGAAGCGCAGCCTCGAAAACGTCGTCGTCGAGATCTTCGCCCAGGCCCGGAAAGCTGCCGCTGGGCCAACAGGACTCGCCCAAGAAGCCGAAGAGCCTCTCCGCGTCCGCTGGGTGGAGGCATACTTCCCCTTCACCTCCCCGTCCTGGGAGCTCGAAGTCTGGTGGCAAGGGGACTGGCTCGAGGTCCTGGGATGTGGCGTGGTCCAACAACCCATCCTCAACAACGCTGGCGTCCCTGACCGCATCGGCTGGGCCTTCGGCATCGGCATCGAGCGCATCGCCATGCTGCTCTACTCCATCCCGGACATCCGCCTGTTTTGGAGCAAGGACCCCCGCTTCCTCAGTCAATTCAAGCGCCCTGTCGAGGATGCCATCGACGAGACAACCGGCCTCAGGGACTGGGGCATCGGCCGCTTCCAGCCCTTCTCAAAGCACCCGGCCTCGCCCCGGGACATCTCATTCTGGCTGCCTGGCAAGGTACGCAGGTCGGATCCAAGTAAAGCCTTGCCCCCCAGCGGTAAAGGCGGGCTTATTGCGGAGCCGCAGGACGGCATGCCGGCGTTTTACGAGAATGACATGATGGAGCTCGTGCGCGAGGTCGCGGGTGACGTGGTCGAGGATGTGAAACTGGTCGACGTATTTGTGCACCCAAAGACGCTGCGCAAGAGCTTATGCTATCGCATCATATACAGGAGCTTGGAGCGCACCCTCACGGGCGAGGAGGTGGGGGAACTGCAAGGTGAGGTGAGGAAGCGGCTGATCCACAAGTTCGGCGTGGAGCTGAGATAGGTTGTGGAGAGAACTGTATGTATGACTAGCGCCATGTACATTGATGTATATCAAATCCAAAGACCTCCTCTCGAGAGACCTTTTCGTCTTTATTCCGCTCCTGTGCAATCAGACGGTCTGGGATCTTTCTCCCTTCTCCCCTCCCTTATGTCACGACTGACATTCTTTGACAATCGGTCACTTCACCTCTTCCTCCTCGTCATCCGAGCTATGCTTGCCACACCCACGCATGCTGACGCGGCTTCAACGTCCAGGTATCGCTATATAGAGGGTTGAAAAAAGAGCTGAGCCCACTTACATCTATCTTACTATGATAGGGCGCCCAGCTTATGTGGATAGTGAAATCCCGCCCCGAGCCTATATGTACAGTCTCAAATTTTGCACTTACGTTCGGATATTCGCTTCCACTGCCCATGTAGGAAAAGTGTAGTGTCCCTCACGGGGTCACGAAAGATTCTAAATATTTTTAATACCCCACAGTGACTATTCCTGCGAGCCACTCCAAGCACTTGGCTTTAGCTAGGCCATACAGCCATCCGCTTGCTTTATTCACCACGTCTCAAAACAGAATCATCTCATCGGATTTTAGCTTTAAACCTCACCACTTCCGCAACGAACAGCTACTTGCGAGCCACCATTCCAATATGGGCCTCTGGAGTCAGTCTCGTATGATTACCTGCGTATTCCAGCCCCCACTGATGTACATACATACAGCAACACGACCCCTCCTGCCAGGCGGCCCCAACGCGAATCCCCCGCTTTCTCGGCAGATGAAAAACAAATCATATCACCGGGTCATTGCGGAGGATCGACCGCGTTACTGCAAGCAAGGCCCGAAGGAGGCAAAGAACGCTGGCTTTGATCGTCTGATTGATTAACTCGTAAGGCAGGATCGAGATGACCGACATGAAGCACTTGATCCTTATCTCACTTCGTCAATGCCTCCAATCAAGAGGCGCCGGCACGGATCACGACTGGTGTTTACATGCAAGTATGATATCAGCGAACTGGCACATGAGCATAAGCACAGGGAAAGGTTGTGGACTATTTGAAATTTCATTGAATTCGTCACTAGTGCCAGCGAGATCGCTGTCACATGCAGAACCAAGCAATATCCTGGTTCTGCATGTGCCTCCTTCTTCCAATTCAGTTTGAGTGTTCATCTTTGATTTTTCTGTTCTTTTTTTTTTTCTTGGCTCTCTGATGTAGAGAACTTTACACCTTCTTCTTCAGGTACAGAGACTGCACGTTGCAGTAGGCCTTCAGGCCGCCCAGACCCCACTCGTAGCCGATGCCGCTCTCCTTGTGGCCGCCGAAGGGGGCGTTGGGGTCGAGCTCGAGGTGGGTGTTGATCCAGACGCTGCCGGCGTCGAGCTGGCGGGCGATGCGCTCGGCCTGGGCGAGGTCGCTGCTCCACACGGACGCGCCGAGACCCATCTTGGTGTCGTTGGCACGGTGGACCACCTCGCTCTCGTCGCTCCACTTGAGCAGCGGCACGATGGGGCCGAACGGCTCCTCGGTGACGATCATGCTCGTCTCGGCCGGGTTGTCGATGATGGTCGGGGTGATGAAGTAGCCGCCAGTCTTGTCGTTGACGCCGCCGACTGCCACCTTCATGTTCTGCTCATTCACGTCCTTGAAGAAGCCCTTGACCCGCTCGTACTGCATCGCGTTCTGCACCGGGCCCAGGAAGGTGTTGGCGTCGGCGCCGTTGCCCAGCACCAGCGTCTTGGTGTACTCGACACACGCCTTGAGGAACTCGTCGTAGATCTTCTCGTGCACGTAGATGCGCTTGATGGCCAGGCAGATCTGGCCCGAGTTGAGGAAGGCCAGCGTCGCCACCTTGGCCGCCGTGGACGGGATGTCGACGTCCGAGCACACGATGGCCGGGTCCTTGCCACCCAGCTCAAGCGTCACGCGCTTCAGCGTCTTGGAGGCAGACTCCATGACCCTCTTGCCCGTCGCCGTCGAGCCGGTGAAGGAGACCTTGGCCGGACCCGGGTGAGCCGTGAGCCAGGGGCCCAGGTTGTCGTCGCCCGACAGCGCCTGGATGACGCCCGGCGGGAAGAAGTGGGTGGCCAGTTCCACCAGCTTGAGGTCGCAGTAAGGCGTGAAGGGCGACGGCTTGACGATGATGGGGTTGCCCGTCATGAGCGAGGGGCCGATCTTGCCGCAGGCCAGCATAATGGGGAAGTTCCAGGGCACAATGCCAACGACGACACCCAGAGGGGTGTAGCGGGTGATTGTCCTCTTCTCGTCATCCTCGCTCACTTGTTCCTCCTTGAGCTCCATGTCGGCAAAGGTGTGCAGGTACAGAGCGGCGGTCTCCACCTCGTTCAGCGCCATGGGGACCTGAACACCCCGAGTCAGTATGTCTGGACCGCGTGGCTGGGTTCTGCGCTGGAGGGAAACGTACGGGCTTGCCCTGCTCCTTCATGAGCAGGTGGGCGAAGTCATCCTTGTAGGACAGCAGAGCATCGGCGAAGGCGTGGAGGGCCTTCCCACGCTCGGCCCACGTCGCCTTCTTCCACGACTTGAATGCCTCCTGGGCGGCCTCTACTGCGGCATCGACATCCTTGGGAGTGGCGACGGGGACATCGTACAGAGGCTCGAGGGTTGCGGGGTTGATGCCCTGGCGCACCTTCTCGGTGGAGGAGGACTTGCCGTTGATGATGTTGTGAAAGGTGGTGAAGTCAATCTTGGGAGCAGCCATGGTTGCTGGAGGCGGGGAGGTAAGATTCGGAAATGTCGGGAAAGTCGGAAGGAACAAATAATAGGTGGGGGTATCTCTTAACGCAGCGGGGGAAGACAGAGCAACGGTGAGCTGAAGATTGGCGGCGCAGGAGGAGCCTCTTATAACCCTCGATGAAAGCGTCGTCCGCTGGTGTCGGCGCTAGGCGTCGGCCCAGAGCAGCAGCGGTGGGGCAAGCCTGGCCCGCCGGAGGCAGCAAGTGAAATTGGTGGTTTTGCCCGTAGCTCCCACGGCTGTTGCAGCGGCGCGGGGCCCTGATTTCGAAGGGGGGCCTGCGGGGTACGGAGATCTGATACCCCAAGGTGCTGCCAAGATGAGACGGAGCCAATCAGGGCGCGGCGAGAGTCATGGTCTGCGTGCCAGCGGCTGACGCCTGGCCCAATCCGGCAAAGACCGCAGCGGAGCACGGGGTCGCGCACGCTGTCGCGCAGCACACGCTTCGGCAGTAGTCGTCAACCGCCAGGGTGATTACGGTGCTGTAAAGTAATCACTGCCGTGGTTCCAGATGCGGAATGTGCTGCCAGTGGATCGCCGCGACGCTGGACTCGTTGGTGGCTAGGGACCTGCGCTCTCAGCGTGAGACGGCCAGGCAAGGCGGCGGAGCAGCCACGGCGTCCGCCCGCTAGCGCCCGCCAGCGCCCACCAGCGCCCGCCAGCGCCGCCCTCCAGCGTCCTCCAGCGCCCACGCCCTCTGCCGTCTCCGCGGCCATCCGCCGAGCAGGAGCAGGAACAGCTGCTGCAACGGGGAACCCTTCTCGGGAGGTAAGCGGCGCATCGTACCTTGCCGACGCCTCGCAAGGTCCTCCCCGTGGGGCTTCAGCAGCACTCATCTGCTTCGACCGCCTTCCGCTGGCCCTGCCTCGGGCCCGCAACGCCCACAGGGCGACTCCAACTCGCTGCCTGACACCCGAAATCGTATGACGGGCCCTGCGGTGTCCGGATGCACGCGGCCGTTGTTGCGGCTCCGCGCCCTGCTCCTTTGGCGCGAACGCAGACGAGTCAGCCCTCCTTGCGAGGCGAGCCGCTGACGTGCCAGTTTTGGCCGTGGCTCCACTGCGCGACCCGCATCATCCATCAGCAAACGGCGACAGGCTGCCTCATCGAACATGAAGAACTCCGTACGTCCGCGCGGCAGAGAGAGCGCTCGTATGGCTGGGGCGCCTGCGCAGCCGCAATCTGCTCTCTTGGTTGTGGCACATTTTTGTTTTATGCAACTTGTCTTGCTGTTCTCGCTGCTCCACCCAACGCCCCGCCACTGCTCACCTGCATGCAGTGGATTTTGCTGAGCCCCTCAACACCACGCACCCCGTCATAGACGCCTCCGCCCCTCATCTTAAGCGCTGTGGCAAACCAACCCACTCCTATCCCTGGCCGACCCAGTCTTTGACCACAGTGCGGCTCCGTAAATGCGTGCGACTCGCCTTTCGACCGCACCAACATATGTGGACGATAGCAGCCATGGTATCTGCACTGCCCCCGGATCTCCACCTCTTGCCCTTCCGTCACAAGGCCCAGCCTAGAAGCGTCGCTTTCCAATCCGCTCGATAAGCATCGCTATCCCTCCGTCTTTTGCTCGTCATCACGTCTCTTCCTCTGCATCAGCAACTAGTAATCAGCCGCATCTCGCTCCGTCTCACCTCGTTTGACCCCTGTCCTCTCCGCTTTGCTTCCTTCTTCTGGCTGCTCGTGATGCTGGCATCGCATCACCTCCACGAACAACAACCGCCAAATCTCGTTCGCTAATCTGCCCCCCTGATCCAGTTCCTCAATATTCTCACACACCTATGTTCTCTGGGAGATGATCCATCGTCCTTGCCGACGCATCCAAGAACTCCCTCCACAACACCACCTTCTTGCCCGTCTCGTCAAAGGTCAGCGTCCAAATCATGTCGCACGCATACTTGCCGCCGACTGTATCCGCCCGGGATGTCAGCCAGAGGCACACCTTCCTGCCGGGTACGTCGTCCACCACCTCAAGCAGGTCGAGCGCGTAGTGTCGGAAGACGGCGCGATACATGTTCAGCGTGCGTTGGAAGCCATCGGCATCCTGGGGCTCCTGGTTCAGGCTCGAGGGCAGCACCTCACGCCTGAAGTTGGGCGCGCGGAAGGACGCGATGGTCTGGGTGTCGATGTTGTTGCGGTTGAAGGCTGCGACAATCTCGAGCGCCGCAGCGCGCTGCTTGCTCATCGGCCCATCATGGTGGCGATGCGAACTGCTACTGCTGCTGCTGCTGCTGCTGCCGCCGCCGCTGCCGCCGCTGCTGCTGTCGTATTTCAGGGACCATGGGCTGCGCGATTTGGACGAATATCCTCCGCCCGACGGTAACGCCATTACTGCAGCTTCGCCTGTGAGATCTCCTTTTCACTCCCTCTTTTCCCACGACACTGGGAACCCCTCTCCTTGCGCTCGGCGCAGTGAAGCGGACGCGTGTATCGTTGCAGGCGGAGTGTCTGACAACTGGTCAGACGAGATGGAAGCAGGGTCGGTGGCTGCGGTAGTGCTGTTTCGAGTCGCTTTCTGGGAAAGCCACGCCCACGCGTTTGAGGGAAGGCCGGTATCAGACAGGTAGGAGCTTTCTTGCACCGGGGCGGCGGATGCTATGCCGAGTGGATTGAGTTCCTGGACTTGTTCCTGCTCGTCGTGGGAGTATGTTACGCTGCAGGGGAAGGGGTCGTCACTCTGCAGGCAAAATGTTTGTTTCAGAAACGTGATTGCTTATTCCGGCCGTGCTACATGCATGCATGCACGCAGCGACGAATTGCCTGATCTGGTGGTTACACAGAGCGTGCAGCCGCGAGTCAAGAAGCTTTTGCAATGTGGCAAGGGTCCGTCGCGTGGGGAAAAGCAAGCGATCCTGGAGGGGTGGTGTTGGCGCCGCAAACGGTTGATGGGCAAGGGTCAAGCCGGACAAGGCGATAGGTCTCAAGCGAGACGTGATGGAAGCAATGGCGTGAGAGAGCGGAAGTGAGCGCAAGTCGGCAACGTACACAGTAAAAGAAAAGAGGTGAGGGAGGCAGGGATCCGACGACCGGACAGGAAAACGGCAGGGTACGGACCGGAAAGTCGAACATATGGCCGGCCACCAGCGGCAGCCCTTGGAGACGGACCGGTCACCGGCAGCACTGTTCCAGCGTAACAGCGTCCGTGTGTGCTTGTGCGCGCTGCCACTCATCATGAGTGCTCCGAAAGAAGGGCCACCGCCAGCGTCAATGTTGTCCAACCAGGAAATTTTCATGAGGCTGACAGGAAACGCGCCATCGGAAGGCATGTGCGCCAGGAGGGACGCGCCGGCAAAAACCCAACGGAGCGCGGGTCCGACCTTCATGCGCTAAGCCGGTCCAACCTCCACTCTCACAGCTCACAAATATCGTTACAAGGGTGGAAGCTAGCCCACACCGCACTGAGTGCTGCAGATAGGCACAGTCCGTGGGCGTCCTGCCGTCGCAAAGTGCGGTGCATCGCTGGCGCAAACGGATGGCGGGGCGAGCCGAGTGCAGCCAGGGACAGGTGGTGTAATTTGAAGCTTCTGGCATCCCCATCCTAACGGTGAAAAGACTCCGCCGTTGTCCCGGCCGACCCAACCTCCAAGTCTTTCACCGCCATGGCCAAACAGGTCGGCGTGCTTCTGATATACGACCGTAGAATTGCGCCTCATCTCCGCGTCTCGCACATCGTCAGCAGCACAGCCAACGCAATGTTTGGAGCGGCGATCTGCTCTTCCAGGGAGATCAATGGGGCAATATAAACGCACTGGCAACGGCCACGTAGTCGGCGGGCGAGATAGGGTGGGGAATCATCTCTTGCTTGAGCCCTGACGATCTCCGGCGTTAGTGAGCAATGCTAGTCTCGGTGCAGAAACATCTCCTTGCGTTTCGTTGAGCGCAGGACGTCAGCTGGCTGGATACCAGGACCCTTTCCTGGATGGCGCTCCATCGTTTGAGAGCAACAAAATCGATCCAGGGCGATCCGGAAGGCCGGCGTCAGAAGAAAGCCGGAAGAGAAGTCTGCGCGAGGCGGGGTACGCCGCGAGGTTATGGATCCAGACGTCTCGGCCAAGACTGATGCGTGTACGAGTGGTGTAGTGTATGGTAAGCGGCGCGACAGGATGGCAACGAAGCGGCGCTCTTGCAGCCTTGTCCGAGCAGTGTGCATGAAGAAGGCGCGAGTTCGAGTGGTGTTCGATGTGACCAAACCGTCGCTGCTGGAACAGGGAAGTCGATCGCTGCGCCGGCCAATCAGCGTGAGTCTTGTGCCACCACCCCCTCGTTCCTTCACTTCTCACTCTCCCACTCACCAGCTACTTTGTGTGTTGCTTACGCATCTCATCGATCGTCAGTCGGCAAGTGGTAGATTGGGCTTGTGATTGACGGTGCAGGCAATCCATGCCACAACCGCAGAGCACAGCCACGGCCGAGCGTACAGGATGAGCTACATGGCAACCAGCTCAGTCGATAAGAAGTGCCTGACAGGGGGCCAAAATGGAATGTGATCAATCGCCAGCGGAACGGCCCTATTGGGCGCTGCTTGCTTGGTTTTCTGTTTCTGGCGGAAGCGACACCGGCTCCCTGCAACCATCGCTGCGAAGGGATTATCGGGTAACAAGGCTAATCGGCACGTCGTCGCTTGCGAATGGGAACCGGACCCATCGTACGACCGCAACGCTGCGCGTCATTTTCGCTACATCGCCTCGACCAGTTGCTCGTGCTTACGGGATATGGGTCCGGACGCGCGGGTGGAGGATGCAGTACTGTGGAGCCCCCTCGGAACTCCACAGATGCATATCCCGCGCCGTTCGCGCGGCGCCATATTGCTTTTTGTTGCTGCACCCAGCAGCCAGGGGACACCAACGGGAAAAGGTTCACACCCGGATCACTCGGAGATTTTCAACTGCCTGTTGAGTAGCCTGGTCCACTTTCTCCGCCCAAGCCATTGCCTGCTAAATCCATATCACTCCACCATAGCCATCCTTTCCCCAAGTATCACTCCACCACACCAGCCAACAGTCACATCTCACTAATCTGCATTTAACCTCGCCACAACGCCATGCCCACCATCCCCACGTGGCCTTCGGAACCTGCCGCCCTCCTTTGTCTACCTCTCACTGCTGTGCCGACAATACCCATTGTCCATCTCCGCTAGAGCATCCCAAGGGCCGCCGATGCTCCACTCCTTCTCCGGAATTAGCCACAGGTACCTGCATCCTCCTCAGCCGATGATCTTCACTAAACTTTGGAACTCTGTGATCTCCAATTAAGCCTCTCGTATTAAACTTTCCCTGCTTTAAGCTACCCGTCCCCACTTGCCGTAGCGCCATCAATTGACTGAAAAAAATTCACATCCGTCGGGCCCTTTCGCACCAAATTTTCTGTTCCCCTCAGCCGCCAACGTCATCGCCATCCTGGTGGGCCCCTTTTCCTCTTCGCCATCTTCCCCTTTCTACCACGCATCCACGCTCGCATTGCCGCTTTCGTACCCCGCCGGCACCATGGGCGCGTGCGTGTAGTACTCCTGCAGCACGCGCTGCGCGTACGTCAAATCGTCGACGCACATGCCGCCGCCACCGGGTCCAATGTGCGGGCAATGCACCTCCGGCCGCAGCGGCACCATGTTCTCGTGCACCATGCGGCACAGCAGCGTGTCGCCGCCCAGCTCGTACGGCTTGCCGAACGGCTTGTCCCGCGTCAGCGTCGCGTGGCACTCGTCGAAGTCGGCGTACTGCCGGGTCTCGGGCGTCGTGCAGTGCGCCTGCGCCGTGTTGCAGATTGACGTTGCCAGCGAGTCTGCCAGGGCCGCCACCGTCGCGTCGTAGGTGGTGTTCTTGGCGCCGGCTGCCGCCTCGATGGTCGCGTCGAGCAGGTTCGCGAACCACCGGTACGTGGCGTCGTACTGCCAGATCTGGCCCTGTTCGTTCCACGTGATCCAGCTGTCGATCTCTACGGGGAAGGTGCCGAAGATGGCGTTCTTGAAGAAGACGATGGTCGCCGCGGACGAGATGTCCTGCGTGCCCGCGAAGTGGATGATGTCGTATGACACAGGCACGCCGAGCAGCGTCGAGCTGGTGCTGTTTTGGTTGGCGAGATTGGCGAAAAGGCCGAAGAGGTACTCGGTGTTGAGCTCCTGCCCGTCGAACCCGCGCGTGACATCGACCCTGCCGAGGACGTCGGGTGCGAGGAGCGTCGAGTTGATGGATGCGGCTTGCGCCGTGTTGTTGTAGACGAAGTTGTCCCAGAAACGGACCTGGAGCTTGTAGAGCTCGTCGAGGGTGAAGTTGGCCCTAGTGACGGGACTGACGTAGCCTTGACGCGTACTGAGAACAGAGTGACTTCCGTCAATGGCGCTGGCGAAAACAGCCAGCAGCATGGAGCAGACGACGAGGATTGAAGACTGCATTGTCGACTTCGTCTTGCTAGTGATGTCTTCCTGTGGTGATGAGCCTCGAGCCTTGAAGTGACTGGCCAACTGTGGCAGACACGGACTTTGATGAGGTTGAGACGATCTGAGAATCAACCTTGAGGCACGCAGAAAGTGGACGCTGGCGTAGATGAAAATGCTACGCCTTGACGGTGAGCTTTAAAGGTTGACAAACAGGTTGTGGGTGTATGTTAGTGTGTATGGTCATGTGCCTTGGACCCTGTAGGACGTACACCTCAGAGGAGGCAAAATGATCATGTGGAACCTCTGGCTCGTTCAACGAACACTTAGATGGTGGTGAAGACTGGGAAACTGACAATATCATGAAGACTATATATTTCTCAAAAGAGACCACCTGTTTGCCTAGATGACCATTTTGGAAGTGAGAGGGAGCCACAGAGCCAGATGCAGCCAATCACTCAAATCCACCCTATGGTCATGTATCACGATCCTGCAACATCCATCGAGGGCACACAGGCTGGAGTAATGGGAAAGCGGACAAAACTGAGGTCCGAAGGGAACCAGAAACGAGCCCAACGGCTAGAGGATTCCAAAGAAATTTGCTTATGGTTGCTTCCAACAAAGGAAAAGGGAACTGCGCGACGAAAGGAAGGAGGACACGGATGGAAAAGGAAAGGCCACCTGCCATCTTTGAGCTGACTTGTCCAATACCATGGCTGGAGTTATCGAGGATGTTATTGTTATGGGTCACGGTGGCACGAAACCTGATCGGCGCACTTGGACAACCTGTCTGCCTCTGTCGTGTACTTGGGCCCCACAAGTGAGCTTTGCGCTCCCAAAAATAGACGGTCCCTGCACTGAACTCGTTCGCGCGCATGAAGAGAGGGGTGCTGTCAGGCGAAGAGAGGGCGACCACGACCAGGAACCCAACCGTGGATAGGCATCGCGGCCGCGTGGATATGCCATGTGGTTGCGGGGCGTGTACGACGTCGAACTCAGGCCCTGTAATCACACACGGCAACCACCCATACAAAGGGAACCAAGGGAGGCCGCCCAGGGCCTCGTCATCGGTTGCAAGCGACCGGTCGGACAGACTATCCAACTCTAGTCGAAGCTAATGGCCCTGATCGTCGGCATGTTCCAGTTTGAAGCACAAAAGGTGGAACCGTGGGCGAGAGGTAAGGCGTTAAGAGCAGCTGTAAAGTGCAGTTCATTTCATGAGCGAGCACGGAGCCGATCGGAGAAAATATTCATGGAGGCTACGAGCTTGGCAGGCGGCTTGATGCCATTAGCTGGGATGGTTGGATCGAACTTCTCAAGGTGCTGATTGCAGGCGGCCCAACAGCGTGGAGACGACAAATTTGAGACAGGAGCAGACGACGACGGCAGACTAGTGGCGGTGAAGGCGGCCGCTGGAGGCGAGTCTGGGCTCCATCGCAGACGGCGCAGAAGCAAAAGCGAAACGGAGGGCTGTCCTGATCGGGTGCGACTGGCAGCAAAACCAAAACGGCGACGAGTACGGAGCAAGAGGTGTGAGGTTGGAGCGGGTGTTGCACGAACCTCTCGGCGAATTTACGTGGGCCCCACGCCGGCCAGCATAGCAGCACTCAGCAGGCCGTGAAGGCAAGGGTCGTGGGCCATCCCTGCCTCGCTAGCGACCATCCCCCCCACATCTGCGCAATGCTGCCGCATGGGTGACGTTGCTTTTCAATCCAGCGGGCCTAGAGGGGCGACGGGCGGGCTGCAGTGACCCGTAAGCAGCGCGACGCTGCGTTTTCGTGCTCGAGGGCGTCGGGTGGCTGACCAGGGCTGCGGCAGGCGTTCCACAGGTCGAGAGGTCGAGAGTTGCAGCAAGCCGAAGCCGTCCGGGAGCTCGATTCGGATATGAGCAAGCCGAGAAGGGGCGGCGTCCTCCGCAAGTTCCGCGGCAGTCGCTTGTAATAATTGGGAGCTGGATTATTACTCGCGGCGCCAGGTGCCAGCCCGCCGGTCAAGAGCTGCTATCGCTGCCCTCCACTCTTCTCCACGAGCCCCGCGTATGCGAGGCAATCGCAGTCTTGAGCAGCGCCGATCGACGGCCAGCTCTGGCGGCTCGTCAGCGTGCGCAAGCACCCCATGGTACGACGCGCCCCGGCAGAAAGTCGCCCGGCGCGCGGGAGCCTCCAACGGCAGCTAGTGCGCGGCCGCTGAGTCGCGAGGGTGGCCGACCCCTCCCGGATGAAACAGCAGTCTGTACGGCAGGACGGCCTAGGTAGGGGTGGCGCGCGGAGATCGCCAAGGGCGCTGGCTGGAAGCGTGGGAGCGTGGCAGGAAGCAGGAGGCTTGGAGGCGTGAGGCGTGCGGCGTGCAGCGAGCGCAGCCCGGCCACCTGATGATGTTTTTCTTCACTGCGGCCACCCCGGGCGCGGGCGGCGCGGGCGTTGCTCCGCCGGCGCCGTGGGAGCGGCCACACGGCCTGGCACACGGCCCTGGACGGATGCCCGGCCTGAGCCTGCACACTGCACAGGCGCAGCGCCGCGGCAGAAGGCTGGGCAGCTTCAGCTGCAACCACGACAGCGGCGCGACCGTTGCCGAGCCTGCAGCGCACGCTGGCCCTGGGCCCTGGGCCGCAACGGCACAGACACAGCCATCACAGGCATCCACCCAGCGCGCCGCAGCAATCAACCTGACGGCCCCGGCCCAGCCCTCCCGCGGCTGCTGAGTCGTCGCGGCTGTGGCCTCCCCCGGCCGCGCTCCCGACAGCACGGCGAGGGCCGCCCGCTGCCACCCGAGCACTCTGCCCACGATGGCCTGACCTCCTGCCATTTCTTCTTCGGGCCACACAGCGCTGTGGACTCTGGCTCCGCGCAAAGCTCGCATCGAGCGACCAGGATGGGCAGGGCTGAGGTTTTAGTCGTAGCCACAACGATCCTCCGGGGGTTGGAGGTATACATTTGCGGCCTGCTGCGCAAGCTCCTCGCGCCCCCCTCCCTCGCCCATGCCCAGGAAACCAGAGACAGACCTGACATGGTCCGCGACACGGTAGCTGAACAGGCTTGCGTCCACGCAACCCGCCATTCGCCCTCGCCATTGCCATAGTATTGCCTGCCTCGCCTGCCTCGCCTGCCGCGCCGCCCGCCCTGCCCTCGACGGCCAATCGCCTCTTGCTGCGTCGACCCCAGCGCCACGTCTGGGCTGTCTCCACGTCCGCCCTCTTTTATACGCCAGCCGCGCGACTACTCCACGACTCCAGAGGGCCTGCCCGTTCCTGGCGTCCTCCGCTTCCCCTTCCAGAAGGGACCAGAGTTCCCACTTCCTGTCCCCATCCGCACCACCCGCGATCCCCCGAGCCCCGACCCACCGCAACTGCCCGAATTTTGCTAGAGCTTTCCTACTCCAGTAATCGCCATGGCCAACCACGGGAGTTCCGCGGCCATGGGCGCCCTCAGTCTGTTCCCGGCGCCCACGCGCCAGCACACCGCTTCTTCCACGACGTCAAGCCGACGAGAAATCGCGCGCGACGGTGGAGCTGCCTCGCCGCAGCAGCACTCGACCAAGGTGTCGGAACTTAGTCATCTCGCCCTGGTCAAAGGCCAGCGCGACACCATCCGCACCGAACTGCGCGCCACCCAGGCCGCGACCCAGGAAGCCCAACAATCCGTGTCGTCGCTGCGCAAGCTCGCCTTCCGCCTTGCGGTGCGTATCAGCGTCAAGGAGGCCAAAGTTGCCCAGGCTGCCCGCAGCCTGGCCAATTCCCGCCGCCATGACTACGTACACAGCCGCAGGCATGAGGGACGCATTGCGCAGCTTCAGGCTACCCTTGCTTGCCATGAGCAAAGGAATCGGGAACTGCTTCATAATCTGGAACAGGCTGCTCAGCTTACTATACAGTGTACGTGTGGAACCGCAACTGTCTCCATGGTTCTTGCGCGTGGCTGCTAACGCATGCCGACATAAACGTTTAGCACAGCAGCAGCACCTGTCGTCAAGCCGCCGCCCGCTCTCCTACGTCCCTACTGGCCAGCGCCCCATCTCGCCGCCGCTGACCTCGCCGCCCTCGACTCCGCCGCCCTCGCCGCCAGCTAGGATCTCGAGCCGAACCTCTCAGACCACACCAAGGCGACCATCCGACATTGTCGCCGACCTCACCGAGATCAGGACCACCAACGAGCGCCTGATCAAGGCCAAGAAGGAGTCCGACCATGCCCTGCTGCTATGCCGCTCGCGCATAGTTTCCCTGCAAGAGGACTTCCACCAGTCCCAGAACCATGTGCGCAGCCTGGAGAAGTCCAACGACGGCCTGGCGCATATGGTCAAGGATTTCGAGGCCAAAGTCCGCACTCTTGAGGAAGAGAGAGCTCGCCTCGAGCGAGAGCTCCAGTCCACTCAAGAGAAGCTCATCGTCTCTTCCAAGACCGAGGGAACCCTACGTGCCGAGCTTGAGGAGCACAAATCCAGGATCGCCGAGTTGGAAGCAGAGTGTGAGACGAGTCGTTCCCGCATCACCGAGCTGGAGGAGTCCTGGTCTCACATCGAGGAAGACCTCTCCGGCTGCAAGCTTCAGCTCAAGACGTTGGAACGCGACCGTCTGGCACTGCAAGAAGAGCTCTTCGTTGTCCGCAAAAGGCTATCCACCTCGGACAGGTCGCATGCCGACCTGCAGGAGAAACTCGCGAGCAAGGAAGCGGACATCGCCAAGCTCCGCGAAGAGCTCAAGCACGGTCAAGACAGCGCCGACGCTCTCCAGCAGACTGTTACCTTCTACGAGAATGCGGCTCGTGAATTGCAAGCTAAGATCGCGGCTGCCAACGGTGCCATGACCATCCTTGAGAAACAACTCGAAGTCGCCGAGTCATCCAAAAAGAGCATGTATGCCGACATGGAGCAGCTCAAGGAGTCGAAGAGGGAGACAGAGCAGAAGCTTCAGCATCAAATCCAGGCTCGCACCGCTCTTCAGTGGGATGTCAACCAATTGGAACAATCCAAGACCCGGCTCAACCAGGAAATCCAGCGTATGCGAGCCAGGATCGAGAGTCGCAACCTCGAAGAATCCGAACTGAAGGACCAGGTGACAGAGCTCCTCAAGTCACGACGGAGTCTGCAGAACCAGCTGCGTGAAGCGCTGCGTCAGCTGGATATCGAGGAACAGAAGAACCCCGAGGCTGCGGATGAACTCGAGAGACTGAGGAAGTCCAAGGAAGAACTGGAAGCGAACTTAGCCCAACTGAAGGACACGACAGGTGGCCTGCACGCCGATCTCCAACTAACTAGAAAGAAACTCGATACCACGGAAAAGTCGAGGACGGAGTTGCAAGAGCAGTTGGAAGTCTCGCAGAAGGCGAATGACGGCCTAAGAGGTGATGTGCGTGCCCTGAAACTCTCCAAAGCCCATTTGGAATCCGACTTGAGCATGGCCCTCCAGTCCCGAGCAAACCTCGAAGCGACGGTCCGCGCGAATAGGACGAAGCTTTTGGTTGCTGAGACTAACGAAATCAATCTCCAGGCCAAACTTTCCGCGGCGGAAGAAGAGGTTGCCAAGCTTCGCGCGCTTGTCACTGAAGCCAGACGCGTCGAGGGCAAGCTGGAAGCTCGCATCGCCGTCGCCGAGGAAGAACTGTCTGCTGTGAGGAAAGCGAACGAGGAGCTTGAGACTTTTCTCAGCGAGGCCCGCGACAACCTCGACGACGAGACCAAGGCCAAGCTAATCGCCGCCGAGGAGCTCCGGGAAAAGTACCAGAAGAAACTGTCGATGACTGAAGAGGAAATCCACAGACTCCAGGCCGAGAACAAATCCCTGGACTTGGAGATCGAGAGGAGGGACCACGACATCGAAGAACTTCGGAACCAGGAATCCAGCCTCAGTGCTGAGCTTCGCTCCAAGGATCAGTGGATCGGGGACCTCAACCAAGCCAACGTAGAGTTCGCCCAGGGTATGGAATCCATCGAGTATGAGTTGCGCATCCTTCGTGAGACCAAGAAGACGTTTCAGACAGTGGTGAAGGAGCTAAGGGAGAGGGGCACTCAACTTGAGACTCTGAGAGAGTGGACCGTGGATGATGGTCCGGCTCACAGCGGGGACAAGCCGCTTCCCCACGCTCCTCACAAGATGAGAAGGACATCCACGTTGATTTCAGAAGAATTCCGCCCTTCATCTCGGGCCTCATCCCATCGATCCTCGGAGGGCGAAGATGATCTTGACGCGTGGGCGAAGGAAGTTGAGCGTGTTCGCTTGCTCCGTGATGAGACCGTCATCCAGCTGAAAGGTCTACGTCAGTCAGAGTCGTTGCTGCGGAAGAACCTGAAGGCCAGTGAGATGGAACTGCAGCGGCTTGGTACCCATCAGCCACAGTACGTCTCTGCTTTACGAACTTCTTTTTTTTTTTTCAGCTTCAGAATGTCAGCGCTAACGAGCTTTGCGCACAATATAGGCACAACCCTCCACCAAAGAAGAACGTCAACGTCTTTCGCCGCGTGTTCCAGTGGAGCTCGCGCAACAACAAGACGAGCGGCCAGGTGTCGTGGAACAAGCCCGCCAACCAGCAACAAGCCGCACAGGGTATGCAGAAGGCAGGTCTTTCCGTCGGTCGCGTCCCAGAAGCGCGGCCATCGGTGGACGTGCGGGGGCAAATTGGCGGTGGGAGAGGCGGCGACATCTACTTCGATATCGAGTCGCGGACGTGGAAGACAGTAGATGAGGACACAGGCGCAACTCTGACGCCGGTGCGCACGCGGAACATGAGCAGCCCCAACCCGCACGCAATGACGGCGTCACCAGCGTCGACAGTGCCGAAGTCGCGCAGCGGGACCCTCACGAAGGGACGCAGGCCCACGACCCGAGGCAGTGCTAGCAGCGGCAGCATTGGCAGCGGGCGTCGGGTAAGAATCGCTGAGCCCTTCGACGGGGAGAAGCTCTCCTGGGGAGGAAGGATGAAGAAGAGAATGGGGTTGTAAGAAGCGAGGCGGAGACACGTAACTACGGAGATATCCCGTCTGGCTGTGGAGAAGCCAACACTTTCCGCTTCTATGGCGTTAACATCACGGTTTCCTAACGGATCGGTGGGGAGGGAGGTAATGGTCATGCGATACACTTACCAAGTGGGAATGAGAATCGCGACGCTCACGACTGTACCAAAAAAAATAAACAACAACCAGGAAATTGGGAGGAAAGGGAACCCTAGGATCCGATCGTTTTTCTTTTGTTTTTTTTTTTCAAGGGCAGGTGGATGGGAATGAAGCGAAACGGGCAAGGCAAGGAGGTATACTTATTAGAAAGCTCGCCACCATCAGCCCCCAACACGGACACGCCGCATTTAGTTTCATATCCTCTGGAATACCAACCATCAAGACTTTTCCTTCTCTGTTTGAAACATTGAGGCTTTTTTAGTAGCTTTTGGGTGCTTTCTGTCAGCGGTCGGCTTCCGCACATTGAAACTCCGATCAGCTGATGGTGGTGCCGTGACATACGTAACTTCGGCACAGCAAGCAGGGAACGTGACTGCGGATGATCTGACGGGGACGTTACTCGCGGGACGGCGGGCCAATTGGAGAGCGGAGCGACCGGTTCTGAGATAGAGCCTCTTGGGTTCATCCCTGATGCGGCGGAGGGAGAGAGGGAGTGGCTTGAACGGAGAGCGGCTTGTAGAAGTATGCTTCTCCGCTGCGGCTGAGCCTCGCGACGGCAATCTGGCCATCCGGAAGGAGTTCCGGACCCTAAAATCTGCAGATGCGTAGAAAGGCCTGACTCGACGGCGATATTGGTGGCGGCTGAGAGAGCGTGTGCTTATCGTCGAGGACTCAGTCGTACCCACCCGCCGCCGAGAACGTGAGGGGAGGCGGAGAGCAAGCGGTTGCGCCGATCTATCTGTATTTTTTTCCGTCTGTTCTCCCGCTTCTGTTGTGAGAAAAAATCATTGTGCCTATGTGTTTGTGCGATCTTGTCTTTGTTCCTCTCTCTCTTCAAGGTTTCGTCAGGCGTGCCGTAGCTGATTCGGGATGAGACCTGGAAGATAATATATGTGTTCGGGGTTGTTCCACGCGGGTGGTGTGGTTGGACGCCCTGCGCGGTTCCGCACCGCCTCGGAGCAAGGTTTGTCCCGTGCGAGCGGGGGACGTGAGATGGGGCCTTTTTGTTGTAATTGCTCGCTGAGCTTTCCCCTCTTCGTATAGGTGCGATATAGGGGCAGCCAATGGGGTGATGGGCGACTTGATGCTTGACTTGTGGCGGGCGGGTTCTCGAGCTTCGCTATTCCATTTTTGGCTATTGATGATGAACAGGGCGAACATGGAGAAAATAGATGCATTCGACAAAAGAGCTTCGTTATCTCTCACTATCCCGTGCATCCGCCATTCACCTTACTAGGGTCCGAGGTAATTTTGTATTTCGCAAGCTGAGATATTTTTGTCCGAAAGCGTTGTGGTGTTGCCTCTTTTTTTCCCTTCTTCTTCCCCCAATACATGTGGCCCTTTCTTCCAAGAAGATTAATCGCAATAAGCAACCCCAAGAAAACGAAATGCGAGTGGAGTCAAGTAGCTGGAAGGAGGCTGATGAACGTTTCGTCGACAGTACAACGGCAGACTGAACAATTGAATCCTGGTCATTGGCGAGGGGGGTTCGATAGCATTAGAAGAAAGCATGTTTAGCACTGGGGCTCTTCCTCCAGACAGTGTTGCGAATCAGATTCTTGGATGGCCTGGGACGATCTCAGCCGGGCCGGCGGCTACAGTTGGGACCGAGGTCTCCCGTTGTGCTGGGGGGCGGGCCGGCCCATTGCCGGTTGGGAAGAGCGGCGCGACAGGGACACGGCAGTCGGGCCCGACGCTTGCCCGTTCCGGCGCTACGGATCTCCACATCCCTGCCACTCCCGAGTCTCGGTATGTCATGTGACCGGCACCTGCGTGGAAGGTGGGTTGTCAGAGCACCCTCCAGCGCCTTGGCAGCTCAAGACGGTTTGTCAGAGACTAAGCAAAATTGGCAGCGAGTCCCGCTCGGCTGATATGTGGACCACCAAGGTGGATTTGGAGAGCTTGGACAGCTCATCGCGGGGCGAGTTCTGGAAGCAACGACGGCGGACCAGAATAGGCCCGAGGAGCTGAAGCAAAGAAATCAGCCATGGTCGGCAAATTCACAGGGATCCCCTCCAGTGTCGCAAGAGAACAGGAACAACGAGGACGAGCGTTTGATCGACACCGGGAGAGGCCTAGAACAAAAGACGCACGGCGACGCCGAGAAAAAAAAAATGAGGAATCAAAATGCCGAGAAGATGGAAGTCTCCTAGATGAGCAGGCCTATCGGTTGTGCACAGTCATACGCCGGGTGTACTTGGCCTACTGTTTTCATCGATGGTGGCGTTAGGGGGAGCCGGCGATGACTTCCAGCTGGGAGATGGCCGGAGTCGAAGTGACGGAAAGAACAGTAGTGTGTGCAGAAGAAGATTGCGGCTGATTCGGCCATGCAGGGCGCAGTTCCAGCGGCGTGCCGCCTCAGCGAAATGCCGCCTCAGCGAAATGCCGCCTCAGCGAAATGGAGATTGATGAGAGGGGCAAACAGACAGCTAGGTACACCGCTAGCGATGGCGCAGGAAATTTCCGGGCAGCAGCGTCGAATCCTCCAGCGCTCTGACGATAAGGAATCCCCTGCGCCAGGTTTGCAGCGCACCGACCGGACGAGGAGAAACGTCTCGCCGAGTCCCGCCTGCCGCAACCCCCACTTCCACTCTACCTCGAACACTCTGACGTCCATCGCCCTCGCCCTGTGATCTCTCTGTCGTCATAATCCGCTGACCTGCCTCCGCTGCGGCGGCATCTCCGGCACCCGTGTGCTGCCTGCAAGTCGAATCACATCACCGCGGCGCTTGTCAAATCAAATGGACGAATGAGAATCATCGCTAGTTCATGTTTCGAACATCTACCACTTCCTGTCTAGAGGGGCCACATCCCGTGGCCAACGCCCGCCAACGCCCAAGGAACAAACATCTCGCCTCCATGTGCGCCGTTAATGAGGAGAATGACACGGTCGGGGGTATCGCCACGAAGAAAGAAACCAATTCTTGGTATGAGAAAGCAAACTCTGCCAGGGCCGTTACTGGGGCGTGAGAGAAAGAAAAACAACAGTAAAAGAAAGGAAAACAACGCCGAGGCCGTACGGAAGCCTCTGGTCAGCCAGAGCAATCCGGGACCGAATAGAAATTAAGGTAAGTAGCGTAGTCGAGGGAATGTCTGGGCGAACAAGCGGGCGTCTTCGTAAGCTGCGCGGCTACGCTCAGCAAGCAGCCTCGCACATCTTGCCGATGGCCTGCTCGATGTCGGTGAAGAGGTTGAGCACGTGGCCGTCAGCGTAAATTCGGATCGATTCGACGTCCTTGCGATCGACGCGAGGGGGGCTCTCTCCACGCTCCGCCTTGACCGGGCTCCGCGGTGGAGTCGCCTCGGCCGCGTCGCTGACCGGCGACGTGGGCGGCAGTGTTATGGCCGCCGCCAGATGCTCAAGCAGCTTTTGGCGGATCCGAAGCCTACGGTTCTCCGCCTGCTCGATCTTGGCCATCCAGTCGTCAATCGAGTGGTCAAGCTCCACCAGAGCTTCTTCCTGCTTGAGCAGGCTTTCGCGAGAGAAAACAACCGTCTCGCTCCTCTTCAGGTACGAGATCATGCGAGAATGCAGCTTTTGCCTGCCTGCACGGAGAGATTTGTAGGTTTTGCGCAAGTAGTCGCAGCGTTCGTCAAGAGCGCGCATTTCCTGTCCAGTCGTCAGTAAACAAATTCGAGTATCCGCCGCCTCAATGTCGCCACCGACTCACCTTGGCAAGAGAATTAACATCCCGGGAAGATAGAACCTCGAACTTCTCGGCCTGCTCGACAGCCTTGCCTCGCAGCTTTTCTCTCTCCGCAGGGGCATACTTGACGGGAGCCTGGCGGACAGAGACGCCCTTCGGAAGCTTCCACGTGTCGGCACCCTCCTTCTCCGACGAGCTCGTTGCCGAAGCCGAAGCTTGACGGCTGCGTTCGCGGGTTGTCCTGGCGATGGGGCGACCCCGATCCATGATGGACTGTTCCGACCTCTTCCTGTGGTGTCCACGGCTGGTGTCGCGCCCTCGCACAGTCCGCTCCGGAGAAGCGCACTCGGGGATTCCGGTAATGGGTGTCGTGTTGGTCGGAGGCTCATTGCTGTTGCTGTATCCCATGGCGGAATCGTTCCGGACCTGTTGGCGCATGGCCGGCGAGGACTTCTTCTTGTACAGGGAGGGCGATTTCGGGGGAACTTGCGGGGGAATGTCATCATCGTCATCATGCTTCACGTTCGTATCCACCTTCAACTCGGGCCTGGCAGGTGGGGCAGGGACGTTCGTCGGGCTCAGGATGGGCGACAGAGGCTTGACAGCAGGGGGGTTTCGCTCGAAGTCCGGCTTGGGGGTTTCGGATCCCTGGGAGCTGGGGGACATGGGCTTCTGCTGGGGCGGAACGAAGGCCGGACCAGTGACGCAAGAAACCATGGCGTCACCGAACGGGTTGGCGCGCCAATGGGTTGCGGGGGCGCTTCCGGATCTCTCGTGGCCGGGGCTCACTGGAGGTGGTTGTCGGATAGGCGCCGGTGGCCTGCCCGGGATGGTTGCTTCCTGCATGTCAGCCAAGCGCCGGAAACGACTGGGGTAGTGTCGACCTACGGGAGTCCATCAAACCCTCCTGGAGGGTGGCCATTGGCGTGGGGGCCTGCAGCTCGGGCACGCTGACCTTTCTTCGCCTCGACAACGAACCGTGTCTGCTGCGGGAAGCGCAGCCGTCGTTGGTGACGATGGCGTCGCCCATGGCGGTTGCGGAGCGCTGGACGGAGAGGGCCATCTGCTTCTCGTGGGAGAAGTGGGCGCGGCTGTGCTGGGCGGGGGTCTTGTTCGAGGGCCACAGCTGGTATCTGGGCTGGCCGCGGCGGGTGGACTGGGAGCGGCTGGGGGGACGGCTGCTGGTCCGGCTGTCGGGGCGCTCGGGCTCCTTGGGAGACTTTGTCGTCAGCAAGGCGGGAGGGAGCGGTGTGGTCCAGACTTACCATCCTCGGAGCGGCGGCGATGTCGTCTGATATATGCATCTGGCTTCTGTCCAGCACGCTCTCCCGGATGCAGTTGGCGATGTGTGTCATGGTAAGTCTGCAATCCACCGGGCTACGTCGTAGTGAGACTTGAGACGTTACGGGTGGACCCTTCCCTGCGGAATGGCGCTTGGGATCCGGGAGCTTTAAGTTGTGGCAGCTAATTACAAGGGATGCAGAGAAGAGAACCCTGGCTGTCGAAGGTACCGGGTCGGGGGCGATCGTTGCCCTCTGGAGGATCTTCCCGGAAGGGAACGAGAGCCGACTGATCTGAAACACGACGTCGACCCGAAGGCGCGATTCGTGGGGTACTGTGCAGAGGGCAGGCCGGCGCTGATGCAAGGAATCCCTTGTCTTAACACGCCGTGCTATCCCGCCTGCCCGCCGCCGCCGCCGCGCGCGCTAGCCCGAAAGCGCCGCGTTTCGCCCTACCAGCACAATTATTGCGAGAAGGGAAGCCACGGTTCCTGAGCCTGGCCGGCTGGCGGCGCCTGCTCGGGCTGCCCCACGTCGCTGACCGCTCACAGCAGGCAGCGTGCGTAGTAGTAGTGCTGTGTAGTGTGTACGTACTGTGGACATGGGACCGCCCTGGGACCGCCATGGGCCTGCCATTATCGATAAGACTCAGACCTCGACAACCACCAGCACCTGCCCTGCCTGCCCTGCCTGCCCTGCCCGCCCTTGCCCTCTTGGGCCGGCTAGTCAGTCGCCGTGTGAAGCGGTGCAGCGGTGCAGCGGTGCGGCCGGCGTGCAGCGTGCAGCGTGCAGCAGGCCAAACAGGCAGAAAGCGCAGCTACGACGGCGGATGTCTGGGTGCCTGGAAACAGACACGCTCTGCACCGGGCTGCCACGCGCGAGGCCAGCCAGGCTGAGCCGTTGATCTTGCGGAGCCTGGCCGTCCTCGCTTCGCCTCGAGCCCCGCCTTTCTCTCGGATCCTGACACCAGCGAACCCGGTCCCTGCGCGAACCCCCCGAATAACGCTCTTCGTGCACACCGTCCCATATGCCGCTGCCCCTATAGCGCCCGCCGTCTGGCGCCCAGAACCTGCGACACGCCCGCGCCGCCCGCCGCCGCCCTGCAGACCCTCGAGCCCTTCTGTCTGCGGGCTCAAGAGTGCTAAGCTTCGTCTGAAGCCGCCGGCAGCCTAGCCCGCATCGGGCGCGCGTGCACAGGCGCGGGAGCTTTCGTGCGATAGAGTCCGCTCGAGCCTCTGCTCGCCAACCCTGACTCGAACCGTCGACACCAGCCGCAGTCCTCCAACCGAGCCGGGCCCGCGCTCACCCCGTTGCGGACGCCGCCATCGCCCTGCTCGACTCTTCGGGCGGTGCCTGTTGCCTGTTGTTGCTGCTTGCCCTGCGCCGCGCCGCCCAAGCTGCACACATGGCTGCGCTGCCCGTCGCCCGCCCGCGTCGTGGATCGCTCGCAGCGGAACCTTCGCCCCGGCAGCCCGCCCGCTCTCACACCACGGCGATCACCCCTAGGCCCCGCACAATCACATCGTGTTGCTGCACCCAAGGTCACAAGGCAGCGTTGTTCCAGCTCCCCTCTCGGCCCGCCCGCACTAGTCCCAATCGCGCATCCTCAGCTTCGAGTTCGCTGCCGTCCCGCCACGAGGCCATCATCGCCATGAGTGCCACGATTCCGCTCTCCGCAACCGTCCGGTACAGGTGATGGTGGCGGTGCCTGGCATGGCATGGCGCATGGCGCATGGCGCATGACGAGAAATCTCGCTGCGCCGTGGCTGGCAGGACGCCTCGGTGACCTCTCTCAGGTCAGCTCGGACTGCTCGCACAACCTCCGCCCGGAAGCGAGTCTATATACAATGCTATGTAGCAGCACAGACTCGATTCCGCTCCCTGAACCCGAATGCGACATTACTGGTCCGCGGCCGCCGGCTTTTTGCTGACGAGCGTGGCGCTACAGTGCAGCTCCGGGAAAGTCCCCGAGCGCGCCGCTTCGCCCTGTTGAGATGAAAGTCGGGCGTGCTCTACACATCACTCCTCCAGCAACGGCAATCACGATGCCCATCATGCGGTACGTTCCATTGCTGTGTAGACGCATTACCCGCTCGCTTGATTCGACCCAGGGCAAGACGCAAAATCTCTTCACCGCCTGCTTCAGATACATGTCCCACAAGATGAGAGGAATATCCAGCTTGTATGTACACGGCTTACATGTGCCGGACATTAGCTCTCCTGCGGACTGGCCACGCACCTGCAGCATCACAGGATGTGCTTGCGAATGCTAGACGAGAGCACGGTGGCCCGCAACGATCACTCGCGTCATGCGCTGTCCGCCCGGGCCATGTCATCGCCCACCGCATCACTCTCACAGACCCATCCAAATCCTTCGATCGTGAAAATGGGCCCATTGGATCTCGTACGGCAATGCGATGGAGTTGCGCAACCGGTGGATCTGTCTTGCGCGGCCGGGGTGCTCGTATGGCTGCTGCGGACGCGGCGTCACGGCTTCGGCCTTTGCATCACTGACCACAGCGGCGGGGGAGCTCGCGCACCCTCTGGGCTCCAGCTTCCAGCCCACTGGCGTTCGCGGAAATTTTCGAAGCTGCACCATGCTGAAGAATCTCGTCGGTCCTGCGCCGTTCCAGCTATAGATCCTACAAGGCCTGTCGTGACGGAAATAGATTACGAGGACCGGGTCACCCCTGCGCATGAGACGTGTCGGCCGGGTCCTGGAGACATTTCACAGCTGAGAAACGTAGCGGTGACAGCCCATTCACTTCGGCCGTTCTCTTCGTCGTTGGCCGTTGCTGTCCTCCGCTCGTGGGCCCGTGGAGCAAGAGCGTGCGGTGGAGACTGCAGCTGCAAATTCTGCCCGGAATTGCCGACGTAGCCGCTCGTTCGAAGTGTTCCCAGAGAGGCGATAAGGAAAAGTTGGCAGCGCCATCTGCGTGGGCTGACTAAGGGGCTGACGCCATTCTGTGCTAAAACAGGAGTAGAAAGAGAAGACCATCAAACAGCCTAAGATGGGGCGTCGCAAAGCACTTGCGTACCTGTCTTACCTTGGGGTTGGCGGATATACCACCGCAGCCTATAGCCAGCAGACGGTTCCAGACAGGATCCGCCCTGACGGAACATTTCTTGCAGTGCAAATCAACGGCACAAGGATGGGAGTAGCGAGTGCGGTCCGTTTAGAGCGCGGTATATGCGATGACTTAACGAGCACAGTGTTTGTGTGACGCCGACTGCCTCAACTACACGTGGACGCACGTGGGAAGGTCCCTGCTTCCCCGGCGGGTCGATCCTGCCAGCAAGCCGAGAGGCCGGTTCGGATGGCGAGTACGGAGTGCGGATACCTGGAGTCCCTCGGGGTGGCACAGCAGCACTCTTCGCTAAGGCTTGATGGGCAACTCTGCATCCGCAGTTCCGCACAGGCCATGATTCCCTTGGTGATATCGGCCGGGAGCTGCCACGAACGGTGCAAGGCACATATTATTCCAGCCTTGCCATCACAGCCTAAAGTGTTAGGTACTGGCCGAAGTCGACTCTTGGAAAACAGGGTGCGGTCTGTGCAGGGGGGGCGGGGCTAGCGCTACTGGGAAACAGGTCCAGCTCAGATGGCAGAAGGCAAGTCTCCCCGTCCCCTCCCCGCTCTTGGCATCTGTCCGCACAGCAATTGTGTCATGTCTCCAGGGCGACCCTTGACTGTGCCACGAGGAAGAAGGCCTGTCAAGTCGTTCCGCAGACAGTCGTGCTATAGGGTCCACAGTGCCGATCCGCGCTGCATCAAGAGACAGGTGCGACACAGAGCTCCGTGTGGGACACCACCGGTCAAGAGTAACAGATCATAGCCAGGATCGCTGGACAGATCCGGGTGTAGAACCTCGTGGCCGCTAGCGATTTATTGAAACTCGAATTCTCGAACTGATCTGCGTGCCAGCAGCTCTACGGCGAATGAGAGGGCGCTCGACAGTCGCAGGTTTGCAACGCACATCGCGCCAAAATAAAGACCTGCCCTGCCCTCGACAAGGTAGGAGTCCTGCTGCGCGATTTGTTCAGATCCTTGGCCACAGCACACACCGGTTCAGTAATCGTCCTTGGAGCGCCTACAGGGTCTACTTCCACACCAGCTCCGCACCTTATCGTCACATGCATTACGGCATCGGTGCGTCATCCATCACATTACTCCCGTCCATGCCGCTCCGGCTTTGGTCACTATCAAATGCTAGCATCAGCCAAGAGTCGGGTGGCTATAAGGTGGTTCATGATGGTATAGCAGATAACGTTCTGCTCGCTGATCGCGATGATATGGCCTATTCGGGCATCCTCAACCACGCCGGTGGTAATTTCCAATATCGACGGCTATCTGTCGCAAAGTAGTCACAAAGGTTCATCGCAATACCCGTCTGCTCAGATACGACCCGTCACACCGACTGCCGACACCGCCGAGCCAGTCACGTCTGGGCGCACGCCAGATGCCCCCGCATCTCCTCTACTGATTCCGTGGTGCGGCTGCCTGCGCACTGGCGCGAGGTTGATAGCCCACACGGACCTTGTCGCGGTCAACTCATTCCTTGAGGGCATCAGATATTCATACTCCACAATCAGTTGCATTCTGGGCCATCGAAGAATTTGCACCTCGGCAACTCCAATCTCTCTCCGGGCATCGTAGGCAATGATGCCCAATCCAATTGCCCCACGGCACGGTCCTCCAGAGGCTACTGGGTACAGAATGTCCTGAGTGGTATGGTCGATGGAGTTACGGGCGAAAGGATGGGATATACGAGGTGTGCAGCAGCTCCGCGAGGAGACTTCTGGCCTCGTATGGAGACGCACTTGGGTTGCTGGCACACCCACTACGGATAGCGCAACGGGTTGCATTCCGCATCGGGAAGATGGCGCGGGCTGAAGAGACGGGGCTGAAATTGGTGTGCCATGCTCCTAGTACCTAGGTAGCACACCTCGACAGACCTAACTGGTCTCACGGAGTCGAAGCTTCAAGCGATATTTAGACTCCAACCCGCACAGAGGCTGCGGACACGTCCGTCGTGATGGTGGAGCCCTGGACTTTGCCGGCGATTCTGGAGCCTCGATTTCAGCCACCTTCCGCACCACCCACAGGCTCAGATTGGGCCAAGGACCAGGTAGCCACCGATATACGAGAAGAGGAGGCGTTGTTGGCTTGGGTGTTTTTTTTATCTTTGCTGGTTTGGTCTTTGCTAAGTCTCACTAGGAACACGCCGGGGGCGGTCGTGGCTGGCTGCTGCAAGCGAGAACCAACCTACGCCGGTGCCACACCCGGCGCCGGCCCCAAGTTCCCGAACCGCGCGAACCAGAGTGAGTGAGCACCTGACCATGTGCGGATCTCCCGGTATAGGTACCAGCAACCCAGGGCGGAAAGGTACGGCGCGCCGGTCATCTTAGCCGGCGGCGGACCCGATCGCGGAGACGTCGCAGTCTGGACGGATTTTTGACACACTCGTCAGTACTTGAAACCACGGACAATCGCCGTCAGAGTCGAAGCAGGAACCGGTAATGTCTCCGCTTTGTAGTCAGGCACCATCTTTCTCTTCATCGACTTCCTGCGAATCAGATCTTGGCTCGTATGTATGTACATCACTGCCTAAGTTCCATACCATCCATACCGCACCGCGTGTAATGCTCAAATTCAACGTGTACCGTTAGACACTCTGCGCTTCTTGATTCCCAAGTCCTCGCCCCGTGAAAATCTGGTTTCATTTTCCTTCCACGGGAGTAATGACCGGTTACAACTCTATCATCAATTTTTTTTTATTAAATTCCTCTCACCACTGTGGACAATAGCTCTCCCACTGTAAGCTTATGTCACAGATGGAAAAGAAAAAAAGAGGAAAGGCCGAAAAGAAATGATTACATAAGTCGGAGGTTTCGACATACGAGAATGTCTCACTCTCTTTCTCTCAATGTCTCTCAATGTGGAGGAGCGATTTCCTCCGACAAGTCGCCGTGTTTACCCCTCCTTTGCTATCATAGTATCGTGATACTAAGAAGAAGGGAGAAACCTATAAGAGCGGGTTTATTAAAACACTGTGGACCGCGGAGTCCAGTTTGCTTTTGGACTTTCACAATCTGTCGCTCGCCGCGCATTGCAACATCAGCGGGACCCTTAGCCAGAAGGTGGCCGGAATAATAACGAGATCAGAAAAGAGTTGGACGCTGGATCGGGAACGCCAGAAATTGCAACCTGCAGTCCATGTCGTGCTCAGTCACGCAACCAGATGAAGGGGTCCCGGGACGATTCAGCGCGAGTGGACGGCCGGAGGCTCAAGGAGTCAGGGGAAGAGAGGGGTTAAAATGCAGTGAGACACAGCCTCGTGGTCGATGCTGTCGTACGACAAATGGCCACTGCAGTTCCGCCCGCCCGCCCGCCGCCCGCTTGCGGAGCGAGATGAGGGTGGGTGGAGATTGACCGTGGAAAGCGACATTTGCTCCCGGGGATCGCTCCCGCATGCAGGTTTGGGGAAAAGACGCGAGATAGGGATGTGGTAGCCAAATGTGGGGGAAAAGCCAGCTAGGGGGCGGCTGGGAGAGGCGACGGGGGCCGTTGTTGGTCGTAGCGTTTTAGGGCGGGGGCTGCCCACCATCCCCGAGCATTTGTTGCCTCGCTCGATTGCCATCGTTGGTCGCGCCGGGGCGTCTAGCGCGGCGGGCCGTATAGGCGTCTGTGTCAGTCGAGTGGAAGGAGGAGCCGGTGGGTGGAAAAGCCAAGAATTACTGACTAAGGTGGGCGGAGAGGAAGGCGTTTAGTGTTTTGACACCATCTCAAACGTCAGCCTGTACGCATGCTCCTTTGCCTTGACGATGTGCCGGTCCGCGCGGATGGTATACTTGCATGAGAAAAATATAACTGCGCGGACATTGGAGTAAAGGGTGAGGAGGTACACAATGATCCCGCAAAGGGCGCCGGCCAATGCCTGATGTTGATCCCTCGCGGAGACGACTCAAGGTACTCTGAGCGGCCACAGTTGTCCGAGTCTGCATCTTCGACTTGTCTGTGCCCCTGATCATCCTCCTGAGATGGCCACGCTTTGCTTCTTTGCGCTGAGCATGGCTAACCAACTCGAGGCTCCTGGCTAGAGCCTTGAGAGCGACAGTGCCTCGGTCGGGTGTCTTGAATGGAAGTACCGGGCAATGGTCGAACCCAACTATAAGTTGGAGATAGCTAGAGCAATGCAGCTCAATGGCGTAGATAACGAGTCGCAGCACAAAAGGTGAAAGAAGAGGCCAAGGAGAGAGAACCCTTGCCCGTGGCAGGCCTTCTATTTGACATAGCTACTATTGTGGAGCCGCAATCGAGGAGAAAGGGCAACATGAAGCGAAGTTAATTTTCGTCCAACCTTGCTGTCTTCCCCTCTTGCCGTCGCTTGCCCTCCAGATGAGAGTCAGCGACGGCTCCTTAGAGGGGCCGAATACGAGAACACCCCTGCTCATAGGTATGGCTGACGGGCAGCGGAAGGGCGGGAACGATCGGATGTTCGTGCATGTTCCTTACCTTCAGCATTGCGAAATAACGAGACGCTCGTTGCATACGTTCTCATCTAGGCCTTTGCCGTCTCGCTTTGGTAGTCCCTGATCTCGATCGCAGTGGCCATTTGTCATATTTCGGTACAAGGTCGCATGGTGTTGAGGTGGAGACATTAACGCTCAATTAGGCAAAGCTACCAAGTGACGACACGCGCAAGTGCCAAAGTTTAATCCTCGATGGCAGTGGGGACAAGCACTATGCCGCGATGAGTAGGAACATCGGTTGATTAGGCGAGCCGGGATGTGCTGGCAAGGGCTCGTTGGAGCCATCCATGTCATCACTACCTTCAAGTCTGCGACAGCTGGCCAACAGTCGCATGTCAGTAATGTCGCATGGGAACAGCCATCCGCGTAGCGTGCGACGGCCAGCCAAAGGACCACTGATTGAAGGGATATAGTGTGCGAGTCCTGGAAGGGGAAAGAACAGAAACTGGGCCCTCTTCACTTCTCCACAAATCAGGCACGTCGACATGATTAATGTGGCTGAGTGTTTGCAGCTCCCAGCATCTGGAACAGTTGCGCACCCACCAGCATGCAATCCATTCCACCCACTTGCCCTTCATTCATGCTTCAAGTCCTCGGCCGAGGCCCTCCCAAGCGAGGGCCAGAAATGGACTGTCTCAAAGGCGATCTTGCGTAGAGTGCAGACATGGGCTAGATCGACGCCTGCAAGCCGGCTTCCGATCCAAGACAATCTGTTGATTCTGCGCCCTGCATCAACCATGATCCATGTCAGCTCGGGGACTTCCTGAAAGAGCCTTTGGTGCAGGAGTCTGCGGCGATCGTGGGTTTGGGTGACCGCTGATGTGCTGATGCCAGGCTATATCGCTATTACTGTGTAGCTGCACGTCGTTGACGATCACCATCTTCTCCATTCCGAAAGAAGCGCCGCGCTGCGCCGCAACCGTACGATTCGCGTGATCTACTTGTCGGAGCCGCCTCAAAAGCCTTGCCCTCAGTTGGGCCCGTGAACCTTGAGCAGGAGCATCCCTGAAGAACAGTGTCGCGAAGCGTAGCGCCCGGACGCCGGAAGTAAAGGTCCCGGTTGTCCGCATCTGTAAACCATTGGCTTGATTGCACTCCAGAGTTTGTACAGAAGACAGTCCAGAACGCAAGAACAACGGTTGAAGTTTGCCATTTGGACATGGCGGTATAGTGTGAACTCTCAATGGACTTTTACATGCGTTTGGAAACCAAATGATCGAATGTTCTTCATTAGACCATTGGAATCGGCAGGTTCTAGCCATGGCCGTGAGCTGCTTGATATTGACTCTTGTGATATTAAACTTCACGTCCCCAATGCAGGTGAGAGAGTAGGAAGGCATTGGAGCAAAACGTGTGGCAGTGATAGTACTAAAGCTTCAGCTTTTTGCTAAGATCTTCCCACCGTGCTGAGCGGAGAGGATCAAGCTTCCTCAATTGAGACAACCATTCAGTCATCTCGGTGGCGAGACCAGCGTCTTCTTGTTTCGCCACCTTCAGTGCTGCCGCGGTCTCCAGCAGAGCCTGATAGATCCACTTGCAGTCTTCTGCTCCATCAAGCATTTCTCTGATGCTGTCAAGCTCCTCTTGCAAATAGGCGACCCGCAATCCGTCATCGACATCCAGAACGATACGCGCATTGCGAGGGCTGTCTTGGTCGAGGGTGGCCATGAGGAAGGTGTGGTAAAACCACAAAGATTGGTCGTAGGGGTCCGTGTACAAGGCTCCTTGAATGAGCTCGAGCTCTGACTTCATGAACTTCCGACGCGCCGCGCCGTCTGCATTGCGTTCATCCAGCAGACGGGGGATCAGTTTGCTGCGGTTATGCCAGGCGGAAAAGTTGGACAGGTTGGTCTTGATCATCTTCGTGGTGTACTCGAACTCGGGCTCGACCATGCTCGCACTCTTGGTGTCTTGGGCTGGCAGCTCTTCCAGATTCAGGACGACGAGTCTTCTATAGTTCCAGCCGTGGAAGTTGCGACTATCCCGGCTCAGCATCTTGCCGACCAGACCGAGCTCTTCCTGCCACAAGCGCCGGGCATAGCCGGTAGGCAACAACTCGGTAGACTGCTGCAACAACCATATCCTATGGTTCCATATCCAATAGCACTTCGGGTATTTCAGGATGAGAGGGACGAGAAACTGGAGGTCACCGGTGATGTGGTCGAAAACCAGCTGCTGGCCAGATGAGAGTCCCTCTTCCGCCGACGGGGGCGATGCTAGGGCGTCTTTGAAGATGTGCTCGAGAATCAAGCGACGGTGGTTCCATACGGTGTAGTACTCGGGGTTCTGGGCGAGGAGTTTGGACACCTGGGCCAGCGATTCGGTGGTGTATTGCCTCTCAGCAATCTGCACGAGGCCAGTCAGTCGCACGTGCTGGGGTGAGACAGGGGCATTGTGCTTGCTTGCTTTCGCGTTGACTTGGGAGACCAGCTCGTTGTATTTCTCTATTTGGTCGAGCTCCTTCTGCTTCTGCTGCTCTGAGCGGTGCTGGACGGACTGGGTGCGCGGGGCGCCGTGCTGCTTCTGTCAGGACGTGGCGCAAGGCAAAAGGGCAGGCACGACGCACGCTAGCCATTTCGACGGTGCGATCGCAGTGGGCGAGCAGTAATGAAGGGCGGAGACGGAGCAGGCGCTTGTTGTTGCCTCGAGATGCGGCGGCTCCTTCTCCGACGCGTCGCTGCCCCACCGGCCACGACTTATCGCCCGTCCCGCCCCCTTGCCCTCTTGCCCTTTTGCTCTCTTGCTCTCTTGCTCTCTTGCCTGCTTCCTGTCTGCGCCTCGACAAACACCCATGAATCCACGGACGCCACAGGTCTAGCGACCAATATCATTATTAGACCTGGCTGCCTGATCGTTTGCTTCAGTCCCACCGTCAAGACGCCTTACCGCCTTGATTTCCTTCCGTTTTACTTCCCAGCTTGAGCTCCGCATCGGTACACGCTCAGCCTAATCGCGGCCTGATCTGCAGCATCAGGTGCCATCTCAAGGATTGCCGTCCATCCTCACCATGGAGCCTACGAAGCGATCACAAAAGACCTTCATCCCGGGCATTGTATCCGACCTCGACTCGTCCTGGAGAAGATGCTATCGCAAGCTGAAGCTGGGCAGGGTACCTCTCTTGAGCCCTAGGGCAACTCCTGGCCCAGACGATGGAATGGGCGCTAGCAGCTGTCACACCGGCTCATCATCCCCTTCCGATTCGCTCACTAAAAGGAATCAACTCGCTCCTCTCGAGAATGGCGACTACTTCAGCTTTGATCCAGTCTCTGGCAAGCTGAACCCAATGCCCTCGAGGTCATCGGCTGAATCCGTCCATTTGACGAAGCGACGGCCCATCCTGTCTCCGACCAGCAACCATACGAGGCACGCCTCCTGTTGTGCGTCCGAGAAGTTGAACTTCTACCCGCAATCTACCTCGTCAAAGAGCATCCGCTGCTTCAAGAAACACCCAACGGCCGCCGCAAAATTCAGACGAGGGTCACCTCCGCGCTCGCGTCACCAAATTTCGTACGAGAATGATGGCGGCTTCCTTGAAAAGTGGAACCGCACCCAGCTGGATGGAATGGATGAGGCCGGAAGATGCCCCCTGCCTACTCCTCCACATTCGCCCCCATTTCCAAGACTTGAGGGAGCCAACGATAGCGAGTATACCCAGGAAGCGGATGCGGATGGTGATATTGTTCTCCCAGATGCGGATGAATCATGTCCATCCACCCGTCTCCGGTGCCGTTGGAGGACTTCGCCCGGAAGTTCCATGTCCATCGACATTGACCTCAAGCCTCCGGCCAATGTGTGCTGTCCCGATCCGAATGAACAAGACATAGACATGTCACCGCCTCTTGTTCCAACTTCCCCAGCAATCGAGCCAATGCCTCTTCCGGTGAAAGAGCAAGGAAGTGGAGCCCTTAATCCTCTTTCGCTCAGCAGATGGGCCCCCGGAAATGAGTCGAGTCGCCGGACCCGAGTTGCCAGCAAGCAACTCGATCGATTCATATTGCCGCGGAAGTCACCGAGAAGCTCCCGAGAAAGTCTTCGGCTGAGCACACAAGCTGCGAACCTGTCGAATTTCGAAAAGACGACACGCCAAAGGCATCCGGCATTTGACCCATTCAGTCGTCATGTACCGAGGAGTACCAGGGTTCAAGATGCATTCCAAAGCCTACAGACACAGAATTCCGCGAACGGGAGTCACTCATCTCTCCTGGACTGGAACAACTCTTTGACGCTCAGACACGGTCCACGGCGAATCAGCGATGGAGCAGTCTGGAATGTCGGAGGGTCAGGTGTCGTAAACGACAGTGTGTCCGGAATTCCTGACGGCCGAGGCGGCATGCTTGCGAGTGGGACAAATGCACCATTACATACCTCTATGTTCTTGACCGAAGGGGATCCTGTGAGCGAGCAGGAAGCCCATGAGAAGCGGCTTGCCTTTGCCATGGGAATTGATCAGTCGAGCCGCATTCTCGGCTCATTCGAAGACCGTGCTAGTTCTAACCCAACCACACCATCGAGGCCATCCTGGACAGTCTCAAACCAGAAGAGTCCGGAGTGGGTGGATAACGAGTGGATTAAGCGAGGCTCTCTGACAAGCGGTCTTTCTCAGGCGGCATTTTTGATTCAACGACATCATGCTGACAACGACAACAGGAAGCAGAAGGAGCTTGAAAGAGAAGAAGCCCGTGCCAACCATCCCATTCAGATATGTTGCTGCTCTGTGCCATTGCATTTTTTGCTAACAACCATGTACAGTCCTTGATGCGCCTCAGCTTAGAGACGACTTCTACTGCTCACTCCTTGCGTACTCCCATACCGCAAAGTGTCTTGCCGTCGGCCTTGGATGCAACGTCTACTTGTGGTCAGAAACGCAGGGTGTGGGAACACCTAAGAGTATCAATGACCCCCACAACTCACATGTGACGTCGTTGTCTTTCTCTTCAGCCGAGGGTGGTCAGAGTGTTCTCGCCATCGGCCGCGCTGACGGATCCGTTGCTTTGTGGAGCGTCTTCGATGAAGAGCCTCGTTTCAATTCCCAACAGCCGCACCCAATATCTTGCGTATCCTTCGGGACAAATACCGTCAGACGATCCTCAATCCGAGATCCAGCGATCTTTGTCGACACTGAACAGTTGCTGATCGGGGATGAAGAGGGGAACGTTTATTTTTTCTCTGTCGAATGGCCTGACAGCACCACTCGCGATCTTTTTGATTGGCCTGGAGAGATGACACTTCTTGCAGGACTCAGAGTCCACACCCAACAGATATGCGGTCTTGCTTGGTCACCACAAGGTGAGTTCTTCGCCACAGGCGGCAATGATAACAACTGCTTTCTCTTCGAAACCAAATACGTTCTCTCCGTTCTTCCGGCATACCAGACCATGGGCACCCAGCGCTCCGCTTCCGGCTCCCATCATTCCACAGTGAGGCCCAGCAACGGGTCTGCTCCTTCCCTTGATTCAAACGTCGCGAAGCACAAATGGTCGTTGAATGCCGCAGTCAAGGCCATGGCTTTCTGCCCTTGGCAACGTGGCCTTCTTGCCATCGGCGGTGGATCCAACGACCGTTGTATTCACTTCTACCATACCTTCTCCGGTGCTTGCTTAGCTACAGTCGACTGCAGTGCACAGGTGACTAGTCTCATCTGGAGCACTACTCGCCGCGAAATATGCGCTACATTTGGCTTTGCGCAACCAGAGCACCCTTTTCGCATTGCCGTTTTTAGCTGGCCAGCGTGCGAGCAACTCGTTGCCATCCCCTGGACAGACGAGCATCGTGCCCTTTACGCCATATCGTATCCAGGCGGCCCGAACGATGGACGCACGAAGGGTGAGGGCGGCACATGGTGGAGCCGAACTCAAGTTGAGGGGTGCATCGTGGTTGCAACAAGCGATTCGACTATCAAATTCCATGAGGTATGGAGCGAAGAGAGGAGAAGACCTAAGCGCATGGTAAGTGGCCTGGGTGGCAGTGAGATCCTGGGTGAGCTGCATGGGATGGACAACGAGGGGGAAATGGTGATTCGTTAGACACCCCCGACAGTTGTCTCCCTTTGAACGAGTTCGTTGATTGTATTAGCATGTCGGAAGTTCGGTTTTACTTAACACTATTGATAGGAGGGGCAGAACATTCATTCGATCCCTCATTGCTCAATACAACTCACCTAGTCCCTTTGCATCATGCTCTCTCAAATGTAGTATGACCCTATTAAAGAAACGTCTCGCACATTCCTCCTTGTGATACTACCTACAGATGATGGCTCGTGCCTTGGGTCTGAACAATCTCCCACTCCTAACCAATGTATTCCCCAAGAGACTGCTTACTTACGAAGCCCCCAATTACTTCGGTTGGGTTTAATCGCAACCCCTCAATACCGAAAAACTAAGGGGAAAGAGCAAATATGTCTGCGATATGGCATGCTCGTTACTGAGATCTCCTGCCGTACAATGCATACTTCTGCAATATTTACAGGGGCCATCTAAATTCTCAGTCGGGCTACATACTGAGAAGGCCATTTGAAAAGAAACATGAGGAAGTGAGGTCAAATCTGAAAATTCCTGATTGCTAGATCCAAGCGCAGGTCTGGATTTCCGGAGTTGAATGGGGGAAACAATATCTGAAACCACGGCACAGATCATCAATGCGCTGGTGTGCGATTGACGCCTAACCAACAAAGTGATTGGATGTGGCGCGGTAGTATTTTAGACAAGCTGGATGTATCCCAGTACCAAAATAGTGATCCTTGCAGGATCTACAAGATAGTTGAGTAGGTGCGCTGTAGTGATGGGACTGGCGTTTTCAGTTTCTTGAACCGGAAAGCTAAAAGTCAAAACAGCATGGGGCCCGCAAACTTTAAATGGACGTGCCGTCGATCATTTGAAACTTGCTTGTCGCCTGGTTTGTGAAGCCAGCAATCGAGACGTGAAAGTGCACATGATCATTAGAAGAGCCCCTGCATCACGGCAATAGTCTCCCAAAGAAACCGGGAATTCTTGACTGAAATTCGGAAGGTTGATGCGTTGGTGTATATCATTCCATGATTCTGTACGCCCGCATTCAACCAATTGATGACCCCCCGAAATGCCCATGCCTTCATTGAAACCCGGTATATCGCATCTGCTTTTTACCCCCATTCCGAAGCGACGTTTTTCTTCCTCAACCCACATATCATGCCCCGGCATCCAGCGCTTACTTGCGCATGGAAGAAGCCCTCCTCTTCTTGGCCTGGTCGTGGGCAGCCTTGCCCTCGGCAACACGCTGGTGGAGGAGCTTGGCGTACTCGGCCTATGTTCTTGTTAGTTCGCATCCAATTGGTCCCAGAGCATTGTGTAACGTACAGCAGAGTCGCGCTGGCGCTCGGCGTTGCGGCGCTTGAGGGCGAGCCTGTGGCGCTTGTGCTGGAGGCGCTGAGGAGTGACCAGACGCTGGATGGAAGGAGCCTTGGTGTAGGGCTTCTTGCCCTCGCCCTTGGGCTGAACCTCGCGGCGAATGACGAACTTGCGGACCTATTTTCACGGATTGTACATCAGACTTGGCTCTTTCAACTCAGACTCGGACATCATCTCAAAATGATTGAGATGACCCGGCGAAGCACAATGAGGGGGAGGAGACCCACATCGTCTTCCTTGCTGAGACCAAACATGCGGCGGATCTTGGTGGCGCGCTTGGGGCCGAGGCGCTTGGGGTGGACGGTGTCGGTCAGGCCAGGGATGTCGGCCTCGCCCTGCTTGACAATGGAGAGAGCAAGGACAGAGAGATCCATGGCGACGATGCAGCCGCGAACAGACTTCCTCTTGCGCTCGCCAGTGCGGCGGGGGCGGTAGCAGGAGTGGCCGTCGGCGAGCAGGAGACGGACACGGGTCGGGTGCATAACACCCTGCTTCATCGGGAAACCCTGCTTGTCGTTGCCGCCGGTGATACGGAAGACGTAGCCCTTGAACTCGTCGCCAACGCTGTCGCCGGGAACCTCCTGACCCATGCGGCGGTCCATGAAAACGCGGAGCTTGCGCTCATCGTCGACCTCGATCAGCTTCTGCGAGCCGTTGGCCGGGTAGGAAATGTTGAGCTTCATCTTGACGGCTCGGCGGTCAAGATCGAGAGGACTTGGTGTCGGGGGGCTGGTGTGGTCGTCGCGGTCGTCGCGGAAAGTGTTGTTGGTAGACCTCAATTCTTTTCGAGTGGGCTTCGCTAGCGGGCCCGGCGGAACATGTCGCCGCGGCGCATGGGGCGCCCGGTGTCGAGCGCCTGCTCACCGCCCACCGGCCCCGGAAGGCGGTCAGGCACGGCAGGTACGCGCGCGAATGGATTTTATCGCATTCTGCAAGGCGGGCGCTGCTCTCGAAGCCTCCACCATGCGCAACGCCAGCAATTTCCGCGCACCCGCCGCCGCTGCTGTCGTCCCCCGTCATGGCCACCAACTCGATCAAGCTGCTCACGGGCAACAGCCACCCCACGCTCGCTAAGCTGGTGGCTGACCGGTACGCTGCTACCTGACTGGCTTTGAAGCTGCATTGCGCCGGGCGCTGCGCTCACACTGCAACCACTGCACAGGCTAGGCATCGAGCTGACCAAGATCCTCGTGCTGCAATACTCCAACCAGGAGACTTCCGTCACCATTGGCGAGTCGGTTCGCGACGAAGATGGTACTGCTGCCTCTCTCGCCCTGCCCTACGCCCTGCCCGCGCAGCCCACTCACGCCCAAGCACGCCCAACTGACATGATGCACTCGCGCAGTCTTCATCCTGCAGTCGACCGCTCCTGGCGACATCAATGATGGCTTGATGGAGCTACTGATCATGATCAACGCCTGCAAGACCGCCTCGGCCCGCCGCATCACTGCAGTCATCCCCAACTTCCCCTACGCTCGTCAGGATAAGAAGGACAAGTCGCGTGCTCCCATCACCGCTAAGTTGATGGCCAACATGCTGCAGACGGCCGGCTGCAACCACGTCATTACCATGGATCTGCACGCCAGCCAGATACAGGGCTTCTTCAACGTTCCCGTCGACAACCTCTATGCTGAGCCCAGCACGTTGCGCTGGATCCGCGAGCATCTCCCTGTAAAGGAGTGCGTCATCGTCAGCCCTGATGCCGGTGGTGCGAAGAGAGCAACCTCTATTGCCGATGGCCTCGACCTCGGCTTTGCGCTGATTCACAAGGAGCGCGCACGGCCGAACGAGGTCTCGAAGATGGTGCTGGTCGGAGACGTCAGCGATAAGATCGCCATCATTGTCGACGATATGGCCGACACCTGCGGCACGCTTGCAAAGGCTGCTGACGTTGTCATCCAGCACGGCGCCAAGTCGGCCATTGCTATCGTCACCCACGGTATCCTGAGCGGCAACGCCATCAACGCGCTGAACAATAGCAAGTTGGAGAAGGTTGTCGTGACCAACACAGTGCCGCACGACGACAAGAAGCTGCTTTGCCCGCGCATCGAGACCATCGACATCAGCCCCACCGTGAGTGCTCTTGGTGGATAATCATCGAATGACGCAGACTAACACATTTCGCAGCTGGCTGAGGCTTGCCGTCGTACCCACAATGGCGAGAGCGTGTCGTTCTTGTTCAAGCACGCCCCTGTCGACTAAATTTGCTTCACTCATACCACCTAAATTTTCTCTTTCCTTCCATTTCTTTGGCGTATGGCGCGGTGACGTGAAAGCGGATAAATGACATGCATGGGCCCAGAGGAAAAATAACGATACGGTATCCCTAGGACAAGTAACTCACAAAGCTCACGAGAAAGGGGAAAAAAATACATCATCCAGACGGGTCAATCAAAGAAAGAAACCTAAAGAAAGTTCAGCCAATCTCCATATTTTCAACCAGAGCAATATTCCATCTTACCATTGGTGATTAGGATAACAGCCTGAAGAGCCCCGCCCTTTCCCCCGGTCTTACATACATGCGTGCATGCATGCTGCCGGATAAGTATGGCAACACCCCCCCGCATGCAAAAGGCTATTGCTCCTTCGGGTTGGTATGAAGGGGCATGTTTCAAAAATGTTTGCTTGGCCAGACGTCGGAACGGCATGCATGTGGACGGAATCGGCAATCGCACGCGTCTGCATGCTGTCCACGCGTTGCTCTACACGTTGCCTCTGAATTTTCTTTTCCCCTAATTTTCTTTTCTTTTCTTGAATATCATTGGGTGAACCACAAGGGGGATTATAATGTCTTGAGGCAAGGGGACGGCTGACAGATCACAGAGCACAGAATTTCCAAGCAGTAGCCTGCATACCAGCGTCGACCAAAACAGCAGCCAAGCGACTTTTACTTCTCTCGTTGGATCGTATTAATTCGTTGCTTGAAGAAAGCGAGAATAAAATTAAGGTATCATCACTCCATATGTCTCCTCGAACGAGCCGCCCAAACTCATCAGTATTCCTCGATCGTGACGGGCTACTTCTTAGTGTCCGACCACCTCTTGCTGTCGCACGATGCTGCCTTTGCGCTCCACCTCCTCGGCTCTGCGCTCGAGATCGTTCGTCTGGACAACAGACATATCCATTGTAGGGACGAAGAGCGGCGCGTTCGTGAACAGGTAGTTCATCTCCTCGAGCGGACGCTTCTTGGTCTCGGGCAGGATGGCCCAGAAGTAGACAGCGTTGGTGAAGTTGCAGACCTAGCGAAAGAGATTGGGTCAGCTTTCGAGTCAAACTGAAGATGGTGTATCTTGCTCGACTCACGATGAACAGGATGTAGAATTTCCAGCCGATGGCCTTGAGGGCGATGGGCGTGACCTGGCCGATCATGGTGTTGAAGGCGAACGAAGTCATAGTGGCGATGGCGACGCCCTTGCTGCGAGTGCGAGTGTCGAAGATCTCGGCGGGAACTAGGAAGGAAGTATGTCAGTCACTGTTCCGGCGCAGCGGGCCGGCGGGTTGGGAGCACTCACTGATCCAAGAGAGAGGACCGCACGTGCAAGAGAAGCAGAAATTGTACAGCCAAGTCATGGCGATGAAGCCCCAACCGGCAGAGAGATTGCCGCTGGAACCAGGGGGGAAGACGGCAAGCAGGGCTGTGGCGACGATGAAGGTCACCATGTTGCCCAAGTTGCCGAAGATGAGCGGCCAGCGGCGGCCGGTCTTGTCAATGAAGAGGATGGTCAAGAATTGAGCAACGAGAGCGATGATAGAGTTGATGGCCTGGTACTTGAGCGTGTCGTCTCCGGCAATGCCGATTTGACCGTAGATGTCGACGGAGTAGTACTGGATGGCGCTAACACCAGTCATCTGGACGGATGCCTGCAAAGAGATAGCGATGAAGAGGCGGCGGAAGCAGGACTTGTCGGTGAACAGTTCGAAGTACGACTTGGCCTCGTGCTCATGCTCGATGGTAATGGCCTCCTGGATCTGCTCAAACTCGGCGCGCACCCATGCGTCGTTCTCGTCGCCATGAGCGTGCAATTGTGCCAGGGTCTTCAAAGCCAGCTCGGGCTTTCCATGGTCCATCAACCAGCGAGGAGACTCGGGGAATAGCAGGATAAGGAGGGCCAGCAGAGCGGCCGGAACGACCTGGATACCGAGGGAGACGCGCCACTGGCGGTTGTCGTCTTCGGCATAGCCAATGTATGTTCCCCAGGAGATCCAAGAAGCAGCGAGAGCGCCAATTCCAAGCATAAACTGCTGGAGAGCGGTCACTCGACCACGGATGCTGGGATGGGCCAGTTCGGCTTGGTATAAAGGGACGACCATGACGAGGAAACCGACGCCGACTCCGGCAAGACAACGGCCAGCGTACAGGTAATCAATTGTCTGAGCACCGGTTTGCAGACCGCCACCCAAGCAGAAAACCAGAGAGCCAGTAAGGATGGTCAGTTTACGTCCGATCAGGTCGTTGGTGACACCGGCGAACATGGCGCCAAAAAAGGCGCCACCGGTGAAGATGGAGACGACGGCTCCGCTAGAGAGGGCTTCTCGTTATTTTCCGGATGCTGAGGAGGGTCTGCAAAGCAGGACTTACTGCTCGTTATCATTGTCACCAAACATCTTCGTGAAGGACTGGCTGGCAATGACCTCTGCAATAACACCCAAGTCGTAGCCGTAAAGCACGGAGCCGAGCGAGGCGAAGACGCAGACCAGGAACTGGGCGAATTTAGCGTCAACGGCGCGCGGATTGTGGGGAAGCTGGCGGCGGAAAAGCATACCTGGTACCATTTCGGAGGGAGAGCCATGATGACTGGCTGGTGTTGCAAAGGTCGGACTCAGAAAGAGCTCAGCAAGGCTGCAGTGCGCACGACCAAACAGCTGTACCGTTTGGGCGCGGAAGACATCTTATAGTGAGTAAGCGGAGACAGTGGTGCACTCCGCATTTTGGACGCGGCATCCCTGCAACCCCCGGCTGTGCACGGCGCGAATCCTACGCGGAGCCGTGCGCTCGAGTGTCTGGGGTAGCCCACGCGGGGCTTGGCGTGGAAGGGGCATAGCGTGACTGGCGTCGTGTGGGCAGGCAAGTGCCGGGAGAGCAGTGAGGTGAGAGCGCAGGGCTGGCGGGTAGCCGAGGCGGGCAGGACGGCCGGCGAGTGGACAGCGGTGGAGGGCGGCGGGCGGCGGCGGACGGCGAGTGGACGGCGAGAGGGCGGCGTGTGGGCAACACGCGGGCGGCGGGCGAGCAGCGCGTCGTGGGCGGGGGCAGATGCGCCGAAGAGGCTGCCATGGCCGCTCTCGAAGCGAGCCGCGACCCCAAAGTGGCGCGCCTGCCCTTTTCTCCACCAATCCCGCCCGCGCCTGCGCCTGTCCAGCGCAACAACCGCCGGCATGCTCTGCACGCACCCGGTGGGCTGCGGTGGGATGATTGCGCCGTCCGCCTGCTGCTTCTCACGCGAAATGACCCACCTGCTTGGTTCACGACAGCCGTGGCGTGCTCGTCTTTAGACGGCCGCAGGCGCTCATCGCAGCCGGCACAGAACAAGTCAATCAACACTTCTCCAGAGCTGCCGTCCCGCAACCCGCCATGGCATCCTTCACCAAGATCCCCGAGGCCGAGACGCCCAGCATTGCCATCAACCCGAAGCACCGGATCTCCAAGATCAACGACAACGTTTATGGCGGCTTTACCGAGTAAGTCGAGCCTCCAAGCAGCGCTCCCCAATCCGTCTCGGTCTCTGCCTCAGCCCACCAGGCAGATGATCACCACCGGCCTAGCCCCCATCACCGCCCTTTGCCCACCGCTGACTCTCCCGATCCGCCTGCGGTAGGCACATGGGCCGCTGCATCTACGGCGGCATTTACGACCCCGGCAACCCACTGTCCGACGAGCACGGCTTCCGCAAGGACGTCATCGAAGCCTTCAAGGAGCTAAACTGCCCCGTGGTCCGCTACCCCGGCGGCAATTTTGTTGCAACCTACCATTGGTTGGACGGCGTTGGGCCCAAGGACCAGCGTCCCCCCAGGTAAGCTGGGTTTTTTCTCATTCGTTCCCGGTTTCCAAAATCTCCGGTGATTGTGTCGTGCCACCGCCCCGGTTGCAGCCCGCTCGTTACTTGCATGCGGCTCTGTAGCGTGTGGTGGGTGCCTGCTTGGGAAGTGATGCGTGCCGGAGCCACCGACCCGACCCGTCGTCACCTCTGCGCCCCCCTCGCGTCTCCACGTGATATCACCAGACGAGCCCAATCTGGGAAACCTACTATAGCAACTGCATATGTGGAGTTGAGTTACATGTCCGAGGGTCTCGGCCATGAGCATTGTTGTGTCTGCATACGAGCAGAGTGACACTCCGTCACTTCCCGCGCCGTCGCACCGGACACCCGGGTCGCGACCTTTGACCTCTGCACTGCACTGCACTCCCTTCGCCTCCCCCCCTCCCCCCCCGAGCCAATTGACTAAGCCTTCCTTTGTAGACCCGAACTGGCATGGCTTGGCCTCGAGACCAACGAGTTCGGTACGGATGAGTTCCTGAAATGGTGCGAGGTTGTCGGCACCGAGCCCTACTTTGCCTTGAACTTCGGGACTGGCACGCTTGACGAAGGTCAGTAGACAGCCGCAAGAGTCCCCCATCATGAAAGGGAAATATCAGAGCTGACCGTACCCAGCCCTCGCCTGGGTCGAGTACTGCAACTCCACGCAAAACACCTACTACGCCAACCTCCGCCGTAAGAATGGCCGCGAGAAGCCTTACAACGTGCGTCTGCCCCGCTCACACTCGCCGATACGCCGGCATCCACTGACCACTCTCGCCTGCAACAGGTGAAATACTGGGCGCTGGGCAACGAGATGTGGGGACCGTGGCAAGTAGGACAAATGACCAAGGAAGACTATGCGCACAAAGCCTACCAATGGGCCAAGGCCCTCAAGCTGCTCGACCCGTCTCTCGAGCTCATCCTCTGCGGCCAGGATGGCATCAGCACGTGGGACTCGTACGTCGTCAAGGAGTGCGTCCGCTGGGAGCCGCATGCGTTGGGCGGCTCGCAGACGGCGTCGCTCATCGCCATGCACAGTATCCATATCTACACGGCGTCCAAGGAGCACCTGCCCAATGCGACGGCGCCTCGCAGCGCGGAGCGTGCCATCGAGATCACGGCGGGGCTGATCGACCTGGCGCGTGTGGAGAACAAGGTGCCTCCGACAGTGCCGCGGCCGACCATCTGCTTCGACGAGTGGAACGTGTGGGACCCGATCCGCGCCCCCGGCGAGAAGGGCGCCGAGGAGAAGTACACGCTATCGGACGCGCTGGCGGTGGCGGTGTGGCTGAACGTCTTCGTGCGGCAGAGCAAGCACGTCGGCATGGCCAACATTGCGCAGAGCGTCAACGTCATCAGCCCGCTCATGACGACCAAGGACGGTCTGGTCAAACAAACAACATGGTGGCCGCTGCTGCTGTTCAGCAAGTACATGCGCGGCCACACCGTCGCCGTCAACGTCGCTTGCGGCGAGTACGATGGCCCGACCATGCCCGAGTGGATTCGCGGCACCGTGGAGACGCCCTGGCTCGATGTGTCGGCGGCCATCACGGATGACGGCTGGGTCGGCTTGGCCGTTGTCAACGTGCACGAGCAGAAGAGCTTTGAGACCAGCTTGGAAGGCGTCACCAAGGGCTCGGTTAAGGTGTATACAGTCACTGGCTCTTCGTGGGAGGTGGTCAACACGCAAGACAAGGAGGAGGTCGGCATTAAGGAGACCGAGTGGGATGGCAAGGGCAAGTTCACGTTCCCCAAGTTGAGCTTCACGTTGTTGAGGTGGAAGGCTTGAAGGGATGTTTTATTTGTCTTTTGAGTGTATAGATTGCTCGAAATAGAACTACTTGTGCTGCCGAATAGAAATTCTATCAAGTTTCAGCACCCTTCCTAGGAACCACAATTCTACCCTCTGATCTTCGAACGGGGTGGAAATTGAACTTGCGGGTATTCAATCAGGTACGAGAGACCGACTAGTTTCTTCTCTCCAGATGCAGAAGTAGCTTCCCTTCACCCTTGACACACTTCTTGGGTCTGTGGTCGAGATCAATAGGTGTCCAGGCAACAAGTTAATAGGCGTTCCTCCAAAAAAGGGCAACGCGTCACCTTAAAGCTGCTTGACCTCGTCCATACGATCGGGTCGTTTTACAAGCGCAGCTCCCGCAAAGAAGCCAGAAGCTATATCATGAGTTCTCCTTCCGCCCGGCAGGACACAGCAATGCGGATCTCTTGAGCACCTAGAGCTTTTAGAAGTCCGTCAGAGAGCGGATTTTACTGCACAGTGCAAGCGTCTCACTGATCCAGAAGAAATTTGCTGAGTAATCTAATCAGTCGACCATGCTCAAAGTGAGGTGATGCTTATTCAAACAACTCTCAAAAAATTAAATACGCCATGAGAAGAAGTGTGATCGTCGCTCAGTGTTTCCAGTTCCAACCCATGTGCATACCTCTGGAAGCCAGCAGAGTTTGCCACGCTCGGCCTATAAGTTGGTCAAGACAACAGGGAAATGGTTTCTTTCCAGACACCCAGACTGGATATTCGGTTCAAGTATATGGTGGCTGCCATTTCGGCGGCGATGCCGCACAACGGTCGGCAACGAATTCGCCCCCACAGCGCTGACCTGGGATCATGGCAGCATTCCAACGTGACAGCTGTCGCCCCCCCGCCATTTCCCAACAACTCCTCGATCCCCAGTCCGAACCCCATCCATCAACGTTTGGCCCTCCCGAAGCGGCCAAGTTTCATCGTTGCAAAAAAAAAAAAAAACCCCCCCCGGCCCGGTCGTCTCTCCATGGCCGGCCTCCTCCGCCTCCTCCGCGACAAGTGGTCGCCGCCGCGCGACCCGACGACCTCGCTCGCCGGCCGCACCATCCTCATCACCGGCGCCAACACCGGTCTCGGACTCGAAGCCGCCGTCAAGTGCGCCCAGCTCGGCTGCGCGCGCCTCGTGCTCGGCGTGCGCGACGCGTCCGCCGCCAAGGCCGCACAGCTGGGCCAGACCGTCCAGCAGCGCGCGCAGCGGAAGCGCAAGATCGCCACGCGCGAGGCGACGGGCGACTGCGTCATCGACGTGTGGCAGGTCGACTTGCTGGACTTCGAGAGCGTCAGGCGCTTCGCCGAGAGGGTGGGCGCGGCTGACGAGGTGCGGCGCCTGGACGCGGCGGTGCTGAATGCGGGCGTGAGCGTGAGGGAGTTGAGGAGGAGCAGGCACGGGTGGGAGGAGACGCTGCAGGTCAACGTGCTGGGGACGGCCTTGCTGGGCGTGTTGTTGCTGCCGGTGCTGAGGCAGAAGGGCGCGGAGACGGTGCGCGATGGGAGGCCGCCCGTGCTGGAGATTGTCGGATCGAGCTTGTATCGGCACGCGAAGTTGGGCGCCACGGGGGAGAAGCTGCTGGAGGAACTCAACAGGCAGGAGGCCTTCAATGGGCGGAAGCAGTATGCTGTTTCAAAGGCGCTTGTGATGTATGCCATGCGAAGCCTTGCGGCAATGGATGCATACACGGCTGGAGGAAAGGATGTGGTTGTCATGTCCGCATCGCCAGGATTCTGCAAGAGTGATCTTCGGAGGCATTACACCGGACTCGCGGCCAGAGTCTTCGGATCGCTCTTCTATGCCGTCTTCGCTAGAGACGCGGAAGAAGGTGCAAGAAGCTTGGTCAGCGCCGTCTGTCTAGGCGAAGAAGCGCATGGTGGTTTCTGGCACAGCGACAAACTGCTTGAGTGAGTACATCTGTGCATACATACATGACCTGTCCAATTGCTGACCGAGGACCAGATTGGACCCGATGCTCCTAGGAGAAGAGGGCGAGAAGATGCGCCAACAAGTCTGGCACGAGATCATCGACGCTGTTAGGCGAGACGTGCCAGAGGCACTCGAACTGACGCAGAATGGACCACGCGAAGCGCCAGCTATTGATGCCCAAGGAAACAATGCCTAAGCTGCCAAGCGGCCTATCGCGCTTTCTCTCGAACCTAGCGAATACTCTCCCACTTTGGCCAGCGTCTGAGAAGTATGTCAAGCCTTAAAGCCTGAACTAGCTTCACCGTCGACACATTTCCTCTCCTCCCCCTTTCTTTCCATGTATTTGTACCCCCATTTTCTCATCTATATTAGCTGGCTACAGCGTCTCCTTATGAATGATGAACGATGACCCGAATAAAGAGAATGCTTATTTTCCTTCCTAGACCCCCCTTGGGGAATCTTCGTACTCGAAAAGGAGCCATCTCGGCAATTCGCACTCACTATCGCTAAAGTCAGTATGAAACGTCAGCAAACCACTTAAACCTTGGATTTGACAAGTCTCAGCATATAATGATCTGTGGCGACCCATTTGTGTTACTCCGATTTACCACCGGGTCATTCCCTCGCCCCATTGTTCTGTTTCCATCCCGGTCCTTGTTCTTTCCCTTTTCTTTCCCTTTTCTTTTCCCCCTTCTTTCCTCTGTTGATCTCCTATGAGATCATGCTCAGAGGACCCTGTGGTTTGCCCCCCGTTCCGGTCAATTCCGTAGTCATCTTCGTATGCTCAACAAGGGTACTCATAATCAACTCCGAGACCCTTCAGCATATCCTTCAACCTAGTCTGCTGCTCATTCCAGCTGAGATCTCCCGAAGGACGAGGCGATGCCCGAACCATGTGTACGACCTTCCGGAGGTTGGGCAAACTGCCACCTCCCTCCTTGTACGATAGAAATATGTCAAAGAGATCACCCAAGTCAGCACCAACACCCGGCCACTTTGAGAAATCTTGGTCCCCTTGGAAGAGAACCCAGCGGACCGGGCCATTTGCGATGCGGAATTCCTCTAAGGTATCGGGAAGCAGCGTATCCAGAGGCGTCCAACGGAACGGCTGTCTGGGCCCTGTCTCATCATGGCCCGGGATCGGTGCGGATCGGGGGTAGCCAAATAGCAGCATCGGCTCTATCTCCAATGTTTTGAGCTTCTTGAGACCCTTCAATGACCCAAGTCTGTTGATCTCCCAAGTTGTGCAAGTGCAAGTGCCACGGGGATTGGGTGGGCACTCAATCACCCTGCAAACTGATCCGTACCTCCTTATCTCAAAACCTTCTTCACCTTCTCCTTCGCTCTCGTTCTCGTTATCGTCTTCCTCGTCATCGTCGTCATCGTCGTCATCGTCGTCTTCCCCTTCGCTACTTCCATCGCTGTCGCTATCATCCCAGCCATGCTGCTCCTCTGCTTGTTCTGGAAGGACTTGATTATCGTAGTCTAATCTGTTGGGCGACGTTTTGTAGGATTTACACGCAAAGTCCACCGAGATCTTCAGGTGCTCGAGTGTGCTACTGCAGTGTAGGCCCTCCTTTCGGTATTTGCGCAAGTCGCCTCCAAGCCCAGTACCCAGGATGGCCTTTCGAAGTCTTCGCATATCAATAAGACACCACTTGAGAACGAAGCGCTGCCTGTTCGGGTCCAAGGCAAATAGGAGGTCGATCTCGAGTGAAACTAGACGCGGCATGTGGCCGAGCAAGGCACGAATGGCCAGCATCCTCAGCTCGCATTTCCAAAGTGCGAGGGCGGTAAGGTGCGCGAATGGTGGGTAATGGGTTCTGCATAATGAACGGCGCACAGGTCTGAGACTACTGATCCAGTCTCCACTGGCGGTGAGACGAAGTGTTTTGAGGTTCGGGATATGAGAGAGACCTGCGATGACGACGGCGCTGGGCGGAGGACGAGGAATGCTAGGGGCGCGACTTATAAGTAGTTCAACGGTTTCGAGCTTCTCGAAGGCGTCCAGGTCAGTCTGCCAGAAGTCCAGCATGACGAAGAAGTTCCCATCGAGACGCAAGGAGCGGATGTTCCGGCAGGCGTGCAGGAGAAGTGCCAGGTATGCCCAAATGTGGCCGCCGCGAAGGTTGGCTCTTTGATCCGAGGTCTTTACGCACCATCGTTTCATCATTTCTTCTGAGCCTGCAGCGCTAATCATGTTCTGAATCTCGGGTGGAGCGAGCCGAGGAAGATAGCGAGTGAATACGTCAGGTATGGTTATGCTGATGGTTTTTGTGGAGTTTCGCAAGACAGGATCGCCGACAAAGACGGACGAAGCCAACTTCACAATGACTCCGAGGTCCTTGCGATGGCCAGGCCCAGATATTTGCAGTCGGATGTTCTCGTAAAGCTCACCACTGGCAACGTGGTTGAGTAGCTTGCAAGTGGCAGCAACGGCAGCCACGTCTTGCGAGCGCGGGAGGGTGCTTACAACCCTTAGCAGCAGCTCGTTCGGGAGGTCCAGTAAGTCCGGCATCGCGGGATTTTGTGAAGTGATGTTTGCGCTGGAGGCAAAGCCTGGATGGCAACAGCGTCGGAGCGATACGGAGTGCGCCGGTGGTGCAGGCCTGGCAAAGAGGACTATCCGGAGCGGCGAGCTCGACGAGCTGACAGGGTTGTAGGTGTGTGGAAGAAGCGGGTTGGAAGAAGGCGGGTGGGTGGTGAAGTTTGTGGCCCGGGGCGCCCAGCAACCGCAAACCATAGCGCTGGACGCGCTTCACCCGGGCGCAAACGCAGCAGCGCTGCACGTGACAGGCAAGCAGCCGACGCGGGCTGGGAAGATCGACGAGCAGCCTTCGCGGCTGGTGAAGCCCCACAGACGGACTGGTTTGGCGACATCGTTCCTGCCCAGGCCCACATTCGCCTCGTCCTCGTCCTCGTCCTCCTTCTCCAATCCACTCTTGCAACCCGCAGAGCTGAGAGACTTCGCCTCATGCCAATCCATCACTCACCTCCTTGGGCATGTCCGCTTGACCAACATGATCCCGTCAAGCCTTTTCAAGTCATAACAGCAGCTGGTCGGACCTTGATCGCCTTGAGCACCCCGCGAGAATGCAATCAAAGGCAACGCCGTACCGATTCTTCACCGCCACCACCAACTCTCATGCAGCTCTTCGTAATGGACGGCCAATGACCCCTTCATCAAGAGGAGGGCTATGCGATGTGCGCAGGTTTTTATGGAGGTCTGAATGCTGACATGAACCTTGCATAGACGGATTATTGCAGAATGGCTGGGACAAGCAGGCGATGGTCCAAGTGCATTCTCTCGGGAGGTGTGTAGCATTCGAGGGACGCGGCGGGCTTGGGTTGCCTGGGGATCCAATTCACGATGACCCGGGGCTGACGTCTCGAGAGTTGACGTCGACGGCAGGGGCGGGGCCACAGGGCGGAGCCACAGGGCGGAGCGGGTGTCACGAGTCATGCGAAGTCTGGGGAAGCCGAGGTCTCTTTCACATGCATCGCCCGTCGCAACAACATCATCACCCGTCCGAGCGTCCCTTCCGAGAGCATGCGACGCCGTCCAGCTCCAGCCCCACCCTCCCCGATGCCCCGCTGAGCAACATGGCCGCGCAGTCGAAGCTCCTCCCCTCGGACCGCTCGCTCAAGGGAATCGTCACCGAGCTCACCTCCCTCTACCTCGAGCATCGGACACGTATCTCGCGCGCCATATACCTCACCCTTTTCGTCGCCCTGATCAATCGCGTGCGCATCGCCATATCCGAACAACGCGCTGCATCTGCCCGCCATGCCGAAGCCCGCAGGAAGCCAGCCACCGGCTCGACCCAGGGCGAGGCCACCTCGCGCAAGAAGGTCGAGCTCAACCGCGAGTTCTTCCGGAACCTTTTCCGACTCTTGAAGATTGTCATGCCGGGGTGGCGGAGTAAGGAGCTTCGGCTGCTCATCAGCCATACCATCTTCCTAGTTCTGCGGACCCTCATCAGTCTGTATGTTGCCGAACTGGACGGCCGGCTGGTCAGTAGCCTAGTGAGAGGCAAAGGCAAAGACTTTTTGGGCGGCTTGGTGTGGTGGATGGCAGTGGCTATTCCCGCTACCTTCACAAACTCCATGGTAACCATCCTCGTGCTGCAGTCTCGGCCGTGACATGCTAAACAAGGGCCAGCTCTCCTACCACCAGTGCAAACTCTCGCTCCAGTACCGCACTCGCCTCACGAACTACATCCACAACAAATACCTCTCCCAAATGACCTTCTATACCCTCTCCGCCCTGGACGACCGCATCAAAAACGCGGACCAGTTGATCACCGTTGACGTCGCCAAGTTCTCGAACAGTCTTGCCGAGCTGTACTCCAACATCGCGAAACCAGTCCTGGACATGATCATATACAATTACTCGCTGTCACGAAGCGTCGGTGGGGAAGGATTGTTTGCCATGAGCTTGATCGTGCAGCTTTCGGCCAGCGTCATGCGAGCGCTGACGCCTCCGTTTGGCAAGTACGTTGCCGAGGAGGCACGATTGGAGGGAGAGTTCAGATCCCAGCATTCAAGATTGATAGACTACAGCGAAGAGGTGGCACTATACGCTGGGCACGAGGCAGAAAAGGACACCTTGGATAAGGGCTATTTCACACTGATTAAGCACGTGAACCGAATATTGAGAAGGAGATTTTACCATGGATTCATGGAGGACTTCGTCATCAAATACTTCTGGGGAGCATTGGGCTTGATGCTCTGCAGCGTCCCGGTCTTCTTCAAGATTCCTGGCGTAGCCGGCAACAACATGGGGGATCGCACCGAGAGTAGGTTCCGTCGTCTTTCTTTGAAGTGAGGAAAGGTGCTAACAGCGCGTGTACAGGCTTCGTGACCAATCGCCGCATGCTGCTCAGCTCGTCTGATGCATTTGGTCGACTCATGTTCTCGTACAAGGAAATCATGGAACTCGCCGGATACACCGCCCGTGTTTCTACACTCCTGGACGTCATGGACGAGATACAAGCAGGACGCTTTGAGAAGAAGTTGGTTTCATCCGCGGACACAGAAGAAAATGCAGCGGTGCTGCGAGGAAGAGGTCAGGTCTCGGAGGGCGAGGATATTGAATTCGTGCAAGTTCCAATCGTGTCACCAAACGGCGATGTCCTGGTCCGCAAGCTCAGCTTCACCGTCAAGCCTGGGGATCACATGCTCATCGTTGGTCCCAACGGTTGTGGCAAGTCCTCCCTCTTCCGCATCCTGGGCGGATTGTGGCCAGTCTACGGAGGAACTGTGCGAAAGCCTCCCTTTGAGGATATCTTCTACATCCCGCAACGGCCATATCTCTCAAGAGGGTCTTTGCGACAGCAAATCATCTATCCCGACGGAGTGCGCGAGATGCGGGATAAGGGTATCACAGACGCGGACCTTCTCCGCATTCTCTCGGTTGTGGAGATTGAGTCGATTGTTGAGCGCCCCGGTGGCTGGGATGCCGAGCAGGAATGGACTGACGTGCTCTCCGGTGGGCTTCAACAGCGAGTCGCCATGGCCAGACTGTTCTACCACGCTCCGAAGTATGCGATCTTGGATGAGTGCACGAGCAGTGTTACGCTCGAGATCGAAAAGGTCATGTACGACGAGGCCAAGCGGTTGGGGGTCACTCTGATGACAGTCAGCCATCGGCGAAGCCTGTGGAAGTACCACACGAACATCCTCCAGTTCGACGGCCAAGGCCACTACGTCTTCACCAAGCTGGACGCGGAGAAAAGGTTACAGCTTGAAGAGTGAGTATGCTCGGAACCGAACACAAAGGCTGTGATGCTGACAGAACTACAGTGAGAAGGAAGACTTGGAGCTGCAGCTTCGTGCTGTTCCAGAGATCGAGAAGCGCATCGCCGAGTTGACGGCTTGAGCACAGGATATGTTCTATTCCCATGTTGGTCTAATATTGCTCCTAGCTTCTGCAGGAAGAGCACTAGAGGCGTTTGAAGCGGGGCATGTACATGTGACCGGACTTAGGACGGATGGCGCAGGTTAGAGATACACATGACTGGGGCGGCCATTCTGGGGGAATCCGACGAGGATATGCCTCCGTGGCAGACCATGAATAATCATATTGGATCTTGCAGATATCTGCCCAATCGTAGCCCCTGGATCCGGGACTGGCCTAGCAATGCATTATTCAGAAGGGTTGAGGGGGATTGGCATGTTCGAGTGCCTTTGTTGATGGCCGGTGTCACGTGCGTCGATCAGTTAGCGCGAAGGACGGACGCGTCCAAAGCCTGGGGTAAGTTGTTTGCGATTTGACCTCATCCCACAACCGCTCCCATCAACCCCCCCCGCGCCCCCGCCGGGCAATGAGACGACCGCCGACGCAGCCTCATTAGCCCATCGACAACGCTCGCGGTTCTCGACAGCAGCCTTCGCCGCAGAGACGTGCTCTTTGTCCCCAGCGAGGAGACCGACACGCCGCCATCAAATGAACAGCTCATAGCTTGCCGCGAGAAGCGAAGACGACGCACCAACCTCGCTAGCGTTTTCGCACTTGTTCATTCGCATCGAAAGACGCAATGGCGGACGCCAATCTCAAAGTCGGTCAGCTCATTGAGCTCAATGACGGCCGCATCGGCATGATCCGCTTCATCGGCGACACCGCTTTTGCCGAGGGACTCTGGGTCGGCGTCGAGTTCGACGATGCTTCCGGCAAGAACGATGGCTCGGTGCAGGGAATGCGGTATTTCGATTCGAAACCCGGCCATGGCATGTTTTTGCGGCCCATGGGCGTGGCCCGCATCGTGGAGGAGCCAAAGCCAAAGGCCCCTGCTAGGCCTGCTGCTGCGAGACCCGGGGCTCCCGGTGCTGTAGCTAGGAGGGCTACTGGCACTGGCTCAGTAGATCACGGTAAAGGAAGGCCGACAAGCATGACGGCCGAGGCTTCAACCCCCCGGCCGAGGCTTGGAAGCAGACCGTCCAGCATCGACACGAAAAGCCCTGCGGCTGGCACAAGAATCGGAGTAGGGCTCGACAGCGCTGCGCAATGTATGATTATGCTAACTTGAAGCCGCAGTCTCCCACCAAAAGACCTGCCGCCGGCTCAATTTCTCGCCCGCGTCCAAGCATAAGCAGCGCAGCGACAGGCCCACCAAGACGTACGTCCACAACCTCGACCGGTGGCGCCAAGTCGGCTCCGGCCGTCACGCCTGCCGCTGCCAAACACACTTCCAGGCCGTCGCTTGGCGGCGCCCGGAGTGGCTTGACCAAACCCGGTGAAGCCCCTCCGGCCAGAACCGCGCCGGGCCGTCAGTCTCTCAGCGTTACCAAATCGCGGGTCACGAGCCCTCCATCGTCCAGCAGAGCCTCTGCCTCACCCTCTGCGCCAGTAGCCCAAAGAAGCGTGAGCGCGGTGCAGAAGGACGCTGAGATCAAGGAGCTTCAAACGAAACTACGAGTCTTGGAAGAGAAACGTGCTGAGGATAGGGAGAAGATTGCAACGCTGGACAGGGTGCAAGAAGAACGGAACAAATATGAGCAGATCATTCAGAAGCTGCAGGCGAAGATCCAGCCGCTCGCGCAGGAGAACAATGAGCTCAAGAAGAACTCGAAGGAGGCGGAATTGAGGCTTGAGCAGGTCGAAGCCATCCAGGCTGAACACGAGTCAATCTTGGAGATGGCCACCCTGGACCGTGAAATGGCTGAAGAGCAGACAGAGGCGTACAAGGCTGATCTGGAGGCCGTCAAGCAGCGTCTTGAGGAGCTAGAGCTGGAGAACGAGATCCTAAAGGACGAAAACCAAGAGCTTGGACAAGATATGAACCCTGAGGAAAGGACTAGCATGGGATGGCTTCAGCTGGAACGCGAGAACGAGAGGCTGCGTGAGGCTCTCTTGCGCCTGCGTGATATCACCCAGGAGTCGGAATCGGAGCTGCGCGACCAGCTCAAGAGTCTGGAGGAAGACAACCAAGAGCTTTCGGGCGTGAAGGAGCAGTGCGATGAGACCAAGACGAAGCTGTTGGAGGCAGAGGCTGACATTGAGGATCTGCGGCAACAGCTCGACGCTGCTCTTGGCGCCGAGGAGATGATCGAAGAGCTGACCGATAAGAATCTTGCTCTGAACGAGTACATTGAGCAGCTAAAGGTCTCGATCGAAGAGCTCGAGACGCTTAAGGAGCTCAACGACGAACTCGAGGTCAACCACGTGGAGAACGAGAAGCAACTCCAAGAACAGATCGACTTCAAGGACGCCATTATTGCGGATTTGGGTCGCCGTGCTATGCAGCAAGATGAGACTCTTTCGGACCAAGAATACACGATTCTCCGCTTCCGCGAGCTCGTCACGAACTTGCAGTCTGACATGGAAGACATGAGAGCTTCCAGGGAGATCAGCGAGACTCAGGCACAGGATCTCAACAATCGGTCGAGAGCGATGATGGATCTCAATAGACAACTGCAAGCTTCCGCTTCTAGCACCAAGATGAAGACCATCGACATGGAACTCCGGAAACTCGAAGCCCAGGAAGCCGCTGAACATCTTTCGATTGTCCAGCTGTTCCTTCCGGAAGCCTTCCATTCGGAGAGAGAGTCTGTTCTGGCGCTACTCCGCTTCAAGAGAATTGGTTTCAAGGCATCGCTCGTGCACAGCTTTGTCAAGGACAAGGTCTCTGGAGATGCACCCATCAACGATGAGGATATCTTCGAGGCCTGCGATGTCCTCGACAAGCTCACCTGGATCTCAGCTATGTGCGACAGATTTGTTACAGCCATCTCAACTTGCTCGTTGGATCAGTTCGCCAGATTCGAGGGCACGCTGTATGAGCTTGAGCCAGTTGAGCGCGCTCTCAACGGTCACATTGATGGCCTGAAGAGAGACGAGCTTAAGGAAAAACAGGTTGCGGAGGAGCTTCATCGGTATGTCACAGTCAAATCTTATGTCAACATTTCAGCTAACATTTGCCTAGGTCAATTGCTGTCATGGCTCACCTTGCTGAAACTCACCTTGGTGATGGCCTTGAGGGCTATGCCAACGACATTGTCATGCGCACTCTGCTCATGCAAAGCCATCTGGAGACCACCGCCGCTGCTCTCATGCTCGTAAAGGGAGAAGTCCAAACCCGAGTCCCATCGCAGGGCGAGGACGACTATGATGGCGTCGATCGCTTCATTTCTAAAACAGAGGAAATCATCGCGCAGTCTCGCAGTGCGAAGGTTATTGTTGGGAAGGCGCTTCGGACCTTGCAAGAGCTCAAGGCTCGTTCGCTTACATTGCAGAACGACACTCTCAACTCGTTTGAAGAGTGTCAAGATGCGTCTGACGACCTTGCACACTATGTCCGGAAGATGGGCGAGAACGTGTTTCAGCTTCTGCATGAAGATAGCCGCACGGAACCTTTCGCTATCAACGAGGTCCGCAGCGCCATGTTCAGGGCCTCTGAGGAAGTGTTCTCTGTTTCCGAATCTGAGATGTATGCAACCTTTGCGGCCAGGCTTCGCAAACTCAGCGAGGATCTTACCGAGCTTGTCAACATCACGTCTGACCTTGAGCTCACCGTCGAGTTCGAGAAGCACCCTGCACCCTGGGTCCTGCGGTCCAAGGAGCTTCAGGATAGCAAGATTGTGTCGGTGGACACGGAAGAAGAAATCCGCCGGCTCAAGGAAGAAGTGCACGCGCGGTCCATGCAGGTCAAACTGCAGGAGCAGAAGCAAGAGGAGTCAGCCGTCAAGATCGAGCTTCTCGAAAGCCGCACGCGCGACTCATCCAAGAAAGCACAGCGCATCACCGAACTCGAGAAGAAGCTCGAGGAAAACAAAGCCCGGGAGAAGCAGCTCGCCGAAGCACTCGAGACCCAGGTGCGCGATCTTGCCGGGCTCGAGACGGAGAAGGAGAAGTGGAAGGCGCAGGCCGAGCAGGCAAAGGCCATCGAGGCGGCCATGGGCGGCGAAGGCAAGCGCGACTCTGGAGGCGAGAAGACGGTCGCTACCAAGCGCGAGATCGATGCGCTCAAGACGGACATCCAGTACCTGGAGGCTGCGAACAGGTATCTGCGCCAGTCGAACCGCCGCGAGCACATCGGCAAGGTGGCGACCAACACGTCATGGTTGCGCAACACGCTCGTGCCGCCGAGCAAGGTGGCAGCGTCGGCGGCGGATGGCGGTGCGCAGAATGCGGATGCCATGCCCAGACGCAGGCTCGCGGCACTGCAGGAGATCACGAACCTGCCGACTGTTTCGAAGCTGGTGAACTTGAAGGACACTGGGGACGCGGAGGAGGAAGGCGGTGCCGTAGAGAATGTTGGTGAGAACGCTCGGCCAAGGAACAGTAAGCTCCGGTGGAGGCCGATGAAGAGCACGCCGCAGTGGCAGCTCAGCGAGCAGGAGCTCAGGAGGGCAGAGGCGTGGGAAGCGCTGTGGGGCGGGAAGGGTATGGGAGGATTCTACGAAGATGGAGGTATGGATACGCCGTGGAGTGTGAGCACGGGGGCTGTGGGGATTGTTCGGTGATGGGAGAGTGTGAAAAAGAGGGCTGTACGTCATGATACCCAACGAGGTCTTACGAAGCGATGAATGAGGAAATCTACACAAACGCTACGTGCTTCTTCCCGCCGTGGTGATGAGACAAAAAAGTGAGAACCAGAAGAGCAAAACTACCAAGATTATTCATCCGGTGAGCGGATATGGATCTGATACAAGCGAGGTTTGCTGTTCTTGGAAACGGCCTCCCAACATTCGTCTTGGCTTTTTTCTTTTCTTTTCTTTTTTGCTTTGACACTGGTTCAACTGATCGATTGCTATGGGCACCCTTTCTGTGGTCAGCCTTCGCCAAAGCCGCTGCTCCATAGGGCGATCAAGACCCTCCAAACTAGCGCGCACGGGCCACGACTTTTGCTTATCGATACGAAACTTTTCATCGGCACTGAATTGCCTCTGGCTGCCACCACCGCTTCCTCCGCACGCCTCGTCGCGAAGAGCAAGATGAGTCTGAACGAGAGGCTCGACAAGATCCGCTCCTCGCCGAAGCTGCAAAACCAGCAGCAGGTCAGTACTCGTACCCACTTCCGCCTGCGTTCCCCCGAATAACCCTCGCGCCAGACGGCGGTGGTTCTCTCCGCGGTCGAAGACACGCTCCGCGACCAGAAGTCCGACTTCACGCCCACCGCCTACTTCGCTGCGCTTCTGTCGCTGCTTGCCCAGTACATCTCGCCTCAGAAGGGAATTGTCAACAAGGAGGTAGCCACCGCCGTCGTCTACCTGCTCGACCTCGTTGCGCCTGATGTGCCCGCCCCGCTGCTGCGCGCGAAATTCTCGCAGATCCTGACCAACCTCGCGCCCGCCCTGACACACCCGGAGGCGGAGGCCCCGCTGCTACGCTCGTCGATCGGATGCTTAGAGGGTTTGCTGGTCGTGCAGGACGCCCAGGCCTGGGCCCTGCCGCAGACCCAGATCAGTCCGCGCCGCGCCGTCGCCGGCCTGCTTACTATCGCAACCGACCACCGCCCCAAGGTGCGCAAGCGGGCCCAGGATGCGCTGGCCAAGGTTCTCAAGAATCCGCCGCCGAGCCCGTCGCTGGATCACCCGGCGGCCGACATGTGCGCCGAGACGGCCTTGCGCTCGCTGAAGGAGATCACGGACGCAGTTGCCAAAAACAAGAAGCACCACCGCGCCCAGAAGGATGGCCAGACACATGAACCCGGTCTCATCCATGCTTTGCAGCTGATCAAGGTCATCGCATCCGCTGCCGGAGGATGGCCGAGCAAGAAGATTGACGCTCTCTGCGAGCTTCTGCTGAACATCTCAAAGTCGAGCAATGAGTTTTTGACCATGGCCGCCTTCGAGGTGTTCGAGGTCATTTTCGCCGGTATGGTCGACGAGATGTCCTCAGCGAAACTCCCGCGCCTTCTCGAAGTCATTGGAGAGCTCCAACCGTCACAGAATGATTCACAACTCCTGCCGCCGTGGATCGCCGTGCTTTCGAGGGGTTACGACGTAGCCGCCCAGGTCGAGCCAGAGGAAACGTTTCAGAAGCTGCCCGACCTCTTTTCGATGATGTCAAACTTCCTCGCGTCCGCCTCGCACAACATCCGGATCTCGGCCTCGGAAGGATTGATTTCGTTTATGGCAAACTGCATCCCGGACAGCGTTCTGCTGGACCCCTCAATCTTCGACGAGAAGGTTCTTGAAAAGTTGGCGAAAAATGCGACAGATCTACTCAGTGTCAAGTACCAGGCTGCGTGGATGGAGGTCTTCAACGTTGTTGGCGCCATGTTCGACGCTTTCCGCTGGAGAGCAGCGCCGATCATGTCAAGCGTTGTCAAGTCCGTTGGTGATTTGAGAGGCAACGAATCGTTTACGGGCAAGAAGGAGGCCGACGATGTCCTCGGAAAGGCAGTTAGGGCTATGGGTCCCGACAATGTCCTGGAGATTCTCCCCTTGAATTTGCACAAGCCAGTCGCTGGTCAGCCCGGACGTGCTTGGCTTCTTCCCATTATCAGAGACTCGGTTGCGAACACGAGGCTGGCGCACTTCCGCGCTGAGATGGTTCCCCTCAGCGAGGCAATGTTCCAGAGAGTACTGAACCACGGCAGTGGAGAGAAAACCATGGAGGTCAAGATTTTTGAAACCATCGTGAACCAAACTTGGGCAACTCTTCCGGGCTACTGCGACTTGCCCATGGACCTTCATGAGGCTTTCGATCAGAGCTTCGCTGAAATGATTGCAAACCTTTTGTACCAGCAAGTTGAACTCCGGAATGACCTTTGCCGAGCGCTGCAGAACTTGGTTGATTCGAATAAGGCTATTGCGGAGATCGAGGGCGAAGATGACCTTGTAGCTCAATCCAGGGTTTCCAAGGCTGACGCGCAGAAGAACTTGGACTATCTCTCAGGCTTCGCATCGAACATTCTTGCCGTGCTGTTCAACGTTTACAACCAGACGCTGCCGCAGTCAAGGGGCAACATTCTAAGCTGCATCAACGCCTACCTCAGCGTTACTCCTGCCGCCGAACTCATGGAAACCTTCACGCGAGTCGCTTCTATGCTTGAGCAGTCTTTGGCCGAGGCTAGCCCACAAACCCAAGCAGACAAGCAAAAAGACAAGAAGCCTGTCGACAAGATGCCTCCGGCAAGCCACACCTTGATGGACCTTGTCATTACAATCTCGATTTACCTGCCCCGGGAAAGCTTTGTGACACTTTTCCAGATTGCAACGCTTATGATCAACAAGGATGATGATCCTCAGCTGCAGAAGAAGGCTTACAAGCTCATCCCGCGCCTTGGTGAGTCGGAGTTGGGTAAGGCTGCTCTTCAGGAGCGCAACGCAGAGCTCCAAAAATTGCTTCTGGACAGCGCGCCCAAGGCCACCAGCCCCGCAAAGCGTGATCGCTTGGCTGCTCTTTCTCAAGTTGTGGAATATCTCCCTAGCGACGACCTGCACTTTATCCCCGCCATTCTTTCCGAGGTCGTCATTGGTTGTAAGGAAGTCAACGAAAAGGCGAGAACAGCAGCTTTCGACCTGTTGGTCTTCATGGGCGTACGCATGAAGCAGGGAGGTACGGTGGTGCAGTCGAAGATCCCTCTAATGGATGAGTCTGCACCATCCGTGCCTGCCTCCCTCGAGGAGTATATCACAATGATGTCTGCCGGTCTTGCCGGCTCAACGCCGCACATGATCAGCGCATCCATCACAGGACTCACTCGCATCCTGTACGAATTCCGCACGTCTCTTCCCGATGCAGTAATCACGGACCTCGTACAGACCATGGACCTCTTCCTTACCTCCGCCAACCGCGAAATGGTTCGCTCCGTTCTTGGCTTTGTCAAGGTCTCCGTCATTTCTCTCCCTAGTACCCTAATGCTCCCTCGCCTGAACACGCTCATTCCCAACCTTCTGGTTTGGAGCCACGAGCACAAGGGTCACTTCAAGGCCAAGGTCAAGCACATCTTCGAGCGCATGATCCGTCGCTTCGGCGTCGAGGTCGTCGAGAAAAACACGCCCGAGAGCGACCGCAAGCTCATCACGAACATTCGCAAGACGCACGACCGTCAAAAGCGCAAGAAGGCGGCGGCCGACGCCGGCGAAGGCGAGGAAGGCCACAAACCAGACAAGCGGCGCAGCAAGTTCGAGAGCGAGTACGACGAAGCCGTCTACGGCTCCGAGAGCGAGTCGGACGCCGGCTCGGACGTGTCGGACGACGAAACCATGGGCCGCAAGGGAGGCAAGAAGGGCGGCAAGTCGTACATCATCGAGGACGAGGACGAGCCGCTCGACCTGCTCGACCGCCGCGCGCTGGGCAACGTCTCGAGCACGAAGCCGCTCAAGGGCGGCCGCGCCGCGCAGCAGAAGAAGACCAAGGCGAAGGTCGATCTGGACGGCAAGCTGCTCCTGGGCGACTCGAGCGACGACGACGACGACGACGCCGACGACATGATGCTGGATGGCGGCGACAATCCGGGAGACGGCTCGCTCGAGGGCGGCATCAACGCGTACGTCAGCGCCATCCGCGGCCAGGACACGGGCGCGCGGAAGGGCAGGGGCGGCAAGATCAAGTTCTCGAACAAGAGGAATGGCGGCGGCGGCGGCGATGGAGACGAGATGGAGGTCGACGAGGAGGAGGTGGCAGAGAAGCTGAAGTCGAAGCAGCCGTTTAGGAAACCGCTTGGCGGTGGAAAGGCCGATGGTGGTGGCGATCGTCGTGGTGGTTTTGGTGGCCGCGGTCGTGGCGGCGGCGGCGGCGGCGGCGGCGGCGGCGGCCGTGGTGGTGGAGGGGGAGGCTTTAGGGGGACAAGGGGTGGGAGGATAGGGAAAGATAATAGGGGTGGTCGGGGTGGTCGGGGTGGCAGGGGTGGAAGAGGTGGAAGGGGTGATAGGAGATGAACGCAGCGCCGCCTATTCTTTTCGTTCGTAGGATCAAGCAACGTTAACGGTGGCGTTGTATGGAAAAAAGTGTAGTTAGGTCTTGAACTTTCGTTTATTCTGTTTGAGATTGCGGAATACCATGGTTTCATTATTCTCACCCTTGTTCCCGACTACAGGTTCTACATAGCGTGTCGAATGCGACCTCTGTGCCCGAGGCGATACTATTCAATTGTCTCAACTGTTGCCGTCCATGTTCACAGCCGAGATGAATGCTTTGTGTTGATTTCTCTTTCGGGTAGCTCTCAACACTAGTGTGATAGTACTTCATTCGTGACGTCAGACAGTGACCTCCAATCACCTCGTGCAGCCAGCTCAAGTAAAATGCGGGGATCCACGTGTGTTGGATATTCTCTGATATATTCGGACATTAGTCGTGGAAGAATTCACTGCGGCACTCTTTATGATACAAGATTCTTCGCCGCAATATCTATTGCGCTTACTACCGCGACCTTAGTACTACCAAAGATGAAATGGATTGACTGTGATTCCATCTATTGATCCAGGCGGACGGGGAAGGTGCCGGCCTCTGCGCAGAGTTGTCAGCACTGAAGACTGCTGCCATTGGTTCTGCTAGGGAGCTACTCACCACGCTGGTCGTTCCAGCGCTCGACCCAGCCACTGGGGCAGAGCGACCTGTAGGCGAGGAGGAACTGCAACCTGGCGTCAGCTTTCTTCTGGTGCCCGGGAAACAGGTGGATGGAGATGGGCGTACCTGGCGGCAGGGCGCGAACTCCTCACCCTTGGCGAGAATGCACTTGTGGTAGTCGACGTAGTTCTGCCAGCAGTGCTTGGTCCTGCGTTGCGCCGTCAGTGCTCTGCAACGTCCGTGTCGGAGAGACAGGGCCGCGGGGAGGCTCACTGGTTCTGGTTCGGGAAGCGGGCGTCGAAGCCTGTTGCGATGCGGCGTGAGCAAATGCGGATCATCGAAGCGAGCAATGGCCGGGCAGAGGGACCGTCCTCCACCCCATCGTGCCAATGCGCGGGCTGCGGAGCTGCGGGGAGCAGAGCCGGGGAGAGAAGGGGCCCGTGGGCACCGGGGGGCTTGGTGCGGGGATGACGTACCGGCTGCAAGTAGTAGCGGGCGCGAGGTCAGCGGTGGATTCTCTCTTTCAACGGATGGGCGGAACGGGGGCGCGCTCACCAGTCACGAACTTGAAGGGCTTGGTCTCGCGGTCGTCGGAGTCAGACATGGTGGCGGTGTCGAATTGGGAGCGGTGCGGGTGGTGGTGGGATAGCGGTGGTCGCGATGCAGGTTGCGGCGGGATGGGTGGTAATTCGGCGATGGTGGTTCGATGGAGGGCGCGCAAAGAGAGCTGGAGGGCCCGGCAAATGCCGCGGCGCCGTAGCTCCCACCGCCCTGCCGAACGCAGCTGCAAGCACCGGCGCCCAGGAGCCTCAGCACGAAGCCGTCTGGGTCTTGGCGCGCAGCTTGCCCGAGGAATACCTATCACAACGCCAACGCTCCCTTCCCTTCCTCGACACCCGCAACCAACCACCACTCTCCACTCTCTGCATCCAGACAACGCTGCTCGCCATGCTTGCCTCTCGCGCCATCGGCCGCCAGGCCATCCGCGCCTTCCAGCCCATCCGCTTCGCTGCGCCTATCTCCCGCCAGGCCCGCTTCATCAACATGAGGGCCACCCCGCGCATGATGCGCCCCGTTCCTGTGCGTCGCGATGCTGTATGGAGCTGATTAGAGGAGCCTGCTGACAGCCCGCCGCAGAAGGAGGAGCACAGCGGTACGCTAATCCCGCCCAATGGCACCCGGAGTGTGCGCGCACAAAACGCACACAGCCCGCTCGCCCGCCACGAGCTCCCTATCGACCCAGATGGATGTGACTGACGAGTGCCATTACAGCCCACACCATCTCCCAGCGTATCCGTACCCTCAAGAAGATCCCCCCGGAGTTGATCCCCCTCGGTGCGTTTCCGCTCCCCCGGCCATGACATCAAGATTACGTGCTCGGGCTAACACTGCGTTTTGTACCGTTGTAGGCATCGTTCTTCTGTAAGCACCCACAGTTCCCAATGTTGAGTGAAACAAATGCTAACATAGAATGCCATCTTCTAGCGTTGCCGTTGGTGCTGCCGTCTTCTCCATCTTCAGGAAGCTCTGGGTCGACAAGACTCTCCGTCTCGCCAGGCAGAGGGGCCACGAGGCATAGATTGCCAGTGAACCACACGTTCCAAAAGTGGGGGGCAGAGAAAAAAAAAAGGAGGAATTGAAGGCTGCATGGAAAGCTTCTCCTTTCTGATTTTTTTTTGGGGGGGAGGGGAAATTGAGGAAACCTTGGGGATATCTGTACAGGAAGCGACCAGCCGTGTCCGAAATCCAAATTCCTTGACATTAGATTCACATACGGAAGATGTCTCCTTTGTTACGCCTGTGACTCCATCCCAATGCCTTTCCCATCTGGAGGTGCAAATGAGATTCGATGCTCTCCAATCCCTTCCAGAAAAAGGATCCGGGTGCCTCCAGGCTGATTGGATCGGCCCCTGTACCATTTGCTCGCTAAGATCATGCAGAATGCCCTTTTTGATACCCTTCACTCGGGCTTCGGGCCAGCGACATCCAGGCCTTCCAACCCCTGCATCGGATCTGCGGCTGTCATGGATCCCACCTTTGCTTGCTCAGCAGCCATGCGGTCTTCTTCACTGACGGCGTGCTTGGCCAAGTAGCCCTCCTGCAGTGAATCAGTATTGGCTTGGGAAATGAAAGGGTATGCAAGCTTGGGGCAAACAGACCTGTTCCCAAATTGCCGTCTTGCTTCCCAGGCCCTCGTTCGCGTCCTTCTGCGGCTTCGCGGCGGCGACTTTGATTACGCGGCCGAAGAGCTCGCTCTGGTCCATGTTGTCGATGGCCTCTCGTGCGTCGGTCGCATGCTCGAACTCAACGTAGCCGAAGCCGCGGTGCGGGTCGGTCGACGAGGGCAAGTCGGGCTTAGGCAGAGATATGTCGACGATCTCGCCGAAGGGCACGAAGGCGTCGTGCAGCGTCCGGCTGTTGACCTGGTTGTCGAGGCCGCCGACGTAGACGGTCGCCTTGAGGCGCGCCGTGTCGGACATGTTGGTGGCAACGGCAGACGCGGGAGCAGAGCGCGAGGCAACGGCGGCGGTCGGGACGAGAAAAGTCGATATCACGTGCGAGGGGCGTTGGTGGGCTTTGCTGGGTGAGAGTCGTGCGGTGCGGGCAGCTGGTGCCCGACACAGCAACGGCGAGGCTTGGCGCCGCCCGCGAGGCCACCTTGTGGGAAAGCCGGCCAGGCATGCGCTCATGACGAGCCGAAACCCCCAGCAGCTCTCCCTCTCAATTCACGACGCCACGTTCCACCCAACTCCGCCCCGAGCTGCTGCAGCTCCTTTTCCCTTCTCTCCTTCCCAGTGATACCCTTCCATAAGCCCCCGCTCGACATCACCCGCCCCGTGCTGTCCACGCCGCCGCCGCGCCCGCCGCTTCGCTCGACCACGCTGCAGCCATGGTCCGCCTGCGGGAGATCCCCCGGACGGCCACCTTTGCCTGGTCTCCTGGCGCCGCGCCGCCGCTGCTCGCCACCGGTACCAGGGCCGGCGCTGTCGACGCAGACTTCTCCAATGAGACACAGCTGGAGCTATGGGACCTTGCTCTCAACTCTTCCGAGCAGCCCGTCGAGCTCCAGCCCGCCGCCAGCATAAGTCTGGATTCGAGGTAAATGCGCCGTGGGGCCTCGCCGCCCGCACGCCAACCCCACGCGCAAGAACTGTCGCAGCTGACCGCCACGGTGACGCCAGGTTCCACGACATTGCCTGGAGCCAGCCCGATGAATCTCGCCCAAGGGGTATAATAGCAGGAGCTCTGGAGAGTGGAAACCTGGATCTCTGGGATGCGCAGAAGCTTTTGGATGGTTCCAGGTAGGCCAATTGGCGTTGCCGCTCCCCTCTCGCGCTCTTCTGACCTTGTCCAGCGACTCGGCCTTCCTGTCCCGCATCTCGAAGCACACCGGCGCCATCAAGGCCCTCCAGTTCAACCCCTTCAAGCCCGAGCTGCTCGCCACTGCCGGCGCAAAAGGCGAGCTTTACATCCACGACATCAACAGTGACAGCCCCTTCCGCCTCGGCAATACCGCCGCCCGCGCCGACGATTTCGAGGCTCTTGACTGGAACAAGAAGGTTCCTTACATCCTGGCTACCGGCAGCAGTGGAGGCTTCGTGACTGTGTGGGATCTGAAGACAAAGAAGGAGAACTTGACCTTGAACAACTACGGAAGGAAGGCTGTCAGCGCCGTGGCATGGGACCCCGATGTTCCTACGCGCCTGATCACTGCGGTGCCCAACGACCAGGACCCTCTGATCCTTATGTGGGATCTAAGGAACTCCAATGCCCCCGAGCGCGTCCTCAAGGCCCACGACCAGGGCGTGCTGTCCCTGTCTTGGTGCAACCAAGATAGTGACTTGCTTCTGTCGTGCGGCAAGGATAACCGGACCATCTGCTGGAACCCCCGCACTGGCCAGCCCTTCGGCGAGTTCCCCGTCGTCACCAACTGGACCTTCCAAACCAAGTTTCATCCTCACAATCCGGATCTCCTCGCAACTGCCTCGTTTGACGGCCGGATTGCTGTCCAGACGCTGCAAAACACGAAGCAAGATGCAGACGCTGCTGCTGCCGCGGTAGCTCCCCTCGACGGCGAGGATTTCTTTGCGAGAGCGCAGACCCAGCCTCAAGTGTCGACATTCTCGCTTCCCCACCCCCCCAAGTGGATGCGGAGGCCTGTTGGCGTTTCCTTTGGATTTGGTGGGAAATTGATTAAGCTCGGGCACGACGCTGCGACCAAGAACTCTAAGATTAGCATTTCTACCTTTGCTGTTGATCCCGCGGTTGGTGAGGCGACGCAGAAGTTCGAGGAGTCCCTGCAGAAGGGTGATTTGGCAAGCATTTGCGAGTCAAAGGTTACCGAGGCTAGGACCGAGGAGGAGAAGGCGGACTGGACGGTCATCGAGACTTTGATTTCTGGCAAGGCTCGCTCTAAGCTCGTGGATTACCTAGGCTTCGGGAAGACGCCAAGCACGGAGCCAGCGGAGGAGGAGAAAAAGGAGGTCCAGACAAACGGCACGACGGAAGGCGACGAGGCGTCTTTCTTCGACAAGGCTGGTGACAGCGACGATTTCCTGTCCAACTTGGCTGCGACGAAGGGTGTTAAAACCAACAATCCGTTCAAGATTTACACTGGCGAGGAGTCGGATGCTGACAAGGACATCACGAACGCGCTCATGCTCGGCAAGTTCGAGCAAGCTTTGGATGTCTGCTTGAAGGAGGACCGTCTGTCGGATGCATTCATGATCGCCATCTGTGGTGGCCAGAAGTGCATTGACAAGGCTCAGGCGGCCTACTTCAAGAAGAAGGCGGACGGCCCGAACTATCTTCGTCTGCTCGCCTCTGTTGTTGGCAAGAACCTTTGGGACGTTGTCTACAATGCGGATCTCGGAAACTGGAAGGAGGTGATGGCAACTCTTTGCACTTACGCGGATGAGTCCGAGTTTCCTGACCTTTGCGAGGCTCTTGGTGATCGTCTGGAGGAATCCATCGAAGAGGGATCTGATTTAGGGAGCCTTAGGAAGGATGCCTCTTTCTGCTACTTGGCTGGATCCAAGCTGGAGAAGGTTGTGGGCAACTGGGCTCAGGAGCTTCAGGAGAGCGAGGACGCTAGCATTGAGCAGAAGGAGGGCGACAACGCTTTCTCGATCCACGTACAGTCACTGCAGAACTTCATCGAGAAGGTCACCATTTTCAGGGAGGTTACCAAGTTCCAAGATTCGGAGCGCTCTAAGACGGATGACTGGAAGCTTGCCCCGCTTTACGCCAAGTACGCGGAGTACGCCGACGTTGTTGCCTCGCATGGCCAGCTAAGCATTGCTGAGAAGTACCTGGACCTCCTCCCCGATCAATACCCGGCTGCGGACGTTGCCCGGAGTCGTGTCAAGCAAGCTACCCGCAAGGTTGCTGCTGCTCAGCCCGCCCACCAGCGAACAGCCACCACTGCGTCGGCAACGCAGAGAGGACAGCGTGTGGTTCCTGCTTATAACCCTGTGGCTGCTGCTACCCCGACGCCTATAGCCAACGCGTATGCCCCGACGGCTGCGGCTAATGCGTACGCCCCAGCAGGCGTTGCCGCCCCACCGCAACCTATCTCCCAGTATGCACCTCCTGGTGCCGCCACCAAGGCATACACCCCTACTGGTTACCAGCCTCCTCAGGCTAGCATTCCTAAGCCAAACCCTTATGCTGGATATGGCGGTTACCAGCCTGCGCAAGCGGCTGGCATCGCTCCCCCTCCTCGCAACTTTACTTCGTCCCCAGCCGCTCCTCCCCCATCCCAGGCTGCCAATGCGGGCCAATGGAACGATCTGCCTGAGGATTTCGCGAAACCCAAGCCGCCAACTTCTCGTCGTGGAACCCCAGGTGTTGCCGGCGCCATCAGTTCCCCGTTCCCCGGCGGAGTCATGTCTCCCCCGCCTGGGACTTCTCACTTCATGCAGCAACAGAAGGCAACCCCGCCGCCTCCCCCTAAGGGCCCTCCGCAGGGACCTCCTCGTGTCACTTCTCCCCTGGCTGGCGCGAACTCTCCCACTGCTGCCGGCTTTGACGCATCGAGAAGATCGTCGGCGGCTGCAAACGCCTACGCTCCTCCCCAGCCTACCCAGCAATTTGCCCCGCCTCAAGCCACTCTCCCCCGTGGCCCTTCCCCTTACAACCCTCCTCCGACAACTGCGCCACCTACCAACCGTTATGCCCCGGCTCCCAACGCTCAGCCTACACCGCCTCCTCAAATGGCTGCGCCACCCAGGCAGGTTGCCCCCAACCCTTACGCACCTCAGCCGTCGTTCGGTGCGCCGTCGCCGGCCCAGACTCCTATCGCTCCTCCGCCAGGAACCACGCAGGCGTATGCTATGCCACCGTCTTCTGGTCCCCCTCAAGGACCGCCACGTGCTGGTCCGCCTCCGGGCGGTCCTCCCAGGGCTGGACCTCCGCCGGGTGGCCCTGTGCCTGACTCAAGGCCGGACACTGCGCAGTCTAACCCCACCCCTCCTGCTCCCCCGCCGAAGGCTCAGTACCGTAAGTAGCAGCGCTTTTCCCCTTAACTGAAGATCTCCATCATTCTGACCGAAAGTGTAGCCGCTGGTGACCGCACGCACATCCCGGACACCGCAAAGCCCATCTTCGAGATTCTCAGCTCGGACATGGCACGTGTCAAGTCGCGGGCGCCGCAGAACTTCATGCCTCAGGTTATCGACACTGAGAAGCGGCTGAACATCCTATTCGACCACCTCAACAACGAAGACTTGCTCAAGCCCGACACGGTAGATGAGATGGTCCAGCTGTCGCAGCACATCGCGAACCGCAGCTACGACGATGCTCAAGCCCTCTTCACGGGACTGATGAAGAACAAGAATGATGAGGGTAGCAACTGGATGGTGAGTCAACTTGCCCCTTTCTTTGTTCCCCTCGATTTACTATGGAGACTTGTGATCGTGACATTTGCTAACTATATCTCGTGGATAGGTTGGTGTTAAGCGCTTGATTCAGATGAGCAGGGCCACGCCTGCTTAAGCAGATGTGGGGGGAAAAACGCAGCGATGAGTCGAGCTTGACTGTCAACGATGCGCATATGCATGATGGGTGTACGGAAAAGGTGGATGAGGCTGATGGATGGATGGAAGCATGAGCTGATGATTCATCTGATTTTGTTTGCCCGGAGAAGGACAGGAAGGAGAAAAGGGATTTCATTGAAGAAGAAGAAGAAGAGGACGAGAAGAACGAAGGAGAGTGTGGGTGGTACTCGGTGATGCAGATCGGATTTTTATACACAAAAGAACATCTTACTGCTGAAGCAGACAATTAATGCGGATGGTAGTGTTTTCCTTTTTGTTTTCCACTTTCGATTCTTGCGTCCGTCTCTTTCGTGTAGAATTGACTGCTCTTTCTTTACTTGTGATTACTACGTTGTATGTACACACTTTGTCAGCAATGACTTGGATGTGCCTCAGCCATTCCCGTCGGAGCATCAAGAATGAGTTTTTGAAGGCGGAGCATTTACTTGACGCAGCGCTTGCGGCCGTGGAAGTACTCTAGGGCTTACTTCAGGGACGCCTTTCCGATTTCAACACATCTGCAGCTCAGCCGTCACTCGTTCGCCACTTTAGGCAACTGAAACAACCACGGCAAACGAAAGGCGGAAAAGGAAATAATATTGGTATCTCGTGTTGTGCACACAGCCTCAATGCATCCAAAAGAGGCTGGCGCAATTTTCTTCCGCATTCCCTAATGGTATCGCTAGTAAAAAGCAGTGGTTCCCCAGTTCCTTAGCCCCCTTCAAAGAGCCTTCTCCTTGCCGTTGGTCTAGGGAGAAGAATGACTCCTCCACGTTACCTCGTCACGGGGTCCTTTTCTTTTGATTTTTGGTTTCCAAATCGCTTTCTTTTTTTCCCATGCATCCTTCAGCAGACGTTCTTTTTGAGCCCCTTCCGTGGTGTTCCGCTCTCGGTCGTGTATCACGCCCGTTCCTGCGCTGTATGCTGTCACGCAGTGCGTTCTTTCCACTCCCATTCCCTCGTAATCGTGTGAGCACCGCCCCCATTTCACTGTGCCAGCTGGCCGCAGCCAGGAGGTGATTTTCGTTGGCCGAATCTCAAGGTCGGTCGTTCCGTTTCCCCTTTTCCATGCCTCCCCTTCTCTCTTTTTTATTTATGAGATTGTGTCAATCTCATCGGCGATCTGCGGCCAACTCCTCAGTAACCGCCACCATACGGCTGCGCACCGAAGGGCGTCGCAGCACCGCCCCAGACGCTTGCGTTGCCACCGGCGCCGGCGTAGGGCGTCGTGTAGCCCTGGTCCATGCCGCCGTAGGCGGTGCCAGCGCCACCGTTCATATCCGGGCTGCGGGGGCCACCGTAGGCGACGCCGTCCATACCACCCATGTTACGGTCGCCGCCACCGCTCAGCTCGCCGATGACCTCGGCCAGCTTCTGCTGGAGGACCTTGACGCCCTGGAGCATGATGGTATCGGGCTCGAGGCCACCGACCGTCTCGAGGTTGAAGTAGTACTGGTCGGGCTGGGCGTCGTAGTTGAAGGGCTCACCCTCTTGGGGCGGGTCACCCTCAAAGTTGGCGTTGTCGGAGATGGGCCTGCGCGGGCGATGCTCGTCAGCATTTTGCTCAGATCTAACGCGCTACTGCTTGCTAAGCAGCCAGAGTTCTGTTCACTCACCATTCCTTGGTCGGGTCATCCTCGAACCAGTAGTCAATGTGGCGGAGCTTGTTGTACGGGTCGTACTCGAAGCCGATGGCGGCGGTGGGTGCCCACTTTGCGTGTTCCTTGGCAATGCCCTTCTTCGCGATGCAGCGCATCTTCAGCTCCTGACCCTTGCGCAGCTTGGCGATGATGGCGCCGTGGCCTTGGGGGTCCTTGATGACGGGCGCGCCGACCCACTCGTTGGCGCGCGCAGCCGAGACCAGCAGGTCACGGGCGTAGACGGTCATGACCTCGTCGCCGGTGCAGCGGGCGTTGAGCGTCAGTGTCACGCTGCAGTTCTCGCAGTACTGCTCGCAGTCGCAGTCGCGCGTGTAGGCGACGTCTTCGCAGCCGCGGCTGTTGAGCGGGATCAGGCCCAGGCGGTGGCAGATGAACTCGTCGGCCAGCACCGACGTGTTCTTCTCGACCTCGACCAGGTCGATGGCCATGGTCGGGATCTCGGCCAGCATCACGCGGCGCAGCGAGTTGGCGAAGGCAAGGTCGACGTTCTTGAGCACGAAGTCGATGGCGACGTCGTCGGCCTAGTTGCCAGGGAACCTGTCAGCGGGCGCGGGCTCGATGCAGGGGATTTGCCTCACCTCGCGGATCTTGACCTGGATGCCGTCGACGGCATCCATGCCCAGCATGTCGTAGTCCATGGTTGCGGCGGGAGGCGTCTCGGCAGACGCGTGAAGGAGGTGGCTGCGTGTGTTGGTCGGGAAGCTCGGCGCAGGGGGTGTTGCGGACTGAGTGAAGGCGCAGCTGTTCGGCCGGTCGGGCGTGAACGAGGCGCAGTGCGGGCGCGGAGGTTGGGGTTTCGGTGTCGTGTTGTGTCCCCGCGGGCGTTGCAAGAGAGTCGCTCCGGGTCGTCACAAGCTTCCGCGCGGGCGACGCGCACGGACCTCAATACACCTGCATGCAGAGCCGCAAGGCATGTCGTTCGCCATTGGAGGAGCGGCCCCTTTGATCCTTTTGCTCGTCAAAGGAGCCAAGTAGGATGGTATTACTGGGCTTTTCAAGAATGGACAGTCTGGTGATTTGGACGCTCGACCCTGGCCGCCAGCCTGCTGCTGTGGTTTTGTTTCCATCATCTGCACAGTTGTTCTGTCGAAGTTTTTGATACTATCAACATGAGTACCACATTGCTCCGTCTCCATCGCCTCATCTACCATGCATCGGCAGTAGAGTTTCTGGTCACTCAAAGACGCCCCCGCATCGCCTACACAGGCAACCGCACCAACACGCCAACGTTTGCGCTTTGTTTGCTTAGAGGACCCAAGCCCCCCAATCTGAGGTGAAGCGTCCTCAACAGAAATCAGTAGGTAGCATGGCGAAGCGACAATTGCGAGGCCCGGAGCGGCCGAGATGCATTGCGGCGCACCAGCCACAGCAGCGCACAGGTCCAGATGCGTGAAACGTGGCTTAGCAGGCTTGGTGGTGGCTGATAGACCGATGATCTCCCGCTATCTAATCGGCCAGCCATGGCAAAGTGACGTTGCACGGTTGCGCCACGGGTAATCGACAAGCGCACCGAGTCGTGCTCCCCTCTTCTACGTCAGTGGTCTGAGCATGGAGACTTGGCTGGTTATGCGAAATCATACTGTAGTCTTCTTGACTCCCCAAGGGCGGGCTCCACGTGACGAAAACTCTCAAGCCCAGGGAAACACTTTGATGACAATAATATGCCCGGTCCGACTGTCCACCTGCTTTGTAATGGCCCTGGCCGAACCCCACAACTGCCGCTAATTGCCAGTAGTGGGGAACCGCTCACCACTCTTGTTCTTCTTCTCCGACCAACTATCTAGTAGACGTTGCTGCGGCTGGGCCCCTAAACTCTGGTCCACTTGCTACCGGCAATTAGCCAATTTTCACGAGCCAGCCCCATACCCAATCAGCACCATGACTGAAACCCAGGTTAAGCAGTGGTTGACTCTCCAAAATGGCCTGGACAAAGTGTATCAGGGCACGGCGCCCATGCCCTCGGCTGGCAAGGACGAGGTACTGGTCGAGATTCGGGCTGTGTCGTTGAATTACCGCGATACAGAAGGTGCGGCATTTCCCTTTCGGCAACTTCTATGACTCGAGTGCTGATTGCTGTCCGCATCGCAGTCGCCATGGGGCTGTACAACCACCACAAGTCTGTCGGCCATGGCCAGCCCAAGCCGCTGGTCTTGTGCGCCGACATGTGTGGTGTCGTGACGGCTGTGGGCGAGGGAGCCGCCTCGGTGCCCTGGAACATCGGCGACCGCGTCGTCTCCATCTTCAACCAAACCCACCAAAAGGGCCAGGTCAAGGCCAAGGACATGGCGTCCGGGCTCGGCCTGCCGCTGGATGGCGTCCTGCAGACTCATCGCGTCTTCCCCAGCTACGGCCTAGTCAAGGTGCCCGAGTACATGACCGACCAGGAGGCGTCGTGCTTGCCAATCGCTGCCGTCACGGCATGGATGGCTATCAACGGCATGAGGCCGCTCGGCCAACCTGGCGGCGAAGGCGAGGTCGTCTTGGTCCAGGGAACCGGAGGCGTGTCGACCAGCGGCCTGCAGATTGCCAAGGCGAGTGGCGCGAAGGGTAAGTCGACGCTGATTCCCTCGAGCAAAGGCTGATGAGCCCAAGTGATCGTGACATCGTCGTCGGATGCCAAGCTCAAGAAGGCGCAGAGCCTTGGCGCGGATCACCTGGTCAACTACCGCAGCACTCCAGAGTGGCAGGACGAGGTCATGAAGGCGACGCACGACGAAGGCGCCGACATCATCTTCGAGACGGGCGGTGCAGGCACGCTACGCAAGTCGTTCGACGCCATCGCATTCGGCGGGCTAATCAATTCCATCGGCTACCTGTCGGGCAAGGAGGACGAGGCGGGCGACAGGACCAACGTGAACGTGCTGGCGCTCCGGCGCAACGTGACGCTCAAGGGCATCCTGAACGGGCCGCGCGAGCGGTTCGAGGAGATGTGCGCCTTCTACCAGAAGCACGAGATCCACCCGGTGATTGACAGGGAGTTCTCGTTTGACGAGGCGGGCGAGGCGCTGCAGTACCTCTTCTCGGGCGGGCACTTTGGCAAGGTCGTGGTTGGGGTCAGGGCTTAGGCGTGCAGATAGCAAATAATGCCGCAAGGATTGGCGTGGGGGACGCTTGGCGGGCAGACTATTGGGCGTTTGGACATAGCCGCTTCCAGCACAGCTTATCGACAGATGGCGCGCAGCGTGTGCCTGTGTGCATGTGTGCCCGTGTGCCCGTGTGCCCACTGCCTGCTCCTGGGCGCCCCTTTCGCGGGCCCACTGCGGGGACAGCTGGCCTGTCCGTTTCGTCGGCGACGCTGAGGAATGTTGCGTAGGCCCGTGGCTGGCGGCAAGGCACTGCTGCGAGGCGCAGTGGGCAGCACGGCTCTCACCAGACATGCGAGGCTCCCCACGGCAGCAGGCGGCACGCGCTCGCCGTCTAGGGCGGAGCCAAGAGCGGAGGGCGCGGAGAAATTCTGATCGTGTGCCGCGGCTGGTGAGGCGCTGACTGTGTGGGCAGCGCGGGAGTGATGCGGCCAAGCGGCGCGTCTGGGGGCTGTGTTGTTCGGTCGCCCGGGCCTCGAATCTGGCGGGTCCGGGCTTGGCCGCGCGCTTAGCCGCCTCCTCCGCAGCGCTCAGCCACCAGCGAGTAGCATCCACCCATCGACGACGCTGCTGCACAAGCTATTAAACCCGCAACCCGCCCGGCACTCTGCATTTCCCCACTGCAGTGAGCACCACCAAACCACCAACCACCAACCACCAACCACCGCTCCGACTGCTCCGACCGCTCCGCCCGCGCCTTCCACGTCTGCATCCACCCCAAACGCTCGTCGCCACACACGCGTCCTTCCAGCCCGGACAACACCTCTCCACCTCCGCCATGGCCGAACAATTGTCGCCTCCGCGCTCCCGCGCCTCCTCCACCGGCAGCTCCTTCTCCAACTCCCGCGGCCGCCGCTCGCCCAACTTCTCCATCGACCTCTCCGACCTGCCGCCGCTCATCACCCCCTCGCCGCCTTCCAACACCCTCCTCATCACCGTAAGTTCTGCATCTCACCGCCTCTCGCGCCCCAAGCCCCCGCTAACGCCCGCCTCCCAGAACCTGCAAGATGCCTCCATCTTCCACCCGGCGAACCTCGACACCCTCCGCAACTTGATCAACTCGCATGCCTCGGTACACACATGGGCGCCGCTGCGCTCCTTCCGCCGCATCGTCGTCTCGTTCTTCGACATCCCCGCCGCTTTGACTATCAAGCAGAAGCTGGATGGCGAGACCATCATGGGCGACCGCGTGCGTGTCTACTTCGGCACCCACACGCCGCTGAACCCCACCGACCAGCACCTGCCGCTGCCCAAGAGCGACAAGCTGTTCTTCATCTCGCCGCCGCCGTCGCCGCCGCACGGCTGGGAGGTGCGCAACGAGGACCCGCCCAACAAGGAGGTGCACGCCGAGGATCTGGCCGCCGCCCTGGCCAAGCTGCACGCCCGCGCCGACGCCCTGCCCCAAAGCCCCGTCGACTCGGAAATGGACGCGACCAAGAGCCCCATTAGCCCCACCGCCGATGCTCAACGGCGGCAACGCAGCGGCAGCGGCGTCATCGTCTACCACCCGGACGACCACGGCGACAGCCCCGATCTCCCCGCCATCGCCGTCGAGGACACCACCGTCAGCCCCGGCGACATGACGCCCATGGAAGATGTCGAGCGCCCCATTCTCGCCCACACCTCTCGCCCGCCTGTCGAGCTCATGCACAACGCATAAGCAGCAACAAAACAAACAAAAAACGCGATACGTTTCCTTTCTCGTTGTGCATTACGTCTTATAGAATGATCGGATTGGGGTTAATTGATACCTACCTTGGGACGTACGGGATACTCTGCAAGCATGGCGTCTTTCGATTTTTTTGGGGGGGTCACATGGGTTTGTTCTTGCATCATCAGAACATGCAATTCGGCGTGGCATGCATCAAGGTTATTGGCAAAGTCAGGACGTCTGCTTTTTCACCGTCCCTAAATGGCATTGTGCTTTTTTAAACAGATCACTACGTGCCCCGCCAAGAGCAGGTACGGATCGAATGGAATACTTTCAAAAACTTGAACTTGCTGGATTGACAGTCGCGTTTCATGTGATCTCTAACACGACTGAAGCGAGAGTACGGACTACGCGAGAGCTTAATTTCATTGCCTTGAACAGTTGTGACAGATTTGAGCCGAGACAGATATTGCATCCGACTTCCGTACAGCTAAGCTCTGAGTTCATATGCTTCTTTTAGTCTTGGGTTTCACATCTGTGTTCAGACATTTGCTTTGCTCCACCAGCCAACGTGGGCGAGCCTACTATGTAGTTCACTGTGGCCAGGTCGAAAGGTGGAGGGCTAGTCGCAGCATAAAGGCGGGATAAGTATCACCGTGAACCTCGCTCCTGCACCGCATCTCCGGAGAAAATATGCACGATGCTCGCATCCTTGGATGCTTGCTCGATGACATCCAAGCTTTCTAGGTCACCGATGCTGCTGCATCACAAATAGTAAGCGTTGTGGAAAGATCACGATATATCCTGGACGAAAAAAGGGCAACGGACGAAACCCTGAAGAACAGTGAACGCAAGCAAGACATGTTAACAGCGTGAAATCAATTCCATTAATCATGAAGCCCGATTTAACTCCGGGTAAACTTGTTACGATAATCAAAAGCAAAGACATCATAGCACAACCTTCTCATAGCGAGTAGCGGAATGCCGGATTCTGCAGGAGATGGTTAGCAAGCTGAATGTTCTGGGGGCCGAACTGTCACTAACCTCGAAATCCGTCCTGTCCATCATGGGCTCGTCTTCCCTTGTGGCCGGACCACCTTGCTCGGCGAGCTTCCTGTCGCGCTCGGTATTGCGCTTGATGAGCCAGAAGCGCAGGAAGACGGCCAGGCCAAGCTGGCAGCAAGAGCAGGCTAGAATCATCTTGATGCCGGTCTGGTAGATGGGAGCCTCAGAGGAGAGAAAGGCGTGCGGACCAACGATGTTGCCGATGCAATACGCGAGCTATCCGGCGTCAGTACGACCTTGTGCGAGCAGTGTACGGCAGGCAATATACTTACAAAGACGAAAGCTGTGGCAGTGACACGCTTGGTATAACCACCCACGTTCGAGGCCGGCATCTGTAGGGCAATCGTGAGGGAAGCGACGTAGGCTCCGACCTACCAAAGAAACCAGTGAGCTAACTGCAGCGTCCGAGAGACAGAAAACGCCCTTGTACTTACAATGTAATAGCCGAACAGGCAGCCAACCTTGTTGGACCGAGGCATCTTCCAGAGAATTGAGGCACCCGCGATGGTGGGAAGCACATAGATGGCCATGATTATGGTCCTTGAGTTTTTGAAGTAAGAAGCAAAAAAGCCACCAGAGAGGACAAAAAACAGCTGGAAGAACCCTTGCGGGATCCCAAGAGCGGTCGTCTTAAGAGGGTCGTGGACGAGACCTTTGATGATGAGCTTGCCAAACTTTACAGCACGTCAGTAAACACATGCGTATAAACAGTTTTTTTTCGATCAACTCACGTTGGCAACACCTCCGTTCATAAGCTCGTTGAGCAGGACGAAACAGAAAAGAACCCAAACTTGTACGTCCATAAAGGCCTCCTTGATCTGGTTCGGCTTGATGGTGCGGTTCAAGGTGCCCTGTATATTGTCAGATGTGTGTCATGGACGGCATACCGCAGGCAAGTACTCACAGTCTGATTCCTTCGGCCGATACCGAGCAGGGTTGCTTTCTCCTCTAGTGTGAAGCGCTTGGCAGTCATGGGGTTGTCCGGCAGAAGCCACAGAAGAACGCCACCCCAAATCAAGGTGATGAAACCGCAGATCAGGAATATAGCCTTGTACACGGGGAAGCCATCGATTTGTCCGATTGCGTAGGTGAAGATTCCGCCAAGCTGCAGGAAGACGTCAGAAACGTACAAGTTCTCACTCCAGCCATGCAGTGACTTACGGCAGACCCCAGTCCGTTACAGCAGTAGAAGCAACCAGCCCTGAAGGGTTGCTGATCTCTGGAGTACCACATGGAAACAATCAACATGAAGCAGGGGGTAATGGGCGCCTCGAAGCATCCCAAGAAGAATCTGCAGACTGCCACGCCACCGAAGTTTTCGCACGCAGCAGTGATCATGAGAACGATGGCCCATGCGATGCTTCAGACATGTCAGCGTGGAGACCATGGTGGCTGCTGCGATCCCACTTACACAGTGATTGAAACGGCCTTTCCAGTGCGCCAGTGCTGTGCGATGTAACTTGCGGGGTACTCCCAAAATAGGTATCCTGGCTGGCGGTCAGCAGGGGCGCACCCAGCCGCAGTTCCATCACTTACCGAAGTAGAACAAACTCGCAGTCCAGGAGTACTCGTCGCCAGTCATGTTCGTCTCGGTGAGCAGGTCGAAGACAGCGCCATAGGAGGTGGTGGACTTGTCGATGTATTGCAGGACGTAGGTTCCCATGAGCAGCGGCAGCAACCACGTATCAACCTTCCGGGTAAGGGCCCTCATCTTCTGCTTGTCGTTGAGGATGGCCTCGACCTGGGCCCAGTCATAGCCGCTCTCGCGCAGGAAGACCTCACCCTGGTCGAGCTGCTGGATGACTTCACCCTCGAGGATGGATTTGCCAGTGATGGATGGTGTCTTCTCCAGACTCGGCTTCTCAGCCGCCACCTTGGCCTCCGGGCTGCTTTCCAGGTCCTTCTCGGCGGCCATTGTTAGTGACGGGCAAGGTATCCTGATGGGTCTGGGATGGTGTGCACGGCAGCTCAAGACAGGCTATATAATTGGTATGGCAGCGGCCACCACGCGAGCGGGCAACGATAAGCTGGAGGCTGATAGCCCAAGCGCCTCGTGCCAGGACGGCTACATCCATGGCGCACTAGATAGTAATAGTAATGCGATGTGTATAAAACGGTGTCGCTGATACCGAATCCTTGGTTCCTGGACATAGTACCTTGGCTTGGGATAAGATCGGATCCCACGGACGCTGGCCGAGCGGGGGAGCGACGCAAGGCGTATGGTACTATCTGCACACTGGGAGGCTGGGCGCGGAAATGGCATGATATCCGACGCCTCCTCCGCCGGCGGGACTGCGGCGGTGATCGTCCCTGGACGGTCTCGGACGGAGGACTGACTTGCCGACTGCACGACACGTGAGCGCTATCGGAGTGGATCCGACCCGAGATGCTCCAGCAGCGCCCATGCTCCTGCGGGGTTAGATCTGGAGGCCGAGAAGTACTTAATGGACGCGCCAAGTTGTCGCCGTCGCGTTGCGAGGAAATCGGCGTTTGGCCTGTTGATTGACGCTGGAGTCCGGCAGTCGCCATGGTGTTCCTGCGCGTATCAGCGGTGGTTCTTGCCGCCGCGGTTGTTCTTGCCCTGGCCCAACTGCAGGGTCTGCTCGACGTCCAGAAAGTCCTCGAGCCGTACGTTCCCAGCGGCTCTGCCAAGTCTTCGGAATCCTGACGTGAAGCTGCAGCTATCTCCCGGCAAAGTACCAGAGCCAACAGGTCTCGGTCGCTCTGCCCCAGGGCACAATCGTGGGCAAGACACTGTACGGCGACTACCCACAACCGGTCGAGGCATTCCGCGGCTTTCCCTACTCCCTCGCCCCCACCGGTCCCAGAAGATTCCGGCCATTGGAGCCTCTCCCGAATGCCAACACAACATACCAAGCGTTTGATTATGGGCCCATGTGTCCTGGCAAGACCTTCCGGGGCCCTCCCAGGCCCTTTGCCGAGGACTGCCTGACCGTCAATGTCTTCCGTCCGGCTGGAGTCAACAGTTCCGCCAACCTGCCCGTCGCTCTTTATGTCCACGGCGGCGCCTTCAACCGTGGCTTTGCCGCCATGCAGGATCTGCCCTCCATGATCGGCTGGTCCGACAGCCCTTTCATCGGCGTGAGCTTCCACTACCGCATCAGCGCCCTCGGATTCCTGCCGTCTGCCCTTACCGAGAAGGAGGGCCTGCTCAATCTCGGCCTGCGCGACATGTACTTCTTCTTCGACTGGTTCAGGGAGAACATTGGCCAGTTCGGCGGCAATCCCGACGACGTGACTGTCTTTGGGCTCAGCGCCGGAGCCCACGCCATTGGCCACATGATCATGAACACCGACGAGCCCTTCTTCCAGCGCGCCATCATGGAATCTGGCGGAACCACGGCGCGCGCCGTCCACAAGCCGTCGGAGAAACTGCACGAGGACCAGTTCGAAAAGTACGTCAAGGGCGCCAATTGCGGCGACGTGCCCGACGAATCCGTCTTCGACTGCCTGCGTGAGCAGCCCTTCGATGTTGTGTCCAAGGCCGCTTTCGATGTCTTTGACGAATACAACCCGTCTCTTCGGTGGGCCTTCCAGCCCACCATTGATGGCAAGATCATCAAGCGCCGGCCGACCGAGGCCTGGGAGTCTGCCAAGTGGAACAAGATCCCCATCCTGACCGGCTTCACCACCAACGAAGCCTCTTCTTACGTTCCCTCTACTCTTGACACCCCCGAGCAATTTCCCGAATACTTCAAGGTGCTCCACCCGGAGCTCACCGACAAAGACATCGCCGAGCTGGACAAGCTTTACCCGGATCCCTCCACAGACGAGGCTTCTCCGTACGTCGAGTCTCGTCCTATTGCTGTGGGCAAGCAGTACAAGCGCGCCGAGGCCGCCTACGCCCACTATGCCTACGTGTGCCCGGTCCACGCAACCGCGCTGCACGCTGGCATCGCTCAGGACGCTCCTGTCTTCATGTACCACTGGGCCGCCAACGCCAGTGTGCAGAACGGCGCCAACCACGGCGACCAGAAGGCGTACGAGGCGTACGAGCTCGGAGCCCGCACCACGCCCTTCCACGAGAAGATGGCGGGCGAGGTCCACGCGTACTGGACGAGTTTCATCACGAAGAACGGAGATCCCAACGCGTTGAAGGGCAGTAGGGCTGCCGATCGTCCCGAGTGGCTGCCCTACAAGAAGGGCAATCAGGAGAAGAAGATGATTTTTGGTGAGGGCAACGATGAGCTTGCGGGCGGCACTGGTGTCGGTGTCACTAGCCAGGTGGTCGATGACACTTGGGCCAGAAAGGAGTGTGACTGGTGGTATTCCAAAGGCAAGAAGCTTCACCAGTGAATGGTTATCTTGTCGTTACTGAGAGAGAAAAAGTCTTTGATGGAGACTAAATGAGATACGACGTACGGGAATTCAATGATGAAAATACAGAAATGGAAAGCATGAAAAAAAAACCCGGACAGTAAAGATCAAAAAATAGAAGAAACAAAGCTATACTGAAATAAGGGCTTCAGTGCAATTGCCTGCGTCTAAAATGTGCGAATCAGCGCGTTTATGTTAGGGAGTGAAGTCTTACCACTCACCTTTGATCGACCATATCCAGACAGCAAAAGCACGTCGAATCGCGCTCCATCTCATTCGGTGAGGTCAAACTTTCAACCGACCAGCCAGTGAGAAAAGGCAGAAAAGGCTCCCGCTGACCTATCGCGACGCGGGCGAGAAATTAGCCGCATGCCCTTTATCGACGCGCGGGCAGCCGGTTAGCCGTCCCCCCGTAGCGATCATTGCATGCCCGATGTCGCAACTGCTGCAATCCATCGCGTCCCACCCGCACGCTCGTCTGTCTCGCCGCCTCTGATAAAGACGACATCTCTCACCGCCTCGCCAATGTTGGCGTCTGCTTCCAAACAACATGCCACGCCGCGATAATTCCATTGACACCATAACGCGCCTGAGTGGCAAAGAAGGCCGAAGTCAAGAGCTAGGAAGATTCGGGAGAAGAAGACGACAACGATGAAAACGCCATCGCGACGGCCGCCTGTCACGGCGACGACGACGACGGCATCAGGAGAACAGCCAAGTGCGCCGCCGTCCGAGAACCGTCCCTCGCCGCAGCACTACCACCCATTTCTCGCACACCTCAAGACGGCAGCCAACTTCCTGCTCGGCCAATGGATGATCATCGGCATCGGAGTCGTGTGCGTGCTGGCCTATTTCTTCCCGCACGTCGCCGCGCACGGCGGCGTGATCCGGTCCGAGTACAGCATCCTGTACGGCGCCGTGGCCGTCATCTTCCTCATCTCGGGCCTGTCCATCGCCGGCACCAAGCTGCTCGTGCACGCCGGCAACTGGCGCCTGCACTGCGTCGTGCAGGGCGCCTCCTTCGCCCTCTGCCCCGTCACCATGTACGCCTTCGTGCAGGCCATCGATGCCGGCGATACCGCGGGCCGCATCGATCGCACGGTGCTGGTGGGCTTTTTGCTGACGGCGTGCATACCGACGACGATTGCGTCGAACGTGGTGATGACGAGGGCGGCCGACGGGGATGAGGCGGCGGCGCTGGTCGAGGTGTTGTTGGGGAATGTGTTTGGGCCCGTCATATCGCCTGCATTTACGGTGGCGCTGCTGCCCAAGAGCGAGGCCTTTGATATGTGGAAGAATGTGAGCGGGGATCTAAACGAGATGTATAAGAACGTGTTCAAGTTGCTTGGGTTAAGCGTGTATCTGCCGCTTGCGATAGGGCAACTGGTAAGGTGGATGTGGCCGGACGTGATCATGCGGGCAATGCAGCGGTGGCGGCTGAACAGGGTCGGGACGTTTTGTCTCTTGCTGTTGATATGGTGAGTACGTCTTCTTCGACTTGCAGGGTACCGGTCGCTGATAAGCTGCTGCGGGTCGTCGTTCTCTTCGTGCTTCGCCACTTCAGCGCTTCAGACCCTCTCGACGGAAACCGTGGTCCTGATTGTCTTCTTCAACATGGGCGTCTACATCTTTTGGACCATCATCTGCTTCGGCTGTGCGCGGGTCCCCGAGGCTTGGGCGCATCACACGAAGGGCATCGTACGGCGTTTCGACAAGCCAGAGGCCATTGCCATCTGCTTCTGCGGGCCGGCAAAGACAGCGGCGCTGGGCATTCCGTTGGTGTACGCCATGTGGACGAAGTTCCCGACCGAAGTCAAGGCCAGGATTTCGATTCCGGTCATCTTGTACACCACGGAGCAGGTTTTCTGCGCGCATTTCTTGGTGCATGCATTCAAGCGGTGGGCTCGGCGAGAAAAGATGCGAGACGAGGGCGTCGAGGTAGAACAGGCGGGCGGGCCAGGAATGGCAGCAGTGGCAGCAGCGGCAGCAGTGGCTTCGGCGACGAGATAATGCCAGACAAGGGCGGCAACAACTTGTTCGCGTCGTTGCTTCCTCTTTGGGAAACGCGACGATACATCGCTTAGACTAGTGAGAGCCAGCAAATCTGGGCCGCTCCGCCGTGCAAGTGAACGATTCAGCCTCTGCCCATGGCTGCCTGGCCGGCGTGGATAAAATGATGCTCGCATAAGAAACGCGACGTTACTTCCACAAGCAGGTGGCGATGGGTGGGCCTGGAAATCTCTCGGTTCTCGGCATGTGACGCCATCCCGTCATATATACACAATGGCCGCCGCTCCCCATGCGCTGCCCGCTTCTCCGCCAGCCCTCCGCGTCCAACACCCCGCGACCGATCCAAGATGCCGGGCTCGTCCAGGCTCCCCGTTAGCCTGCGCGAATCTTTCCAGGCCCAGCGGCGCGCCACCCCCCGCACCCAGCTGCTGGCCCTGAATCTCGACATGTATGGATCCGCTCCCCCGGAATCATGAGAGCTCTGCAAGAGCGCCCCACTGTTGGCGCCTGCGAATGCATGCTGACGTCTTCGTCGTGCACAACAGCATCCGCAACATCGTCTTCCTTCTCTTCCTCCTCCGCTGGTCCCGCAAGGCCATCTACCAGCTCAAGGGTCGCGGCATCATCGGCTCCACTGTCGACTTCTACGTTGCGACCCGCCGCATCTTGTACGGCTACTTCCTGCGCCTGCCTGGCGTGCGCACCAAGGTCCAAAGCCAGGTCTCCGAGGCCATCACCAAACTCGAGCAGAAGCTGGTGCCCACCGGGCCCGGCGTCGATCGCCATGTACGCCTGCCGCAGGAAGGTTGGGGCGAGGACCGCGTGCGGGAAGAGCTCACGAAGCTCAGTGATATGGCGCACACTCGGTGGGAGGATGGTCGCGTCTCCGGTGCCGTCTACCATGGCGGTGACGAGTTGGTAAAACTACAGACTGAGGCTTTTGGGAAATTCACAGTCTCCAATCCTATCCATCCGGATGTGTTCCCGGCTGTGAGGAAGATGGAAGCTGAGGTTGTGGCAATGGTAGGTGGTCATCTGCGGGCTGGTAGGCACATGGCAGTGTGGGTACTAACAGTTCCCGCAGGTCCTCTCGCTGTTCAATGCCCCTGAGGACGCTGCTGGCTGCTCGACAAGTGGAGGCACCGAATCCATCCTGATGGCATGCCTGAGTGCGCGAAACAAGGCTTATGCCGAGCGTGGAGTCACGGAGCCGGAGATGTGCGCACTTTCAACTACAAACTGGCCGCCGCAAGAGACTGACCATGTAATAGGATCCTTCCCGAAACTGCTCACACTGCTTTCCGCAAAGCTGGCGAATATTTCAAGATCAAGGTCCACCTCGTTGCCTGTAAAGCGCCCGCTTACAAGGTCGACCTCCGCGGCGTCTCCCGCCTTGTCAACCCCAACACCGTCCTCCTCATCGGATCTGCGCCGAACTTCCCCCATGGTATCATCGACGACATCAGCGGACTTTCGCGCATTGCCCAGCGCAAGCACATTCCGCTACACGTGGACTGCTGTCTCGGCTCGTTCCTGGTCCCCTACCTTGAGAAGGCCGGCTTTGAGACCGAGCTGTTCGACTTCCGTCTCAAGGGCGTGACCAGCATCTCCTGCGACACGCACAAATATGGCTTTGCCCCCAAGGGCAACAGCACCGTCCTCTACCGCACCGATGCCCTCCGCAGCTACCAATACTTCATCTCGCCCGACTGGTCCGGCGGCGTCTACGCCTCTCCCAGTATCGCCGGCTCCCGCCCCGGTGCCCTCATTGCCGGCTGCTGGGCCAGCCTTATGGCGCAAGGCGAGTCTGGCTACGTTAGCGCCTGCCACAAGATCGTCGGCGCCGCGAAGCGCATCGAAGGCGAGCTGCGTGGCAACCCGGCGCTGGCGGCCGACCTCAAGGTCATCGGCAAGCCGCTCGTTTCGGTCGTCGCCTTCACAAGCAACGTGCTCGATATCTACGACATCGCCGACGGCATGTCCGCCCGCGGCTGGCACCTCAATGCCCTGCAGAACCCACCGGCCATACATGTCGCCGTCACCTTGCCCATCGTCGCCGCCGCCGACCAGCTCATCGCCGACCTCGTTGACGTGGTCGAGGGCGTGCGTGAGGCCGAACGCAAGCGCTTGGCCGAGGGTAAGGGCGTCAAGGGCGCCGTCAAGGGCGACGCTGCGGCGTTATATGGCGTGGCCGGCAGCTTGCCGAACAAGAGCGTTGTGGTCGAATTGGCCAAGGGCTTCTTGGACACTTTGTACAAGGCATAAAACAGTTTATAATGATGACGTCAATGAAGGGTAGGGCATTGTTGTGATAGGAGTCTAGGAAATTCGGTCTCGGTCGCATGAGTGTAGAGAAACAACCTTTGATATGGTACTCTTTTTTTCTTTTTGAAAAAAAGGGGGTCCTTTTCTGCTTGAATAGAAGATATGACAGGGCATAGCAAGCACGCAGATCTCAACATCTGGTAAGCATATGCATGTCCCGATGTTACATTTTTTGCCAAACAAAAAAACCAAAAAAAATTGAACGGGTATTACTATGCTCCCTTTCATTTGCTTCGAAAAAGCTCCTGGAGAAAATGCAGAATAAGGCCCCAAAACGCCTTCGCATAGGAATAGATAGGAGAAGCATGAGCCGCGAACCCTCATCTACCATGACGACATGAAGCGACGAGATGTAGCCGCAAGGAAGAAGAAGAAAAAAGAAACGAAAACCAACGCCCCCGCTTGATCAAAGAGGCAACAGCGACATCGCCCAAAAACCTCTCCTAGTTCTCAACGATGTACAAACGCGCGTCTTCCGGGTCTATATCCTACAGCCATCTTCTCTACTTGACCTTGCTCATGATGGTCTCGACGCCGCGCTCGACCTCGACCTGGCCGGCGCGGGCCTTGACCTCGCGGATCATGCTGCGGTCCGAGTCGTCGCGGGCGCGCAGGACGGCCTCGACCCAGCCGACGTTGACGTCCCAGTACTCCATCTTGAACTGGGCGAAGACCTCGGGCACGGCGTGCTTGTCGGCGTCGAGCAGCTGGACGAACTTCTCGACGACGCGCCACTTCTGGCGGATGTCGGGGCCGACGGTGTCGAACTGGCCGAAGAAGTCGAAGACGGCGACGACGTCGTCGCGGATCTTGTCGACGTAGGGCTCGGTGCGGCGGAACTTGGCGCCCTTGTTGCGCACCGCGGCGAGGTAGCGCACCAGCAGCTCGTCGGCGAGCTCCTCGACGAGCACGTCGCGCAGCGACGGGTGCAGCACCGCGTCGTAGTCGTTGAGGTAGTCCTGGAACGTCGACACGATCTGGCCCACGCGCTTCTGGCCGTACCACGTCGGCGTGAAGAACTCGGGCAGGATGGTGCGGAAGTCGACGTCGAAGATGAGGCGCACGAAGACGCCGAGGCAGTGCGTGCCCAGGTCGACGTAGCCGTCGCGCAGCAGGTCGATCTGCTGCGCCGCTGCGGCCGAGTACTGCGGCGACGCGAGCGGCAGCGCGTCGCGGCTGAAGCGCGACAGGTACGAGCCGCCCGTCTGGGCCTCGTCCTCGCCGTCGTCGATGCAGGCGATTTGGTCATTTGCGATGGCCACGAGCCAGTCCTGCAGCGGCTGCAGCCCGTCCACGTCGCCCACCCCTTGCACGTACTTGTCGAGCTCGATGTCGACCAGCTCTTCCCAGAGGCGCTGCCGCGAGGAGAGCGCCTTGAACATGGCGTCGATGACGCCCTCGGCCACGTCGTGGCGGTTGCTGTTTCCGGCGACGGAGAGCTGCTCGCGCAACATCGACCACATGTCGCCCAGCGTCTTGGTGCGGAAGCAACCGTTGATGTCTGTGTCGAGCGAGTTCTCCGAGCGCGTGAGAAACTCCGACTTGTCCGTCTGCGACATGCGCGACATCCATTCTTCGACGGCCTTGATGATGAGCTGGCGGTACTCGCGCACCAGCTCCGCGCCACGGTTGTCGAGCAAGTGCGGTGAAATGTCCTCTTCTGGCACGCCCAGTTTGTTCATCTTCTTGTAATACTTCTCCTCCCATTGCACAATGGCCAGCATCTCAATGGGCTTGAGGTCCGGGTCGTCGATGTGCCCTACCAGCCAATCGTGCATCAGCTTATGGTAGATATTGACGTATGTCTTGAACACTCTCCACTTGCGCGGCATCAGGGTCACCATGCCGAGCTTGACGGTGTTCAGGTCGTTGAAGTACCAACGAACGCTCTTCTCCAGCCTGTCTGGGTCCTCCATGAACGCTTCATTCGACTCCTCAATCTTGGCCCCAGCTGCCAGTTCGATTGCCTTGAGGAACTTCTCCTTATACCCGCGCAGCTCTTTCGGTCCCGTGGCGATGGACTTGAATCGTGATGCCAGCTCTTTGTATTCCCTCTGCGCATCTTGCAGTGCCTGGACCTTCTTGTCGACCTTCTCCTCCTCCTCGATGATCAACGCCAGCCGTACCACCATGCCGTTATTCCCGCTTTGCACCAAGGGAATCAAGTTCATGCAAGCAAGTCCGACATGCTCGTCGAACAGCTCGATGACGCGGTCGAGGCGGTCGAAGTAGTCCTGCAGAGTTGCACCCGAGTCCAGCTGTAAATTGTTCACTAGCTCTAAGCTCAGCGTCTCGTCCTCGGAGTTCTTGATCTGATCCATGGCGGCATCCCTGATGTTTCTTAGCTTGCTGAGGCCGTAGTGGACCTGCAGCAAGTTCGGCTGGTTCTCCGGGTCCTGCTCGTCCTCGTCCAACAGCATCTCGAGCTCGCCCAGCTGCTGCTCGAAGCCGTCAATGTCCTGCTTCATCTTCTGCACGGCCTCGAAGTTGCGGTGGGTCTGGGCGACGAGGTTGATGTGGGGGAAGTCGCGGATCATCTGCTGGGCCTCGGCGCACAGCCGGTCGATGGTCATCATCTCGTCCTTGATGGCGTTGACGGTGCGCTGGCCCTCGCTGATGCTGCTCATGCCCGCCTGCGTGATCTTCAGCTGCTCCTCCAGACCGTGCCGCAGCTGCGCGTCCACCGCCGCCTTCTTGCGCGTGAATTCGCCCTTCAGGCTGCCGATCTTGTCCAGGTCCTCCGGGTGCCGCAGCAGCTCGGCCAGCTTCGCCAGGCTGGCCCCGTCGGCCGCATCGTTCATTGTTGCGCCGTTGGTCTGGCGGCGGGGTCCCCTTCTCTTCGGTCTTCTTCTTGCTCTTCTCCTCCTTCTCCCGCTCTTACTCTTGCAATGTTCGGTGGGCAATCAGCCGGGGACGGCAGCGCATTTGGGCCGCAAGCGGGCGCAGGCAGAAACGGGGAATGACGCGCGGTCGCAGTATTACGGGAAGGGGAAAAAGCGAGGGTCGAGGTCGGACGTGGGCGGGGGGCGCGGAGAGGTCGTTGTTTGTTCCCTCTTTGCGTTACTCGAGGATTGGGCTTCGGCGTGTCTTGGAGCTGACCATGGTTTACGTTGTCTTTCTCCCCCGCGCCTCCGTATGCGGCGGAACTGGTGCCCGGTGCCCTGAGACCGCGCTGATCGTCGGGCTTGGCGCGCGCGGCCGCCCGCCCTTCCTGCAGGGCTCCAGAAAGATTTCCCGGCGCGCAACCACCAACCACACCATCATCCGCCTCGACCCGCGTACATCCCCTCCACAATCCAGCGCGCCATCTCTGTGAAGGAACCGCTGCCCACGGGCTTCGACCGCGCCACTCGACACCCAATTGCTCGCCACAACGACCGGCCAAGCTCCGACCGCACGCACACCCCGCGGAGCTCTCTACGAACCAGCAGACCGCCGCCAAACACTTTCTCGCCCGTATACACCGATCTTCGAGAAAAAAAAAGAAAAAAAAAGAAGCAATGTCCTACTTCCGCATCACCCTCATGCGCAGCGGCATCGGCATGCCGCAGAAGACGCAGGGCGTGCTCGCGGCGCTCGGCCTGCGCAAGCGCATGGCTACCGTCTACCACCCCGTCTCGCAGTCGGTCGCAGGTCAGATCATGCGCGTGAAGGAGCTGGTCGACGTGCAGGAGGTCGACACCCCGCTGACGCGCGCCGAGCAGCGCGAGCTCAGGCGGCCCGACCCGGGCTACTACGTTGAGAGGAAGGCGCGGCGATAAGAAAAGAAAAGAAAAGAAAAGAAAAATGGATGGTAAATCTTGGGGACTTTGGCTGTAAAATGAGGACGATGGAGAGGGATTTGGAGGGGTGGGGGGTCCTGGTGGAAAGTCTGGTTTGGGATCCGAGGGCGCGATTATGATGCATGGGGAGTTGCGGGCTTTGGACATGCCGCTGCAGCACGTCGATTTGAGACCGGCAAGGATGCCTCTCCGGATCCCCCAAAGCCTTGCGACCTTGATGGGAGGTCTGCAATCTGGGGCTCGAATACTGCATCAACGGCGTTTTGGTCATGACTTGGAGGGAAGCATACCCTTGTATTTTTGAGGTCAAATGATCATACATGCAACAAATCAACCCCGCATGCCCTTGCCAAGCAACGCACTGCACGTCGTTATTCCAGTCAGGAGATGTCGTCGGATAGCTCAGTCGTTGCGGAGAAGGTCTTTGATCATTATGTCCCTGCTTAGTCTGAACTCTTTCCCATCAATCATATCCGAATATGTTTGTACCAACACAAGGCCCATGGACACCACCCCGCCAGATCATTTTCATACAAGTACAGATGAAGCCCATAACCGAAGTTTATGAAAAACCAACCAGCCATAGCGCTTCTCAGGTGAGAGGAGTATCGTCGTTTGAATATACAAGAGAAAAAGCGAAAAAAATGTGAGAATTTTGACAAAACGCCGGCTTTTTGTCCACCCTTTCCCACATGATAACAAAAGTGGTATGAGTCACATATCGTGATTATACATTGGAAGCAGGCAAGCATAGCACTGCCCATCTATCGGGAAATGAGGATGAGTCGCAAGTATTCGGCATAGGCACTACCTTTCGTACGTGGAAGTCTAAGCGTTCTTGACAACGCCAACCTGAGCGGGCTACAGGGAGATGGGTTAGACATTATTCGGTAGGAATGTGGAGGGCGTCAAAGACTTACCCTGAGAACTCTGCCGTTCAAGATGAAGCCCGTCCGCTGGGTGAAGAAGCAGGTGCCATCTTCCTTGTCGGGCATGGGAGTCTGGAAGACAGCTTCGTGGAGGTTGGGGTCGAACTTCTCGCTCTCGGCGCTGGGGTCAAAACGCTCGAGACCGTGCCTCTTGAGGGTGTTGATCATAACGGTGTTGGTCATGTTCAGGCCGTCATACAGAGTGACGAGGTCCTTGTTCTCCTCATTCAGCTTGTCCTTGGGCACGGTGGAGAGGGCGCGGTCAAGGTTGTCGACAGACTCGACAAGATCGCGGGCGAAGCGCTGGATGGCAAAGTCCTTGGCGGCCTGGACCTCGCGCTTGGTGCGTTCTTGCAGGTTGCGGAAGTCGGCGACGGAGCGGAGGTACTTGTCCTGTGGCGCGATAGTGGTGTCAGCGAGCTGCGATACCGTCCGACCATCAATGGGCGGCGGCGATGGATCCATCGGCTTAGGCTCAAGCTCCATGGAATCAGAATGCGAAGCTGACCTTCATCTCGACGACTTCCTTGCTCTTAGCCTCAACCTGCTCCTTCAGCTTGTCGGCCTCGGACAGCTCCTGCTTCTGTTCCTCGCCCTCCTTCTTCTCATCTTTCTTGGCCTCAGTCGACTCGGAATACCATCTCGACGCGACCCTGAGGGGAGAGACGGCAGCGGCGGGAGCTACCGAGGCGCGGAGCAGCGGGGACTGGGCGCGCAGAGAGGCAGAGGCGACCTGCGCCGATAGCCTGGAGGTCACAGCCCGGGAGGATCTGAGGACGGAGCGGGACAGCATTGTGGAGAGAGCAGAGACGGGTGCGATTGGGTGGTCGGTGGAGGCAAGCTCGTGGGCAGGCAGCAGATGGGAGAGGTGATGATGATGCAGTTCCAAAAAGTTCTGATGGCGACCATGAGCGGCACGCCTGGCCCGAGCTCCAAGCCCGATGTCGCCCGAGCGCCGATCACCACGGGCAGCTCCGCCCATTCGCCCCTCTCCCGCCGCATCGTCCTGTTCCACCGTCCTGCCCATCCGCCATGCCCGGAATTGCACGAGCCGGCGCTTTGCTGGCCAGGCTCTCGAGCAGCGCCATCAGGGCCGGCTCTGCACGATTCTCCGCTTCTGCCTCGGCGCCAAGACAGCGCTCCACACCCGCCGCCTACTACAGAGGTGGCACGTCGCGCGGCGTCATGTTCCAGGAGAAGCATCTGCCTAGGGATGAGGAACTGCGCCGCAGCATCTTTCTTCAGGTCATGGGCACCCCAGACCCCAATGGTCGGCAGCTCGACGGCATGGGCGCCGGCATCTCCAGCTTGTCTAAGATATGCCTCGTAGCCCCGACGGATGACCCGAAGGCCGATGTTACCTACACCTTCGTGGGCCTGGGCATTGAAACTCCCATCGTCGACCTGGCTGGCAACTGTGGCAACATGAGTTCCGCCGTCGGCCCGTACGCCTTCAACGAGCGCCTGTTGGGCGACATTGACTACGGCAAGGATGGAACCGCGACTGTCCGCATCTTTAATACAAACACTAAGAAATATATCAACAATAGCTTCCCGGTTGCCCATGGCCAGGCGCAGGTCCAGGGCAATTTTTCCATCGATGGAGTGGGCGGCACGGGTGCTAGAGTGACTTTGGATTTCCTCGACCCATCCGGATCAAAAACAGGCAAACTCCTTCCCACTGGCAATGTCGTCGACAATTTCAATGGCATCAGTGTCAGTTGCGTCGATGCAGCAGGCCCGGGGATTTTTGTTCGTGCCGAGGACATCGGTGTAGATGGAACTATCTTGCCCAATGACTTCAATAAGCTCCCGGATAGGCTGCAATTACTAGAGGACATTCGTCGACAAGCAGGTGTTGCCATGGCCATGTCCAAAGCTACATCGGAAGTGTCCAGGGTCACCCCTAAAATTGCCATTGTCTCTGCGCCCGCAAGCCACAAGATCCTTTCGGGCCAGACGCAGGATGCCTCTGCGGTAGACGTCGTCATTCGCTTCATCTCGGATGAGCAGCCCCATAGAGCAATTCCACTGACAGGTGCTCTGTGCGTTGCTGCAGCTGCCAAGATAAGTGGCTCCATCGTACAGCAGCACGTTGCCCAGCAGCTGGTGGACCAGGACATGATTACAATTGGCCACCCCAGCGGACGTATTCAAGTTGCTGCAGCGATGAACAATCGCAATGAGGTTGAGACTGCGACCGTCTTCCGCACTGCCAGGCGCATAATGGATGGCCTGGTTTATTGGAATGAGTGAGAGCAAACACGTTCGGCTGGCTATCATTTGATTTCTTCATGTTGCCCCTCAACGGCTTATATCTTTCCTTCTCTTCCGTCCACAATATGATGCACCCAGATATGCTGTGGCTTGTGCAATCTTGCCGTCTTGATTCCATTGGGTCGCCTGGCAGAAAGTGTTGTTGTAGTCCAAACCAGTCTTAGTCTTGCTTGTGTTTGTCGTCTCCACCTACTCATCGTCCCCGCCGCCGGCAACATTGTCTTCTATATCTAGATTACGAGCGGCTCTCTCGGTGCTGTAGGTTATGATGTTGATGACACCACCCAATATGAAGGTGGTGGAAATGCCGAAGGTAGAGAAGGAGTATACGGTGCCCTGTTCATCTTAAAAAAAAAAAAAAAAAAAAGACTGCAGATTCAAAACCACATTCACGTAATGCTCATATCGAGTAGACACAGATCTGTGCGAGTCTGATAAATCCCAACCTCCAAGGACACTGTTCCTCGCTTTTCTTTCATTTCTGTAAACGAATACGTCAAAGCTGCTACGCTACGACGTCGAAGGAACAGCCTCTCCATTTCAATTTTCCATCCTTTCCTGCCGACACACCTATCCTTTCCATCCCGCATGAGAAATACTAATACAAAACGCCGTATGCAATCTTGACCAACAGTGAAGCATACCCTTATCATAAAATATCAAGGCATTTATGGTTCCCTCGAGGGAACCCTATGCAACGCCCCTTCCGTGTTTTGCTTCTTGTCCAGCTTCGGAACTTTCCTGCTCAACAGTTCTCTCAACTCATCCGTAATCACCCTCGGCCTCTCATCCTCCTCAGTACTACTTGTCGTCTGGCTTTTCCCGTTCTGCGTGTTGTTCTGGCTCGCGGAGCTACCTGATGCAGTAGCAGAACCGTTCGCACCGTTGCCATTTCGCTGTGAGTTTAGGGCGGCAATGCGACCAATTGGGTTGAAGTTGAACGTCGGAGGCTGAACAGGTGCGGCGGCGGGGTTGCGGCGACGAACATTCGACGGTATAGGCAAGCTGCTGTCTTTGTTTTTGCGGTCGACAGCTTCGATTGTTCTTTGGAAGCGGCGGAACAGTGCCTCGGCACGGACCAGGGTCGACTGGAGGTCAATTGTACCCGAAAGCTCGTTGACTATAAAGTGTTAGTTGTACTCTCTACATATTCGGGAATATTCACAACGTACCGTATTTTAGCACCTCGTCAAAAGCTTTCAAGTGTTCCATGATGACGTCGCGATGTTTTTCCAGGATGGCGAGAGCGATGAACAAATGGAAGTTCCCCGAAAGATAGTCCGTCCAAAGGCCCTCCCACAAACGCAAGGTGTCTTGCCACTCGAACTCACGCTTGTACCAGACAAGCAACATGCGAAAGAAGAAGAAGAAGTTGGTGCTATCCGCCGACTGTAGATGCACGTACAGCTTGGGATCGACAAGCTGCACGAGCTGGTCCAGCGTAAGAAGCTGTTTCCTCATGCCGGATTGATCTCTGAGGAAGTTTCGCTCCTGTTTCATGTTAGCCAAAGTATCAGCATACAAGAAAGCTGAGAAACCCTACCATGCGCTCCATGAACCCAACAAATCCCCAAAAGGCAACGGCATCGTCTTGCATGACAGCGTATATCGGGGCAAGCAGGTCGCTCATTCCCTGGACATAGCCAAGGTCTTTGTTGTACTCGTTGTAAGTAAGAAGCATGTCTTTCATCTGCTCGAGATGAACGTTGGTTCCAACGTCCGCAAAAGGAGAGTCAGGGTCAGGGTGAGGGATGTCCTCGCCTGCGAAGACGTCGATGTTGCGATCTGTCCTGTGAACGTCTTTCTCTACCGCGCGGGCGCCCAAGAATGGGCAAAAGTTAGCTTACTGAAATGGAACATAGCCTGATCTGGCAAACATACCTATCCGGATCTTCTGTTCCCGGAACCATTCGGATTCCTCTTGAGTATTCTGCCCTTCGACCATACGCTCCCACCACGCCCCCTTGAGGCGGATGTACTCGTCGCGCAGGCTGTTCAATTTGGCTTGCCGTTCTTCAGAGGTGCTATCCCACTCATGGACTTCCAACAGGAAAAGCCAAGCTTCTTTCCTAACGCCATCGTCGGGATCGAGGCCACCGTGGAAGATTCGCTCCTTGACCTCGTCCGGAGTGACTAGCAGGGTTCCGCTGTGCGGGTCGAAAAAGCCCTTCCACTCTTCCATGGTCACGGGCTTCCTCCGATCGCTGAGCGACACGTTTCCTGCTTCCATTTCCAAGATCTCAAACTCTCCAACCGCGCTGTCTTCCATCTCCAAAACATCCTGAGCAGTCCAGATTCTTTGTTTCCGCTCTTTATCGCTCTGCTCCGCAATGCTCATTGCCCACCGAGCCAGGTAGATCCTCGCACTGTCGAACTCCTCCTGCAGCCTTTCAACCTCAGGACTCCTCAACAGCTGTTTGATCTGCGGGGGCAGCTTCGGATTCTCAGCAACAGCATGCGCTGTTCGACGGGTGAATGTGGTGACCTGGCTCATCTTCTCCAGAAAAGTCCACTTTGCTGAGTTGACGGCCGACATGAATGGATCCATACCGCCGTCTCTCTTCTTACCAGCGGCGGCCTGTGAGGATCCTTCGCCTGAAGAGCCCGGGGGAGTTTTCGTCTTCACAGTCGTCGGCTTTTGGCCGAACGACAGCAGATCCTCCTCGTTAGGCTCGATGAGATAGACGCTGGGCTCAGCGGCAGAACGGACAACCTTCACGTAGCGCTTCAACCATCTCAGGGCCTCGTCGCCTCCCCAGAACATGCCTCCACCGTCTCCAAAGGGATCGAAGCTCTCCCGTGCGAGCTTCTTGCGCTGCATGATTGTGGACTGGCATTCGCTGTCGTGGAAGAACAGGGCAGGGAAGCTGTCGCCTGCGCGGGTGTTGATGACCACACTGCCAAACCACCATCCTATACTTGGTGGCCGCACGAGCAACGAGAATATTTCACTAACTGGTACGGCGAAAGCATATGTTCCGATAGCACTGCTGTGGGTCGTTGTGGTCGGTGGCGGAGGGACGAGATAGGATTGTTTCGGCGGGGATGAGGAGTCGGACAGGTCGACCTTTACGTAGGTATCATAGGCATCACCAAGCGCGGATTCGGGCACCCAGGAGAGGAGAAGGGAGGAGGCGGCAACTGAAGTGGAGGACGACGATGACGTAGGGCGAGCATCGTTGGTGATAGGTGACCTCTGCTGGACCAGGGCGATAAAGCCAGGAATGTTGTCCTTCGCAGACGGCGTAGGGTGCACGTAAACCTATCAGATGAGGGGTCAGAGCTGGACAAGGGCCGTAACAGTGTTGCCTGAGCGAGGCGTTCTTCGACAGCAGGCTCGAAATCACGCTCACCTTGCTTTTCGAGTACAACAGCTTCACGCCGCTCCCACTGCTGGTATGGCGGATGGTGTTGTACTCTCCCTCCTCGTCGTCACTCATGTCGTAGAAGGAAGCTGTCGGGGAGGGTGGGTTTGCGTGAGGGTTGTCGGGCGGTGGCGGCGGAGAAGCAGGCATGGCGCGGGATTAGTTTTCTACACGAGCAAAGAGTGATGCCTAAAGTCTAACGCGTCACACGGCGCGGCGCGTGGTCGTGGCAGAAAGCAGGCGCAGGCGGACGGCGAACCGAGGGTCATATGGGCGTGGGTGGCTTCACGAGTGGAGAGGGCCAGGGCGGATGGAGCTTCCGGGACCAGGGCTTGCCTGGGTGGATGACGCAGATCGCGGGGGAGCGTGTGGCGGTGCGCACGCCACTCCGGCCGCAGCTGCAGTCCAGTGTGGTGAGAGCTCGCCAGCGCCTACGCCCCCGCGCCTACGCCCCCCGCTACTGCGCCGAAAACCTGTCGCCAGAGCAGATGGGAGCGGCTGCTGGAATGTTCAAAATGGTTTTGATTTCGAGGCACGCGCCTCGGCGCAGGCGCTTTCTCCTGAGTGCATACAGTCCCATAACTATGCATTGGGCCTTCCGCCCAACATGCGAGACGGCCGGCGCAAGCTCAGCCAGGAACCAGAAACCGCAGTCCCAGAAAACATGAAAAAGATGTCCCAACGCAACCCCGACCGGAGCTCCCTTTTGACGCCATCAATGAGCCGCCCGCTGAACGCTGCACAACCACTGTCAATGCCCCACTCCCCAACACTACTGTCTTCGCTTGACTTCGCAAAAGGTATCGCCGCCCGCTCATTTATACGCTCTCGGCCCGCTGGGCAATCCGACTCGACCTTGGTGGCCGCCGCTTCCTTCGTCACGACTACCGCCGACCCATCTACCGCCAGGGTTAGCACTGTGTGATCTCTCAAACGGATTTTTGGCTCCTGTCGTGGGAACTCCTGGTGAACCTGCCGGACTGCTGCTCTGTGACCCCGTGGGGCTTCCCGACCTGCCCGAGCCCCAGAGGCGCGCCTTCAACCTGTCCTGCGCGGTCCCGCTGCCGGCGCTGCCGGGCGGCTGCGAGTCGAACGAGGGACGCGAGCCCTGGGAAAGTGAGCTCTGGTAGCTGCCTGCGCGCTGGCTGGGCAGCGGCCGTCCGCCTCCCTGGCTGGGTTCGGGCTGCAAAAAGCCGCCCCTCCCGGCGCCGGGGCCGCCTCTGGGCGGCGCTCTGCTTCTCAGAGAGTTTGGCTGTGGCGGCGGGGTCGGCGACGAGGGAGTGTCCCAGAGATCGCTGAGGCCGCCTCTGCTGGCCGGGGGTCCGCCGGCAGCGGGGCCGGTAGAGCGAACGAATTGCTGGGTAGGAGCAGGCGAAGGCGCGCGTGGGTCGGGAGGCAGCCAGGGTGGGAAAGGGCGGCCCTTCTCCTGGTAGTATGCGCGCAGCACACGGGCAATGTGCGAGTCGTCTTCGGTGTCGCCGTCGGCTTCGCTGTCGAGGAGGTTGCGACGCAACGAGTTGTAACGCGAGGTGGTGTTCGTAAGCAGGTTCGAGAGGTAGGACGACATGGCGGCGGCGGGTGCGACGCTGGGCCGCTCGGGGTTTCTGGGTATCGGCGTGGGTGAAGCGGTGAAGTCGAGGTGGGAGTTGCGGAGGGCGTTGCGGCTGGCGGAGGGGCCGGCCAAGACAGCGGGCGCGGATGCGCTCAATGCGCGGCTCGAGTCGTTTCAAGTGACTTTGATTTTGCGCGTCGGACGGCGGCACGCCCTGAACGTTGGAATATTATTGCACCTTTGGCCGGGCAGCAGTCGGGCAGTCTGCACAGGAGGAGGGGCAAGTGCTCAGCCAGCTTTCTTTATTGCTTACCCTGTAGCTACTTGACCCCAGCCACGCCCATCACGTGTTCCTCAAACACAACTGATACGCACAGTTCGTCGAGGTCTTCCGGTGATCGTTTGCGGTGCTGGTTCCGCCAAGGAAATAATTCGGCAGCCCTGTTTACAGCTGCAGCGGTCTCACCTAAGGGACGGGAGAGGCAAGGGGTGACGTTTAGCCTGCCACTCGAGTCGCCTACGACCTCATGCATCGTTCAATTCCACGGTAACATCGTTTCGATTCTCTTGTATGTATCTTGTATGTATCATGTATGTACAAAGTTTCTTCATTTCTTGTCTTCGTCGGGTTTTCGTACAGTGCTTCGTCCCTCCTCAAATTCTCATCAAGAGCTCAAGCAAAAGTCTCCTTACACTCATACGAAGAAGCCGCCATCATGTCACCGCCTTTGTATGCGGCGACAAGCGGATACGGGCAGAGATTCAGCGTTCTGGTGGTGTTTCCCGCTGTGACACTCGCAGGGAGCGTCTCGGGCGCGACACCTCCCTCAACCCAAGACACCAACGAGTCCAGAGCGCCCGTCGGAACCGGCCCGGTGCCGCCGTAGCAATGGGCCACTCCCGGCGCCTTGAAAAAGCGGTAGAAGTCTGCCGCGGCAGCATCGAGCCCAAGGACCTTCTCATAGTAGTCGACGGTGCCTTCCGGAGCGATCAGCTCGTCGGCCAGGCCATGCCAGGTGATCATTTTCCCGCCAGACGCCTTGAACTCGGACAGGTCCGGGTCGTCGGTGCTGATGACCGACTTGTACTGATTGGCGGAGCGGTGGATTATGGCGTCGAACTCGGCATGCGACATGTTGGTGATGTCGAAGGCCGGGTCGCCGCGCTTGACAAAGAACTTGATCCACTCCTCGGCGACGGTGAAAGGAGCGCCGGTGCAGTCGCCGCCGACGCACGACGTGTTGGCCAGACCGGCGAGAGAAGCGTCTGGGCTCAGTCCGTACCAGGTGAAGTTGCCGCTGCTCGTACGCGCGCCTTCCCACGTCTTCTGGACGACCGTGGCCGCTCCTTCCGAGATGACGGAACTCGACTCTCCGCACGTGTATTCGCGCCCGACGACGGTGAGCGGGTCAAACTTGCAGCTCAAAGGGTCGGCGATGATGCCGTCCTCAACCCCATCCAGACCGTCGCATGCCTCGATGGCGGCGGCGGTGATGGCGTCCAACTCACATGAAGTTGGGTATACATCCAGCTGGTTCATGATAAACTGCGGCAAGTACTCTGCCGGGACGAACTTGGCCCAGTTGATGGCAGGAGCAGTGGCCAAGATGCCGTCGTACAGCCCGGGAAACCTTTGCGCAAGCATAAGCCCTTGGCGGCCGCCGGTCGAGCATCCACTCCAGTACGAGTACCTGGCCTCCTGTCCGTAGAAGCTGGCGGTGACGGCTTTGCCGATGAGGGCCGCGTCCTCCAGAGCCACGGCGGCGAAGTTGTTGAGCAGGTTTGCGTTGACGTTGCCCGGGCTCACGGTCGCCCAGGACTCGGAACTTTCAAGCATCCAGTCGTGGCCACCGTCGGTCGACGCGACGGCGTAGCCTTTGGCCACTTCCTCGGCGAGCACCGTGTCGTTGGATCTCATGCGGAAGCCGCCGCCACCGTAGCCCATGAAACGCTCGTTCCAGTTCTCCGAAGCGGGGAGATACACGAAGACATTGAGCGTGTCATTCTGGCCTGGATGCGTATATTGGACGGTGACGTTGCAAAAGCTGGGGGTCCCGCCGGAATTCTTCTCCGAAGTTGCGGTGATGGAGAGAACCTGGCCACCCAGTAGCTCGGGAGTAGCGATGGCGTCTGGGGAGCATGTTGTCACTGCTGCGGACGCTGTGTCGCCAAGGACGGAAAGACCCAAGCCGGCGAGGAGGCCGGAGACTGCTGGATGCCGCATGGTCGGAGGAGTGGGAAGTGGGTGAGCTCCACACATCGGCCAGTCTGCTCCATCCTCAACGCCTCCTTTTATTCCCGCCCCAAAGAAGCTGCCGAGGAGTAGTCCCGACGTCGGCAAAGAGAGCATCCGGCCGCAAGTGGACGGTGATCGGGGTAATTTAATGCTACCCCGCATTTCGGAAGGACGAGTTGGAAGGAGTTCAGGCAAGGAGCATGAGCCTCAATGGTATCCCGCTCCGTCAGAAAGTCAAGGGACCAAGCCGCCTTCTCCAATCAGCTTTACCACTCTTGCCTCTGCTTATCGGGTTCAGTCATGCATGGGATTGCCTCGCTGGGGTTCTGCTTTGTAATAAAGGCTGGCAGTCTTGTGCGTAATCAGTCCGAGCTGGACGACGCTGATCTCGGAGTAAGCCGAGTTGCCTCGTGAACACAGAGTGCCGAGCCCGAACCTCTGACTCGACACCATTGGAAACAAATATCCGGTAGACGCGGGTTTAAGAGAGGTTTCTTGGCACGGGACCACATCAATTCGTCATAATATGGAAGAGAGGCTAACTGGACGACCCTTGACTGACTCATCATTATATCTTCGCATCTCAACACCTTCTGATGAGATTTAGAAAATATATAAATAAAGGAAAAACACATCAGAGACGAAGACACGACAGCACCTCGTGAGCCTACTCAAGCTTAATCAGCCCTGATGCGGTCGATCAAGAAGGAAGTAGCCTCTGCAACACGGCGAACATAGTCAAGATGAGCGGGAGTAATGGCTCCGCTGCGCTCTCTAGGTTGTGTGCTTTAACATTAATCGGAGATGCGAGACTATGGATCGCAGTAAGAAGTGGGAAGAACGGGGGAATAACCTTCGTTTAATAAAAAAGATTGCGTGGACCTAAAGTAAGGAACGAGGGGGTAGTTTTAGGCCACTTGAAATTATATCTCTTAGGGGCGCATAGAACCTTTTTCGTCGCCATCGATTCAGTTTATATAAGCAGTCCGCCCGTCTCTTGGAAATCTCCAAGGCTGACCAAATAACACAGCCTTAGTACATGTGCAGACTCTATCGTCTAGATGCAACTACCTCGGTGAAATGCCAATGTCTTGCTCTATATAGGCACAATAGAATGGGGAGTGTAGCAACTGGTGAGAAGTGCTTAAGAACTCGTGCTAGACTCTCGGGTGGATTCTAACGGGCCATTCCGGCAATTCTACAGAAGCAGATCATACCATCTACTTAGCAAGATGGGGAACGATGCATGGATTTCTTGGGGAAAGCGCAGAGTAGTTGCCGAGGTATGAATTTCTGGGATCGCTGCTGGTTGGCGAATTGCCAATTGCCAAGTATTTCATCCCATCGCTAAATGCACCATGTGTTTAGATGGAATGTGGGGGATAAACCTAGAAGTTAAAATCCTTAAGAGTAGAACTTAGCGCGTACTGTGGACAAGCCTCGGCATGATTATGGCAGTCACCTGCTCACTAAGTTTGAGAAATCCACGCTACCGAGTAGTCGCTACGGCCGGGTCTTTTCTTATTAGTCGCTGAAGAAATACGAGAAGGGAGGATGGGATTCCCCCGAGGCTAGAGCCGCATAAATTTGATAAGTACTGGGCGATCGGGGGGATGGCGCTGCAAGCATTACGTCGAGCGGGGGTATGGTTGACTGCTACCCAATGACCGAACTTGTACGCAAGATGAGCAAGGATGAAGTTACACCAAAATGGAGGTGAACAAAGTGGCTGGTACCTGAGTTTGCCACACAAGTTCTGGGGTTACTAGGCCAGCATGCAACCTGTCTTGATGGTGAGGTCACCGCGCTTGTATTACGTAGGAAGTCAAGCTAACATCTGGACGCAGATGCGAAGCTCAAACCCGTCCAAACACGTCTAGACATAGGTACCAATCTCCCACGAGAGTATTCCAAGCGAGAAAGATTCAAGTAAACTCAAACCTTTTGTAATACACCGTGGTGTCCCATCATAAAGCTCACCACTCCACACAATTATGACAGCTTTGTAAAGTGTTTTGTTGTCCTCGCAACGCTTGCACAACCCGGAGGCGCAAACATGAAGTATACAGAAAAAGTAAATCGTTATTAGCCCTGAAGTAATTCCTCAGTCATCTAAAAGGTACCCAGATGTGAGACAAGTGTGCGTAAGCGAACTCGTTGACCATTGGATCGAAATTTGGATGAAAGCTTTTTTGAGTTCCCCATCGAACGCCAATTCCCCAGAACACCATACCAGTCCATTCTACGCGCGGATGGTCTCGCGAGGCGCGGGCTCGTATTCGTACTCAATCTCCCGCTTGGGACCCTTGGACGACTTCTTCTTGCTGGACTTGGGCGTAGGCTCCGGACCGCGTTTCCTCTTCATGTTGGCGAGAGCCTTCTTCAGCTTCTCAGTATCCTCTTCCTCGTCCTCCTCGCTGCCCTCGTCGCTCTCGTCCTCCTCTTCATCGCTGGCTTCCTCAGACTCATCGTCTTCACCGGACTCGTCGCCGATCCAGTCCTCTAGGTCGCCCAGATCTTCGTCCTCGGACTCGCTGCCATCAATGTCGCTGACATACTCGACATCTCCAACACCCTCTTCGTTCTCCATCTCCTCCTCAATCTCTTCCTCAATACCCTCATCCAGGTCCTCGTCCCTCTCGCCCTCACCACCGCGCTCCAAGCCCTTGAGCACCTTCTTCCAGACAGCCTCGTCGACGTTCAGAGGCTGCTCGCCATATGCACCGCTCCTCAAACGTTCGATAAGCTCTCTCTCGATTGCACGCTCAACCTTGGCGGCAGCGGCAGCCTTACGCTCGCGTGTCTCCTCGCGGCGTCGGACCTTGGGGGCAAGCTTGGGCACGAGGGTCTCTCCAAGGCGTTCCTGCTCCTTGGCAAGACGTTGCGAGCGGATACGGACTTGAGTCAGACGAGTGAGACGCTGCTTGTTCTTGTGTACGAGATACTTGGGCCAGTATATCAGGCGTTGGTCGACCTGTTCAAGAGCCTTGGCGTAGTTGGAAGAAAGCTTGATGCGCTCCCACCAGCGGCTCGGCTGAGATACCGTTAGAATGAGCTCGACACATGGCCCACACTGCGCTCTGATTCACGTACCTGATGCGACCGTTCAATCGTCTTTATGTAGAGGTAGAGGGCGCCCGTTTCGGGATGGGAGCGGATGGTGGCGTAGCGGGAGTTTGCGAGCGGACACGACTGGCGGTTGCAGAGACCAGTAACATTGTATCTATAGCGGCATTGTCAGCAAGGCTCGTTCGCACCAGGGTTGGTGAGGGCGCTCACTCATTGCGACAGAAATTCTGATTCTTCGTCGGAAGTCTGCAGGCCAGGGTCAGCGAAACAGCGTGCAAAGTTTGAGGCGCAAGGCGGACTTGAGCTTGAAAGAGCAAAACTGCTGGTTGATGACCTGCCACACAATCTCGTCGGAGGCAGACATGGCGGCGGCGTGGCTAAGAGGCGCTGCAGCGTTGGAGGTGTTTGGGATGCTGGGTCTGCGCTGCGGTAATGGACTTTTCGTCGGCGCGCCGCTGCCAAAACGCCGATGCTCGACAGACTGCGTCGCGCCCGCCACGATTGGCCGGCGCCGGCTGCGTCGCGCCGTCTGTTTTGGGCTAACCGCATGCGGTATGGCGCACACAACATGTTGATGTCGGCTACGACCCTCTCTCCTAAGCCAGCCCGCGACGGTCCACACGCTCTGATCAACGCACCGCACGGGGCTTCTTCATTCCGCCTCAATACTCTCTCGCGCCCCCTCGTACCCCGTCTACACTCCACACACATCCTTCTACACCACCGCCACCATGAGAGAGGTTATCAGCTTGAACGGTATGTTCCCTCGCCCCGCCAACGCGCCCAAAACTTGACCGCCTGCCTCTGCGATCCCTGCATACTGACCAACGCGCGTGAACAGTCGGCCAGGCCGGTTGCCAGATCGCAAACTCCTGCTGGGAGGTGAGTCTCCTCTTCTTGAGCCCGACCGAGGGCGCGTTTCCCATCGCATTCGCTGACTTTGTCCCACCAGCTCTACTGCCTCGAGCACGGCATCCAGGTACGCGCTTTTTGCCGCCGCCCCGCAGTACCGCCACTGTTTCCGCGCACTTCCGCTGACACTCCAACAGCCTGATGGCTACCTCACTGAGGAGCGCAAGGCTGCTAACGATGACCACGGTTTCAGCACTTTCTTCTCTGAGACCGGTAAGCTGTTTTCCCCCACTCAACGCCACGTGCAGATCGTGAGAGCCCCGCCGCTGATAAACAACAACAGGCCAGGGAAAGTATGTCCCGCGTACCATCTACGCCGATCTCGAGCCCAATGTCGTCGACGAGGTTCGCACCGGCACCTACCGCGGTCTTTTCCACCCCGAGCACATGATTACCGGCAAGGAGGATGCCTCCAACAACTACGCTCGTGGTCACTACACCGTTGGCAAGGAGCTCATTGACCAGGTCCTTGACAAGGTTCGCCGCGTTGCCGACAACTGTGCGGGTCTGCAAGGTTTCCTCGTCTTCCACTCCTTTGGTGGTGGTACCGGTTCCGGTTTCGGCGCTCTGCTCATGGAGCGTCTGTCCGTCGACTACGGCAAGAAGTGCAAGCTCGAGTTCTGCGTCTACCCGGCCCCCCAGGTCGCCACCTCCGTCGTTGAGCCCTACAACTCCATCCTTACCACTCACACCACCCTGGAGCACTCCGACTGCTCTTTCATGGTCGATAACGAGGCTATCTACGACATTTGCCGTCGTAACCTTGGCATTGAGAGGCCGAACTACGAGAACCTGAACCGTCTGATCGCGCAGGGTAAGGCTCACCATCTGCATGCTCAAGCAATTTCCCCGCTGATCGAACAACAGTCGTTTCCTCGATTACTGCTTCGCTCCGCTTCGACGGCTCGCTGAACGTCGATCTGAACGAGTTCCAGACCAACCTGGTCCCCTACCCCCGTATCCACTTCCCTCTGGTCGCCTATGCTCCCGTCATCAGCGCCGCCAAGGCCGCCCACGAGGCCAACTCTGTGCAGGAAATCACCATGTCCTGCTTCGAGCCCAACAACCAGATGGTCAAGTGCGACCCCCGCAACGGCAAGTACATGGCCACTTGCCTGCTCTACCGCGGAGACGTCGTGCCCAAGGATACCCACCAGGCCGTTGCCACCCTCAAGACCAAGCGCACCATCCAGTTCGTCGACTGGTGCCCGACTGGTTTCAAGATCGGTATCTGCTACCAGCCCCCTCAGATCGTTCCCAACGGCGACCTCTCCAAGGTCGACCGCGCTGTGTAAGTTCCTGTTCCACCGATTGCGTCTGATCATTTTGCTGACCGTTGTAGGTGCATGCTGTCCAACACCACCGCCATCGCCGAGGCTTGGTCGGCTCTGTCGCACAAGTTCGACCTCATGTACTCGAAGCGTGCTTTCGTTCACTGGTATGTCGGTGAGGGTATGGAGGAAGGTGAGTTCAGCGAGGCCCGTGAGGACCTGGCTGCTCTGGAGAGGGACTACGAGGAGGTCGCCGCCGACTCGCTCGGCGAGGAGGAGGGTCTGGAGGCTGAGTACTAGTTGGAGTATATCTCATGTCTAGGAAGGGGTTAGGGGCCTAAGCGAGAAAGTTGGGAAGCTTATAGGCCTAGAATTTTGTTCTTTGCCTGCTCAGGAGTGTGTTTTTCGTGTTACTTGCTTTTAATAAAATGGGAAACTGCAATTTCGCTCCAAGCCTGTTACACAAGCGACGAGCAAAGTTTTAGTCGAATGAGAGATTGTCTGCAAACTTATCGTGGAGGTTTTATCTCTCCATCACACTACGAACTTTGCGTCCTGATAACCTGGTTCAAACGATGGCGCACAACCACCGAGGCGCTGTAGCAATTCCGAAGAAAGGGTATCCTATGGAAGGCTGGGCAAGCGACGACATGCGGATACGCTGGAGATGATGCGGCTAATCCATTGCGGCGCTCATCTCAGCTCATCAGGATTGGAGGATGCGCGCACTTGTGCGAGCAGCACAAGTATCGTATCGAAGCGCGTGACCTTTGCCTGCCTTCCTTAATCACGATGCAGTATCATATAAATTGCAGACACGGTAATTCCAAAAAGCCTTAATGTATGTATGCCTTCCCCTTTCACTCTTGCGTGCAGCGCATATGTTTTTTTTTTCCTTTCCCGAGAAATGTCCAACATTTTTGCCCATCAGCCGGGACCCTTGCAAAACCATATTTTTGTCTTTTGCCATGCAGGGAAATGGACGGACCGGGCCGAACGATGGATGGAACCGGTGGGCCCCCACACACAGCCCGCTCTCTCCACTGGAACCAAAGCCACGGTGACCAGCCAACTGGGCGCCCGAACCGAACATCGCGCGCGCACGCATTGCGCGGTTGGGAGGGTTGGCCAACCGCGGCGCGAATGCACGTGAATCCCTTTCGAGAATGTCAACGAGGCTGGCCGATCCCGGCAAGATGCAAGAGATAGGGGGCAAAGAGGATATTGGACTGGACAGATGCGTGTTCCCAGCTAATGACTTCCGATTTGCCCCTTTTTTCGGGGGGGCAGGCGGGGGCGCCGCCAGCGCGACATTCATCGTGCAGCATGCTCGCGCGGCGAACCGGCCAGCCCGCGCACGTTCGTGAACCCTGAAGAAGCTCGGACGGGCGCGCCCGAATCGATCAATCAATCAATCATCCTCGTCATCCAGCCCGACCAGCCTCCTCTCCGCCAACTCCTCAATCTTACCCCTCAGCACATCCCGCCCGAACCTGCTCGCGATCTTCGCCGCCGCATCCAGCATCTTGCCCGAGCGATCGCGCATCAGCCCGACGATCTCGAGCGCCTTCATCCCGCGCTCCTCGCCCTCGCGGCACTCGGCCGCCAGCAACTGTAGCAGCAGCTTGTCGATGTCGAGCTCGCGACGCGCTAGCGCCTGCTTCTGTGCCTGCGTTGTGTGCGTCACAGCGACGAGGTCGTCGAGCAGCGACAATTGTAGAGAGTTTCGGACAAATTGCTCTTCGAATGTCTGGGTCTCGGTAAAACCGGAAGACTCGTCTTCGTCCTCGTCCATAGCATCAGGGCTGGCGGGCCGACGAGGAGGTTTGGGCGCGTAGAGCGGGATTTGAAATTCGAAATCAGTAAGTAAGGGGCGCGGAAAGTAGGGATATTTATCGCCTCCTTTAAGGATGATGCAGTGAAAGCGTTCGTTGGCGACGGCCACGGGCCAGTACGTTTCTTCTTTGCGACCTGATGCGAGTCGAGAGAGAAGTTTGGTGTCGAGCAGGGGCACCCAGCGCGCCTGCGAAGGCGTACGCCAATGTTGGAGGACCAAGAGCGTACCGGTAGTATCATAGATGCATGGATCCTGTAGAGAGGATGTTAGCTCAAGGGACACTAAACTAGAAACAGCGGGAGTGTATCTTACGCCTTGATCAGAAAAGAAGACGCTCTGCAGTTCAGCACCCTCGCTTAGTGCGACGATATCCTCGCTCTGGCAGATCTCGTCGCGCTTCACATTCTCGATCGTGTACAACAGGCGTGTGGTGCCGTCACCGCCGACAGGACCGTTGCCGATAGTCATGACATAGTCCCGCCAGCTCGCACAAGTCACAGCTGGAGATGATTTCTGCCGATAGACACGGAATGGCACGCCGAAAAGACTGTATATGCGGACGTAGTCGGTGGACGTCAACACCACGACATACGACTCGCTGAGCGAGATGGCAGTGACGCTTTCCCCTGGAGGCAATTCTGTCCTCCAATCTGTTCGAGCAGTCCAGGTCTCGTGCGGCCGGTAGTAAACTATAGCGGGATGGTCCTTTGACGGTTGACAGGAGAAGAGAGTGCCGTTTTCGTTCAAACATGCCTTGTCGTACAGGAACGGGTCGGTGAAATGGAAGTCACGGTGAGCTTCGCGGTCATAGAACTCGACGGTGACCGTATGGTGTGTTTCTTGGTCTACAGTCCAGACAAACCCAGTGAAGTTGAGAGAAAGGTAGCGTCTGTTCCCGCGCCAGGGGGTGCTTCCCGGCTGGAAAGCTGCATGTGTTTGTATTTGTAAACCGCCCTTGCTCCGCTTTCCGCTTGGAAGGTCGAGGTTGTTGGTTACCCGTCCACGCTTCCCATGGCCGTTAAGTTCTTCAGCGTAGCCAGCTCCATCATCATCCTCAATGAAGCCGTCTGCATCAGAAATCCCGTCATCCCCGAGAATCTCGTCCAACGAATCTGGAGTACCTTGTCGAGCAGAGCGCGCATCTTTGGAGCCGTTGATTGGTAAGCGTCGGGAATTGCCAGTAGTCTCTCCCAGAGGGTCATGAATGAATGGAGCTGCCTGCAGGTCCTTGCCTAAGACCGGGGCGTACTCAGACGGCACAAAATCATTGTGGATGAAGAGTTCGCCGTCGTTGTTGGTGTATGATAGGATGTTCTCAACAGGGTGCCACACCATAGCAAGGATTGTAGCCCGGACATCATCATAGGTTTTGACGACGCGCTGAGTCTTCGTGTCCCAGATTGCAAGCTTACGGTCGTGACCTGTCGTTGCAAGGAGACCCCCGTTGGGGGACCATGCTGCTGCTGTGATATCGCCGGTATGGCCGGACTTAAATGCCCTTTGACGTTCCCAATCACCTCTCGAGATCACCTGGATATCTGAACTACAATCAGTACATCTCATCCAACGACATGGCCGTCACACTGACCTCGAGTAGGGGTGGCTGCTGCGAAAGCTCGTCCGTCCGGGTGCCAAAGCACCTTTGAGCTTGCCTCAGCATCCGTTTCCATGGACCTTATCAAGCCGTCCACTGTCATCACCAGGCTTGGCTCTTCGGAGCTGAGCGAGTATATGTAGACATGTCCGTCGGAGCAGGAAGCAGCCAGGAAGGATCCGCTGACGTCGAAAGATACGTGTTTGACAGGGCGCGGTTGCTCCCTGAGATGAATGACACGGGTCATGTCTTTCGTATTGACGACCTTGACCACCAGTTCACTTCGCATTGTCAGCGTCTTTGCTCATTCATGTCCCACAGGTTTCTTACTCGCTAGCAACTGCTGCCCAATTGCCGTCCGGAGACAGGGCAATATCGCGCACTGGTAGTGTGCAGCGGACAAGGACCTCTTCTAGCGAGTTCGTTTCGAGCGAGTATTTGCAGACGGTGCCATCTTCGGAACCGGTGACGAAGAAGTCGTTCTTTGGTGGGCATTAGCGCCTGGTCAACTTTCGCGGACGAAACCAGCCTACAGCAGCGGCCACAGCCGTGTTCGAATCTTGAGCATTGTCGATATTGGTGGGTTCATCGACGGAGCCCGTCTGGAAGACGCGGATGGCGTTGTTGAGTCCGACAGTGATCAGCTTTCGTCCGTTCGGCGTGTAGCTCAGGAAAGTAGGGCCCGGTGGATCTGGAGTAGCACAATCAGATGACAGTTCCTCCTCAGATCAAATTCGCAGGCACTTACGGGCCGGGAGCCCTCTCAGACGCTGATTGCCGGCCATGGTGTGGATGTCGGACGCCGAGGACGAGGCGGGCGGCAGCTTGGAGAACGCGTTCTCGGCGCGCGACGCGTTGCGCGTTAGAGTGACGCCATTCCTCTTTGGGCAAGCCTTCCGCACCCGCGTCATGCAGGTCCCACCGAGATGTCCATCTCCTCCACGCCACATTCCCTACGGAGTCCACTGCGAGCTGCAATGGGAATGTCTGAGCAGTTTCTGCAACTGTACGGCCTTGCTGCCTTTTATTGAGTCCCTTGCAGCGACGAAGCTGGGCGCGCTCCACTAAGCCAGTAGGTAGCAGCACCCGCCAAAATGCGCTTCAAGGCTGCCATTCAGAATGTCAATACCTTCGCGAGTACGTCACACGCCGGTGGACGCGTTCACTTCTGCTGACCGACATCAGAGCTGGCTGCTTCCCTTGCTTCACTTGGGCCTGTGGCGTGGGTCCGGCTGAACGAGGATGAAGTACGATTCACCATAATCCCCGAGCAGGGCACTCAAGTCTGGGCGTAAGTATTGTGCTTAGGTGAATTCGAGGAGTGACTGACGAGTGACTAGCGTGCTCGCAATCGTGAGTACCCGTCCAGAAGAAGCAATGGGGGGAATGGCGGCCGGTTGAGACGTTCGAGCAGGATGCCATCTTCGACGAGGACTACAACATCCAGTCCGCAGCCAACAACGTCATCAACCTTGAAGTGCCACTTGCACCTTTGCAACGTGCCCTCAAATCAGCCTTGACCGCCACCTCCGCCTCGATTCGCTTAACGAAAAAGGACAACACCCCTGTGTTATCTCTGACCATCATCACCAATCCTCTCGGCAGCGGCACGCATGGCGCATTTGGCTCAGGTGGTCCGAGCGATACTTATGGATTTGGTGAAGGCTCGCTAGTGACGCAGGATGGCAGCGAGCGCGAGACCAGAGTCACTCAGGATGTTCCGGTGCGAGTACTGAACCCCAATAATGTCGAAGGTATCCACGAGCCCCGCTGTAGAGAGCCGGACGTTCATATTCTCTTGCCGTCTCTCCTGCAACTGAAGAGCATCTCCGATCGATTCACCCGATTGGCTTTGGCAGCAAAGGCCAACGGCACAGGAGGCGGCGGAGCTGGTCCTCGCCTGGAGATGTCCGCAAACATGCACGGTTGCCTAAAGCTGAGCATTCGGACGGATGCGATGAACATTTCAAGTGTCTGGACAGGGCTGTCGAACCCTGAGCTCGACCCATCTCACATCGAGGGCGGCGAAGATGGCATCAAACAACACCCCAGCACTAGAATGAAGGAGCTCGGAAGCGCGGACGGACGCAGCGAAGAGGGTTGGGCCACTGTGCGCATTGACGGCAAGGACTGGAGCAAGGTTATGTCAGTGGGCAGGCTGTGCGGCAAAGTTATTGCCTGTGAGACCCTGCAATCTATGCTCCTCGCCGCCGATTGCAGATCACTGACGAACAACACCAGGTTTCTCTGACGAGCATGCCCTCATCCTTTACGTCTATCTGCCCAATGACGAAGACGGTCGGGAGGATTCGGTTTTGACCGTAGGTTCCTTGTGCTTTTCTCGAATGGGGCATCGTCATTCGCTAACAGAATGTAGTACTACGTGAGTTCGTATAGTCAGTGAATGCAAGAGAGGTCAGCTGGTGTCTAAAGCTTTGCTTCCTCATGCGGCCTATTGGAAGGGGTTCCTTGATCGCGCTCCATAAAAAGACACGAATCGGACAATATTGCTCCCCGCTTGTCATACGTGGCCGGTGACGCAACTAGGCGCCACGGTGCCTGAATGTAGACCAGGATTCCCCGCAGCCATCAGGAGTCGGACTGTCTGCCGAGTAAAAGATCAATCTGGGAAGAATCACGAGAGACAGCGGGGGTAGTTCCTTGTATGGTGGATTCGGAGTAATGGAACAATTGCCGGTGCAGCCACGCGAAAGCCTTGAAGTCATGCGGGCAGACCTCCCAATGTTCCCTGAACGACCTCTCTACCGAAGCGGAAGTCGCCAGGCTGAGCAGTTTATTCGTGTCCAGGCGTACAGAAGAGCCTGTTCGAGGCACGAGGCCATGCACATGGCGGCGAGTCGTAGGCAAATGGCCCCTAAATCCTCAGGAAAGCGCTCGCGGAGGCGGACTTTCTTTTGCGGACGACCTTAGACTTCTGACTCACGGCCTTGCAAGTTGGCCGGCAAGGAATACTGCACAGCCGTCGGGTGGGCGTGTACGATGTCCGATGCCACAGCCGTGCGGCCGTGCCCTCGGGCCAAGGTTTGAGGGGCTAATGAACGAAGGATGAGGAGGCCGCCGGGTGATACGGACCGAGCCGCCACATGCTGTTGGTCCTTGAGATGGGGAAGTAAGGTGTTGAGGACGAGAGATGGTGTGGCACGATCGACAATGTATGCCACAGGAGTTCCTGCAGCAAGAGTGGTGGCGCCCTGCACGAAACGGACATGCCGTGGGGCGACGGCGAATTCGCATTTTGCTTGTTCGAAGCGCACGCTTCTCCTTGTGCCAGGACACGCAATGGCCGGGCAGGTTCGTTCCTGCAGCTTGCGCCACCACGGACCACAGGGGCGGCGCAAGTGTTGTACTGCATCGTGCTATCGTCGTGTTGACCAGCGGAACGCCAGCCCCGCGCTGCACCCTCGGCTGCCTCAGACACGTTGTGGCCGGTGCTGATGGCGAGTCGCAGCAGCTCCAGAAACAGCAAATGGGTCTCACAGCAGCGGTGGGCAAGCGTTGAAGCAATGCGATTCACCGTGAATCATTCCTCGGATGGCCACCATTCCGGCGGCGAGGAACCCGCTGCACTGGCTCGGGACTGGAGTTCGAACGGCGCTGCATGCACGCTATCGAGTCGGTGGTCATGCAGCTCTGCGCCCAGACGGGGATCAATAATGCACCAAGAATATTGCCATCGGGGTGCGCAGGCTTGCATCATCAGGCTTGACCAAGCACGCAGGCAGGCTGGGATCTGGATCGGGTCCTGGGGAGCGCAAAGGCTTCAGAATCAGCAGCACGCAGGCCGGCGCACCACCCGCAGCAGCGCGCCGGAGGATTATCTTGAGAGTTGACGACTCGCTGGGACTCGCTGGACAGCCGCCTCAGCCCTACACGGCATGGGCATTATTTTTAGCAGTCGATCTCGCGTCATCCGCCCCGACAGGCCTTGAAACGACCCAACACAGCGGCCTTTCCGTCGCTCAACCCCAGCCGTCGGGACTGCAGGAACGCGCGACGAGGACCGCGGCGATGGACGACAGTCGCGCGACCTCGTGAAGATCTGCAGCCCTAGCCAGCTGCTGGGCGTGTGCGAGCGAAGGGGGTGCGGCAGTCACGAGAACGCGCGGTGGCACTGCAGCTGTCGAGCTGCTCGGTGCCGTCGTCGAGCAGCTTGCGACGCAGCCAAGTTGGCCGCGCCGACACCATCTCAGAGCTATCTTGGGCGACGGGCGGCGGTCGTCGGCGGCGGGGGCTGACGGCGGTGCGGACGGCGGTGCGGAGTCGCGCACGGCGGCCTCTCTGCCTGCCTCAGGCCTGAGACAGAAACAGAAGGCGACCAAAGCGCCCCGGCTGCAGGGCCGTGGCCGACGGACGATAAGGTGCTGACGGCCGGTGCTGCTGGGCGCGTGCGCTGGGTGGGCCATTTGCCATTATTTTCAGCAACGTGCTCCTGTATGACTGTATCTGAGAAGACGCGATTTCCTCAACCAGAAACCGCACCCACGCTTGCCCGCTCGCAGCAGCACACAACCAAAGCGGGGAGCGTGCGTGCGAGCCTGCTACTGCCTTGGGCCGCCGAGCGCCGACGCGCGCGCCATTCGCAGCAACCCTCCGCAACCCGCCGCAACCCTTCGCAACCCTTGGCCCACCCGGAGCCCCCGGCCGCACGCGTGGGGGATCATGCAGCTGGCTGATGCAGCAACGCCGCGCAGGCCAGCACGGGCTGAGGTGCGGTGGCAGCCAACCCGGCCGCGCATCGTCGAGCGGGTTCCGGGCCCGAGTGACGATGTGCCGTAGGTACCTGCCTTGGCCTGCCTGCCTGCCTGCCTGCCTGCCTGCCTGCCTGCCTGGCCTCTCGCCCGCCCGCGTAACACGCTCTTCCCGACACCCTGGAACGCACGCCTCGCCTCTCTCTCCTGTGCACCCTCTGCCGTCAGCCGCGGCGTCCGATAGCGCACGCCCTCGCCGGTCCGACCACTGGCGCACCGTTGTGAGCGCGCTCGCCGCCGCGCCTTGACAGCGGCTGTGGCTTCGTCCCGGATGAGCTAGAGGTGGTGGCTATGTGTGCACCTTAATTCAGACCCCTCCGATAGGCAGCCAGCCGCGGCGCCAGCTCTGCTCCTGGCCGTGCAGGGGCCGGATCCCGCTGGGGCCACGGGTTTGCGCCCCCTTGTGCTGTCACTGACACTCGTGCCGGCCTGCTCTCGTTCGAGAATATGCTTGCTGCTGCTTTTCGAGTGTGTGTGTCGGACCTGCCATCTGGTAGGTGGGATGCCCTGCTGCGCACTGCCCGCGATGCCTGAGTGCGCCGTAGGCAGACCTGAGTTATAAGTATCGTCACCCTCGTCGAGTCATATCCCAAGGCATCAGCTTCTCAGTCCTTCCTCTCTCTACCACTCCCACACAGCTTTACGCGTCTTCTACAGTCAGTCATCCAGGAACCTTTCTAATTTCTTCCACCGTGCTTTCAAATCAACTTTCCCACTCTACTTTTAATCAACCCGACACAACCCAACATTTCCACATCAACACCCTCCATTTCACCCAGACTCGGCCCTCCTTTGCCATCCTTTTAGTCGACCATAGGAGCATAGAAAAACACTTTCCACTTCCTGTACCTGCGCCAACAGAGACGACTCAAAGCGTGCTCGGTTGGAGATTCATACCCACCACCACCCAAATCTTTCACCATCACATCTACAAAACCACTCTCCATGGGCCGTGGCGGATACAACTAAACGAATCTTGCGCCTATCCCGGGACACCAATCGTCTCGTCCTCCAGCCCATCGTAATCTTCACTCAAGACGCGCTTTTGCTCTCAATTGTCTTCTTCCACCCTCACCCACCGTCCAGGCAGCCAAGTACACGCGCGTCTCTCTACGGCACCACCACCTTCGGCCCACAAAAGAATCACCACCGCAAGACTCATCACCCGCACGCATTTCCACTCTCACACAATGGGTCGTGGCGGCTACAACTCTCCCTCCTCCTCCGGCTCCAAGGGCCGCCGCTCGAGGACAACTACTGCCCCATCATCCTCGTCGCTCTCCTTGTCGTCAAGTCGCAGTCGCAGCGCAGCCCACCCCGTCCAATCAGCACTAAGCGCAGCGTTGGTCGTCATGGCCGGACGAGGCGGTTACAACTGAAAAGAAAAAATGGAAACAAAAAGAGTGGTCGTGGGCACGCTCCGCTCGGCATCCTCTTTTTGCGATTTTCTTTTCTCTCCCCTACCCATTCTCGGCTCATTTACCATCACCATGTCCGCGTACCGGCCAGCCTTCCTCTTTCGTCTTTTTCTGTGGTCCTCCAGCGTGTTTGAATACCTCTCACCATCTGTATGACTGTACGATCGGCTGATGCCCTGCTTTTCGCACCTCTGTCCATAGGATACCCCTCCACTAGATCTCCGGGGTGTTTTGTTTTTCCTGCAAGCGTTCTTGTCTTTTCTTTCCCCTCTTCTGACTTTCCAGCGTATCTGCATAGCGACGGTTGCATTTGGGTTTCTGGTGCTCCCTGCCTCCGGGAGAAAGGTTAAGCGAGGAGTTGGAAACTGTGTTTTTTGGATCTGGGAATTTCCTTTTTGAAAAACGAAGTCAAGAGAACTGGGATGCATGGGGTATCGGCGTTTTCCTTTTCCTTTTGTCTTGCCATTAGCGGTTCGGGCCTAGATCTTTAGATTTCTTGCGTCTTTTTTCTCTCTTGCTGCTGCGCCCTCCTCTAGATGAAAATGTTCTTTTTACTTTTTCCCTTTCGTACATGGTTGCCTTTCATCTTTTATTCACTCGTAGAACCTGCCCCCATTTAGACTTACAGCCACCCTCGCACGAATAAATCTCTGGCAGATTCTTCGACGACCAAATTCATCGCTCATTTCCCAACGCAAAACCTGTTTCCACGGTCGTCAGCAAATAATATGCCACATCATGTGAAACTTTTGACTTACTTCTCAAAAACCACCCCCAGCACCTCTTCCACGTCGCCGGCCTCGCCTTTCCCGGTGATCTTCGCCAGGCACATGGCAGCGGCCCTCAGGCTCTCGGCGGCCAGCACGATGTCCAGCTCCCCTTCCATGTCGGTCTCGCCCTCTTCAACCTCTCTCAGAAACTCCGCCAGATGTGCTGAGCACTCCTCGAGCAGGAGCCTCTGGCGCTCTGTCGCGCCCAGCGATTCCTGCCAGATGGACATGTCGGAAGTGGCGGCGACGCCGTCGAGTTCCGGGACGATGGGTGCGGTCATGTCCTTGAAGATGGAGACGAGACCGGAGAGGAAGGATTGGAGGTTACCGGGGTCGGGCGAAGACGTCGAGGGAGGAGAGGGCGCGGCGGCTTCCTTGCAGGAGATGAAGTGGATACGCTCAGGGGGAATGTCGAGATGCGCGCGGATGGCCGACAGATGCTGCCGTTGCTGCTCGACGCGGCCGGACGATGGCAGCATGTCGGACTTGTTGACGATGGCCGTGACCTGCCCGCCGCGGCTCATGCACTCCCGTGCCGTCTCCACGACCTCCGGGCTCAGCGACACCCCGGACAGCCCCGTATCCGGGTCCTCCTCGACGGAGAAGACGCAAACGACCACGTCCGCCGCAACGGCCCTCTCCTTCGCCCGCCTAATCCCTTCCATCTCCACCGCCCCAACCCTCCCCCGGCTCCCACCAGACGACGCCGCCGCCGACGACGACGACGACGCTCCCCTCAACCCCGCCGTGTCTCCGATCCTGCAGAACCAGCCTCCCAGATCCACCCCCGTCTCAACCACATCCCTCGTCGTCCCCCGTTCCCGACTAACGATAGCCGCCTCCCTCCCCACCACGCGATTCAACAACGAGCTCTTCCCGGCATTAGGCTCACCCAATAGCGCGACGCTGATCCCCCCACGCAACAGCTCGCCCCTGACCGCGTTCCGGGCGTGCGCGTCGACGGCGGCGCGCAGCGCGCGCGCCTGCGCCGCCACCGACGCCGCCAGCTGCGCCGGCGTCTCGTCAAAGTGCTGGTCCTCGGCGAAGTCGATGAGGGCCTCGAGCTCGCCGCGGGCGAGCAGCAGCTGGCGGCGCCAGCCGTCGTAGCGCGCCGCCAGCCGCCACGCCGACGACGACGCGCTGCCCCGCACCGCCAGCAGCCGCTGCTGCTCCGTCGCCGCCGTCAGCGCGTCGCCCAGCGCCTCGACCTGCGGCAGCGAGAGCCGCGCGTTGAGGTACGCGCGCCGCGTGAACTCGCCCGGCTCGGCGTAGCGGATCCAGGCGCCGGCGTGGGGGCGAGGGGAAGGGCGGCATTTGGGGATGGAGGAGAGCACGGCGCGGACGATGGCGGGGCCGCCGTGGACGTGCAGTTCGAGCAGGTCTTCGCCGGTGACGGAGTGGGGGCCGCGGAAGAAGAGGACGAGCGCGCTGTCGAGGATGGCGGATTCCGGGGGCGGCGAGGGCGCGGTGGGGTCGTAGAGGGTGCGGAGGGCGGCGTGGCGAGGCTGGGGGAGGGGCTTGCCGGGGCAGAGGGAGTGGTAGATCTGTGTGAGATTAGCATGTCAGCGAAATATGGCGAGAGGGAAACGGTATGGATCGTGGCGTACGTCAATGCATGCTGACCCGGAAACCCGAATGACGGCAATGGCGGCCCTTCCAGGAGCGGTGGAGAGGGCGTAAATGGTCGGCTCGTCGCTTGTCTCTTCTGCTGCGCTGCTATGCAGGGAGCTTGCCGCCCGAGCTTGCAAGATTGGCGGAGGCCGGCATGGCGCAATTGCCACGGCTCGGCTTGCGTGATTAGTCCATGGTGATAGGGGTCGTGTGCGATGCGCCCATAGAAGGAGGGCGGGCGGTTTGGTAGAGCGTCGAAGCGCAGCGCGACGGAGAGGAGTCATGGTCGTGCAAGGCGGGCTGCCAAAAACGCGGAGCGTCAAATCGGACTCGCGCGGCCCAAGCTCCTCCACTCTCCGACGTCATCCTGTCCATCCTGAATCCTCGTCGGCCAGTAATTCAAGCTTCTAGCTTTACAGCATCGAGACTTCGTGGATATCTGAGACGACTTCCGTGGTAGAAGCAAAATTGGAGTGCTCAATTGTTTCCATTGACACAGCCAGTCCAGATTTTAGATATCTTCTTTGCTTCCAGCACTGAGGTACGAGTAGTAGCTCGCATTCTCTTCCCTTTCGTTCACGAATGATTGAAGGGATGACATAGTCAATATACCACTACACCGAGAGCGGTACAAAGTGACAATCCAACACAACAGTCTCACCCCTTCCCCTTCCACAAAGGAAAAAAGCCAACGCACCCAAGCCCGCCGCAAGCGCACCCCCCGCTACCGCCGATCCCGTCGCCTGCACCTACATCGTCAAGTTAACCTTCGTACCCACCATGCCACCGCGGTTAGTTGACGCGAGTTCGCCGTTGAAGAAGCTAGAGTGAGCCTGAAAGCACCAAACTCTCTATGGTAGCCAAAGGTCGGGGACTGTTTACGGCAAATTGCTAATGTTCTTGCCTCCGATGGTCGCAATGGCAAGAACACCTGGAACCGCCACGTCTGGTCCAGTGACGTCCTCAGTTGTGGGCTTGGTGTAATGATTGCCCACAACTACGGTATTGACAAGCAGCCTCATGGGAGTCAGCTGGTTTTCAGCAATGTTGTTCTGGGGAAGAACGGCTGTGTAGTAGTCGCAGATGGACATATTGGCAGGGCGCCGTGCGAAAACGCTGTCTGCGAGGGCAAATGGAATAATCGGAATTTTGAGACGCATAGCTGGGTGATGCTTGTTCTCTTCTGAAAATGGGAATGCACTGGTGGAGAGTTTGAAAAAAGGAATGACAGGATGATCAATGTTTGGAGGGAATAGGCCTCCGTCAGCATTCTCACCGAGCTCCCCAAAAACGCCACACTGTACTTGCACTTCGTACTTCCATGCACCTGCTCGTATAACAATCGTTACCCACCTCGTAAATCCTCAGTATCGTATATGCACCAGCCCATGACCATTTTTTTTTTAACTCATCGCCTCGTCCTGCCTAGCAGCCTCCATGCGGGCGTCTGTTCATTGTCGGCTGATCACCATCTCTTCTTTCTCCCTGACCCTCACTCCAAGGCCCTACCCAACCTCCTCCTGAACACCACCCAACTCTCGCTCCACCCTCTACCTTTCTCCTTCTCCTCCCGTCCTATCCTCGCAAACGCCGCGGCCGTGCCGATGCCGATGGCGAAGAGGGGGTCGAGGCGCCTAACGAGAAGAAAAAAAAACCAATATGTCAGCTACACTACAGCCGGAGAGCATCCGGTTTGAGTAGAACCCCGAGGGGAGAGAAAAAAAAATGGGATGTAAAATCGGGAGGCCATGAAACGAGGGGGAGAGAGACACAACGTACTTGGAGATGATGTAATGGAGCGACATGTTGCTTGCTATGTTTTGCGACGTTTCCTCTTCTCCTTCTCCGGCTCGGCGCGCGCGCCTTCAATAAATATGACAAAAGGCTATGCCCTGGTTGGTAGGGAAACGGGTCTCGGGGAAGGGACGCGCAGTAGGCTTGAGCACGGGCGCGCCTGCACGCTACTCTTTGTCCAGTGACTTCGTTGGGCGGATCGCGCGGATCGCAAGGTTCTCGACCAAAACGCGTGTGGTAGCGACGTGGGGGAGGTGCAAGAGGAAGAAAGGTGTGGAGCGAAATGAAGCTTTGCTGATGAAGCTTGCCGCGGCCGGTGCCCGGATGTGGCCAGGGTTTAGTTCGGACGACGCAATGCGGGGGAGGGGGAGGGGAGGAGAGGAGAATCGGCTGCGGTGCGGTGCGATTGCGGAAGTGATGAGGCGTTTCGGGTGCGTTGGGAAGGAGCGTGCGCACGCCTGAGCAAGCTGTCGACGTAATGAACCCAGCCAAGGGAGCTCTGGCCTGTCCCGCAACCCCTCCGGGCGGCTCTTTCCCCTGGATCGATCAATCATAGATTCGTCGATTGCGGTCACCGGACCGCGCCATGGTCACGGTCATGGGCTCTCCCATCGCAAGACAAGTCACGAGCCATCACGGTTGCACGTCGTTCGCATGCATGTTCTGGTCATTGAGCTACCGCGAGTACTATGAGCAGCTAAAGCTCCTATCCGAACGCGAACGAGCCTAGAGGAGTGCGACATCCCCATCCGGACAGGCACTTCAGCTCCGCTCGGAAGGTGAAGGAAAACGGGAATCACTCTGGTCGTCCATCACGCAAGTTGCTCGTATTGCTGTGTTGGCCACCGACTGCAGCATTGGTGGATTTGCCTGGCGGCCGTACAGTCTTTGCCCTCCACAGCCAGTACTTCGTGCAGGCGACTCACGCCGTCCGCCGTCTTCGTGATGCATGAAACCCATCAATTTCCGTCAATAGCCAAGAGTTATCGTAGAATGAGCTCTGAAAAGAACATAAAGAACATCACCGAAACGCCATCTGTCAAGCGCCATATCGAGTTGCAGAGCCCCGAGCTTGTCCGTCTGTGCCGTGCTGCCGTTGGGAATGGAATCGAAACCGGTTGTGAACGTGGCAGGCGTGGGGGGGCGTTCAGAACGCTTCGCCGAACGTGTTCTCACCCGAGTAGCTGTAGCAGGCGCGTCAGTGACTCATCCAGGCGAAACGCGGGGCCGGGTTAGAGAGAGTACGTACGTGATGTACAGGAAGCCGTCCTCGTCCTTGTGCTCTTCGTAGATGCTCGACATCAGCGCGGCCGTGGGAGGAAGGACCTCGTCGACGAAGATGAAAATAGCCTTCTCGGGCGACAGCTTGATGCGCTTGCGGATGACGTAGACGAACTGGCCGACCGTCAGGTCCGAAGGCACCAGGTACTTCTTCTTGTCGATGGTCGCGATGTCCGACTTCTCGACCTTCTCGCAGATGACCTAGAGAGATACTATCGTCAGAAAGGCAACCGCTCTGATCCTCGGTGACGAGCGACACGGATGGCAAGGGGTAGCGCTCACCGGAATGCGGTCGTTGTACTTCTGGCGGATGCGCTCAGCCTCGGCCTTGCGCTTCTCGAAAGGGTGCTCGTCCTTAAACTTGGAGCGCATGGTTGTGGTGGTTGTGGAGTGTTGATGTGAGGTGGTTGTGGAGGTCGTGTTGTGCGGTAGGTCGCGGGAGGCGGGGAGTGGTTGTGAGGTGGAGGTGAGGCGAGGCGGAGAAGAGGTCGCAGGCGATGTTGAAGTGGGCGCAGGCGCTGGGCGGTGAGAGGTAGAGGGGCAGGTGCCTAGCACTCGCGCAAGAGCCAGTCAGGGAGTGTGCCGGGACCAGTCAGACGATGGCCAAGATAAGGAAGCTGAGCCTTATAAATGCGCCTCTGGGGCGTTGGGACTGGTTACCATGGTCATGTGGCGCGCTCTTTGTCCCTGCGGTCTTCCATACGTCACGCCCTGCTGCCTGCTGAAGCCTTGCGCGCTCACCGGGCACCGTCACTTGTACACGACTCCGCCGCAGCCACAGGCCCGATGAATCACCGCCCGCTGGGCAACTCAGCCTCCCACAGCCGCAGGTGGCAGCGTCAAGTCGCCGCCGCCGCTGCAGGACATCAAGGTGGAGCCTACGGCCACCACATTCACGGGCAGGCTTGGCGCGCCCACTTCGCGGCCTGAGGCGCCGGGGATCGGCGCGGGACCCCGCGTACCTGCCTGCCGTCGCAGCGGCGCCGAAGCACAGCTTTTTTCCTCGCGCGCCGGAACCTCCACCAAGTCGCTGCCTTCTTTGGCCATTCCCCGTTTGCAAGAAGCCCGTGGAAGAGGACCGTGCGGCTCGCTGCCTCGCATCATCCCAAGCCCCGCTCCAACCCACCCCGCGCCAAGCCTTGCTGTTCTTTCGTCCTTCGTCAAGAGAATAAGACTGTCACCCGGCACGCACGGGACGCTACTGTGGGCAACGGAATACCAAGCTCGGGCACAACAAACATGACGGAGCAGCACCACACCCGCATCAGCGTGCTGATCTCAGGCAGCGGCTCCAACCTGCAAGCCCTCATCGACGCGACCAAGGACGGCCGTCTCCCCAACTGCTCCATCGTCCGCGTAATCTCGGACAAGAAGGCAGCTTTCGGCCTGGAGCGCGCCAAGCAGGCCAGCATCCCGACCCACTACCACGGTTTCCCGCCGTACAAGGAGAAATTCCCCCAGCTGCCGCGCCAGCAACAGCGCCAGGAATTCGACCGCGACCTGGCGAAGCTGATCCTGGCCGATGAGCCGGATATCGTAGTCTGCGCTGGTGAGGCAATCATCTGCCCTGCCCTGCCCTTCCCTGCCCTTCCCTGTCCTCCTTCTGGTCCCCCCTTCTTTGCTTGCGTTGAGACTTTATCGTGGAAAAGAAAAAAAAAGGGAATTGCCGTATGATTAATTTACTATTTCAATGTTCATGTAGGCTACATGCTCATCCTAACCGAGCCGCTCCTCCAAGCTCTCGTGGATGCAAAGGTGCCCATCATAAACTTGCACCCCGCGCTGCCCGGTGAATACAACGGCGTGAGTCGCCCACCATCACCCACCACGAGACTTCTCAACACTAACCACTCTCTCTGATCAGACTCACGCCATAGAGCGTGCTCATGCCGACTGGAAAGCCGGCAAGATCACTCGCACCGGAGTCATGATCCACTATGTCATCCTGGAGGTGGACATGGGCACGCCGATCCTGACCAAGGAGATTCCGTTCGTGGAAGGCGAGGACGACAAGCTCGAGGTCTTCGAGGACAAGCTCCACAAGATCGAGTGGGGTGCCATTGTGGAAGGTACCAGATCGGCCATCGAGAGGTTGTGGGTGGAAAAATCCAAATGATACGTCTGAGTTGTGTGTGGTGGACCACCGGAGCGTCATTCCGACAATCATTCCGAGGCCACCACGACATGGAAGACAGTGTCGGGGAGCCGGAATAACGAACGAAAGCCCACGAAAATAAAATTTGGAGGGATACCTGCGTGAAAGTCGTATTGCAGACATGCAAAGTAAAAGAATCCGCTCGTACAGTGAGGTGAGGACAGCTTTTGCTACGAGACGCAAGACGTCGAAGCATAGCTCCATAATGATAGGAACATCATCGAAAATTGATAGTTTTGATTCGCCTTTGGTAACCTGATTCGCCCCTCCGAACGGGAGTATTCCTTTTGGGTATCACTGAGCAGCCATTCTTCAAATAGACCATGACCTACCCCTCCGATTTAACGATGCTGTCCAAGACAGCCCCTCATCCCTGGTGAGCTCCCTGACAATTTCCACCTGCAACCAAGCCTTGGTGAGCTGCTTGTTGGTGTCGGGTGTGATATCTGGGAGCAGCCTTGGCACCAGGTGGTAGTGACCAAAGACGAACCTCATCAGGTCTTCGGGACCTAATCCTGAAAGCACTTGCAATGTAAGCTCCGTGGGGAGCGGCCACGCCCCGAAGATGGCGAGTGGGCCACGCTGTGGCGACGGAAGCGCAAGGCCTCTGCAAAGCGGAGCATACACACGCCAGGTCATAGGGGGTACAATCATCTTTGCTTGAAGTGCAGGGTAGGCGGCAAAGGCAAAGTTGATGACGCTAGCAGGCTCCATGTATTTGATAATTAGCAGAAGAAGCTCCGTGGGAAGTGCAACGAGCGATGGGTCAACGACGCGCGCCATTGTGCCGCAGTTGTTCACGAGCTGTAGAAGCACCTGCGATGCAGGTACGCGTCAGGGAATCCGTCAGTCATAGACTAGAAATGCGTTGCCAGAGAGCTCTCTCAAGCTCCGGTTGGCCAACACAGGCAGCTTTTTTTTTTTTTTTTGCGCTCGCGGCCTAAGAACTTTGGCGCGATTTCTCAAGTGAGCAAATGCGGCAGTCCCCGTATATGACTCAATCCGTGTGTGGCTTTATTGACTCGATGGCAGAGGCCCAGTTGACGATGAACGACGAGAGGAACCAGGCCCCAACAGCAAGCGCGATGATGTATACGCCCGTCGGTATGAGCGATCTCGGCACGGCGTTAAGGATGTAAGGGTCAAGAACTGAAGATGCGTGTCAGCAGATGTCTAACCGTGCTGCAGGGCATGTCCTTACTAATGTCCACCTTCACATCCGGCGGGCTGCTCATTCGTGTCTTGTTCAGACTGTAGAAGTCGGCGGCAGCCTGGATGCGAAGGAAGAGAAGCGAGGTGGATGTTTCGGCAGCCTCGGTGGCCCTTCTGTCGTCGACAATGAGGTTGGCCTCGGGAATGTTCTCCGAGAAGCTCGCGAGGGACGTGATGAGCTCTGGTGTGTCGAAGACGTGGGTTATGGGGTGTGCGTCCAGCCAGAAGGAAGTTGGTTGCTGTGACACGGTCAGCACAGTAAAACAGGCTGGTTCTCTCCGGCGGACGTACTGTTGCCGCCCAGCAAACACGGACTTCGTATCTCTGGCCGGGGGCAAGCTCGGTGAGCAGGTACCAGGAATCGAAGCCGCGTGGCGAGTCGTCGGACGGGAAGGCAACGGGCAGGTGGGCGCGCAAGACGTGGGCGAAAGGTGAAAGGCTGGCTAAGCGGAGGTCTTGGAGGCCAGGGCGGACATTGGGGACAGCAACGGCGGAGGGCGCAACAAAGACGGTCTTCTCAACGTTTGCGAGAGCAGCCGGAAGCAGAGCGACGAGGGCCGTCAGTAGGGCGAGGAGAGGGCGGATGGCGGCGGGTAGCATCTTCACAGCTTGCGCAAACAGACTCGACCGCAGCACTTGCAAGCTGCGGGCATGGCGAGCTGGTGATGTCGTTGGTGGGCGCGGGAGCCGTCTGGAGTGACGATCTGCCGCCCGGGTCAAGCTCGGCTAATCCCCTCACTACGACGCCCGCCCTAACGGGCAACTGCGACTGGCAATCAGCAAGCAGTCCCGAAAAGGCAGCGGTAAGCGGGCTCGAGGCACTGGCACAAGTCATTGCGGGAGCAAAGTCGCACGAGATTCCTGATTATTATATCTCGTGTCCTGTCCGCTCGGCGAACTGCAGCCTCGGGTTGCCATCTAAATCTACCCCAATCTCAATCCAATTTTTGGCCGACTGCCACACGGCCGCTGAAGGCCCAGCAAACAGCAGGGGCAGCTGATGGCGGAGCATGCCAGTACGATGGCTAGGGGGTCATAAGGAAGTCGTCAATCAGAGAAGGATCGTAAAGGGTCGGAGGCGACTGTGGACAAAGGAACGGGAGAAACCCCCCAACGACTGAAGGAGGGGGAGAAAAAAAAAAAAAGAGAGAGCGAGATGGCGCGCACCAGTGCCGCATCGTCGCCAAGGGGCAGATATCCAAAACCGAACATGAAACACACACACACTGCCCCCTCGAATCCGAATGCTCGAAAAACGCCTGTGTCGGGGAGAATTGCCCAAGGAAATAAGCGCCGTCACTCCACGCCGCCGCCCTGCCGGATATCCTCTTTGACCAGTTTCCTGCAACCCATAAGACCCACAATGCTATAGTACACTGACTCGATCCTTGAGTCATATCCACTGCTGTGCCGGCGCCTCGGGCATGCCACTGCGCGCCGCCGAGTTGCTTCTCTTCATGGTGCCGCTGCGTAGATCCACCCATCTGGGCGAAGCTGTGCGCTCCGGTGGTGTGGCCGCCCTGACGCGCTGCGGGCTGCCAGCGCTCACGGGGGTTGCAGTGCTTTGCCTGTCTCCGCCACCGCTCCAGCCCCTCTCCGCACCCGATGCCGGCGGCGTAGGGGGGAGGACCTTGTTGCGCGCGCTCTCAAGGTAGCGTTGGCTGTTCTGCGGGTTGAGGATGGTGAAAGACTCAAACGATGAAGGCGCGCCGCTGTACTCGGAGCTGCCGTCGTTCGACTCCTCGTCCTCCTGGAAGCGTGTGGATGCCGGTGAATACGGCGGGGCAGGCGCAGCAGACATAGCAGGCCCAGACTCTTTCTCGGCCCCCTTTGTCTCCGTCGACGCCGTCGACGCTGGTGTAGGCGGAGGCAACGACGGTGGAGGCCCTGATGGGCCCGGCGTACCGGCCGATTGCTGCCGCGTGTGGCCGAGTGGCTTGGACGCGAAAAGAGGAGCTGGTGTAGCCCCGGGTACTGAGAGACCCAGGCTCTCAGCGGATCGGGTTGATTCCCGCACTGGTGGTGGAGGAGCCAGCTGGGGGGGAGCCAACTGGGGAGGAGCCAACTGGGGAGGAGCAAATTGGCGGTTGATGCCGTTGCTGCTGCTGCCACCCATCATCGCGGCGGGCGCCATCGACAGTCGCAGACCAATTTGAACGGTCGCACTGCTGTCCAGGCTGCTGTCGCGGCGATGGGATGAGGGGCGGGCGAACGGAGGCATTGGAGGAAGGAGGCCCCGGTATGCCTCACCCACGTCGGTCACGGACGGCGCCATCGATGCTCCCCGTCTTCCAGTGTCTAATGAAGGCTTGCGGCTGTCGCGAGCATTTGAGGGTTGGAAAGGGTTGTAGACGGTTGCGGGAAGACGCGGGGTTTCGTCCACGGAGGCTCGGTTGGGAAAGAGTGTATAGGTCGGGGTTCGCTTGTCTCCAGACGGCTTGCGAGAGTGTCTACTGGCGAGGGTAGTCTTCTTCAAGGGTTCGAGAGGAAGTGGCCAGGCGGAGAGTTTTGATCCGATTGACTGTTTGGACTCGCGGTTGACGAGAATGGTAGGGAGCTGGGGTATGTAGGTCGCCTCAGGGTCGGAAGGTCGCCGGGAGGTTTGTGGAGAATTGTAACTGAAGTCATAGCTGCTCTTCTCTGGCCTGTTGGAGTAGTAGTCTTGCATGGCATAAGCGCGGTCCTTGGCTCCGCCCACAGGCCTGCTGATAGTCATCTCCAGGTCACTGGGGCCGAAAAGACGGAGGCGGACGGCCCTCTTGTTTTGCTTCCACGGAACGCCCACAGGTTTGATGATCATGCGGGTCATGTTGACGCGAAGGAAAAGATGAAGGAATGCGATGAAGATTCCAGAAGAGAATAGGGCGATCTCCGCGACTCGAGAGCTTGTAAACTTTTCGTCGAAGTTCATGAGGTAGGCTTGGACAAAAAACGGAACAACCAAGGCCTGCGGCAAGTTCTTGTTAGCCTTGAGTCGCCAGGAGAGAGTAGACCAACTCACGTGTTCAACAAAAGCAAAAATCAAGTACCAGACCATCCTCGACGCCGAAACTCTCTCGTCGGCATCAAAATTGGGGTCGTAGCGAAGCTTGAGGGTAATGAGTGAGCCCGAAACAATGTAGCCGGCGAGCAAGACGGCAAGTAGCGGTAATAGGACCCGGCGATAGGCGAAGGGGATCCAGATGAGCTCTCCAAAACACAGGTTGTTGCCGGGCCAGACAATCGTGGGTATCCATGTGACGAGGAGACATCCAACAATGGCCAAGGCACAGCCGGTGACGGTCCATTTCCCTCGCGGAATCGACCCTTTGAATGCACGAATGGTAGTCTCGATGCCGAAGACGAGGTTCACGAAGCCGACGAGAAGGACAGCTAGAGGCGCACGTTAGCTGATGATTGACGCGAAAGCGAGCTCAGGGGGGGCTTACTAGGCAAGACGATCTGAACAACACCACGGCAGCTGTGTTCAAAGAATCGATCGAGATTTCCAGACTGCACAGCAATCATGATGACCATCTGAACCATCAACCCGAGGGCGAGAGCCAGTGGGAAGACTTCGGCGGTGTGTATCGATCTCAACCATTCGAGTTTCCTGGAGAGTCAGCAACTGATGTGGTGTGTTTGTGGTCGACCTGTGGGCTCCTCACCTCGGCCTCAAAAGCACCTTCAACTTGGCAGCCCTCCAGCCGTCGTACAGGATGCGCATCACCATGATTGTGGCGAAACCCAGACTAAAGGCGCCGAGCACAACGTGCATGCTGCGTAAGGTTTTTTGCTGGCTCAAGACCAGTTTTGTGATTTCCTGGCGGGTCTCATTGAACTCGGCGGCAGAGACCTGGAAAACCATGGACATGTTCATATTGGCGTTGGCGTTGGCGTTGGCGTTGGCGTTGGCGTTGGCGCTGGCGCTTTGGAAAGCGCCAGGGAAGCTGCGTTTTACTCCATCCATCTGCAATCCATCTGTAGGTGGGCAGGATAGGCTCGGGAAGATTTGCCAAAGCGCTGAAGACCTGCAGCGGTGAGAGGGAAGAAACAAAAGCATTAAACAGTGGGTAAAAAGTCAAAAGAGCGGCAGAGAAGGTTGCGCCTGCTTGACCTTCATCCAGCTGCCAACTCGCCTGTACCAGACAGCAAAGAAACAGAAGTCAGAGAGACGAAAGAGAGACTGACACTTGCCACTGCAGAAGGGCGGCATGAGGCATATGAGGCACAGAGACAGCCATGAGACCGAAGTGGCCGCAGGTCGAGGGTTTCGCGTCAGCGTCAGCAGCCCCGTTCGGGCAGTGGAAGAGGAGAGGTGGTCCGGGCAATGGCTGGACCAGGGAAGCCGAGCGATGCTGGCGGCCGCAGTTGCAGGGTCCGAGGCGCCACCCAGGGCGGAGCTGATGCATGGCCAGGCCCGGGAGGGGGCATGATGGGCGGCTAGCCGTGTCTCCGATGATACGCTTATCTGGACACGCCTTTCTCGAAGGGGGATATTCACGGACCCGTCGATCCGTCAGAGATAGTTCCGGGTTGCGAGTCTTCTGGACCAGCATCAAGCAAAAGACTGTGCAAGAAGCAAGAGAGCGGGCACGCGGTAGAAGCATCTCCAGGCGGGGCCGATTGGCAGAAAACGGGCACAGGCAGTCATGGCAGTCATGGCAGCGGAGCGGTTGAGAGACTGCAGCGTGACATCAGAACTGGAGGGTTGCGGGTCGGTTCTGGGGGTGAAACGGGAGCGATCCGGAAAGACGCTGGGGCGGAACTCGACGAACTCCCAAGCCTGCCATAACGGGCGACGTATGGGACGAGCCGGCGGAGCAAGAGCAGAACGGGCAGGCAGGGCAGGCAGGGCTGATGGTGGGCGGTGTTGATTGGTGCAGCGATGAGACGGCTCCTGTGGGAGACGGCGACACTTGGCGCCCCGGCGAGCCTTAACCGCAGATCCGCGCACATCGCAGCGGCGGGAGCGCCCAACCGGCCGTCAATCCAGATCCCATGGGCAGGACCCACAACGGCCATGTGCAGAGGGAATCCAATGAGGGGGAGCGACGCGGGCGAAGCGCCGCCAGCGAGGCCATGTGGCCATGGCAGTGGGGCCGGAGGGCGTGAGGCTTCACGACGCGCTCAGAAGAAGCCGCACGAGTATCAAGCAGTCCAAGAATAGCTGGCGCAGATTGGCCACACGAGCGGTCGGCGCGGGCTGGTGGCCGTGAGGGGAGCAGCAGGTCGCAGGCGGGCGCGAGTGAGTTGGCGGGCGGAGGGTTTCAGAGTGTCGGGTGCTGCAGCCTGCGCCATCAGCGCCCCCAGCGCCCTCAACACCAGACCCACTCGCGTCGTCTCGCCCCGGCCAACCGTCCACGCCAGCACCATCGCACCATCGCACCATCGAGCCTGTTGTCCTCGCCGCGAGCTGTGGCCGCCCTGCCTTTGCTCCGCTCAAACAAACACCTGTGAGTCCGACCACCTCGTCCAGTCGCTTTCCCATGGCTGTTCTCTATCGCGATCTGCAAATCCCCCGATGCCCGCATGGGCCCTGCAACCGGCCCAGCCTCCTCTTCCGTCTCCAATATTCGCCATGAATCGTGTCCACATGATCAAACCGCGCGTCCGTCGCCTTCGACCTATGCGCTGCACACATCTCGTCGAGGCGAGATCAAAGCCAGAGGAGCGCGAGGTTTTGAGACGCGATACACCATCAATCCCCGACATCTGCCTCCCACGGCCATCCACGTGGTTGACGAGGCGCCGTTAGCTGTGTCATGTACGGCACATCACAGCCACTCCACACTTGTTAGCCGTGGCTATCAATCCACGCCCTTCTTTTAGCCTGCAGAAGCCTGACTGTTTCACATGAGGTACACGAAACCTATCCAGCGCATATCGCAGATGATAGCGCATCCAAACTTTGACGCCCGAAACTAATTCTCGACCCACCGCCTCCTTCTCGTTGCAAATCTCCTCGACTTCCACCCGCTTCGATCATGAAAGTTCAACAGTGACTTGCTGGCAGCTCTTGCTTGGACGAGACCCGAGGATGCTTATTATCCAAGCCGTCTGACCAGCAGCTTCTTGTTGACTTACCCCGCATCATGGCCGGGCGAGCCGCAGTGGTTGTGGCTGTCTAACCTTCAGCCAATATGAAGCCGTAGCGGCTAATGTGGCTGGAACGGATGGCGTAGGGCGCCGGTATTTCGCCTCATCATATGTGGGAAACTCCATCAAGTCCACATTCATGTGTAACATTGTTGAAAACGTATCTTCAATCATGGAGCTTGTGTATGTCGTCTGAACGGATGGTCTTCCCAAAAAGGAATGGTGGTTTGCACACGGACCGCGCAAAAAATTCCTCTGCACCAAAATACAAAACGTACAACAGCCGGGATTCCCCAATGGTCACCCACTTGAGTACTAATCGGCCGGTTCGCAGCTTGAGTACGGCTGAGCGGACGGGAAGCCCTATATTCTGCGACCTATGGTCGTACGTGGCAGAACAAGCCGCTAGCAAAGATTATGACTACAAGTTAACAGACTGTTGACTGCCTCTCGACTGCATTGCCAGTATTCGTTGATAAGCCCTGTATTTCGATGGTGCTATATTTTATCTAAAATCTATTCCTGCTTCTTACTCCTGGGTGAACCAGTGCTCTACGGAAGAGCCAAATCAGCCAGCCTGTGAACCACGACGTATGTTCCAGCCTACACTGATGTGCGTCTCATAAACCTGAAACTTGTCTTGCTTTTTTTTTTTTTTTTGCTTGTCCATCACGGGCCATTTTGCCCACCGTACCCTCGCTGTCCGTTCATCTCATTTGCGTACTCTTGTTCTAGCTCTTGGTATGTCTGGCTGTTTTGCTGAGCTGCCATCTGACGGTTGTGCTCCTGTCTGCGCCTTCTCTCTTCCTCCTGTTCTTCTTTCTTTTTCTTACCTGCATGCAAGCGTGAGAAAGGGGTCAGAATGAACGAGGCTGTTTCCTCTTACTTACCTCCCGAAGAAGCAAACCGAAGCATGAAGCACCCCGAATACCTGGGACTCGCGCGGAGAATATCGTTCTTCTTGATGGTCTCCTCCCCGATAATGACATCGCAAGGCAACTGGTTGAACACAATGAACCCGTCATGCCAAAATATGTTGTCGTCGTTCTGAATGCTCCAACGGGTGAAGATCAGCCACTCAGGCATATGGACCGCGCCGTTGGCGACCTCTATCGGCTCGCCGCAGTACCTGTGGTAAGACTGGGCAACCTCGCGGGCGGCGGGCGGCGAGATGAAGTTGCAGTCGGCGCCCGTGTCCAGGCGCCCTTCGAGGCTCAGTTGCTGCCGGTTGCAGTCCAAGAAGAGGAACAGCGTGTCCTTGCGCTTCTTCACCTGCCTCTGAGATGCGCTGCGGCTTGATTCCGCCCGCGACGAGGGGGGGCCGCGACCCGTGCCGATTTGATGCGGCTTCAGGTACGTGTTTAGTGCCTGCTGCCACTGGGCTCTCCGCGCCGCCATGTGCAGGTTGGTGGGCTGCTCTTCGTACTCTGGTTCATCCTCTGAAGTATCCTCTGTCGCGTCGGACTCTTCGTATCCGTCTTGTTCCGGACTCTGCATTCCACTCGAGGGTGGCATCGGTGCAGGAGGGGGGATGCTGGGTGGAGGCGTCTCCGAGCTGCTGTGGCCGGCCGTTCTGCCTGGCTCCTCGGCCCGCCTCTGGCTGATGGGAGTCCGACATCTTTCTTCGAAGTCCATGACGTCGTACGGCGGGGGTGGGCCGTTGAACATGGGCTTGACTTGGAAGACATTGTAGGGGCTGTTGATTTGGCTGTGGATGCCCGTCTGTCTGATGACTTCCTCGACAGACGCTGTCTTCTGCTTGCTGGACTCGGTCGCGGCCATAAGCCGTAACACAGCAGCCTCGACTGCTTCAGCGAAGATGCCAGCCGCGACCGATGAGTCTGGTGAGAAATTGTGGTCCTGCGCACTCGAGGTCGAAACACTCTTGCGCTCGGGAGCATCTCGTAGGCGAGCTGTTCGGGGTGGTTTGGAGGCTTCGTTGGAGCTCGCTAGACTGGAGTCAGCGGGAAACGATGCGTTTGCATGGCTACAAAGGGGGGTATGTTACTGTCTGGTTGTGGTCTCCTTGGCTTCTGTATTTTGCTGAGTCTCACCATACAACCGTCTTTGACCATGACTTCTTTAGGCTTCAGAGTTGCAACGCTCTGCTCAGCACGCACACATGGTGGTGGAGAGTCTGGACGGGCCACAGCTCGCTGGGATGCTCGTTCTTGCGCATCCGACTCGGGCTCGGGCCCAGTCAGGGCACTTGACGAGTGCGACTGGGCGCTCTCTGCCTCGGGCGCGGCCGCTTTCTGCGCCCTTCTCACCTTCTTCCATTCCTTATCGAGTGTGTCAACAGAGTTGACTCGACCCAGATGACTGAGTTCGTCTGTACACTCCACGACAACTTCAGTGCCATAGTCGATGCGTGACAGTTGGTTGAGCACCTTGGGGCTTTTGTCAATGGTTGCTTGGATGGCGGCTTTCCGCAAATGGCGCTCGCGCCACGCCGGATTGGGTGGCTTGATGCCCGTGTAGATGATGGAATGCTGGCTCTGACGCGCACGGTCGAGCTTCGTGGTTGCATGGCCGCCATTCGTTGTGACGGGTCTATTCGATTAGTGGCCACTGCGTCTCGAGGCGGAAACAACTCACAGGCAAATCAAGCTGTCGTCGCGGACGTCCACAACAACTTTCCTGCAGAACTTGGTCTCGCCATTCGATCCGGGTTTCGCGATTGGGTGAAAGAAGATCTTGCAAATGTCTTCTTAGCAAAGCGCTCGGAAAGTAGCATCAGATCTGTCACATACCGTCCCGGGCGGGAAGGAGCCTGGAGCTGGCGCCTTTGGGGAGTGGATGCGCGGTTAGATCAACTGCTCAGCTAGAATGACAGCGGAGGGCGGACTGATGATTGCTAGACATACCACAGAGCTCATCGGAACGAGCGGCCGAACCAGTCGATGCGCCGCTGCAGCTGCGGGTGCATCACGATCCGGTCATGAGAGTTGGACCCGCCCTGTTGACGCGGGGACGAGAGGTGGAGCATCACTCGCCAGTGTAGCGGACGAACCTCAAGGGAAGGCATGCGGGGGCGGAGCAAGCGAGGCTGAGAGAGGGGTCGAACAGAAGGCTGGGCGATTATGAGTCCGACACGTCTCTGAGCCTCATTGGAAGCGCTGCGGTGGGAGCCTAGCTTGCAGTCATCCATCTCGCTCCGGCCCCAGCAAGTGCGTTGGGCTCACCGGCCGGATCCAACGGCGGAGCATCCACCGATGTATGTACACGTGCATATACTCGGAGGAACAAGGCAGAGTTTTAGTGTGGCGTTGCTGAGAGTGGTGGTGCTATCGAATGATTCCGAGGCGGCGTATACACGTACTTCAACACCATGACCCCCGGGAAGGACTTCTCACGGACGAATACCGTCATACCCCAGAAAACCCCCTACTGTACGACAAGTTCCCGAGCGAACGTGGTCAGTTTGAAGGCAGCGCAAGACCCACAATCATCAAGACTGCCGCACGGCTGAACACTGGTTTCTGCAAAAATGACGGCATATGGGGTTACACCAGGCGGGGTTGGCCACCGAAACAGAGTCTATCCCGAGAGAGGATGCTTGCAGGTGATGACCTGGCGTGCAGCGGCCCGAGTTTCCTGTATCGGGAGCTTAAGCGATGCCGGGGGGCCCGCAAGGCTGAACTTGGGATTCTCTTAATCAAGGGATGGCCCCCAAAACACCTGACGGACTCAGTACCCGGAACAATCATGTCGAGTGGGATGAAGGAGCTCCCCATCCGGAATGGCTATCCCGAACTTGCCAAAATCATGGGGTCGGTTCCTGGAATGGCCCTATTCAAACGCTTCTCCTCATTGAGCGCGCACAACCTTCTGTACAAGCAAGCGGAACTGTTACATCTCGGGGAAAGACTTCAACAAATGGATAGACTTGACCGCAGTAATGGACTAGCCTTCCATAAGGATGCATCCGCCTTCATGCGTTCGGCTGGTGATCCGGGTGTCCAAGGCAGACAAGCACGCATGATGGCCGAAATAGGTGAGAAGCTGAAGGAGTATCGTGAGTACCGGTTTGCCTCAACTCGGACTCGGCCAGAACCACTCACATGTGTTGGCCGACAGATGAAACTCTGCTCCGACACGTACAAGTCAGCAAGCTGGAACGAGCCAATGGCTACGACCTCAACATGCTCAGGGACTGGCTCTTGCGGTGCAATGGAGACGGCATATTTCCAGAGGGCATCGAGGCAAGGCCGTGGGAGAACGACGAAGAAGAGCAGGAGGACCTCGTTGCTCTTTCGAGCCGGAACCATGACGTCTGTACAAAGTGGGTGGCGGAGAAGGTGGTGCCGTGGCTGTACGATTGAGGCCTCCACACAACGAAACGGTGCGTCAGCGGAATCGACGAGGAGGCGGCTCAAACAGGGCTGGTCAGATGGAGGGACGAACCGTACAGGGCCTTATCTCGGACCTTGAGCGTGCTGACATCGACCATGATCCCCTCGCTTGCCGTCATCGTTTTGTACTTCATCCATAATCTTCTGGCACGCATCTTCGCAGCAACCATGTTCTCGGCCCTATTCTCCATGACGTTGGCGCTCTTGACCCAGGCTCGGCCTCCGGAGATCTTTGGAGCCACAGCTGCGTAAGTTTCTCGACCAAGTCGCGAGGCCACCGCAAAGTCATGACTTAATTCCTGGAACAGATTTGCGTCGGTACAGGTGGTTTTCATTGGAAGCACTGGCGTTGAAAAGTGAACGAATCACGTTGCAAGAACATCGAGAGCTCCGTAGCAGTATTGGAGTCTCCCCCATGGCACCAGCAGCGTATTCATCAAGAGGGAATGTAACCCATGACAAGGGAGCATAAGTTTCTTGGGTTTCTACCGCAAACAATGACAAAAAACAGCCTTTGCATAAACACGCTTGTGCGTATGGGGGTATATACAGTCCTCGTCCCGCAACCATCCATATGTGTCGATGCCGCCCCGCGGCTTCCAGATCCAGAAAGTTATCGATTCGTTACAATCTCCCACCCTTCCTCCCTTTCATCATATCCCTCCTTTTCAGTTGGAAATGCCGAATTGGGTGGTGTACTGGTACGCGCCGTTGGCATCGACGACCAGCATGATGCCGTACCCCGTGTCGCCGTTGCTGTCGGGAATCGTGTTGGGCGGGGTCCACGTGTAAGAGCCGTCGTTGGTCGTGTTGCTGACGATGTCCATGTACGGTGCGGCGTTGCTGGCCGGGCCCTTCAGCAGGGTGAGGCTGACGGTGCCGTCCTTGTACGGCGTAAGGTCCCATTTGATCTCGTACGGCGTGCCGACCGGCACCACCTCGTGCAGGCCCGGAGAGCGGACGGCGTTGGCGGTCGGGCCGGCGTCGGCGGCGGGGGCGGGGGCGGGGGCGGCACCGCTAACGGAAGCCAGGCCGGCGCTGACGACGGCGAAGAGGAAGTTCTTGGTGACGTGCATTGTGATGATGAGCCTGGATGTCGACGAGATGTGGTTGGTGTTTGAGGAGGAGAGCAGCTTCCGGGGAACTGGCAGCCGGACGCTCTTTGTAGAGCTACCGCTGTGCTCTCTATTGGTGCACCCGAGCTTAAGATCCATTTTGCTAGCACTCAGCAATGTAACATTGCCGAGCGTTGAATGAAAAGGGTGAAAATAAAGGGGTAGTCGAAGGATCCGCCTAGGGTACGTGCAGCAGATCATAAAAGCATGAACCGTCCAATGGATTCCTACCTTCGAGTCTGAACACTAAGGCAACCGAACACCAATTTTTCTGACTTTTTGAACACGAAGGCCAAGAGTCACGGATGTCTGTCCGGCGTCTTACGGCGGAGTACGGTGCGGTCGCCAATGTGAATGAAACCCATTCTTCACAAACATTTGATACGACACGAAGCTGTAGATACCGATCTCCATGTACATACAGAGAGCTCGTAAAGATGGTCGTGTGATGCCGTCATTTGGGCCGGAAAATCCAGTGCTGGGACTCCAAAGGCAAATTGAGCCATCGGGATTGAATCTGGTCTCGTCAGAAAACTTGGAGGCCTGGTCAGCAAACACGAGCAAACACGAGCAAACGGTTCACGCCCGTGGTAAGGATATTCTGTACTCGAGACCTATAGTTGCACGTGCAGTGGCCGCCGGCGGTTCGTGAATCATACCACTTGACAACCAGCCACGGCGACGTCGCCTGGTGTTGAGAGGCAGAAGTGGATGCCTCTCAAACTTCGGCTAACCTTCTGTGGCTGAGGAAAATGAAACGGGCGATCTGCTGCCCAAAACGGACACGAGAGGTGACGGCTCTTCTTGACAATTTCCTATTTCGATGGTGGCAAGCCGAGTGCCGCTACCCATCATTTCATGCAGCTGACCTGCCGCTTGTTGAGAGTGTCGATCATTCAGGCAAGCCCCGCTGTCGTCGGAAACCCACGTTTCACTGCGGAGAAATACGATGATCCGTCGTGATCTGATACTCGTGATCTCCAGTGATGACGATAGGTACACGGTGCAAGATTAGCAGTTTGGTCGTTGCATTGTACATACACTATCAAACATGTCAGCTGAAGATGTGCTATTGTTTCTCTTTCTTCCCCCGGCTCAACTGGTACATGGGCACCAAAGCTTCTCACAACCTCAAGTCTGCCTCTTAAGCACTGCTCTTGGTCACCTTGGACGCCGCCTCCAGCGCCTGGCCAACCAACGGCTTGGCGTCGGTCGCGATGCTTGCCTCGTTCAAAGGGGTGAGACGGTCCACCCAAGTCTCCCACCGGTCCTCGCAAAAGCCTCCCCAGCCCGGAGCATCCTTGAATATCGACAGACTCCTTCCCGGCTTGGCCATCTTCCCGTCGAATTGCTTCTTCTCCTTGCTCAGTTTCGACAGCGTTTCCGCGGCGTAGACAAGCCACACCGAAGCAGCCTTCAGGCTTGCAGGCTTTGTATCCGTCGCGATAGCATCCTCCTCCGGGTCTTCGAGGGCGGCGCGTAGGATCCAGATGGCGTAGAGGCTGAGGTCGCACACATTGGCGGCGGTCACGCGAGCGTAGAAGGCGTTGAGGTTCACAAAGCTGTCGTCGGGCTTGTCCGAAGCTGAGTAGCACTGCACGTAAGCCGGTCTGGTCATGTTGCGATAAGGTGGCTGACAGGCGTACCGATGTCAAGCCCCTCGCGGGCTTTGGCGCCGAACAGCGGCAGCTGCTCCCAGCGCTGCTCCTCGCCCCAGATCTCGAGCTTCTTGGACTCGTGGGTCGGCTGCGGCATCTCCTTGATGGCGCGCACGATGTCGACCAGCTTGTCCTGCTGGCCGTGCGGCGTCTGCTCGGCGGCGCTGGTGACGGCGGTCCACAGCCTCTCCAGCTCATGCTCGGTCTTGCCCAGGTCGCCGTCCTTCTCGAAGGCGTGGCGGGCAGGGGCAGCGAGCTTGTCGGCAGCTTCCTGAACGGAGATGGCGTCGGGGACGAAAGCAGCAATGATATCGCTCGGGTTGGCGGCCATGGTGGAAAAGTTCAGCGGGCGGTATGGGTTGCGGTGAGGGGAGGTCGTCAGGGCCAATTGCAGGATAAAGGTCCGAGGAAGGCAATTTGGGAGCGATAGAAGCTGGTGAGCTGTTGGCGAGGCGGGGGCCCTGCGGAAGAGTCGGTGACAGGCGCGTTGGAGGGCCGTGGTGGCGGTCAGATGACGTCGCGGACGGACATTGGGCGGGCTGCGCGGGCTGCGCGGGCTGCGAGCTCGAGCCAGGCGAGGTCCGACAAGTCGAGGGGCGTGGAGGAGGGTTTTGGGTGATAGCAACTCGGAGGGTCGCCAATCAGCCGAGATAGATTAGCACATGGTGAATGGTGATGAGGTTGCGGGCTGGGCGAAGGCGGCTGCGGAGGTGAAACAGCCAGCGCCTGCCATTTCCGGCCAAGCTACCCGCGCCGCCGCTGCCGATCCCGACCAGCCCCAGAGCTCGACAGGCTGCGCTGCGCTGCGCTTCTCGTGTTTGACTGGCCGTAGCCGCCGGACGCTGCCTGTTCCTTGACGCGCTTCGAGAACAACCAGCGCGCCCCGGCCCTGCAGCGCCCCGCAGCGCCTCCGCGGCTGCGAACAGCAGGTGCCCTGCCCATCCCGCATCCCGCCCTCCCGCCCTCCCCAGCTTCGCCAGACCTCTGCTGCATCGCCCAGCTCCCGCCTGCTGACGCCTGCCTCACCCAGTGCTCTTGGCTGCTCGCTGTGTTTCCCGCAGCCAATGGCATCCCGCGAAGCCGCCACCTGCCGTCTTCGTTTAGAGGCCACTATTATTCCACTACCTCTTTCATATCTCCTCCGGCGCTACCGAAGTCATGCAGACTTGGCCCAGTTTTAGGGCACCGCCTGTGTATCTTCGTATCTGCTATTCGCCGATTTCGCTCTGGTCATGAGATAGCACCGCGTGGGGCTTCTCGGAGCTCCCCTACCCCAGGTCTGACGGCCTAAGTTGACGTGAGTATAAAACACCCTCGAAACGCGGCCTCGGTCTCATCGAACTGTCCTCCACCAGCCAGCCAAGCCACCTTCATTCGTAGCCAGTCGCCTGCCCAAACAGCCACAATGCTTGTCCTCAAGGTTCGCCCTCCCGCCATTCCTCCGTGTCACGGCCACGTTAACTCTGTGCTTCCAGTCCCTCGTTCCTCTGGCTTCCCTCCTGGGCCTCGCCATCGCCAGCCCCATTGAGAAGTCTGAGGCCAAGCCCCTCGAGGTCCGCCAGTCTGCCACCACCTGCGGTTCCACCTCCTACACCGCCGCCCAGGTCCGCGCCGCTGCCAACGCCGCCTGCTCCTACTACCAGGCCGGCGACACCGCCGGCAGCTCGACCTACCCTCACACCTACAACAACTACGAGTAAGTCCCGGCACCCAATCGTGCACTGTGCCATGTCTTCTGACCATAGTCTAGGGGTTTCGACTTCGCCGTTAGCGGCCCGTACCAGGAGTTCCCGCTTCTCAAGAGCGGTGTTTACACTGGTGGTATGTACTCGCCAGACTCTCCATGTGCTTTGACACCCCCGTCTCTGACGTCTTTTGTTGCAGGCTCTCCCGGCGCCGACCGTGTTGTCATCAGCACCTCCTGTGGCTACGCCGGTGCCATCACCCACACCGGCGCCAGCGGCAACAACTTCGTCGGCTGCTCCGGCACCTCGTAAGCCTGTCATTTTTGGCTGTGAAATGGAAATTTCCATGAAAAGTATCCAGTTATCTGTTGGCCTGAGCATTCAGCGTACTGCGCACGTACATATAGTGGAATGGAATGATTGATGATTTGAGTTGTGACAAGTTCTGGTCCCGATTTCAACATGCCAGTGAGACTTTTTTTTTTTCAACAAACTATCCACGCTCTTTCTTTCCAAAACTTACCCTCACAATTTCAATTTCCCTCGACACCGGACAGTCAACTTTTTGTCCATATCAGTCCGTCAGCCTTCAGGTCGTTGCAATAGAACGGGCACGATGTAGGGCTGGATAGATACTATTCTTTTACAATACGCTCGACCCACAAATCTCCAAATTGCTCTCAGAGTTGATTCTCTATTTCCGAGCGCCAAACTTGTCTGGTGCAGCACACTGGGTGATGCGCTGGGCCAGATTTACAACTGCAAACGGGAAATAATCAGCAAGTGTTCGAGACGGACCAAAAGGGTACCAGCTCTTCTGATGGACAAATAGTTTACTTACGTTCCTCTGTGCAGTCGCCCTTTCCATTCGAGACACAAGCACTATACTGCTTTTTTGCTGGGTTGACATCGTTCGACGAGACGCAATCTACATGATGCGGTCAGCCATTCATGTCCCATCAAGACTACCTCTCATGCGTCGCATCCCCGGGTATTCCCCCAAGGCAACAAAACGGAGAAATGAAGACGTACCCCTCAATTTCGCCTCAATCCCTCCACTACCTCCACTTGCCCCGCTGGGTCGACCGCTGCTTTCCCGGCTGGAACTACCACCACCACCGCCACCACTGGTCCCGCCCTTCTTCTCATCCTGGCGGTTCGCCTCCACCTCCGCGCCGCTCTCATTTTGCCCCGACCTGCTCGTAGGGGTAGAAGTGCTGGCGCCACCCTTGACGCCCGCATGACCGCGCTGCTGAGCGGTGCCGCCGCCGCCGGACTCCTGGCTTGTTTGGATGCCCTCGTTGACGTTTGGCCGCGATTCCGCCATCACGTTGCGCCGGGCGAAAAGGTCGGAGAGAAAGTCCATGTTTGTGTGTGTTCAATGTATATTTGGATCGGAGTGGCAGGGTTAAGGTACTGGAACGAACAAGTGAGCTTCGGTCTCTTTGATCTTTTGAGCAAGAAGTATCGCAGAGTATATAGTACACGAGGACTGATTTATTGGAATTGAACGTAGTGCGTGTAATGTTGTCAAGTCCATGACGTTTGCATCAACGGTTGTCGCATGATTACGACATTTACCCCATTCGGCAGTCTCCACTTCGGGCCGCGTTTGGGTCCTCCGCCACACATCCGTAAGGGACTACTGATCCGCAACACCAAAACGATCATCGCCGAACACTAGACGACTCATTATTCACAGTCTCAAATATACATACATGAATTGCACCAGCCACACATCGGCAGACCTTGGGATGAAATGCTCCGTCTCACATAACCCTCCACTCCACTCCACTCAGCCCTTGGACAAATCCATTCCGACGCGCAACAAGAGAAGAAAAAAAAATGCCCGAATCGTTGCGACGTCAGCAGACCATGTGGAATCTTGCCCGCAGAAAATAAAGCCAAGGATTCTTCTTCCTCTTCTTCCAGAAGAAAAGAAGAAAAAGACAGTAAAAAAAACCAAACCAGACTCATTCCGAAAGAAAGCCAACAAAAAGCCTCCCTTCCAATCGGTGGACCATGTGATGACCTGGGTATCTCTTTTTTACGACGACGCTATGCCACACCAACAACTTTTTTTTTTAACAGCACAACTCCTTCCAATGCAGTTGGTGATCATGCTTCAACAAGAGGAAAACGAAAAAAAAGAAAAAAGAACCAGAGGAACACGATCGACAGGGCAAAAAAAAAAATGCAACTAAGCGCTCTGATCCGCCCTGACAACCGCATCGATAGCCGCCGCAGCAGCAACGACGTTCTTGGTGTTCAAGCCAGCGATGGACGCGCGACCGGAGCTCATGAGGTACATGTGGTGCTCGTCGCGCAGGCGGCCGACCTGCCTCTTGTTCAGGCCGGTGTACGAGAACATGCCGATCTGGTCGACGATGTGGCGCCACGAGCCGGGCGTTGCCCTGCGGACGAGCTCGTCGTGCAGCCGGCGGCGCATCTCCTTGATGCGCGCCGACATGACCTGCAGGTCGACGAGCCAGCGCGCGCGCAGCTCGCGGTCGCTGAGGACGGTCGCGACGATGCGCGCGCCGTGGACGGGCGTCGTGCTGAACTCGCCGCGGACGAGGCGCACCAGCTGGCTGAGCGTGCGCGGCAGCGCGTCTTCGCGCGCCAGCAGGATGTGCAGGGCGCCCGCGCGCTGGCCGTAGAGGCCGAAGTTCTTGGAGAAGGACTGCGCGACGGCGAGCTCCAGGCCGCGGTCGGCGAAGAGGCGGATGGACGCGGCGTCGGCGTCGAGGTCGCCCGACGCGAAGCCCTGGTAGGCCGAGTCGAAGAAGGGGAAGAGCCCCCTGCGCTGGCAGAGGTCCGCGATGAGCTCCCACTGCGCCGGCGTCGGGTCGATGCCCGTCGGGTTGTGCGCGCAGGCGTGCAGCAGGATGATGTCGCCCGGCTGCGCGTCGCGCTCCAGCGTCGCGACCATGCCGTCGAAGTCCAGCGCGCAGGTGGCCGGGTCGTAGTAGGGGTATAGGCACTGCTTGACGCCCGGGGCCGACACGTCCCAGATCAAGTGGTGGTTGCCCCAGGTGGGGTCGCTGATCCAGACGCGCTGGGCGCGCAGCGAGTCGGCCAGGAAGCGTGCCGCCATGTGGTTGGCACCCGTGCCCGAGATGGTCTGGATGGAGGCGATGCGCGGCGCGAGGTGCGGGGTCAACGGGCCGAAGGTGAGGTTTTGGGCGTGGGCGACGAAGGGCGCGTAGCCGGTCATGGGCTGGTACTCATGGTCGACGGTAGGGTCCTCGATGATGCGCTTCTCGGCCTTGTGGGGGATTTGGTTAGCATCCTCTGGTTGGAAATCAATTGCACTTGAAATGCAATTGCATATGTTGCGGGGGATGGAGACATACCTCCTTCACGCTGGGCAGCACCCACGGCTTAGCCTCATCGTCGCGGTAAACACCGGCTCCCAAGCTGATCTTGCCGGGATGCTCATCCAGGGCAAAGTCGCGCATGATCATAAAGGCCTCGTCCATGGGCACATTGTCGAGGTGACCGAAGCGGCTCTCGGGAATCGGTAGGGAACCCATGACGCAAGGATCGACGGCTACTGACGGCTTGTCTCGGCAGTGGGAGCAAAAAAAAGTCTGACAGGAACAGGAAGGATGCGACGACGCGTCTTCAAGCGGCTCAGTGTGGGAGTGGGCTCTGGTAACGAATGGGCGGCGGTGAGGAGAATGGCCAATGTCTCTGTCCTCAACGGTCAGAGCAGGCGGGGGGAGTCATTCCTTTTTATGTCCAGCCCCTCAGCGGCCGCGATGCCGGATCCATAAATTTTTTTTTCCATGGGAGACGGCGCTGAGAGCGGATACTGTGCCGTGCTATACTCCCGTGATCGCGGATAGTCAAGGATCCACACGGAAGGACGTCTCACGCGAGCTGACCGTGATAGCCGTGGGGTTGGATCCGTTGTCGTAGACCGAAATCCAGCCAATTGGTCCGAAAAGAGAGTTGCTGGCCTTGATGCGGGCTTCCTGTTGTCATTATTGCTGCCCATGTGAAATCACTGGCACAAGCAAGGGCAGCTTGGTTGTTGAGCAACATCACCGACATCGCACTGCAGGTATGACTGGACCGACGGTCCGAGAAACTCCCTGTGTTCCGTGCTTTTCCAGAGTCACTCGATCAGTGACCGTTCAGCTAAACTCAATATGTATAGGCGATCTATCGTCTGGGCTGATATATGACCTGTTTCCCGTTATCAAACCTGTCAGACTCACCCAATCACCCAGCCTTCACCAAGCCCTCCTCGATCTCTTGAATCTCCGCCAACGCTCCCAGCGTCGCCGTCTTGACGCCCTCAGCCGGCCCGGCATACGGCTCCCGGGGCAGGGCCAGTTTGGCCGCGCCCTCGATGCCGGCCCTCTTGGCCGTGAAGTGGGCGGCGACGAACTTGACCACGGCGATGCCGGCCTTGCACGGGTTCTCCGCCAGGGCGGCCTTCTTGTGCAGCTCGAGCGCGTCGTCCGCCTTGCCGGCCTTCCACAAGTCGTAGATGCGCACAATGGTGCGCGGCGCAATGTTGGCGAAGGCGGCGATGCAGCCCGCGGCGCCCGACGCCAGCGCGCCGAGCAGGAAGTCGCTCTGGCCGCCGAACGTCGCGAAGCGGTCGGCGGGCAGCGCGGCGCTCAGCCTCACGACCTTGGCCACGCTGCCGCACGTCAGCTTGACGCCGACGATCTTCCCCGGGTGCCGCAGCGCCAGACGCGCGATGAGGTCGCTGTCGAGGTCGACGCCGTTGGTGACGGCCGGGAAGTTGTAGATGACGATGGGCAGCGACGACTTCTCGGCCACCGTGTCGAAGAAGCGCTCCACCACGGCCGGCGTGCTGGCCTTGCCGAAGTAGCCTGGCGGCAGCACCAGCGCGTAGTCGGCCCCCGCCGCCGCGGCGTCCTCGATATGGCCCAGCACCTGCGCCGTGCTGTGCGCGCCGCACCCGGCCATGATGGGGAAGTCTGGCCCGACCGCCTTGCGCGCCGTCGCTATGAGTGTCGCCCGCTCCTGCGCTGTCAGCAGGAACGTCTCGCCGTTCGTGCCCATGATGACCAGCCCCGCCAGCCCTGTCTGCGCGAGGTATTTGTAGTATTTGGTCTGGACTTCGAGCGTAAGTTGGTCATTGTCGAAGAAGGTGATGGCGGGTGCCCTGGGGAAGCGTCAGTGTCAGTTGAGCATGGGAGTTGGTGCGGCGGTGAAAGCGGCGGAGGAGGGGAAGACGCGGGGGATCTGTGCTCACCAAATGCCGCTCGGCGGGACCTTGACTTGCTGTGCTGCGACCATCGTGAGGGACTGGTAATCTGGTAATTGCAACCTGAGAAATCGGCAGGATCCACTGGTTTATAGTGGTAAGAACGCAGGTAGGTGTCGTGCTCGTTCCCCGCAGGGTCGCTTTGTTGCGGCGTCCGGCTCGCCATGCCAGATGCCGACTTCGGTTTGGACCTCTGCGTGCCCGACCGATCCTCCACCTCAATCCCTCCACCCACCTCCCCTTGAATGCCTGTTCACTTGGGATAAATTCCGGTCCTTTGTCTGGCTAAGTGGAGTTTCGAGGTGGACGCACCCGCCAGTCACGTGCATCAACATTTCGAAAATCATCTGCCATCCATGTTATCGTTCATCCCGTCCACTGACCCTAAACGGAGGGAAACGGGATGACGATAGTTCACAGCAGATCATGGGAATGTGTCATTGTCCTACTCACTTCATGTTTAGATTCAGGGCTTTGTTAGCAGGTGAAGAACTGGCGCTGTAGGGAAAGCCACTGCATGACTCGCAGCATGCACTGCGCCACACATGCCTTACCATCGTAATCTAGATGTATTTCGATAGGGTTGCAGATCATACGAGTCAAGCACTGGAACAGGGAACGAGGATTGGTTCATGATCGCCTCATCGGCATATTCATTGTCTCATAGGGTATAAAGTACAGACCACCTTCCCATCTCTCGCATCCTCAGAGTCGTGTTTCGTAACCATGATCGGGTAGGATTCTCTTGTAGGATCAAGTCGTGAGGTAACGGTTGTGTTCGTCAAGACATCTATTTCTTGCCGCCAATGGTGTCGGAGATGCTCTGAGCAGCGTTGCCGACGGTCTCCTGAGCGCTCTGGAGAACGCCCTTGGACTGGTTGCTGGCATCGTCGGAGCCGCCACGGAGGCTGTCAGAGGCCTTCTGGGTGGTCGACTTCTGGTCGTTGGGCTGAGCGGCACCAGCGGCACTGAAAAACGGCGGGAAAAATGTAAGTCGGGTGCAACTACTCCATTGACGCCGTAATAATGGGGCGCGGAGGCAACGCGGGTATGAGCCGCACAGGTGTGGTTTGGAAGACATGGGATGTGAGGAGAAGCAGGAGCTTACCGATCGTAGGTGCCAGTGACACTCTCCTTGGCCTGGTCGAGGGTAGACTTCTGGCTGTCGGGAGTGATCTTCTCCTGAGCCTGGTCGAGAGTGGACTTGCGGCTGTGGAGGAGAGGTCAGCGGAAGGTCGTCACATGTGAGGAAGCAAGAGGTGTTCCGTACCCTGCGTCAGACATGATGAAGGTTGGTGTTGGAAGTGTTGGAAGTGTGGTTTGTGGAAGTGTTTGTTGTTGATGAGAAGCTGTTGGAGGCGGATGAAGATGAGAGGAGGTACAGCACCGTCAGGGCTTTATGTAGTGAAAGCGCGGCAGCCAAGGCCGAGGCTCGCAGCTGCCATTCTACAGTTGCGTCATGGAGAAGGCGCTCAACTGTTTGCGGCTGGGGCGAAGGGCGAGAACGACGCTTGCCCGATCGGGTAGGCGGGGCCGCGGGGCCGCGGGGCGGGCGGCTTGAGGCTGCGGATCATGATGGCGTCACACCCTCAACCCGCCCTCCAAGCTCTTTGTCTCGCCCCCGTGCATGAAGCGCAGTGATCAGCTGCCCTCTCGTCGCAGCCTGTTTTGCATCGCGGTCAGAAATCCTGGTGTTGCTCGCAACTCTTCATCTTCCACGGGTCGTGCAAGGATCCGACGTGACGTCACTCCATAGATCTCGATGCATTTTTCCCATGGCCATCGTCGATAGCTCACGCCAGGATGCTGCATTGTGGCACCGCCACCGCGCATCCAGATGCGTCGGAATGACACACGACGCTCTTATCCCGGCTGCTCCAGCTCCACACTAGCCTCATTGCTCAGCCGCAAGCCTGCCCCGCCTCAGAGATCGCAGGTTAGCAAAGCGGGGCGTTGCGGGGCAAAGGGGACGCGCTGCCCGGAGTACGAGTTGTTTATGATGCTTGTTTGGCGTCAACGCGATGCGTTGCCGTGGCGGTGGCGGAATTAACGACGCCGTTCCTGCTTGGGCTGGCCGTCGTCAGCAGATCCTCCTTATCCTCCGGCTGAACGCGTACGAGGGCTGCTTGTCGGCCGGAATCAATCCCGCCGTTGCACATGTCACTTGCGTGCTGCACCATCATCATCGCCCGAAGGTATGTCGGCATCGCCAGCACCGGTAACGCAAGCGCGCGCCAGCCTGACGAGCACATGCTCAAGCTCGCCCCGCAGCTGACGCCTAGGTTTCTGATTCCCAACGAAATCAAGACTGTTTGGACGCATCCTGCCACCAGACATGTGCCTCTCCCCCACCTTCAGCCATGTAGTGGCATGGTAGTTTGCATTCCATAGGCTGAGATTTAGCCATTACACACAGCCATGCTTCATGTGAGAACCCTGACACGCGCCAGGTGATGCAAAGCAAGCAATCAGGGGCAAGAATGATTGTCTGCTACTGATAAGCCACTCTTTCTGATCGCCGATCCTCTAACAATTAAGTAAAGGTGCTAATGAAGGCTGTTGCGGAAGGAAAGGAAAGATGCTGGTATATATAAAATGTGGCTGGGCTGGTTTGCCCCTAAATAATGCTGCGATAGCGGCAGTGAGAAAATGACTCAAAGAAACGAACATCCGTGCTCTCACACACTTCTTCCCTAATACATAACCCTACTCAAAGTTCACCCCAACCAAGCTCTTCAGCGTCGGACTCGGGCTCGGACTCGCCGGAGTCGACGAAAGGCTCGAGTCTTGCCTTGAACTCCTCAACGCTCAGGTGCTCACCCTCCCAGAAACCCTTCGTTTCTGCCGTCTTGGGCGGGATCAAGACGCTGCTGACTACCTGAATGACACCATCCTTGGCGATGCCATTCTGGATGGCGACACGTGAGAAGCCGTTGACCTTGATCTCGGTGAAAGGACCATGGGATGCAACATCGACACTCAAAGCCTTGTCATCAAGCAATGTCGGCAGATCGACATGGAAGTAATCCTGGCTGTGCTCATCGTCGTCCTTGGACGGACGATAGAAGGCATCCGAGTAAAGAGTCTGCTCGGGAACGATGTGATACTTCAGCAGGGCTTTGAGATATTTCTCGCCGTAGGAGCTGAACAAGAAGGCGTTGATGCGGGGACCAAGCTTCTTAAAGGCCCAGTTGGAGGGGGCGAAAAAGGTGCCACCCGCATGATCGGTGCTGTTCAGCAGATCGAAGAGACCAGTCTTCTCTAGGCCAAGGGTGACGGTGGAGAATTCTCCAGGCAGAAGAGAGATAATATCAGCAGCCTTGGGCGGAGGAACAAGGATGGTGTCGAGGCCATGAATCACACCATTCGTACCGAACTGAGCGTCGTGGTTAGTACCGTTACAAATTCGTTCAAAGAGTAGTTACTCACAATGTTGATAGCGATAATACGGCTGTAGAAGTTCAGCGTCAATCCCTTGAATCCAATGTTTACACTCAAGCGCTGGGCGAAATCGTCGCCACCAAGGGCCGGCTCCTTGTAGAGCGTAGGGATGGTGTGTGTATGAAGGACACGGCCAGCAGGGTAGAACTCGGGAGAGACATGGTACAGGAGAACCTTCTTGATGAATTCCTTGGTGGGCTCCTTGCCATGCTTGGGGATCTTGTCGAAGGCCTTGTCAGTCGGGGCGAAGACAGTGAAGTTGGCGGAGGTGCCATTCAACAGCTTGACCAGCTCATCGTCATCGTTGATCAGCTTCGCCAATTTGGTAGTATACTTGGAATTGGCAATCAGCTCGTAGACGGTCTGGTTGGGCTTGTGGTGCGGCGGGTGGTGCGGCCTCCCCTTGTGTGGTGGCTTGTCGTGGGGCGGTCCATCATGTGGAGGGCCGTGGTGAGGAGGGCCGTCGTGGGGAGGCCTTTGATGCGGGGGCTCGCCATGGGGCGGGGGAGGGGGAGGTGAGAGTTCGCCGCCTTCATGGTTGCGATGGAATGGTGGAGGTGGCGGCGGGAATTTGCCATCACGGTTGCGATGGAACGGCGGAGGTGGAGGGAAATGTTCGCCATGGGGAGGAGACGGTGGAGGCCCCCAATGCGGAGGGGGCGGAGGGTGGTCGCCATGCGGGGCTGGTTTGGGAGGGCCTTCAAGGTCAAAGTGCCTGTGGTGGCGCGAAGAACCACTACGCATCCAGCTCTCCATGTCAAAGCCACTCTCGTGGACCTTCTCCCAGACGGCATCCTCGGCGTCGACTATCCGGTCCAAGGCATCGTCGAGGACGTCCTTGGCGCCGTGGAAGGAATCTCTCAAGCCGAACTCGACAGACTCGAATTCGTCCTTGGTGTCGTCAACGAGGTCTTCGAGGGCACCCTTTGGGTCGTCGACCGGATGATCCGGATGTGCGAGCTTGTCCGGCGACTCCGATTGAGTGGCAAGCTCATTCAGGATAGCCTCGTCGGGAATGACAAGGGCGGAGCCAAGGGCAACCAGCGAGAGGAGTCCGGTGAACTTCATGGTGACGGGCTTGGGAAAGGAAAGGAACCGGGCAAGGGATGAGACGGAAGGAGGGGTATATAGGGAAGGGTGGATCGAATGATGGATGCCGAGACAAATTCGATGGCGTCAGGACCTGCTGCAGGTGAGCTCGCTGGCACCCGCGTATCGGGCTTTCTCCGCAAAGCCGGTCGGAGTGATCTCTCAAGCACAAAGAACAGCAGGACGGCGGTTGGTGGAGGGCGGGCGCCACGGGCATTTTAAATCAAGGCGCAGCAAACCGGGACTTTCGCTTACGACGCCAGCGTCTATGAAGCTGACGACTGCTTTGGCGCCAAGCCGAAATGAAGTGACACGACGGCCCGCTCTGCGCTGATCGTCGCCAACGCCGCGGGACGACGGCGCAAAGCCGTCGATGGCAAAGGCATCGTGAGCGTAACGGATGCTGCTGCCTGGGCTGACGGCGGAGGGAGCGGGAGCTTGTCGCGCGGGGCCGTGGTTCAGGGCGCGTTGAGGGCTGCGGGGGAAGCGGCTGGTGGCCTGGCGCAGGTGGCAGCGTCGTCTCGCTGGCTGCGCGACTCGAACAGTACGAAACAGTTCGGGGACGCGTAACCTGCACGCCCTGATTGGCGCAGCACCAGCGCGCGAGGTTCAGCCGCCTCGGCCGACTCTTACGCGAACTGAGCCCATGATCCATGATGATGTCAAGAACAGCAGGCGCATCCGGACACAAGCTTTACCAAGCTTTGCTCCATCGAGCTCCCGTTTGGAGACGCCTTCCGCCGCTTCCCAATGGCCCACCATGCGCTGGATCTACGTCAGCCCGCACCGTTACCGGTCACCGTCTGCCGTCGCAGAATCCCACAATGCCCTGTCCTGCTTCCCCGGAGCTGCACACTTAAAGCTCCCCTCTGCGCGCCTCTCCAGCATTGGACTGCCTCTTCCTCATCCACCACCACCCTCGACTCTCTAGCACACAATGGCCTCCCTCGCGTCTCACATTGACCCCGACGAGCTCATCGAGAAGTTCCACGACCACCCCGTCCACCACCGCGGTTTCCACTCAAGCAATGCCGTCAACCACAACACTCCCTACTCGAGTCGCTATGCCTCAATCAGCCAGCTGTCCAAATTCAAGATGCCCCATGACGGTGCTCCCGCCGATGCCGTCCACCAGATGCTGAAGGACGAGTGAGCCGTTTCCGCCTTGGTCCGAACCGTCAGAGTAGCTGACACCCACAGGCTCGATCTCGACGGCCGCCCCAACCTAAACCTTGCCTCCTTTGTCGGAACATACATGGAGGAGCACGCTGAGAAGCTCATGATTGAGAACCTGAGCAAGAACCTGAGCGATGCGGACGAGTATGTTTTCTCCTGTCAACCTTACCAAACAAACTCTTCTAACGTCCGTCGCGCAGATATCCGGCCATGATGCAGATGTATGTAAATCCACGGCCACCAGTCCGATCAATCTAGAAGCTGACAATGTCTCAGGCATGCCCGCTGCATCTCCATTCTCGCACACTTGTGGGGTGCTCAGAAGGGCGAAAAGGCCATCGGAAGCGCTACAACCGGCTCCAGTGAAGCCATTCACCTCGGCGGTCTTGCCATGAAGCGGCGCTGGCAGGAGAAGCGCAGGGCCGACGGAAAATCTACCGAAAAGCCGAACATTATCATGGGAGCCAATGCCCAGGTGGCCCTCGAGAAGTTTGCCCGCTACTTCGAGGTTGAGGCTCGCATCTTGCCCGTGAGTGAGAAGAGCTCGTACCGCCTTGACCCCGACCTCGTCCGAGAGAACGTTGACGAAAACACCATTGGCGTGTTTGTGATTCTCGGATCCACCTACACCGGCCACTACGAGCCAGTCGAAGAGATATCAAAGATTTTGGACGAGTATGAGGCCAAGACCGGTGTCGATATTCCAATTCATGTCGACGGAGCTTCTGGTGCTTTCATTGCCCCCTTCACCCACGCCAAAGCTGGTGGACCCAAGTGGTAAGTCCCACGTCAAATCTCATTCCTCCTGCAAAATGCTGATGATCTCAGGAACTTCGAGCTTCCTCGCGTGAAGTCCATCAACGTATCGGGCCATAAGTTTGGCCTGGTATACGCCGGTGTTGGTTGGATCATCTGGCGAGACGAATCTTATTTGCCCAAGGATCTAATCTTCGAACTGCACTACCTGGGTGGCACCGAGGAGTCGTACACACTCAACTTCTCCCGACCAGGTGCACAAATCATTGCCCAGTACTACAACCTCATCCACCTTGGTTTCACCGGCTACCGTACTATCATGGAAAATGCACTGTCAAACGCCCGTTTGCTGAGCCGGGCGCTCGAGGCCACTGGATGGTACGAGTGCGTTAGTGACATCCACCGGAAGAAAGGCGACCACAAGTTTGTGGAGGGCCAGAAACCATTCGAAGAGGGCGAGGACAGTTCTGCCTACAATGCGGGGTTGCCCGTCGTTGCTTTCACCCTGAGCAAGAAGTTCAAGGAACAGTTCCCTCACGTCAAGCAGGTATCGATCAGCAACCTTCTGAGAGCGAAGCAGTATATCATTCCCAGTAAGCTTCCCTTCTGCTCATCTGTGCTATTTCAGCTAACGTATACTTTTCCTAGACTACCCTCTGCCCCCTAATGAGGAGAAGACCGAGATTCTGCGCGTCGTTGTGCGCGAGTCTATGAGCCTCGATCTGCTTGATCGCTTAATTACCGACATCTGCGCAGTGACGGAGTCAGTCATGCAGAGCGACGCGATTGATCTCGCGGCATGGCAATCGGCCGGCAACACCGTCGAGAAGACTCATGGCAGCCGTGGGGTTCGCGGTCATGAGATGCACAAGGCTAAGAGGCCGATGCATCACGGTGTGCACCGGAGTGTGTGCTAGACTCCACTGGTAGTCGAAAGAAGACAGGGGACCTTCTAACAAAGAAGCAAAAGATACTGAAACAAGTGAGACATGACTCTGATGACTTCTCTTAAAATACTTAATGATGAATCCGATTCTTTCCAAACACCGTCTGATTCAAGTCTTTGTTGAGTGCTTCTTTTCTCCGCGATGCGTTTTTGGATTTTCTCTACCGAGCTCTTTCACCAGACTACAAAATGGAGCGTGACCGCAGTCTTCTGAAAGCCACCACACCCGCCATGTCTGCATTTGCATCTCGCGATGAGTTTCTCGTGGAAGGCGTTATTCCGTTCACTCAACGACTTGATGCAGGCTCTCAATGTTGCATTTGTTTGCACGAGTTCCCGCAAGTTCCCGAAACTCCAATGAGGTTCACGATATGCGGTCATATCTTCGGCTCAAAATGCATCGCCAAACTACTTGGAAACACTTGTCCTTTGTGCCGTGCCGTTCTCTGGGAGGACGAGACTGACCCCGAAGAGGGCGACTATGGGAATTCCGAGGACGGTGTCTATGACGACTCCAACTACGAATCCGACTACGAATCCGACTATGACTCCGATTACGACTCCGATTACGACTCCGATTACCACTACGTTTACGAGGAAGGGGAAATACCCGACGACGACGACGACGACGACGACAACAACAACACCAACCACGTCAATCACCACCACCACGGCCATCACCACGCTAATCAGCACCACCAACCATCCCCCAACGCTCACCACCACCACCACCACCACCACCACCACCACCAACCATCACCCCCCACCGCCACCCGCTCCCTCCGCGCCCACACCCGGGCCCGCCGCCACCACCACAGCAACCACGCCACCGCGCCCGTCGTCCCCGGCCAGGCCGACCCGCGCCGCTACGACGACGACGACGTGCCGGTGCCGGTGCCGCCGCGGGCCGAGCGGCCGTCGCCAGACGACATGCTGTCGTCCGCATTGTTCGTCGAGGACGAACTGGACGGGCGTGGGACGATGACGACGACGACGACGACGACGACGACGACGACAGCGGCGGCAGGAGGAAGGGGAATGGAAGGGGGCCCGTTGTGGGTGACGGTCCGCGCGGCGCCCATGGGGTGGGCGTGGAGGGATTTCTTGCACTACTGCGCGGAGGGGTCGTGGAGGCCCGCCGTCGTCGACGACAACAAGTGGTGGGATGTGCGCGTGCTGGCGGCGCAGGTGGAGCGCGAGGGCTTGCCGGCGGTCGAGGCGTGGAACGCGCGGAGGGAGGGGCAGGTGTGGGAGGCGGGGGCGTTGAGGGAGGCGTGGGCGCGGGAGATGAATCCCTGGGGCCGCATGAGGGATGAGGCGGTGGAGGTGGTGTGGTTGTTGAGCGGGATGGTGCTGGCGTGGAGGTTGGTGAGGGAAGTGGAGGTGTTTGGGGAGTTGTTGTGATGATGAGGGAAAGTAGGTAAGTAGAGTCAACGAGTAGTGCTGGCTGGCCGACCCCCATGATGCGTGAATGTCGTACTGTACAGGCATTATCATATCATATATACACATCGCTCGCATATTTTCTATACAAGAAAAAAAAAAAGGAGCAAGGAACCCCATCCAGTCCCTTGCACTCCCCCTCGCTATCTAATTAATCCCCACCTCCCTCTCTACACGATCGTGACATCCCTCTTCCCTCCACTCTCAAACCACGTCCTGCACGCCGGATTCCCGACGAAGTAGCCCACGCGCTCAAACTCCTCGCCGTTCAGCGCCAGCGCCAGCCCCCACGCCGTCTCGATGTCGACCATGACGTCGTCCTCGGCGGGCGTGCGCGTGAAGCACCGCGCCAGCAGCAGGCACCAGTACACGCCCTGCGAGCTCCTCCTGGACGCCGACGACGACGACAGCGACGACGCGGCCGAGAGGCGGTTCATGGCGGCCAGCCTGCTCGCCTCGACGCGCTCGTCCTCGCCCTCGCCGTCCATCATGGGCGGCGGCACGTCCAGGTAGATGGTGCCGTACGCGCCCTGCAGCGTCTCCTCGCCGGGCACGGCGGCGACGGCGAAGGGCGTGCGCGGGCTGAGCAGGCTGGGCACGTTGGGGCGCAGGAAGCCGTGGAGGGTCAGCGAGCCGCCCGCGACGGGCCCGCAGGGGGCGGCGGCGCCGTGCGCCGGCTGGACGGCGGCGTGGACGACGTCGACGACGGGCTCGTACCAGGAGCACGAGTCGGCGTGGAAGGCGATGGCGGCGTCGACGCTCATCCAGGACCAGGACGGGGCGCGGTAGCGGGGCGGGCGGCGGGCGATGGTGGTGAGGGCCGACGAGGGCGGGAAGAAGGGCACGTCGTCGGCGCTGGTGTGGCTTTCGAGGAGCGGCGGCAGCGAGGGCGACGACGAGGTGGACACGACCCAGGACAGCTCGCTGAGCAGGTGCTTCCGCCACAGGCCGGCGAGGTACGTGTCCTCCATGGCGTCGCGGAAGTAGGTGGCGATGCCCGACAGCGCGGGCAGCTTGTCCATCGGGTCCGTCAGCAGGCGGGCCGTGTAGTCGTGCACGACGTACTTCCACGTGCGGAACAGCTTGGGCAGCCGCTCCGACTGCTGTGCGAACATGCTGTGCGGCGAGTGCGTCGACAGTCGGGGCTGGTGGATGCGGCCTTTGGGCGAGAGGCGGATGGTGGTGAGGCCTGCGGCGGCGCAGTATCCGTTCCAGTCCAGGGGGTTGTTGCTGTTGTTGTTGTGGCGGTGGTGCCGGCTGCTGCTGCAATCGCGCGCCTTCTCGCCCGCTGTGCACCGCCAGACAGTCAGTTCGCGGCCGTAGATGAGCAGGCGCGGTGACAGCACTATTTCCTGCAGTGCCCAGGCGCGCTCGTGGAGCGGTTCTCGCGCCGGCTGCTCGACGAGCCGCTGCTTGCGCGGCAGCAGCAACATGTTGCCGACCAGTCCGCCGGCCGCCTGGACGGGGAGCTTGACGAGCGGGTCGCGCGACCGCTCGGCGTGGAAGAAGCCCTCATGGCAGGAGCGAGAGCGCGCGGCGACGATGGTGACGTGCGAGTTCTGGAAGACTTGCTGCATGCGCGCCATTTCATGCTCCTTGTCGTCGACGCTGTCCTGCATGATGCACAACGAATCAATCCAGAGGTATCTCAGTCCCAGCGCCTTTGTCGTCTTGACCGCATCCTGCAGTGTTTGTGGGAGCCTGGCAACCTCGATGCCGGCCATGTGCTCCGCTATCGTTTCGATGGACGTCACAACCGGCTGAGGTCCTCCCCAGCAGTAACTGAGGGTGGCGTACGGCTCCGGCTCGATGCCCTCCGAGTCGACCAGGCGCACGACGCCAGTGGATCCGTAAATGTCGAGCACCCTGGATGGGAGGGCACGCCTCTTGCGCACGCAAGAGAGATGTCCGTTGTCGCACCAGTCCAGCCAGCTCTTGACCGTTGCGAGCTCTTCCGGGGTCCCTCGGTTTGCGTCTAAGCTGCAGACAGGGAGTGAGAAGGCATCTCTGTCTCCTGCTTCTCCAGAAGCTTGCTGCGGGTCCGCCAATGGATCACCTTTCACTCGGTCAGTACGACAATATCGAACATCCCATCAGTCAGCCGCACCACTCACCATACTCTGTTGCAACGTCGAAGAGCAGGGTCCCCGGGAACAGGGTACCCAGCCTTCTTACTCTCAGTACAGGCACTAGCGGCGGCTGCTGTGAGCTCTGGTCCTGCTGGTCGTCCACCACTCCACCCGGCCACGACGGGAACCTGTACTGATCCCGCGGCACCGGGCTCCCCGGACCGCTGCCGCCCTCGGTCTCGAACGAGAACTCAAAATGCACAACCGCATCGTCCGCGCTCTTCCTCTTGTCGGCGACACCGAGCCCGCCAACCCCCTGGCTCACGGCCATGATAGCAACGTTGGCATCCCAGCTCTTCTTCAGGTTGCTCCGCCGCTTCTCTCCCGTGACGACCGACTCGAGCAGCACCCGGCAGAGGCCGCACCCTTGCTCCACCGACGCTTCGAGCGAGCCGCGACGGCGAGAGTAGACAAGGCCGGGCCGACCATCCTGCGGGTTGCTGCACAGCAGGGACCATGGCGAGCGGTCGTCGGCGGGCGGCGACGGTTGCGGGGTCGTGAAGACATCAACGCAGCGCTGGCACGGAGTCGTGGATGCAGGTTGTGGCGGCGTGACGGCTGCTGCGGTAGTATCGGCGGGGATAAGGGGACGAAAAGAGCGTGCGGCAGGTGCCGGCGGTGCGGCGGTGTCCAGGTCATGCATGAAGGGCGCCATATCCCAGGCCCTACAGCCCCCAACTCTCTCACTTTCACTCACGCTCCCCACTCAACACCACACTGTCGTTTTCTTGGAGCCCGGAGCGCTTTCCGCTGGGGGATTTCAGGGAGGTTGGATTCTTTAGGGTGTCCCCCAAACGCCCAGAAGGTACAGTCGGACCGATCCGAGGGTGGCACGCAAACACAGGCTTCCTCGTAGGAAAAAAAAGCAGAGAGCAGAGAGCAGGCGGGCAGCCCTTCAGGCGTATCGTCCAGAAAGCGCGCGCGAGGTCCGACAGGGTTTGTCCCGGGGTGGATGCGACAGCATGGGGCATTCGGGCACGGTTGACATCTGCTTGCCTGTGGGTAGACTCCCGGGATAAGGGGACGGCGACGACGAAGGAATCGAAGGGAGACCCAGGTAGCAGGCTAACAATCTGTGGGGTGGAAGCTTATGGGGACAAGTCATCATTCCTTCGAGAAGAGATGGCCTCTGCTTCTAGCGGCATGATTATTGACGAGAGGCGGTGACTGGAAACGCCCGGGACCCGCAGCGGTGAAAGATCGGCGCGACGAGACACACCACACGCTTACTCGTGTGATTCGTCCTCTCTCTGTCCCTATTCTTGCCATGCCTGCTCTCATTCGTCCGTCTGGCCCTCTTCCCTGGCCCCTATGTGGCTCGGGAGACCCGGTGAACACGGGTGCCTGCAGCCCAGCCCGCCACTCGAAAATCCGTTCCCGTGATTCGAGAAACACAGCGGTGCGTCGGAATCTCTCACGCCAGTTCTCGACTCTGCTCCAACCGCCGAAAAGAGAGGGCCATTCTCAGGGGGAGGCGCCATGGGTGGACCGCAAAATCCTTAGCACGAAATTTTCAACTAGTAGTACCTACTAGGCCCAGGCTCGGATAAACATGGCTGCCGTTGTCGAAGCTACGGGCAGCGATGCACTAGCATGAGACTTTCCTTGGGGCATCAAAGATGAGGTTGACATCCGAAACTTGCTGAAATCATTTCTTCTCTACCTCGTTTCTTTTCTTTTTTTCCTTCCCTTGGGTCGGGTAGCACCAAACATGACGTCCTCCAATGTACCCTTGAAATTTTTCCTGTTCCTTTTCCTCGTTCCTTCTTGACTCACATATTCTCAAAGAAGAATGTCGGCGCTCCAGGCACCGCTGCCTCGGCGCTCGGCGGGAGGCTATCTCTGGTCTCACCCTCACCAAAGAGGACCTTGCCGACCTTCTCGCCCTCCTTGACACCCACAATGTCAACAATCTTCAGCTTGGTAACCTGCTGCTTCAGACCCGGCACCATCTCCTTGAGCGTCGCGATCTCGTCGAACGGAAGACGGCGGTCAAACACCTCTCCGGCCTTCTCGCCGCCGTCAAGGCGCTTCTTCAACCCCTGGATGAACGGCATGGCCTTCTTCATGTCGGGCTTGGCAATCTCCTTGGTGAGAACCTTGACATCCACAAGGCCGAGTTCCTCAAACTTCTGGCGCACAAGGTCGAGGTACTTGTCTTGCCAGACGGGGAATGCCTCGGCAGCAAAGATGGTGAGCTTCTTGTCTTGCTTGGGATCGAAAGCAACGGCCTTGCCCTTAGCAAGCTTCTTAACCTGTTGACCTTCGGCCGACGTGATGTTCGAGGTTGTGTTGCGCACATACTCGCGGGCGGCAGTGAGAGACGGATCGGGCGAGGCCACGGTCGGGTAAAGTGCCTTCTGAATCGTCTCGGGCTTCTTGAGGACCTCAAGCCAGATGTGTTCAGCCCAGTGGGGAGCAACGGGCGTCAGAAGGAGAGCCTGAAGCTCAACGAAACGCCTGACGAGATCGGCGTGCATGCCGATGCCGGCAGCCTTCGTGACCTCACGGTAAAAATCACGCGCGGCAGTGAAGTCGTAGAAGCCTGACTTGAGAGCGAGCTTGTACGAGGTGCTAGTTTATCCACGTTAGTCATGTCTCCGCGTATCATGGCAGATGGACTTACTTCTCGTAGTGCTCCCTCGTCTCAATGACCAAACTGTTGAGCTCGTTCTCGAACGTCTTGTCCCAGAGATGCTTCTCACCGGTGCGCTGGATGATATCAGCGTTCTTGACCTTGCCGCCGTCGCGAGCCTCCTTGTACTGCGCCTCGCCGTCAACCAGGTGTGCTTCGTTGACCATCTCCTCACACCACTTCCTGAGCTCGAAGAGCTTAAGAATAATGGCGTTGGCGACAGTCTCCTCGAAGTTGGCATCTTCGATTCCATCGCCGGCGTCGGCAAGAGCCACTCTGGTCGCGTCGGCACCGTACTTCTTCACGGCATCGCCAAGAGTCAGGAAGTTGCCAGTACTCTTACTCATCTTCTCGCCGTTGAGCATAAGGTGGCCATTGACACGGAAACCTTGCGGCCAATTGTTCTGAGGGAAGAGAGCGGTGTGGATGTAGAGACAGAAGGTAAGATGATTCTGGATCAAGTCCTTGCCGGAGACACGGAGATCAAGAGGGTACCAGTACTCAAACTCTCTCCGCATCGCCTCGAGATCCTCTTTGAGAATGTCGGTCTTGACATCCGCAGTACGGCAGAAGAGGTAATCCCAGACCTCGTCGGTCATCTGTTCGGGCGCGATCCTCTGCTTGGAGAGACCCTGCGTCTTGCCGAAGATGTCACCGTGCAGGTAGTGAGCAATGGTGTAGTAGCTCATATACACGGTGCTGTCACTAAGAGACTCCACGAGCTGGTTGGCGTCCCAGGGCAGCTTCGTACCAAGGCCGTACGATCTCGAGCAGGCCCACTGCGACAACCAGCCCAAGGTCATCTTGAAAGCGTGCTGAGCCTCAGGGTAGAAGGTGTTCATGCCGTTCTCGAGGTGCTTCAAGACAGTGTCGCACCACTCACCATCGCCACCGTTCTCAGTGGTACCGTAGTTCATGTACCACTGGTCAAGGTATGCAGCAACACACTCATCACTCGAACGGGACATGACCATGCCATCAGGCTCGCCGTAAGGGAAGGCAAGGCCCGCGTCAATCAGCTGCGTACGGACAAGGGGCTTGGCATCCTGCACCGACTTGCCAGCGAACTCGCCATACGTCATAACGCCCTGGTAGAAGCCCTCCTTGTAGGCCAATTCCTTGGCCTCAGCGAGCTGTTTGGCATCCTTAGGAGAGTTGATCTTCATCTTCTCAACCAGCGTCTTCGCAGTGAGATCGCCGTACGTAGGCGTCTTGATGATGGGAATGATCTCGAGTTCCGCCCACTCCTTCTTGATGCCGTAGTACTCTGCCTTCTTGATCAGGTCCATCGTGGTGGCATAGTCATCAGGGCTGTCAGAAGGCACGCAAGTAACAACACCGGTACCCTTGGTGGGCTTGACCGACTCCATGGGAAGAATCCTGACATCCTTATGTACGGAAAGCGGTGCGTTGACCAGAGTACCAACGACGTCTGAGCCCTGGAGGTCGACAATGTGAGGGAAAACACCCCAGTTGGGGAAGATGTTTTGGAAGGCCATGTTGCGGGCAGCACGGTGGGACAGGAAGAAATACTCGTTGTCCGTGACCTTGAAGATGCCGTACTTGACCTTGGGGCCAACGAAACAGCACGTCTGGCCGTACATAGTCTCAGGACGGAGAGTGGCAGGGACAAAGTAGACATTGGCACCGCTGGGGATCTTATCGCCAATGACAGATTTGGCCTGCTCAGGCCACTCAAGGACCTTCATTTTCAAAGCAGTGTACTCCTGGACCGTGACACCCTCGCCGGAGCTACGGTCGTGGTCAAGACAGGCTTGGCCATCCTTGGGGGAATAGACAGTGTAGCGCTTGCCGAACTTGATCTTGCCAAGACCCTTCAGGCGGTTCATCTGCCAGCGGACGAAGGCATCGTAGTAAGGGTTGGCATCGGTGGTAACCATGGACCTGCGCCAGTCCACACGCGCGCCAATGGAGATCAGGTCCTCCTGGCACTTCGGCGGGAAGTATTCCAGCCAGTACTGCGGATCGGCGAACTTGTGGATCTCCTCGAGCGGAATGCCCAGGGAGAGCATAATCTGGAACTGGTACTTGGTCTTGATGGTCTTTGCGTTGGCCTTGCCCTTGGTCGCCTTGAACTTGGTGATGTCGGCCTTGGTGGTCTCCTCGGTAGGAGCCGGGACCTCGCCAGCCTTGGGCTCAGCGATGTCGTCCTCTTTGCAGCCCTCAAAGGTCTTGCCGAACAGCTCAACCTCGCGCACCAGCTTGTCGGCGCAAGCCTTGATGGGCATGCCAGTGCAGTGGTAGCCCTGGGGGAACAGCGCGCGCTTGCCCTGCATGCGAGCGAAGCCGGTGGCGAACTCGACCTTACTCGCGGTGAAGCTGTGGCCGGCGTGCAGGACGCCGTTCATGTATGGGTAGGCCATGGTGCCGAAGAACTTGGGCGCCTTGGCACGCAGGTCGTCGGCGGAGACGGAGCCGTAGGGGAACTCGGCGGTGGAGGGGGCATCCTGCTGGAAGACCTTGGATTCCTGCCATTGCTTCTGGTACTTCTTCTCGGCGGCAACGAGGGTGTCGCGCTTCTCGGTCTGCTGGGCGTCAGAGCACGAAATATATTTATGGCGGGGCGGGGCAGCGCACGTTCTCGATCTTGAGGGTGTTCTTGGAGCTGGCGCTGGGGTCCAGCGCCTCGAGTGTCGCTTTGGCGGCCGACATGGTTGCGGAGTGCTCGCGGCGCAGAATGCGAACTGAGGCCCGGTGGACTCTAGGGCTGGGTGAGTCACGGTGGTCGGCGTGGTGGGCTGTCCATGGCGGCCGAGAAAGCGGCGGCAGATGACGCCCGGGCGGTGAGCAAGCGAGCGGCATGCAAGGGCAGCCGCAGCGGCAGCCAGCCCTCGCGCCCGCTTCAACACCACCACTCTGTCGCCTTGCACCCCGCCATGCTGCGTACCTTGGCCCGCCGCGCCGCCGAGCCCGGGCGCCCGGCTTTTGACATCAACAGCAACCCCTTCAAGGCGAAGCGCCTATGGCCACCCGACTTCTCCAAGCTCCCGCCGAAGCACCAGTTCCGTCTTGAGCGCAAGTTCCGGCGCCGATCCCAGCTCAAGTGGGCTCGTCCGCGGTGGAACAAGTTTGTCAAGCTGTCGCAATGGGCAACAATCACATGTGAGAACAAGCGCTGGGGCTTTGTTCGGCCATGCTGCTGACGCGAGCCAGTCGTCACTGTCTATGGTGTACTCTTCATGGACTGGAGCGACGAGATTAAAGCGAAGGGCCGTTCTCAAGAAGACAATCCCCAGCCGTTCCAAGGGGTAATTGCTCCTCATGATTTTCAAAGTGACATGTTCATTGACTTTGTCAAGATCCGCAACTGGTACAGACGCACCATGGACTCCATCTGGTCCAAGCCGCAAACAGAACAGCCGCAATCACCGTCCTCAGCAGCATCTTAAATCGCAGCTATTGGAATTATCATCTTAAGCAGTCGGACATTTGGTCGGAAGAAACTGCCACAACAGACGCGCTGCCAAGCGGAATAAGCCCAACTATTGCGGCTTGCGCTGGCCCACAGTGTGGCAGCATCATGCCATCCGCCCGTGAGGGCAACCTCGCATTGTCCAATGAATTAGAATTGGGCCTTCTCAAGATGTAGCAGCCACCCCATCCAATTCAACTTTGGCCTGCCCGTTGTGCTAATGTTGGCACACCGACACAACGGCGCGTATCCGCAAGCGCCAGCACCAGCACACGAAAAATGTATACCGGATTTGCGGCTCTGCGAACCAACTCGCGTTGGCCCGAATCCGAGGGCTTGTTGCTTCCGGGAAACTATTGTTTCGCTCTTGACCTTGCGTTGCTGGGTGGTCTACCTGCTTTTATTAACACGAGGACTCGACATTTCAAGGACCCTGTTGAAAGCCTGAACTTCTGGACAAAGTGCTTCAGGTAGGCCACGCCGACAAATTGTCGGCTGAGAGGTCGGCGAATTCGACTGCCCGGAGAATTTGAGCCCGTGGGCTGCGAAACGTAAACACAGGACAGCGACCTCATTATTCCTACAGTTGATTTTCAATAATGCATGAGCTAAGGACCATGGCCTGCAGCCTTCTTCAACATGTCCCGTGAACACGCCATATCGCTGTTCAGATGATGCAGCTAGAGCCGAACCCCGCTGCCAGGCTTGCCTTATACGTGCAAGACCTCGGAGAAATATGCCACAACCAGCTTCCCCACCTTAGCTGAGCTGGTACTGCTTCTCATTGGCTCCTATGCACGCCAGAAGCGTAACGGGCCTGGTCTCCCCCCGCCTTGATGTCGCTGCGTGCAAACCTTCCCGAAGCGCTGAAAAGAGACATTAAAGCCGACTTTGCCTACTCACATCATACCTGCGGTTTCATTCTCTCAGACCTTTCCAAAATTCCCAAGCTCAGACCACATGTCTTCGGTTCCCCGAACTCGCACTGGCTGTCAGGTAAGAAAATGATTCGCCATTGACTATTTGTCGCTGATGTAAGCCTACAGAGCTGTCGTGTAAGGTATGTGACCGAGTTTCCGGCCTGCATGCCGTGTGCAACTGGTGGCTAACTTCACTCCCTATCCAGGCATCTGAAATGTCAGTACCCACATTCTAGATCTCATTGGTGGGTCCAACTGATGGCGAAGAAATCTTGCAGGTGACGAACAGCGACCCTCATGCACTCGGTGTGCAAAGAGTGGCATTGAATGTGTAAGGGGCTACAACATCCGGTTCCGACATGGTCTCAACCCAAGGTAACACTGTGCCTCATCTAAAACTTCCTATTTGTGCGCGTAATCGACTAGTAGCCGGGTGATCCTTTCTCAAGTTGAGCCTGGCAGAATGGTCACGTCGAATCTTGGATTCTCCCTAGTGGACAGAGAAGACTGACGGACCAACAGCGTTGCTAACGTCAAAGGTTCTGGAATTGGGAAATGTGACTACGACTTCTCCAAAACCCAGCCGTGGTGTAAAATTACGCATAGCCTCAACTATGTCGACGAAACTCCCGAACTTCGAAACATTTACGACCATGATCAAGACGCGGACGACAACAGAGTCGTCACTCCCCCTGGATGGAGAGACCACGCCACCTTAGACTCCACCGACGACACAGCCGTCCGATCCCTGTCGCAATCCGTCGCAGTACGACCATGTCCAGAAACCCGTCAGAGGGTCAGCGAGGCCGGATCGTCTCCTAAGCGTTGCAGACTCGAGACGCCACACCGTGCGGAACCGTCGCACAAATCTCCCGGTCAGGAGAGCAGTTTCTTCAACCGGACCGCCACCAGGCTGAGGTCTGAGTCTTCACAAGTCGCGCCATCAGACATTGCCAGTCTCCATCTCAGCCCTCGCGATGGCTTCGCACCGCTAGAGCCTGCATCTTCGCTGGCGAGTAACTTTGCCACAGAGTTCCCCTCCATCTCAAGCAATGCCACGGCGTTGTCGCATTTATACTTGGACACGCCAATATGGCCTCTAGAAAAGAAGGAAGAGGCTGTTTTGCTGCGCTATTTTGTCGACAACCTGGCTTCCTCTTTCGACCTTTGCGATCCGGATCGGCATTTTCAACTCGTCGTGCCGCACAGAGCGGCGGTTTGTCCGCCTTTGATGAACGCCATACTGGCCGTGGCAGCGAGGCATTGGAGCAGAGTCGGAGAGTACGATCCATACGTCGCCGAAAGGTACCACTCGGAATGCTTAAAGCATCTGATTCCGATGCTGGATGAAACGGCGGCTTTGATGGACGAGAACCTGCTCGCGGCCACAGTGATGTTGCGTTTTTTGGAGGAGATTGATATCCCGGTGTCTGGGGACGAGTCTCAAAGCCACCTTCTGGGGACGCAGGTGTTCCTAACGGCACAAGAACGGTCGACTGTATACGGTGGATTAAGGCAAGCTGCGTTCTGGGTAGGGCTCCGGCAAGAGATATACATGGCGTTTGTCAACCAGCGAACAATCATCCCGGCTCTGGAGCACTGCAGCATAGATCGGACGTTTGACACAGCCAGCGACTGTGTGTGGGCGAATCGGATCGTGACGCACTGTGCGGACGTGCTGCGGTATTGTTTCGGTGATGGAGAGCAAACCGTGGCCAACTACAACAGACTGTTGGACTACTGTGACGGATGGTTCATGTTCAAGCCCCCGTCGTTTTCGCCCATTTTTTACCGAGTGCCTGACGGGGTGAAGGTTATCTTCCCAGAGATCTGGCTTCTGAGCGACGCTGTGACAACGGGGTTGCAACATTACCATCTTGCAAAGATCCTTCTCACGGCACATAACCCCAGAGTCCCCCGGCTGGGCCCCGGGCAGAAGCTCGCACTCACGAGGATAGATGTACGTCGATGGCGGGCAGGGTTTGATGCAGCTACTTACTCTCCCTCCAGGAACAAATCAAGGAAGACGTCCGGGCGCTATGCGGCATGGCCAATTCGAACTCGGGCTGTCCCCCAAACTACGTGTACGAGCCGTACCTGTTCAGACATCCACCGAAATTCAGCCCCGGCCGGGCTAACCCCGTTTATAGAACTGCGTCCATGGCCATCGCACTCGCCGGAGAGAGATTCACAGACGCAGCAGAACAAAAGGCCCTTATGGAAGTACTCGGCGTTTGCGAGAGGATGCACGCGTGGCCGACGCGAGTTGCGTGAGTGTCAAGTCCCCGTCCATGATGGCTAGTACTTCAAAGGCAAGGATGCATGCTGAAACCCAGCCAGTCAGATACAGTTGAAAGAGGCATGGGGATGGCCGATAGTTGGCGATGACTCGCATGTTGATGCAAGCAGGGTCAGCATTGACGGGTTGGTAAAGGCGCTGTCTTGATTGTCCTTGTGGATTTGGGAACAACTAAGCCTGTGCAAAATCAGTCCAACGCGCCACGGTATTTTTTTGCAACAAGTGTCGGTACTCTAGTTAGCACGTGGTGTGATAACATTCCCCACTGATGCGGTTGGGTACTAGCGCTTCATCAGTGGCGGGCAACGCAGAGGCAAGACACTACTGCTGCCGGGACGCTGCAGATTCTAGCGGCCGTGGGCGCCCCCAACCGAAACGGCACAGGCAGGATGACGCATGCGATGGACGAAGAGCATGTGGAGAAGTTCCTGAAGTGGTCAAGGTCCGCCACATGCTCCGCACTCTAGACGGTTGTGGCTGGGCTGGGCGGGTGGAGTAGGAAGGCAGGTCGGACTGGATTGCTGCATGCGCTGGTGTCGGAGAAGCTGGAGAAGCTGGAGAAGCTGCTGACGAGACGCATAGCCGCGGATCGTTTGGGAAGGTGGCGGGCGCCAGAGAGGGAAAATGGCCCCGCACCTTCCCCAGACTTACTCGCGTCTCCCCACAATCGCAGCCCCGGCCTGACGCACAAACTCCCGCCGCGGACGCGCGGGATCCAGATTGCAGCCAGCCATGCAGAAGGGGGAAGACCCAAGTTTTGGAGGCTCTTGCGGTCTCGGTGCCGGAAATGGTGGGGTTGAGGGACCACGGCCGCCTCTCCCAGCGCTGGCCTCTCCACACGCCAAAATGGGAAGCCGGCTCCGGTGCTTCTTTTCTATATCAACGTCCAGCAAGGCCCAACAATGTCACCGTCCACATGCCAGCGCGCCTCATGCACTTTTCATGACATATTGCCATTGACGTTTACCCTTACGCGGCTGTCTTCGTTTTGGTTGTTGCTTCACGATACCCGCCCACTATGGCACACATCCTCTCAAATCCTGCCTTCCAGGAGACTCTGAAAGAGCTCTCCAAAGCCGCAACACCGCAAAACTATGCCGACGTTGCCGCTCTCGGCGTCATCGTCCTTGGCTCTGCCGGCTACCTCCTGCGCAAATACACCTGGGACAAGCCCGACCCTTACGACTACATCTGGTACGAGCGCCCGCAGTTGAAGAGCGGCCGTGTGCTCAACCCCAACAAGGAGACGCGCAACATCGCCCAGAAGCTTGACGAGACCAACAGAGATCTCGTCATCTTCTGGGGCTCGCAGTCCGGTACGGCCGAGGGCTTCGCCAACCGCCTTGCCCGCGAATGCCACCACCGCTTCGGCTTGGAGGCCATGGCCGCCGATTTGTCCGACTTTGATGCCGACACCATCTCGCTCATTCCCGAGTCCAAGCTTGCCATTTTCATCTGTTCTACCTTCGGCGAGGGTGACCCCAGTGACAACACTGCCGGCCTCTGGGACTATCTGCTGAGGAGCAACCATGTTTCGCTGAAGAACTTGCGCTACTTTGCCTTCGGTCTCGGAAACAGCAATTACAAGTACTACAACCGCGTCATCGATGTCGTTGTCGAGCAGCTCGACAAGTTCGGCGCCCGCCCCATGCTGCCCGTTGGCAGGGCTGACGATGCAGAGGGTGGCACCGAGGAAGACTTCATGGCCTGGAAGGACCAGCTGTTCGCCGTCTTCAAGACCGAACTCAAGCTTGAAGAGCGTGAGATCAGCTACGAACCCACTCTCGTCGCCGTCGAGGATGAATCTCTCGACTCCATCGACCTTCACCTCAGAGAACCTATCCACCCGCGGGACAACCCCAAGGCAGCCGCAGCCTGCTCCCCCATCAAGCCTTTGACGATCCGGAACCCTCGCGAGCTGTTCCACACCAAGGACCGCAACTGCGTGCACATGGAGCTTGATCTCTCCAACCACGTCGAGGTCAGATACAAGACGGGCGACCATCTCGCTGTCTGGCCCACCAACCCGGACGCCGAGGTCGACAGCCTCCTTGCCGCCCTCGGCCGGGCGTCTCGCGCCGAAATCCCCATCTCCATCAAGTCGTTGGACCCGACCCTCAAGGTCAAGGTGCCGACCCCCACCACCACCTTGGCGCTCTTCCGCTACTACCTTGAGATCTGCGCACCCGTCTCGCGCGACACCGTCCTCTCACTCTCGCCATTCGCACCCACGCCGGAGGCGAAGTGCTTCCTGTGGTCGCTGGGCAGGGACAAGACGACGTACGCGCAGTATCTCTCCCACACGCACCTCACCCTGGGCCGACTCCTCACGCTAGCCTGCCCAGGGCAGACGTGGACGTCACTGCCACTCTCCTACGTGATCGAGACGCTACCGCGTCTGCAACCGCGCTACTACAGCATCTCCTCGTCGTCCGTCATCTCGCCGCGCCACCCCAGCATCACCGCGCTCGTCAGCACCACGCCTCTCACGGCCCCAGCCGTCGACAACAACAACAACACCACCGCCGCCCCGCCCCCAGTCATCCCAGGCCTCACATCCACCTACCTCCTCGCACACGCCCACCACCACCCCACCAACCCATCCAAGGCCTCGCCCCACCCCAACCTACCCGGCCTCACCTACCCGCTCTCCCTCTCCTCCTCCTCCTCCTCCTCCTCCGACAGCACCACCACCGCCACCGCAACACCCCCGACGCTCTACGCCCACATCCGCAAATCCAAATTCAAGCTCCCCGCCTCCGCGTCGACGCCGCTCATCATGGTCGCCGCCGGCACGGGCCTCGCGCCCTTTCGCGGCTTCGTCGCCGAGCGCGCGCGCCTGCACTCGCTCTCGCTCTCGCTCTCGATCGCGAGCAAGGGAAAGGGCAAGAGCGTCGGCAGGATGCTGCTCTTCTTCGGCTGCCGCCGCGCGGACGAGGACTACATCTACCGCGAGGAAATCGAGGGGTGGGTGCGGGAGCTAAACGGCGGCGGTGGCGGGGAAGGCGATCTGCTGCAGGTGGTCACGGCGTTCAGTCGCGAAGGTGGTGGTGGCGGCGGCGAGCCCGGGCGCTACGTGCAGGATCGCGTGGAGGAGAGGATGGAGGAGGTGTTGGGGCTGTTGGGGGAGGGCGGCGGGGCGAGTTTTCATGTGTGCGGGCGGGCGGGGATGGCGAGGGAGGTGGGGAGGAGGGTGGGTGAGGGGATGGGGAGGAGGGAGGGGTGGGGTGAGGGGCGCGTGAGGGAGTGGTGTGAGGGGTTGAGGAGGAGGGGGAAGTGGTTGGAGGATGTTTGGGGCTGAATGAAAGAGAGAGAGAGAGAGAGAGAGAGAGAGAGAGAGAGAGAGAGAGAGAGAGAGGCGCCTGTTAATGGCTACGCGGTTTTGTTTTGTACCGTGCTGCCGACGAAGTTTATTTCGATTTGGGTTGGGATATTATATGGAAGGAGCCTAGGCGTTTGATAGACAGACACAAAGACGGCGTTTACATGACATACATCTTTTCTTCTTCTTCTTCTTCTTCTTCTTCTTCTTTTACAATATCATTTGCTCATTAGATTGATTTCATCATCATCATCCGAAACGGGGGTTTAAAAAAAGTACAAAGGCGTGTGTGTTTCCGCCCAGAAACCGATCTCCCCTTGATCACAAGCCCAACGGATTGTGCCCCGTCTGCTCCTTGCCGCCAAACGGCTCCTTGTCGCGCTGGGCTTGCTTGCCGAAATCCTCGGCCCGCTTGTCGCCGCCCATCATCTGCGACCGCTCCTTCTCCTCGCCCACGACGGGGTCCAGCAACGGCTTCGTGACGCCCCCCACCGTCCCCGTCACCGGCTTCGTCACCGTCCCCACCACCGCGCCCACCGGCGACAGCACCTTGCCGAGCCCTTGGCCGACGGGGTCGAGGCCCTTGGCGAGGATGCCTGTGTGGGGTTCGCTGTCAGCTACGACGCTGCGCTGGTGCTTTTGTTGTTGTTGTTGTTGTTGTTGTTGTTGTTGTTGTGAAAGAGGATGGTGTTTGGAGGGAAAGGGACGAGAAGTAAGAGAGGGGAAACGACCGGGAGGAAAGGGTGTTGTTAGTGGGCAGGCGGGGTGGAGGGAGATTCAAAACATGCCAAAGACGACGTACCGCTAGGCTGGTTGCCCTCCTCGTCGTTCGAGTTGTTGACGTTGGACATTCTTGACGTGGTTCGTAATGTGGCTTCTGGTTTTTTGTTGCTTCGATTTTCCCCCAAGGTTTTGGTGGCGGAAGATAGGTGGCAGTAGCAGTAGTAGTAGCGTTTAGAGATGATCAGTTCTGGAGGGGAGGGGGGCCAGACCTGGTTCTAAAGTATCCTACCGGCTGACATGGATGTCGTCCTTGTTCTAGTTCCCAGGTTTTCCGCGCACTTGCGTCAAGCTCCCTGTACAACAACGTTTTGGTGGCCAGGCGGGGCCCATGTCGGCCGCAGAAGCCGATGATGTCATGGCGGCACCCAGCCCGAAACAGGGAAACCGACGTCGCACAACGCTACGTGACAAGGAGAGCTGTCATAAGTGGACGTCTGAGCTGGTTGATTGGTGAATGGTAGACTGCAAGGGACCGTCGCTGGGAGGCCTACTCTCTACTACTACTACAGGGACTCATGTCTGGTTTAATCCCTGAGACGACACCTCATCTTGCAGTCAGCTCGGAGCCGCGACATCTTCCAACATTTGTGCCAATCGCTAGTTCCAAGCGCCAATGCTGAATTATTGAGTGACCTGACATTCTTTTCGTCTCCGCGCCCATCAAGAACTGACTGCTATAGCCATCCGGGCTTGTTCAAACCGAACCATTACCCAATCCATGTTCAACACGCCCATGACCCGTCGCCACCCCATATGCACAAAAAGCCCTCCGTCGGCAAGAGAGATATACACCGCACACAAACAAAAAGAATGAGGAAAGAATAGGCGAAACAAAACATCCAACGAGTCGCAGTAGCCGGCCAATCTTGCCTCTACCCGCTCTTCCTGTCTCATCCATGCGAGACGTTGCAGGCCATGAGTCGTCTCCTCTCCAGCTTACACTCCTTCTTCCATCCCAACGTTGCGCCACCACGCTGCCTCCAGGCCTTCGTTGACCATGCTCTCAGCATCGCCGACCTGGCGTCTCTCGTTGATTTCCCAGCTCATGGTGTTGTCAACCTTGAGGCGCTTCACGCGGCTCGCCATGGCGATGGCCGCACTCCTCGCGCTTATCGACTGTCCCGACTGCCGCGTCAATCCTTGGAGCATGGTTTTCTGGTTTATAGGGCTTCTGCGTTCCCATTCGCTCCTCCTGACTGGCAACTGTCATTGCAAAGGCTCCGACGAGGACGAGAGTCTGTTGAGATGCAGGTACACGTCCGTTCCGTATCTGGATAATGTCAGTCAGAAGCTCGTCCACCGTCGGTTCGGAGCTGTTGACAAGCACTCACCCCTCCATGCTGATCAGCTTCAGGTCGCCGCCAAAGTACCGTGCGTAGAGTCTACTGATGGGCAAGCCGTATCCAAAACCAGCCATTGGCGCCTTGAAGTCGCTCTTGTTGAAGTCCGGATCCAAGTTGGGGGTCTGGTCTACCGTGGTGTACATGTACGTCCAAACGAGCGGGATGGCACTGCGCGGAATGCCGCCTCCCTCGTCCGAGATCTTGATCGTGATGTCCTCCTTACCCTCTGCCACGATGACCTTGGTCACCGGGAATTCCTCCTTGTCCTGGCCGTGTCTCTCGACAACGGCGCGCAACGAGTTCTTCAAGGTTTCGAAGAGCATGTGCGACAAGTGTCCCGGGACGTACATGAAGTGGATGTTCGGGTCGCAGATCAGCTGGATTTTCGGAGCGTCGAACAGGCCGTAGTGATCCTCGCAAACGAACCGCGCGTTCTCAATGGCTTCCATTGCCAGCTCGCGTACGTTCGTCTTGGTGCAGATGATGCCGACATAGTTGGGGTCGCTGCGTTGCCGCTGGTCCGTCAACGCAATGTGTTGTCCGATGAGCATACGAATACCAATACGCGACATGTAAAACCGGTCGAGGAAAGCTTGGACGTTGTGGTCAATTTGCATCCGCTGTTGTTTCCGCTTCCATTCGAGGATACCCTGGGCTTTTTTTCACATGTCAGCCAAGCAACACCTGCAGAAACTAGCACCCTCAACATACCGACAGTCGTCACCACACTGTCGTGGCGGCGCTTGATCTTCTCCAGCGTTTGAGCAAACTTGAGGTTGTACTGGTGCAGTTCAGGCGGCCATTCCTGGCCGTCGTCCGCTGCGACGTAGTATCTCTTCGCCGCAGCCACTTTGCCGCCGCCGTTGCCATTGCCGTTCTCGTCGAAACCCCTCGGCTCGGAGCGGTATTGGCCTTTGGTGATGCTGGGGTTCGGAGTGGTCTGGCTGAGGATTCTTGACTCCTTGCTGGCCTTCTTGGCAGGCTTCAAGAGGCGTTCGCGCACCTCTTGGGTCAGCTTTGGGCGGGAAAGGGTGACGAGCTCCTAATCATATCACGGGCGTCAGAAGAAGCGAAGAGCACAGGATTCGAGGCCTCGGCACTTACCTCGAAGGATTGGGCGTACCAGTCCTGCACGCGCTTGATCGAGGGCATCTCGTTCAAGCCGTCGGGCAGTTCCTCGAGTTCCTGCACGCGGTGGGCAAGCCGAATGGGGAGCTCTTCGGAGAGGAACTGAGAGGCGCGGAACAGCGTTCCTGGGGGGATGTTGTTAGTGCAGCCCTTGGAATCGCGCCGGAGGGCTGTTGGTATACCGGTGGAGGGACGCTCGCCAAACTGGACCATCTGGCGCAAGCTGACCCCGGTGGCAGGGAAGCCAGCATAGTGCCGGATGGTGTTCATGAGCTCAGCCGTCTTCTTCCAACTCATGGCGGGAGCAGCTGCGCGGCCTCGCAGCGCGCGGATGGGGGGTCAAATCGTATATGGAGCGCGCCAGGGTGGTGTCGCGGGACGGTGGTGAGGGCGGGTGTCTGGTTCTCCGGCGGCGCGCGCTGGTCCCCGCGACTAGGAGCTCTCGGGGAGGGACCGAGGTATGGGCGAGCGCAGGGCCGGTCTGCACAACGGCGGGGCTGGGGCGCGCTGGCTGATGCAGGGGCTCGGGCACGGCGCAAGCTGCAGCACAGTGCAGACTGGTGGTGTTCAGGAGAGCGCTCGCTGGAGAGGCACGAGAGCAGGCGACGTGGGCGTGGGCGTAGGCGTGGGCGTGGGCGTGTGGGGAGTCATCGGCTTCTTTTTCTGGAGCTTAGAGAACGCTCCCGTCTGCCCGCATCGTCTTCCCCGCCTTAGCCGCCCCAAGCCAAAACCCAACTCTACGCACCAATGTCTTCACGTGCCAACCCGCGTGCGAGCTACTCGGGTTTCAGCGCCCAGCTGACACGCAAAAGCGCCTGCGGATCGTGGCCTTGCTTGACCGCTCAGGCCGACCGCCGCGCCGCCAAGGTTGGTGGAGCGGCGCGCAGCAACAACAGCTACGCATGTACATACATACAGGACCTGCACGCGCACTTCCCTCGGCATGCAATTGCTGGTCGGGTCCGCTCGGGTCTGGCCGGGTCGAGGGAGAACAATAGCCGTACGCGTGGTGCCGCCCGAGTGTTTCCTCTGCTGGCGGGCGCCTCCAGCTTTTGGGAGCCTGCAAGGGACTCGCTGCCCATTAGCCCGAGCCTCAGGCTGCGCTGCGCAGGGAAAGAGAGCATGTGCGTTGCAGTAATTTTTGCCGCACACGGGCGGGAAAAAATACCGCGCAGCCAACGCCGGCTGGCTGGCGGGCGAGCAGGCGAGCAGGCGAGCAGGGCGCGCGCAATAATGAGCCGCATCAGCAACGCCCAGCTGTGTCGCTCGGCTGGGCGGGATCAGACTGCCGTTGCAGGTGTCGATTTTCTTCTGGAAAGCGTCTGACGCAACCCTTTCCCAAACTTTAGCGTCCGCACATGGCGTCTTCTGCGGGTACATACTCCGCACCAGATCTGCGTCGACTCGCAACCACGGAGCGCCCGTGCAACACGTCCTTTCAGACTTGCGCAGCCAAGTCACAATGCCCAGCTACCAAGACCGCTCTGCGACGACGCTATCGCCATGAAACCTCCTCCTCTCTATCCGCTCTTCACCAGATAGCCCGTGCAGTAAGGCAGCACGCTCCACGTCTCCAAGCCCTTCAGCTCCACCTCGGACCATCCGCCCTTTCCCCCAGCATCCAGCAGCATCGCCCTCGTGTCTCGGTCGATGTTGCAGCCAAGAAACAGATGCCATCCCGCCCACGCGTACACCGTCTGCAACACCCTCGAGACGAAGCTGCCACCCGTCTCCCGCCAAGGATTCACGACGTGCTCGTGCACCACCATCCTTCCGCCCGGCTTCAGCAGCTTGTACAATCCCTTGATCGTCTCTTCCGGCCGTGGCACGCCGCATAGCACCCTGATGCAGCAGATCTCGTCGAAGATGCCCTCGGACCCATTCTGAAAAAGACCCGCGTCTGCCAGCGCCGGGATGAGGCTCTCGGGCTGCGCACCTGCATGCAGCACCTTGTACTTGTCCTCAAGACCCGCCTTCTTGGCATTGGCCCTCAGCCTACCGTGGAACTGCTCTGCCGGCTCGGCGCCGTAGACGCGCGTCAAGTGCGACGGCGTGAGGCGCACAAGCTGTTCTGCGAGAACGAATTGCTCCCACGTTAGCGGGGCCTATCTCAGGATGTCGAGTGTTTGCGTACCACCAGTGCCGGGCCCAAGGTCAAGGACGGTGCCGCGCAGGGAGCGCATGAGAGCGACAGCATCGTCAGCCATGACTTCGGACATGGACTCGCCTGTTGAACAGCATAGTCAGTGGCTGGACCCCTAGGAATCGATTGCGGTAAGTTGATTCGTGTCACCGTATGCCATCCAGAAACGAGAGAAGGCGCGGCCGCGCAGCTTGGAGAGTTGCAGAAGGAGGCCAGGCTCATGCTGGACGATGACGGTGTCAATGATGGTCAGGATGAATTCTTCAATGCGGTACGGTCAGCTAGAAGGTCCAACGCGGCAAGCGGTGCGGTATGACGAACGGTACACTCCCAAGACGATGAGATGGGCTGGTGCAACGGTGCGCACCAGCTTCTCTTTGATAGTGGCTCCGTCCATTGCAACAACCATGTTTTTGTGGTTCGCGAGATTCGGTCGAGTTCCAATGGAAACCGTCGGTTCTTTGTGGGAAGTCCTGAGATACTTGTACCGCTCCGGGAGACGCGTTCCGCCTCATCAGTAGTGGGGGCTGGCTTCTGCTCCGCCAATTAGTCATTACTTGCGGTTATCCGATCTCAATCCCTGGCGCGGAGCGGAGCGGAGGAGCGGCTAAGCGAGCGGAGAGAGGTCCCACGGTCCTACCCATGTTCCACGCTGAGCCTTGCACATGCGCGCCAACATACACCCAGCTGACTCATCCATGGCTGGACATGCATCGCAGCCGGGGGCAGCAACAGTCGATACGAGTAAAAGCAGGATTCCCTCCAGGCAGCAATCCTATCAACAGAGGCGACAGGGCGCATATTTCGCCTCTTTGCCCTTTTTTGCCGCCGGAACCAACATCACGCTGCAAGCCGTGAGTCTGGATTCGCCAAACCCCACTGATGGCGCGTTCAGGCAGCAATGATCGACTTTCTCGTGCTCCTTTGGTCGAGCTAAGCCATACTTTGCGCGTCGTTCGCCATGACAGCCATTACAGCAAAGTCAGCTTCCCGTGTATATCAAGTGCTTACTAACCCGTACTTCGACAATCCAGTCCTGAACGACGCCCATTTCCATGTTCTGCTGATTAGCCCGCTTTTTGGCATACAAAACCATCCTCACGCGGACTCCTCGGGTGAGTGAGCTGGTTTGTGTTTCGCTCCCCACTTTCATCTTTCTTTCGATAAGCCGAGCCATAGCACTTCCTGGGGATTGCGAACTGATGGATTAGAAGACAGCTTATTCGTGCCTGTTTTGGCACGTTGGAAAAACTTGTATTGCGAACCGCAACACGCGGCATACTTCCCCGCACACTCATCAGCTTGCGTACGATCCAGACAGACCCGGTTCTCTTTACAGACTGGCCTGCCTTTTCTGGTCACTGTCGTCGACCCCGCCACCCCCCCATCACATGTAGCAGGGATCATATATCCCTCGAACCCTGGTCCATGTGGTACTAGGCTCCAACGCCGTCTTTGCACCCTTGTTCTTGCGTCTCCCGGCATCCACGAGGCTCTGCAACCAATAAAAACAGCCTGTCCCGCAGCCAACGGCCAATTGAATCGTTTCTCAAGGACCCTCTCTATCTTACTAGCCACCAACATACCCATGAATCCGTTTCAAGCCCCACCTCAGTACCCGCCCCGGAAACTAATCTCTCCATCTATGTTGCAGTTGGACGGTTCGCATCCTCAGCAGACGCCAGGAACCGCATCTTTCCAGGGCAATCCGCTGAGTGGTACCGCGTTAGCTTCGCCAATGTACCACTGTGGCGGAAACATCTTGGCCGCTTCGGCATTTTCATCCAAACCACACACCTACGAGCCGTCCTCTCGCCATGACCTTTACGAGGGCAGCTCTGTTGATTGGTCGATTTTCGATGGCGTGGACTTGACCACACCCTCGACCATATCGACTGTTGGAAGCTCTGATTCAAGACTATCAAGTTTCCAGCGCCACTCCGCTTCGGATACCGCTCGGCTTGATTTCACGCCTAGAACTTCTTCCGAAAACTCCTTCTCACGAATGGATGTTGAGGAAGTCACCACGCCTATTGATGCGAAAGCAGCAGATCTTTGCCACCGATGGCTCTCCAACTTCTCTCCTTGCTGGCCCGAGGACAAAGACTTTGCGGCCTTGCAGCAGCTTACTGGTGAATCCATTACTCGGATCAAAATTTGGTTTGGCCAACGACTGTCCCAACCCGCGCCGCTCCCACCATCCTCTTCTTTCTCGAGTACGAGCAACCAATATCTTCAGCTCGTGTCCCCCCCATCATCATCGCCACCAACCCCTTTCCACTCTTTACCAAACGCCGAAGCACCTGCTTCCCGGAACATCAGCCCTCCGACCAACCATCACCACTCGCGAGCCTTCAAACCACAGACCCATCGCTGCACGCCGACCGACAGCCCAGAGCGTCTCCACACCCAGGATCCATCCCGTCCCTTTCAGTGCACGCGTGCCTGTGGCCGCGTCTTCCCGCGCAAAGGCGAATGGATCAAACACGAGCAAAAGAGCCGTCCGCAGCGCATCTGGCTGTGCACCGTCGGCGCCGCCACCGCACCGCCCTCCGCCTCCGCGGAGCAAGCACCCGACCAGCGCCACCGCTGTGCCTCGTGCGGCGCGCTCGACCCCACCAGCTCGCACTTTGTCACCGACCACTGGGAAGACGAGGGCGAGGGGAAGAGGTGGTGCCGGAAGCAGTTCATGCGGAAGGACCATCTCGTCGTTCATTTACGGACGGTGCACGGAGTGGATCGGGATGCCGGGCTGGGGCACTACGGGGCTGTGGGTGAGCTGGAAGTTGGGGAAGAGCTGGAGGGGTGGTATTGCTGGTGTGGGTTTTGTCGAAGGAAGGACTGCTTCAAGGGGTGGAGGGAGAGGATGGATCATTTGGGCCGGCATTTCAAGAAGGACGGGCTTACCATGGGAGATTGGCGGGTCGGGCCAGGGCAGAAGGCTGATGGAGACTGAATGACTATTTCGGAGCTGCATCAGTAACCTTCGACAGTGATCGAACATTGAACGGATGGGCAGGCCAAGCCCAGTCGACCGTCTGCACCACCAAGATTCGTCTTTTACGATCTTTGCTCTCGGTCCATTTCCCTTGAAGAATGGCGGAAGCCTTGCATCATTCATGTGTGTGCTGCGGGCGTCAAGTGATTTTTGCCATTTATACATACCCTTTGGAACCCATGATGGATATGACAGGGAAGGATGAGTCACAGCAGGAGATGAAATACGCAATGGCTCTGAAGTGCAGGAAGACATATTTTGATGAAGCTGGAAAAACGTCCTCTAGATTCGAGCTGGTTGATTTTAGTAGAGCTACCCCCCTGATCGAGCTCAACATGTGACGGTGAGGATGAGTGCACGCGAGGTCAGACTTAAACGATGGGATTGTGTCTGGCTGTGATGATAAAATAACAAACTCTCGTGAGGTCGTTCTGAAGGCGAAATGGCCAAGTTTTATCGACACCGAATTCCTTCAATACCCGCTGCATACTACCGCCGCCTCGTCATAGGCCATTTTATACAGCAATCGCAAGGGACCACACAACAATGTGATTTGCGAGTCCATTCCGGACACGAAACAAGTGAAGCGCCCGCTCGACATAAGTTCCCGGTAAAATCTCTCATGAGGCCAAAGGTTGGAAAGGCTCTGCCAAGCCTGTGGTGTTGGTTCTCCACTCGGCAGTGTTGGTAGAAAATCATCTGCATAACGTCGTGGTTCGGTTTTTCTCCTTGGTGTATATCTCTGGGTGGGCTCCGCGCGCCTTGCTCGATTGGAATCGTGGCAGACGTCACCATTCTTCGCAAAATGAACGTGTCGACCAGCACCGCCGTAGATGGCTGGCCGAGCAGTATGCAGCCAGGCTGACTGACTCTCGCAACTGCATCACGAGAACAAGCTGTCTTTCCTCTCATGCTTGCCGCCAGCACCAGCAGCGGGTTTGATGGGAACGACAGCCGGCTGCGAAGCCTGCTGGTTCTTCTCGGCCCAATGCGTCCTCCGGCTCCGCTTCTGCTCCTGCTGCGGCACGAGCATGATGAACAGGAGGATGTGCAGGGACAGGACCAGCGCGGATTTCACCACCAAGGACTGGACCGAGGAGAGCGGGCTGACGAAGTCGACGAGGGAGGACTGCATGGTGGGGTCGAGAGCAACCATGATTGAGTAGCAGGGATTTCTGGTAGTAGTCGCAAGAATACGAGGAAGCGGGTCGCAGCGACGTTGGTATAAAGATGGCTGGCGATGAAAGCCAACGATAAGCACCTTTTCAATCCTCCCGCGCAGCGATGCGGTAAGCCGGAATCTTTATACGTAAAGCGGCCGTGGCTCGACCTTCCTCGGTTCGAAGAGCAATCAAGACAATCGGCGGTCGAGAATGCAGTGTTGGCGAATAAGATGCGTGACTAACGGCCCGCTCCTCTCACAAACCGCCCGCAACCAGCGACAACGGCTGCCCTTGTCTAGCGGAGCGCAAAAACACAGCAAGTAAAGGCTCAGGCCCACGAGTGAGACAAGACACATGGACCTTACGTCAAAAAGGCGCACACGATAAGTTTCCGTGAAACACAAGCTGCCCGCTTCAATGCTATCAAGCCATCAAACGTCGTCATCGGCAATCACTTGCGCAAAGCGGGGGCACCCCCGTGGTTTTTACGTGAACGATAAGAGAAATGCGGACAGACCATCTTATCAAAGCAAGCAGGGACCATCCCTTGCATGCATCGCAGCTGCATGGGCGCATCATGCACGGTGGAGCTCGTCCCCGCCGACATCGGCGAGGCTTCTGGCCGTGCGGGGGCATCGTCGTCACTTGCCCTGTTTCTGTTTCACGCCCTTTTGTCGTCGGCGGCCAGTAGTAGCCGCCGGCCGGGGCGAATTAAGCGGCCGGCGGAGCCCGAATTAGACGACCAAGCTCGTCGACGGCGCTGTGCCCGAAACACCATCGGGACGGCGGACTTGGAGTCTGTATAGACATCTTGGACGTTCTGGAGGGTTCGTGAGCACGCTTCCGAGGCAGAAACCGCCCTGGGCCGATTAGATAGCCGTGCCACACTCGGCTTCCACGCCCGCTCGCTTCGAATCCGATCCAACCGATCATGCAAACCCCGGGAGGACCGCTGGCTTTCCGAAGCGACCATCCATCAAACTGCAGACAAAAAGGCCCGGCAACCACCGGCATTTTGAAAAGTCCTTTCGTCCTTCTTGCTCCTTTCCTAGGTGATACCCAAAAATCTCTCCATCGAGAACCGTGTTCTTGATTTCCTGCAGCCTTATCCAAACCGTCCGTTCCATCCAGTTTTCCTTCCACATCAAAACTCAGCACCCGTACCGGACCCCTCCTGGTCGTCTGGAGAGAAGAAGCAACAGCCCACGCCGTGCTCGTCTCTCTCTCTCTCTTTCTCTTTCTCCACCATGGCCTCCTCAGACCCTCCCACGTCAGACGAAGAACCCAGCTCGACCAGCTGGCCCACCCCCCTCAACCCCAAACCCGACATCCTCGTCATCCACTCCCACACCCGCACGCCCGTCGAGCCCATCCTCCCCGCCTCGACCTGGGCCCGCCTCCACCACCTCTTCACCATCCACACCCTCCCCCCCACCATCACCACCATCCCCGCCTTCCTCTCCCACCTCTCCCACAACTTCTCCAGCAACGAGAAGAACAACTCCTCCTCCTCGGACGCAAACACAAACCCAGCCAAACCCGCCCTCCGCGCCATCCTCCGCACCGGCTGGCTCAAAGCCGGCCCCCACGCCGACCTGCGCCTCTTCGGCACCGACGCCGCCGCCCGGCTCCCCGCCTCGGTCGAGTTCGTCACCTGCTCGGGCCACGGGCACGACGCGGCCGACGTCTCGGCGCTGGCGGCGCGCGGCGTCGCGTACGCAAACACGCCCGACACGTGCACCGAGGCGGTGGCGAACGCCGGGCTGCACCTCGTGCTGGGCGCGTTTCGGTATTTCAGCTTCGCGGAGAAGTGTGCGCGGGGGGAGGAGGGGAAGGGGAGGGGGAGGAGGAGGAGGAGGATGAGGGGATGCGGCAGCGGTGGTGGTGGAGAGGGGGAGGAGGACGACGACGACGACGACGACGAAGACGAAGACGAGCACGCCCTCACCTGGTACGACTCCAGGCAGCTCGGCGCCAAAGCCGAGGACCCGTGCGGAAAGGTGCTGGGCGTCGTCGGCATGGGCGACATCGGCACGCGCATCGCCGTCAAGTGCGCCGCCGCGCTGGGCATGCGCGTGGCGTACCACAACCGGCGGCGGAACGCGGCGGCTGAGGGGAAGCTGGCTGCGTTGGGGTGTGAGGCTGTGTATCACGACACGTTTGAGAGTCTGCTGCGGGAGGCGGATTGCCTGTGTCTGGCCTGCCCCCTGACGGATGAGACGAGGGGATTGTTGGGGAAAGAGACCTTGCGGCTGGTCAAGAAGAGCGGGGTGCGGGTGGTGAACATCGCGCGTGGAGGCCTGATTGATGAGGACGCGTTGATCGAGGCCATGGAGGATGGCCGGGTGCTGGGCGTGGGCTTGGACGTGCATGCCAATGAGCCGGGCGTCAACCCGAAACTGAGGGACAACTGGATGACGACGCTGTTGCCGCACATTGGGGTTTGCTCCAACACGACATGGCGAGAGTTTGACCGGGTGACGTTTGAGAACCTGGAGAACTGGTTCTACGGCGACAGATCCAAAGTGCCGATCGTGAACTTTTGAAATGCTAAGTTTCCAGGGCCGGTATTTCGCCAGATGAACATGACTACAGGCGATCAAGATCAAGGCAACAACCACATTGAAAGGTTAATGTTCGTATACGTTGGGTATCAGCAGTCATTCTCATGTCCCTCGTCCTTTCCTTCTTGTTCGTCTTTTCCTCACAGTCCATTGAAACCCGTTTGTAGCTCACCCGATTCCCAAGCAAAAGCCCATGGCACGGAATTCTCTCCGGTCATCCCCAGCGTTCCCGGACTCCATTGATGGTCTGGCTGGGTCAAAAAATCCTGAATGTACGGATCATCCAGCGGAGCTGTGCCCGCGTCACTACCCGCCGGACCTGGAGACAGCCCGCCTCCATTTGTGGCCTGCAAACTCTTGATGAACTGATTGACAGAGGCTGAAACATGATTCCGTTCGCCAGCTGCCAGGTTCATATCCAAAGTCGGGGGCGTGTGTTGTTGCAGGTTGGTATGAGGAGAGGGTGGTGAAGCCTTGTGGAGGAGTTCAGGGGACACGTGCGGCTCAAGTTTGAGACCAGCATCGAACGATGGCCGATGCTCTTGAGGCGTAACCCCATTGAATTCATGCGGCGCATCACCTCCGTTGCCACACATATCATCCAAATCCTTCTGCAGCAATGCAAGACGTTCGCAGTATTCACTCGCAGGAAGGTTGCCATCATCAGCCATGGACTGCAGAAGACTCCAGGCCAGATCAATCGAGTCCTTGTCAAACTCAGATGGGTTGAGGATATTAGACATCAGCAGAACAATGGAGCTGCTGAAGATGTAGTGGGCATCAAAGTACCCGAACGTTGCAATTGCACCATCGATCCAGAGCTGGGCAAGGAGCTTGTTGCTGCTGCGAGCTGCGTGGATGCATGCTTCGCTGAGAGCGGCGGTCATGGGAGAAAGGGGTCGCGTCGTGTTTGGAGAGGCAGCGGAACCAGCAGGGCGAACGTGGTATTTGAAGACGTAGAGAAGAATCGGACGGGTTGTGAGAATGATGCACTACCAAGTGTTAGTTTTGTGTTGCGTTAATGATGTGGTCGTCCGTACCTGATTGAAGTGAAGACGCAGCGAAGCAATCGATCGAGTTTTGTACGGAGGAGAGACTGTGGGGTCAAGCCTCAAGCTCGCAGGCAGCGTTGCATCCCACTCCTTGAGGCTGTTCAGGATCTTGTGAACGTTGCGGACAAAGTTGATCTCTTGCTGGGCGCCTGGTATGCTGTAGATGAGGTTGAGAATGTTCCCAGTTATCCGCGAAAGCTTGACGGTGGCGATCAATTGCTCGGCGTCCAGGAACTCTTCCCGTTCCGCTGGAGAAAGCCCATCAGTAGACGGCAGAGGCGTGTCAATATCCTCGTCACGGATCATGACAGGATGCCCCAACTTGGAGCTGCACATGCGGTCAAAGGTGTACACGGTCCACCACACTCGCCGGCGGTTTTCAATTTCGACAGCGCTGATGCTCTTGTCGTAAGTGAGGTTGCGATGAAGGCCGAGAGTAAGACTGAGACGGAGGGCAAGACCGGCGTAGGTGTACGCCGTGTTCTTGCGGTTCAAGGCGTGCGAGTAGAAAGACTGGAAGACGGTTAGCTGGCTGTGGCTTGTTGTCTGCGTTCTCCCAACCCACCATGATCAACAGGGTTTCAATGTAGTCCACATCCGCCTCCTCGTGCAGGTCCTGGAAGAGAGACATGGCTTGCAGGAAGAACGCCGTTCCAGGTACCGTTCTCCTGTTGCCAGCCACGGCCGTCTTCTTGGAATACAGCTCGCCCAACGCGAAAACCACAAACAGTCTGCAGAGAAAGACGGGATCGTCGTGCGTCTGCGCAGTGTACATCTCGTCCATACGTCTCAAGAAGCTTTTCCTTTGGATGAGGTGGTAGTCGCTCCCTATGAAGCGCAGGACGACCTGCACCAACATGCGGGCATACGTCTTGTTCGGCAGCTGGAACTCGGTATTGGCAATGCGCAGCAGGCCGCGGTGCTTGTAGCACACCATGCGGCGCGGCTGAGGCACCATGTCATTTCCCTTGACGTAGAAGCGCAGGCGGGTGCCGAACGCGGTGCAGGCGGCGCCACCGATGTACAAGGGCTTGCCAGCGGCGCGATCGAAAGGAGCGGGGCGCTGTTGCTGGACATGCTCCTCGAGGAGGGGATTGGCTACGTCGACGTTGGCGACGTCGACGTCGCTGTCGTCAGCGGCGGTGTCTTGGCGGGACTCGTCCTGGGAAGGCGGGGTCGGCGAAGTGCGTTTGAGGGCGGCATTCTCTGCCTCGAGCTTCTTGAGGTAGCTGGGCAAAGTCAGCACGGCCACCGGGGGCTGGGGTGGAAGTGGAAGACGCACCTCTCAGAGATGACGACCTTCCGATCTCGGACCGGGTAGACGCATTGGCTCGAATTGTTGGACTTCCTGCAGCTGCGGCAGGGCGTCTCGCCCGAGCACTTGATCTTGTGCGAGTGGCAGCGGTGACAGCTGCGCGGAGCCGTCGGTCAGCACATCGTGGGGAACGGAGGCTTCTTGTGGGTACGCACGCAACATAGCTCCGGCGCAGCTTCTTGGTGGGCGGCTCGCGGGTGGCGTGGTCGTCGGGGCTGCTGGTGGAGGCGGCCATCTTGGCTTCGGAGCGCTTCTTGCCGCTGCTGCTCGCGAGGAGATTCTCCTGCTTGTCCATGGCGAGGGAATGGGGAGGAGTCACAGGGCGCGGCGGCGTGGAAGGGCGGGCTCGTGGATTTTTGACATGCGGCAGCGCCGACTCCTCCACCAGACGGCAGGCCGGGACGCGAGGCAGCTGATAGGGCAGCGATAGCCCGGGTGCTTGGTTGCGCCATGCTCGCGCCCGAAATTGATACGGCGTGGTCGGCGATGGGCGGGCGGGCGTGCGGGCGTGCGGGCTGGGCGCGGGGAGCTCCAGGACGGGTGCAGTGGGTGGACGGTCAGCGAGCATCAATCACTAAGAGGCTAGCGTAAGGCACGATGCGGAGCACCGCGAAACGAGCTGCGCCAGGCGCGGGCTTCGCAGCCGGTTGAAGTAACGGTTGCAGTTCATGTGGCCGGGATCGCCCCGGCGGCGAGTCAACGCCCGGCGCGCGACGGCGCAGCTGGGAATCGGCAGACGGCGCGCCGAACTCGCTGATTCCAGGGCCACGCCATTGGCTGCGCGCCCAGGGTCTGCGGCCTGGAGACGCGCCCTCGCTCGCCCTCGCTCCGTCAGGCCATCGGCCTCCACACCTGGCCCGCCCACTGCGCATGAGATTGCTGCTTTGGGCCACTGCCTGTTCTCGACTCTCGACCCTAACTGACTACAAGCTGTACACAAAATACACGTCCATGTCGCCCTTCTCCGGCTGCGCCTGCAGCGGCACGCCCGCCTCTTCCGCCTTGCGCAGCCGCTCCGCCCGCCGCCGGTTCGCCCGCGCCATGCCAGCCATCAGCCCGCCCACCATGCACAGCGCAACCACTGCAAGTCCAAGCGCGATCGACAGCCCTTTGATGTAGCGCGGCGCCGATGCCGTCGTAAAGATTTGCCCGACGGCAACGCCCGCCGTGTTGCCCAGCGTCAGCGCCCCGCCCACCATCGTCGCCCGCTTGAAATGCTGCGCCGCGTTGTCCTGCAGCCACATCATGCTGAGCCCCGTCGTGGGGTAGATGCCCATGACGGCCACTGCACGCGTCTCTTTGTCAGCCCAAACCTGCAGCCCTCGCACGCCCTGGTCGACTTACCGAAACAGGCAAAATAGCGCACCCCGAGGCTGTCCACCGAGATGAGCATCGCGTATCCGATCACCAGGCACACCAGCGGCCCCGCGATCCAGCAGCCCCGTCGCCGCTGCTTGTCCGACATGTACGCCGTGAACAGGAACGTGCACAGCCCCCACATGTAGATGGGCACCGTCATCAGGTTCGCCGTCACCGAGCTGTACCCCAGCCCGTTGATGATCTTGGGCAAGAAGGTCGTGAAGCCGTACAGCGACACGTCCACGCAGAACTGGAAGATCCAACTATATGCCGCGTCAGCCAACCGCCGCCAAGCCGCTGCACCCCCGTAGTAACCTACAATGCATGCCATTTCGGGTCCGTCAGCGCGTTCGCTACCGCAGACCAGGTGAACTTCTCGTCAATGCCCCAGTGTGGGTCGAGTTCGTATCGGAGCCTCATCATCTCTTTTTCTTCTTCCGACAGGAACCACGCCTTGCGCGGCTCGTGCGGAAACGCGTACCAGAAGAAAGGGACGCAGACGAGGGTAAGGCCGCCCTCGAAAATGAACAGAGCCCGCCAGGAGGTGAAGTAGGTGCTCGTCTTGATTTGCGTCAGGGCATAGGCCAGGATGCCGCCAAAAGCAGAGGCGAATGCGCTGAAGGCAAAGATAACAGACGATCTGGGGTCGTCAGCGCCGTGGTGCGGCTTGTGGGGCGGGGCGGGATCCACATACCTCTTACCGCGCTCACTTTTCTTGTACACCATGCCGAGATAAACGTTGATGCAGGGGATGAGTCCGGCCTCAAAGAAGCCAATCAACAGGCGGCAGGTGTACAGTCCTTGCCAGTTCTGGACGAAACCGGTGGCAAGACACACCAGTCCCCAGGCGGCGGAGCAGCAAGTGAGGAGCCACTTGGGGCCGATGATTTTGAGCAAAATAGCGACTGGCAGCTCGAAAGGAACGTATGTCGCGTAAAGGAGGGTGACGGCATTGCCGTACTGGTTTCCTACGAGGCCAAGTTCGTCAGGCATGCCAGCGACTTGAGCATTACCTATGTTCGACCTACACAGCCATAAGAGGATGGCCCTAGAGAGAAGTCTTGATCAGCGCTCTGTGGCATACCTGTCGAGATTTGCGAGCAGATACAGAATACCCAACATGCCAACTGCAAAGATCTGTTTGCCAGGTCAGCACAAGCGCAACACTCGGGATTCTCGGCTGGCGGCTCACATCGAACTTTCTCATCATCTTGGCCTCCTTGACCGGGTCGAGAAGGGCGGAGCTCTCGCCGTGGCGGAGCTCGCGGTCTTCGGCACCCATGGAGGAGCTCAGAATTTGCAGTTCATCTTTCTTGGCAGGCATGGTTGGGCTCTGGTCAGCTGGTGTCGGCACGCGGGCTGGCGGAAAGGGTGGTTCACTGAGGATGAGAGCAACTACGAACAGGAGTATATCAAGATCAAGAAGCGAGCGTGGACGGGCGCGTCGGCGATAGAGCGGAAACAGATAAGGCGAGCGGAAGAGACGGCTAGGCTGGAGCCATGATAAGAGCTGAGGCAGAGTGGACAGAGCGTACCTATCTGTGGCGGGCGATACGCAGAGGCAGCGCTTGAACGGCACGAGAGGTAACAATGCGCAGCCCAGAGGCCAGAGGCCAGCAGCACCCTTGGCTCAAGAGTCGGCCCTTCCTCGCCTGGCCTGGCTCCGGCGTCCCGGCCTGCCGCACGGACGAGACGCAGGACGCGTCCGCCTGCGCACCGTCACCTCCCGCCTCCCAGATCCTGGGGTAGCGAGAGAAACGGCCTTCATGTCGACCGTGAAAACCTGGGGAACCGTGGGTTGCAGACGAGCATTCTGACCCTTCGGCTTCTCGGCATCCTGCCGACGGGACCGACTCCCTTGCCACGTGACTCCGGGACCTGACGCCTCCAACCGGTTGTCCACCACTGCGTGCATCCAAATCTGACCATTTTCGCAACGGAATTATACTTCGTAATATGCGTCTCGGCGCCGTTCCACCATGCATATCTCTCCAATCTCCATTTCCGGCACTGCTACGCAATGAGGGGAAGGGAGGGGCTTCTGCATCCACGATAGTAGCTCCCCAGGCCGCCCATATATCCTCCCGCCTCTCCCTTCATCCTGTTGATGTAGCTCTTTCTCCCTGGTTCTCTTATCGCCGTGTCCATCATGCCTTCAGTCGCACATGAGGGAGTTCGGATAGCCATTGACAGAGGCGGTACCTTCTGTGACTTGTCAGTATTCCGTTCTCCAAGCACCCGGCGCATGCATGTGCTAACGATGGCAGCTGGGCTCGCATTCCGGGTCGCAATGATGATCTGGTCCTCAAGCTCCTGTCCGTCTGTCCCGATGAGTACCCCGATGCGCCGACCGAAGGCATCCGGCAGATTCTGGAAATAGCAACGGGAAAGCCGGTGCCCCGCGGCGAACCCTTAGATCTTGCTCCTGTCGAATCGATTCGTATGGGAACGACGGTTGCCACCAAGTAAGTCACGTACAGTGAAACTTCACTGTATCCAGGTTCGATGAAAGACGCTACAATCGCGTCACCCATCCACTTTAGTCGGTTCGCTAACTTCACCAGTGCCTTGCTAGAACGGAAGGGCGAACGCGTTGCCTTAGTCATCACCAAAGGATTCCGGGATCTCCTCATCATCGGCAACCAAGCACGGCCTCACCTGTTCGACTTGTCCGTCCAAAAGCTCGACCGCCTGTATGAAACGGTTGTCGAGGTGGATGAGCGTGTCACGGTTGAGGGATTCTCCGAGGATCCGGAGCCCGAGCCCATCGATGTCGATGCAGATCCTGATCTTGTCCGCGGACTCACTGGCGAGCCCTTGAGAGTACTGAAGAAGCCGAACTACGACGAGGTTAGGGAAAGCCTCCAATCTCTGTGGGATCAAGGCTACAGGAGTCTTGCCGTTGCGCTCATGCACTCGTTTACCTTCCCCGAACACGAGCTTGAGATCGGGAGGATTGCCCGCGAGATGGGCTTCAAGGTCGCCTTGTCCTCCCAACTTCAACCGATGATCAAACTTGTGCCGAGAGCACAGTCCGCAACTGCAGATGCTTATCTGTCTCCTATCATTGCCTTGTATCTGGACAGCTTCCGGAAGGGCTTCAAAGGCGAGCTCCAGGGAGCCGATGCCAGCAAGCTGCTTCTGTCCCAGTCAGATGGCGGCTTGACTCCCTTTACAGACTTTACCGGTCTTCGCGCCATTCTTTCCGGACCTGCTGGCGGTGTCGTCGGATATGCAAGGACATGTTATGATGCAATTGAGGGTACTCCTGTGCTGGGGTTCGACATGGGCGGTACGAGCACAGATGTTTCCCGTTATGGTGGTTCGCTGGAGCATGTTTTCGAGTCGACAACTGCAGAGGTCACAATTCAGAGCCCGCAATTGGACATCAATACTGTGGCAGCAGGTGCGCATGATTCCACCCTACTCCTACTTCACGACGCTGACTGTTCCAGGTGGCGGCTCGATGCTCTTCTGGCAGAACGGACTGTTCAGGGTCGGCCCTCAATCCGCAGGAGCACACCCCGGACCCGCGTGTTATGGAAACGATGGTCCCTTGACCATCACCGATGCTAACTGCTTCCTTGGACGTATTCTTCCCGATTACTTCCCTCGTCCTCTCGACCTCCAGAAAGTCAAGAAGGATTTCCTCAAGCTCACCGACGTCGTCAACGAGGAGAAGCACGGAGACGACAAGCTCACCCCTGAACAGGTTGCCATGGGCTTCATCCAGGTTGCCAATGCTACCATGACCAGGCCGATCCGCACACTAAGCGAAGGCCGAGGTTTTGAGACTTCCTCCCACAACCTTGCTTGCTTTGGCGGTGCAGGTGGTCAGCATGCCACTGCCATTGCTCGCGATCTTGGTATCAGGCGTGTCTTGATCCATCAACTCTCCAGCATCCTCTCCGCATACGGTATGGCCTTGGCCGACGTCGTGGTCGAGAAGCAGGAGCCGGAAGCCGTGGCCTACACGCCCGAGGCAACTTCACGTCTTGATTCTCGGTTCGACTCATTGTCCTCGCAGGCCGAGGACTCCCTGAAAAAACAGGGTTTTCTACCCCATCGCATCGAACACGAGTTCTTCCTCAACATGCGCTACAAGGGTGCTGATACTTCTCTCATGATCTCCAAACCCGACGATGGTGACTTTGGCAAGGCATTTGTGGCCCGGCACCACCGCGAGTTCGGCTTCACTCAACCCCGTGATATCCTCGTCGATGACATCCGCGTGCGTAGCGTTGGTCGCGCGATGGACATGCACTTGTCCTCCCCATTCGCTCAGCTCGACAGCTTGAGCAAGGCGCCGTATGTCGACCCGGCCAAGGCGAAGAGTATCCGCAAGATCTACTTCGAGAAGGAGGGGTGGGTTGATTCGCACGTCTACCACATCGCAGATCTTCCGAAGGGATGTAAAGTCAAGGGGCCGGCCGTCGCAATCGATGCTACGCAGACCATCATTTTGGACCCTGCGAGCGAGGCTACTGTCCTTGATGAACATCTCGTCATTGAACTGCTGGATACGGAGAAGGTCAAAGTCGGGACAGATGAGATTGACCCTATCCAACTCAGTGTGTTTGGACACCGTTTCATGAGTGTTGCGGAGCAGGTGTGTATTTCCTTGTCCTTTAGCCATTCAACGCTAACCCAGAGCAGATGGGTCAAACTCTTCAGAAGACCTCCATATCTACCAATATCAAGGAAAGACTCGATTACAGTTGCGCAGTCTTCTCAGCCACCGGCGGCCTTGTGGCCAACGCTCCCCACATTCCCGGTCACCTCGGCTCGATGAGTACCGCCATTAGCTACCAAGCCAATCTGTACAAGAAGGGGGAGTTGAAGCCTGGAGACGTCATCCTGTCCAACCATCCCTGTGCTGGTGGAACCCATCTCCCTGACTTGACCGTGATCACACCTGTATTTGACGATGAAGAGAACCCTCAAGAGATCCTCTTCTTCGTTGCGAACCGCGGTCATCATGCGGACATTGGTGGTATCGCTGCCGGCTCGATGCCTCCGAATTCCACCGAGCTTTGGCAGGAAGGCGCTGCCATCGAGTCTTTCAAGATGGTCAAGGAGGGTGTCTTCGATGAAAAAGGTCTTGTGTATCACCTCTACGACGTTCCAGGCAGCTACCCAGGCTGCTCGGGTACACGTACGCTCCGCGACAACATTGCCGACCTGAAAGCCTCGATCGCGGCCAACAACCGCGGCATCCATCTCATCAGCTCGCTAGTCAAGGAGTATAGCTGGCCGGTTGTTCAGTTCTACATGGAAGCAATCCAGAAGAACGCCGAGGAATCCGTCCGCGAACTTCTTAAGGGCTTCAGCAAGCGATTCCGCGGGCATCCGCTCTCCGCCATCGACCACATGGACGACGGCACTCCCCTCGCGCTCAAAATCACCATCAACCCCACCGACGGCTCGGCCAAGTTCGACTTCACAGGCACGGGCCCGGAAGCCTTCAACAACCTCAACACGCCACCGGCCATCATGTACAGCGGCATCATCTACTGCCTGCGGTGCATGATCAGCTCGGACATCCCGCTGAACCAGGGATGCCTGACGCCCATCGAGGTGTACTGCCCGCCCAACACGCTGCTGAGCCCGTCACTCAAGGCCGCGACCGTTGGCTCCAACGTCGAGACCAGCCAGCGCATTGTCGACCTCATCTTCAAGGCCTTCCGCACCGCCGCCGCCAGCCAGGGCACCTGCAACAACCTCACCTTCGGCTACGGTGGCCGCGACGACCGCGGAAACGTCACCAAGGGCTTCGGCTACTACGAGACCATCGCCGGTGGTTCAGGCGCCGGTGCCGATTGGGAGGGCCAGAGCGGCGTGCATACACACATCACCAATACTCGGTAAGTCACGTCTCCTTTATTCACACAAAGATAAGAAGGAGAATGGTAGAGGAAGAACAGGAAGCTGACAGTTTTCCCCCCTTTTTTTTTCTTTTTCCAGCATGACCGACCCCGAAACGTTCGAAAAGCGCTACCCCGTCCTGCTGCGCGAGTTCAGCATCCGCGCCGGCAGCGGCGGGCGCGGCCGCAAGCGCGGCGGCGACGGCTGCGTGCGCGACATCGAGCTGCGGCGGCCGATGCAGGTGTCGATCCTGTCGGAGCGCCGCGTCAACGCGCCGTACGGCATGGCCGGCGGCGGCGAGGGCCAGCGCGGCGTCAACCTGTGGATCCGGAGGGACCCGCTCGACGCCGGCTCGACCCGGACCATCAGCCTGGGCGGCAGGGCGACGACGCCGATGGGCACGGGCGACCGCATCGTCGTCATGACGCCGGGCGGCGGCGGGTACGGGCCGGATCCGGACGGGGCGGACGACGAGGTGGAGGTGGACGGCGAGTTCAGGTTGCATGAGAAGTTTGTGAGGAATCCGCATTTGTTCAGGGCGCAGGGGAGCGTGAGTGCGAGGGAGGCGATGGGGACGCAGAACTGAGAGCGCTCGTTGGTTTCTGGGGTTTTAATTGGGAAAGGAGTCTTTCTGCTGTGTGATGTCGGGTCCAGGCGTAGTCCGGGTATCGGTCAGCTACCTGTACGAATAATGAACATTTTTTTCCGCAGATGTCTTCACCACGTGTAAGTAGCTCATGCCGTTGTGTGTGTCTGGCCGGCGGTGGCTGTGAGACGATGAACTGCAGCTTCCGAGGTGCTTTTTTGCTTCTCGAATTTACTGCGGGTGTTTCCCCTAGTCCTCCGACACGTATCTTCGCTTTCTTTCTTTCTTTTCGGAGCCGCAATCATCTTCCTCGAACATTTCCTATGCCAAACGCGCGATACGGCGGCGCAGTGTTTCGCGAAAAGGCAGATGCGGGCGTGGATCGGATGTGGCAGGCACGCCTGTTCTCCTTCCTCAACGGTGCCAGCATGCCCGCCATATCTCCGCCACCATTACTCTGCCACATCTCCACCATACCGCCTAACAAGCTGCCACCATCGAACGACATGCTGCAGATGTCGGCCAGCGACTGCGAGAATGTTGTGGTCGTTCACTGGCTCCGCATTTGCACCTCACTGACCACCTCTATCGAACCTCTCTATCAAGGTTCTGCCATCAGACTCGCTGCACTGGAGTTCCAGAGTCATCGATTCACGTTTGTATGCCCCCACCGCCCAGGAGAACAAGTGAGCTGACACCCACTGAAGACTCCGGCATGCCGAGGTGTGCCCCTCGATTTGGACTTGAAAAACTTTCACTAGAGTTTGTCTGAATGACACCAGGCAAGCGAAAAGCCTGGGATGGATCTTGAATAAAGAGCTGCGGAATCGAGTATGGAACCTACAAGTGCGAAGCTCGTACTCTTGGAGAAGGCTCCAAAGGAGTCGAAACTAGTCGGGGAAAAGGATGAAGCGAATAGTGAAGTGATGAGTCTCTAAGGGCTTGTGCAAACCACACCTATAAAGGTGAAAAGAGTGCGAGAAGGGCGCTGGAAGGAGGGACTGGCCCGCCTGAAGAAGGACACTCTCGCGGGTAAGTGAAGAAATCAAGCACACATTGGAAAGATAAAGGACAATGGGATTTTCGAAGACGGCCACCATCGCCGTGGGTAATGTCACGTAACATAGCAACGTCGTGTATTGCGAGATTATGGCGGAGCTTCGCGCCAATGCCATCTAAGGCTCCGCGGAGAAGGACGGTAAGTGTGCTCATGAGAGATTATTGCTGGCGATCTTGTTGGTGGGGCGGGCGTTGGGGAAGGACGTAATGCAGATGGGGCCTGCATCTCAGTGCACGGAGACTGCCAATGAGATGCTGTTGCTGTTCAGAGGAGTTTACTCCGCATGCGAATGTGGCTTTCGCATCATGACGCACAATACAGCGGCATTTGCCATGGCAGGCCCCCCAAAGCACGTGGATCATTGAGATGGTCATCCGTCTTTGGGGTCATGCAGGCACGTGATGCTCGCGGCCTCAACAAAGTCGAGCTAAAAGAAGCCAAGATCTAGGCTTCGAAGATTCTTCACGCCGATCTCGTTCGGCTGCGGAAGAGCTGCGGGAAGGGATGATCAAACCAATGAGGGCAGGTGAGCGGCATTTGAGCGGCAATGACTTGTGCGGATTTGCCGAGATCGATGAGCTGTCGTCGCAACGTTGATACAGTTACGAGTTACGACGGGCAAAGGAGGGCAATCCGTAACGGACTGGGTGTCCATACCTACTGCTTCCGAAAGCGGAAGCGTGTTGCGATGTGCTAAGGCGCCAAGCCGCGTCACGATGCGCGGGAGGGCTGCCCTATGGGGCAGGATCCTTGACACAGTCACGTTGTTTGGAAAGCAGCAAGCAGCACGCAGCATATTGTTGTGGCACGACGGAGACAATCGTGTTTAGCGCCGCATGACCCTGTCGACGGGTGAAAGTTGATGCAAAAGACGTCGGGATGGAATACGATACAGCGGATAAGCGGACGGAAAGGGAAAGTGCGAACTGGTGTTCGAAATTTTCTTCTCCCCACCTTTCTTTCTTCGCAGACCGGTGCCGGTGCCGATAAGGCGCATAACTGGCAGCGTCCACTCAGGTGCATGGCCGGCGGCCAGATGACCTGGGAGAGCCGTGGAGCCCTATCGGCGAGGGCAGCAGCATGCATTAGCTTTGGGCATCAGGTAATGGCACATTCTGTTGAGCTACAGCTGTATATTGGACGAGGCGACAACAGCCCCTCATGAGAGGCCCCGGAGGCTGCAGGCCGCTAGAAAGAGGCGTTGCGGCACTTGTCAACCGGTCAGGATGACAGCGGTCAAGGATGCAGGACCCTTGCAAGCGATCGACTGGCCGGAGGGAGCCAAAAGCCAAGATGTCTTTTCCGGAGAAGTAGCGCATTATTGCAGCAAACCTACGCCACACCCTGCCAGAGCGCAGTCATCTCGGCCTTCGGGGGGCCAACGACGATAAGCCCGCGGTGCCGTGGTGCCGTGGTGCCATTGTGCCTTCGCACCCCGGCGTTGTCTACTACCGTCTACTGCGTACAGGTCGCGAGGCGGTCGACGGTCGTGGAACGTCTGGTCGGCTCCTCGCCGCCTCGGGCTGTGTTCGAAGTGACGTCGGTGTCGGCGTCGACGTCGGCGTGGGCGGACCAGGCACTAGGCGCAGTCTACCGGGATGGCCAGTTCGGAGCGGAAGGTTTTTCGAGGCACCCAGCACCCAGCACCCAGCACCCGGCCCAAGCGTGAAGCTGCACGCTTGACATGGAACAACGGGATTCTGCATCTTTTCGACGCCTTCCGAGCAAAGCCGCCGGCATTATTCAGGTCGAAGATCGTCGACGTATCCGTGGATGGGGATGCTGGAAGTCAGCGGGGGTGCCAGAGCCTAGGCTCAACACAAGCCATCACACCACGTCAAGTATGGAGCAGGGTTCGTGACGTGAGATGGTTGGGGTTAGCTGCACCACTTTGACGAATTAATAAGATTAAATCCGACACCCCCGACCGGAAAAATTACCTGGCTCGCGGCGTTTCAGGCGCGGCGAATGGCGCTGCTCACCCACCTGGGGACAGCAGCGACGAGGGCGGGCGCCGCGTGCATATATGTACACCGGCGGGACACGCACGGATTGAGCTGCAGGAACGCACGGGAGCACCGAGGCCACAGTCATGGACATGGGCCCAACGGCTGACGTTGGATCGATCTGCCAGCATCGCGACGGCGACGGCGGCGGCGGCGGCGGCGGCGGCGACCTCACACATGAAACGCGACGAGCGCCGGCGGCCGGACATTGGCTGCTGGCTCAGGACCGCAAGCGAAGCCAAGGTCGCAACCCCCACCGGACGCGGTCGTCTGGCGATGGCGCGAAATTGAGCTGGGTTGCCGGGTTGGGGCAAGCGGGCGATCATTCTGGCGAGATGAGGATTGTGGAGAAGGGGCTCTTGGGCATGTGAGATGGGCCTTGGAGGCAAACGCACAAAAGCAACGGCGGCGCGGCCAACGGCGCGCATGGACTGCTGGAGTGCTGGAGTGCTGGGCTGCTGGGGGAGGATCCGATCCTGGCCCCGGCATGCTCCAGCTGGCGGCGGCGCCGGCAGGGGGCCGCGGTGTTGAGGGGGGTGCGTTGCGCGGCGGCCTTTGCCGCGGCGGGCGAGTAAGCAGCGCTGGAGAGGCGGCCGGCAGCGTCGACAGAACACCAGCGCCCCACTGCTGGACGATGCTGGACGCATCCCGCACACCAGCATGCAGCCGGCGCCGCCACCGCCAAGCAGCAGTCCAAGCGTCGCAGCCGGCCCAATCAGCGCCCTCGGGGTAGCGGGCGCGCTTGCTAGGCCGGATTCCAGCTACCTAGAGTCCGCCCGAGGGCCTCGCATCTGCGCGGTCGCCACACGATGCTCTGCGGCGAGCCTCCTCAGCATTGTCGTCGGCGCGAAGGATGGAGCGCGCGCTGCGGTGCCTTTAAGCTTGCAGCGCTCGACCAGCGCGCGCGCGCCTGCCCTCGGAGGCGGCGGCGCTGACGTACGCATTACCAATGCCTCTCCTGGCTGCTCTCCATAATAATAATAGCATCTCGACCGGACGCCCATCCTTGCAAACGCGAGCCATTGGCCTGTATTTCCACCGCCCATGCGCCTGAATCTCGACGCCTGCCAGATCTCCGCGCCCCCCCCCCC